TTATATTTAAATCTAAGAAGGTTGATTAAACTAATAAGAACTAGTATTTATATTACTTAGTTAAAGTAATAATTATATTATTAAGACAAATAAACGTTATTTAATATTAACTTTTAATATAATAGCCTATTATAAAGGTTTTTTAATTTAAATTATTAATAAAAAAGCTAAAGAGCTAGATAGCATTTTATAAGGTTAAAAGTAAAAGAAAAGAAAAAATTAAATATTATTATTTTAATATAATAGAGAAAAGAATTTAAATTTATAAGTTAGCCTTAAAGGATATATTTAATTATTTTTAATATCTATTATAATTTAAATATTTATTATCTTTATAACTAGCTAAGCTTTATTAAATTAAGTTATTATAATTAGCTATCTTAATTATAACTTAAACCTAGTTATATATATATTAGCTATAAAGCCTTACTTATTAGCTAGCTATAACCTTCTTCTTATAACTTACTTAAAATAATCAAAATATAATTTTAGTTTTATATTATATCCTAAAATAATATATTTATTATAAAGTTAACTAAGAAGTAGTTTTTTAAAGTAAGTTAAAGAAAAAAAAGTAAATTTAACTATAAAGAGGTAAATTTACAATGAGTATTTATATTACTTAATTAATATAGTAATTATATTATTAAGGAAAGTAACCTTATTTAATATTAACCTCTGTTATAATAGCCTATTATAAAGGTCTTTTTATTTAAGTTAGTAATAAAAAAGTTTAATAACTTCTTATAAAAATAAAAATAAAAAAAGATAATTAATAATATATTATCTTAAATATTTTAAGAGAAATATAAAAAGAATACTTATAAATTTAATTATAAAAATAACCTTACTATTTTAAAATATATATTTATAATTATAATAATAACATAATTCCCTTAAGGTATAATAATATATATAAAAAGAAAAAAAAAGTAATACTAAAAATATAATCTTAATTAGGCTAGCCTAGGCTAAGATACTTATAGATATATTTAAACTTATTATACCCTATTATATATAAGTATTAACTTAGAATAAGTTAGTTACCGAGAGTGCAACTATCTCATGGTTATCTTGATACGCGAGAGCTGCAACTAGGCCATTCAGAGCGCGGCAGCCGCAAGTAGACTTCCCAGGCAGGACAATCAGAACTAAATACCGCCGTTAAGTGGTTAAATAATCATTAAGGTCAGATCAGCTTGTTACACATGTCTGGTCAAGGGTACAGGGGCTAATACAGCTAGAATGATCTCTGTTACACAGAGAAGATAAGTGGGACAGCGAATTATCTAGGCACCGGGCTCCCCATCACAAGCAAATATGCACAGGGTTTCCTTTAAATAAGCGCAGATTCCTACATTTCCTTTCCACTAAGGCTCGATTTCAGCGCATAAAATAAGTCATACCGCTAGGCAAATCTCTCCAGCCATGCCTAGCTTGCGGAATTACATTATTCTGCTCGGCCTTCGGCGAAAAAAACCATCCATCAATACTGGACAACCCTGCTAAAGTTTTGGCAGCGGCTGCTAATCAGGGGTCTAGCGGTAAAGGGGAGTACGGGCTTGGAAACGATCTCATTATAATTACCCGATTTGAGTTGTCTTCGCATGTCAACGTCAAAGACCCGATTTTAGGAGTACATGTCCCGCTCGGTTCGGTGTAGGTTAGAAGGCCGAGGAAAGCATGAAAGGAGGATGGTGCTGGGATCTTAATTTAATATTTACAAGGTTTCTCGGCGTCGAGAGTGTAGATGTAAGAACTATATATATAAGCGGTTGAAAGCTTTTTCATCTTCTACAGACAACAGCAGTCTAAAATACTCTACTAAATAATCTTACTCGTGAATCATATTTCACCATGAGATCGCCCTGGGGTGTCGTGTTGGCCCTATTCTGTTTTATATTCCCCTCGATTTCATATCCAATTGAGGAAAAATGCCAACTCAGCTGCATCGACGTCATTATCCCAGTCACCATAAGTGCCACCAATCTCCAAATTCCCATCGCTTCGACTGGACCTACGTTTAATGTTCCTGTTCATGGGACCTTCAACATCGCTGCTCGATACTGTGAGCCTGAGATCAAGATCCCCTCCAAGCAACATACTCTCCAGATCTTGGTTCATGGCATTACGTATGACCGCAATTGTAAGCCCCCGCAAATTAAGATACCGATACTTTGTACTTACCGGCATTTGTAGATTGGTCTGGTGATGGGCCGCCAGGATCCGGTTACCATGGCGATCAATACAGTTGGATTGCATTTGCCTCCAAGCAAGGCTACCCCACTCTGTCCATCGACCGCCTTGGAAATGGATTGTCTGATCACCCTGATCCAATTACTGTCGTTCAACTGGCAACCCAGGTCGAGACCATCCATCAGCTTGTTCTTAAAGCTCGATCTGGGACTTTACCCGGGCCTTCAAAACCTCGGGCTTTCTACAAGGTTATTTATGCTAGTCACAGCTTTGGCTCTTCTGTCGGGAACGGCTTGAACGCAAAGTATCCCTCTGATGTCGATGCAACCATCCTTACCGGCTTCACACATACGAATAACGTGCCAGTTCTTTCCGCAGCGTTTGACACGGATTTTTCCCCCGCAGCCCAGGTCAACGCGGAGAAGTTCGGCAACCTCGATCCAGGATACGTAGCAATTAGCAATGAGACGGCTTTCACTCAGCTCTTCTACTACCCTGGTGGCTTCGATCCAGCACTTGCCGCATTGGACTACAGCTTGAGGGGCACCGCTGCAACTGGAGAAATTATTAGCACCACCCTCGGCCCAGCCATAGCCCCAAACTACACCAGACCTGTCTTTGTTATAACAGGCCAACAAGACGGAGTCTTTTGTAATCTCGCCAACCCACATCCCCCCGTTAATGTCACATTCGCAACTTTCGACTGCGGACCACAAACGACGGGACTTCTAGCGCAAACTAAGGCTCTCTATCCTGCTGCCAAATTTGAGTGGTACGCACCGCCATCTGCTGGCCATTGTTGGCATTTCCACCGTGTAGCCTATGCCACTTTTTCCATTGCCCATGAATGGTTAGCATCACAGGGACTTTAAGAGTGGAATGAGATTAATCCCAATCTTGTCCCAAAATCCATCGTTCTCACTTGTACATGTGATGGCAGACCATATGCATGGCCAGGCCCAAGTCAAACGCCCTGAAAACGACATAGAGAGAAGATAGCGTTTAATAAAGGATATTCTTACCAGAGCGATTGGGACGCACTCTCGGAGATTCTTAATATTTTGAAGCCATTTTACAGACTAACTAAACGTGGCGAAGTGCTCACAAATCACTTCAGAACGTGGTACAATATCTGACTACCTTCTAACGTTTAATGTATCAGGATGGAAGATGGAATCAATACGTGACGACCTTGAAATTCGGCGCTCCAATCGTGAGGCCGCTTCACAACCTCGAATTCTTATGTTCATGCACCGCCAATTTTTAAACCAAAATAAGACAATATCTAATTAAATCGGACGTTGCTCCTGCTATAGATGCTGCAGTAGCTACGAAGCCTTATATGGGATGGAAATACTTCGGAGAAACGTGGAAGGACAGACTCACCTGATGAATTTCCACACCCTGGAGACTTGCTGATACTTTTTCGAAAGCTCTTAATTCGGAGGAAAAAAGACAACAGAGTAGTCACGGATCATAAAATTTCTAGGACGGGAATTTCTACCTGGCTGCAAGAGCTTACAAGCCACGAGTAAGCTTAGAAGAATAGTTATTACCTTGGCTATTGTATCTAATACACTGTACCCTCAGTGAGAAGACCATAACAGCAAGGTTCACACAATAACAGGCTCACACTGTCCGCCCCTGCGCTAATCCATACTGGGAAGAATGTTGATCAGCAAACATGGACGCTGAACATGCCTATAATCATACCAAGATCGTCATCAGTTTCGGCATTCGCGAGCTGATTATACCGCCTCCGAGTTACCACTACCAGGAAAGGCTCAGTCTCGGACGAGCGGGAGATGAATACCAAGGGTGCATTCAGTGGATTAAAGTCCTTGACCGCCTATCTGAGACGTTTGTGGAAGATTAATTGTCTTGATCTAAAGGGAACGGAGCTTAGGAGGACCGAGCTGGTCGGATATCGTTTTACGTAATCTTAACTACCAATTAGGCAATTATGCAGGGCACCCAGGTGCCCAAACATCCTGGCGCACCTCGCTTAACTAACGAGATTTGCCGAGCTCGGCACCTATACGAAGCCGACGCCGATATTATTGAACCCGTTGATTGATTGAATTGACTGTCTGTCTCGCATTTCTTGAAATGCACTGCCTTATCTCTAAAAGAGGGGTAATTATCAGGTGACTTTTCCATTTTAGGAAACACAGCTCCTTTGATCAAAATGCCGTGCCAATTTAGCACCCACGGTTTAACAGATATTAACTTACTTGCTAACTGCGATGTATTACGAGTTGGTAAGTGTTGGGCTTTAAACTTTATTAAGGCCCTGATTTATAATATATAAAATAATAAAATAATATAATACTAATATAACTAAAAGTAAAGTTATTTTTAATTAAGGGCTTATAGTATAATAAGTTATTAATTTATTATAATTTTTACTTAATATTAAATTATATATACTTTAAAAATATATTTTTTAATTATAAATGTGTTTGTAAAAAAGTTTATTAAAATAAATAATTTTATTAATTTACTTATATATTTTTTTTAAGCTTTTATATATTAATAAAATATAACTTATTTATTTCTTTTAAATAAGTTAAAAAAAAAGTTAAGTTAAATATTAAAAGCTAGTATTTATATTACTTTATTAAAGTAATAATTATATTTTTAAATTAAAAAATCCTTATTTAATATTAATTTTATTATAATAGCTTATAATAAAGGTCTTTTTATTTAAGTTATTAATAAAAAAGCTATATAATTAATAGCCTTTTATAAGATTAAAAATAAAAATAAAAATAACTTATTTATTAAAATAATTTTAATATTAATTAAAAACTATATAAGTAAAATTAAGTATTTTATATAAAGAAATTCTTCTTTTACTTATTAATAAATTAAAAAGGTCTTATTAATAAAAAAATATAATATAATAAATTATAACTATGGAATTTACTATATAATTTAATAATATATATTAAACTGCCTTAGGCTCGTGCTTTACATACCCGCCAATAATAGTATACGTCGGTTCGAGGTCTCGTAGGTTGTACAGGTTCTTCTCCGACAGGGGATCCCGCGGCCAAATGGTTAAGTCGGCGAACTTGCTGGGCGCGATGTCTCCGCGGACGTCGCTCTCACGGAGTAGCTCTGCGGCCATGGTGGTGTGCAGGGCTACGGCCTCGTCTGATGTAATAGCATGCTCGAGGCCCATGACGCCAGCGACCGTCTCGCGTGTGGTCATGCCCCAGACGGAGCGCATCGCGCCAAACCTTCCCACCGGGTAGTCTGAGCCGCCGCCGATAAGGGCGCCGGCGTCTAGCCAGCCGCGGGCCGGGAAGAGGCGCGCGGTGCGATCCTTACCAAAGTAGAGTGACTGAATGGCGGCGACGTCGTGGAGCAGAGGCTGCTGGATAGTCACGGGGATGCCCATGTCAACGGTGCGGGCCTGGGCCCCCGGGTCGGCGAGACCGCCGTGCTCCATAACGAGGGTTCCGGCGGCCAGGTGAGGGTGCCTCTGTTGAAGGCGCCCGTAAACGTCTAGTAGGACCTCGACGGCCCGGTCACCATACGCGTGGGTGCCGATCCTCCAGCCCCGCCTAAGCACGGCGTCCATGGCCTCGAGTATCTCGTCGGGGTCCCAGATAAGGGTGCCGCAGAAGTCGGTAAACCCGCAGCAGCCCTCATCCGGCCGACCCTCGTATGGTTCCTTTGTGGCACCTGCCTCGATGCCGCCGTCCAGGAAGAACTTGACACCCCAGATGGAGAGCCAGTCGTCGTGCTGCAGGTGGCGATACTGTTCCATCTGGTTGAGGAGGCTCGTGACGGCGCTGGCGGACATTAAGCCGATAGAGGATATCAGTGCGCGGGTCCGGACGTGCAGCTTCCCGGAGTCGCGGGTTGCCATGAGTATGGGAACATCGGCGATGGGCACGGCACAGTCACGCACACATCCGATGCCGACGGCTGCATAGGCGGCCGAAGCGCTTTCGAGGCCCCTGATGCGGTCGTCGAAGTTTGGCTGGGGCATGAGGCGTAGGACCGGCACCATTCCCTGGTCCTGCAGCTGGCCGTTCAGGCTTCCGTCCGCGGCTCGCCCGATCTTGCCACCGGGTGGGCTCTGCATATCGACGGTGATGCCTCCCAGCTGAAGGGCGAGAGAGTTGACGATAACGTTGTGACCGCCGCGCCTCAGCACGATGGGATGCGCGGTGGAGGCCCGGTCGAGTTCCTCGGCGGTCGGGAAGCGCCGCTCTTTGAGATTATACTCTTGCCAGTTGGCAGTTGTGGTGATCCACGAGCCTGGCTCTGTGTGGGCGGCCCGCTCGCGGAGGAGATCCACGAGCTCATCTATACAGGTGGCCAGGTGGACGGGGACGTCGAACTGACTGAGGCCGGCAAAGATCATGTGTGTGTGCGTGTCGTCAAAAGCTGGGAGCACCGTCTGCTCTGGCTCGTCGATAACACGGGTGTCAGGTCCAATGCAGTCATCCAGGCCATGTAGATCATTGGACAGAGCCCATATGCGGCCGCCATGGACAGCCAGAGACCTATAGGCTGGAGTCGACTGTTGTAACGAGTGAACGGCCTTGGCACGGATGACGATGTCTGCTTCAATAGGGGGCGCCATTGCAAGAAACAGGTAGGCCGCGTAAAAGTGTGACTTGGTAAAAAAAAGGTAGGGCAGAGGATGCTGTGAGGTGAGTTACATTCGAAGGGCCTGTAAGTTTGGGCGCATATGCATATACTTACTTGCAGCCATAGCCTGTTTATACGCTGATAGTCCTTCATGGTTATTTCCAGCACGATGAGCCCTTACATGTTGCTCGCCGTCTTAGTCCCGGTCTAGTCGGACGTCACCAGGTACCGAGCCCGAGCCCCACCGAACCCAAGGCCGCTTGGCCCGAACCTCTAATATAGGTTATGCCATTCTTGGACTTAGTAAATAAATCAGCATCTGGTGCGGTAGGCTGGTGAGACAAGCAGGATACTCGATGGAGGTTGAAGCTTCCCTAAGCTCAATTGCCTCCTGGAACAGAGTTATAGCGCTCCATGCCGGCTATCGGCAGTTATGAGCACCAGCGACGATAAATAGTAGACTGCGGCAATCCAAAGTGGGAGCACCTAGCCCCGACCCGATGCCCGGACGCAGGGCGCAAGACGTTGAAGCAAGGGGCCCCGAAGTAGCGGTCCAGATAAGGCTAACCTATTGTATATCTGGGGCTCGGTTCCCGGGCTGTGTATATAGCAAGAGGGCCTACTACTGGTCAAGGAGTCAGGAACCCCGCGCAGACAGATACACATCGCCGCCGCCATAAGCCCCATGCTCCCTAGTTCTTCTTGCTCGGCAATTTCACTCGGCTTGCAAATAGTTCAATGACACCCGATTCGTATCAACTTCATGCACCAGGTGACCAGGTTGTCGCGGGTATGTACTGTATGCTACGGCCCGCACACTTTTGGTGTGCTTCCGGCTGGCACGACGACCAGGAAATGCACGATTTACAACCTTCATCCACCACCTCCATTCATCCCACGCAAGCGATGTAGCACGTATAATCCCCGCTGTAAACGGCGGCTCTTGCTCTCAGGGTACGTTTGCCGCATTATACCGAATATCAGGAGGAGATGCGGGGCCCTAATCTGTATAAGTAAAGAGGGACCAGACACGCTCTCGAAGTATCCTTCCTCGAGTGATTACCGATTTCATTAATTCATCAAATTGGACTACTTCGGCTTTGTCCTAGTGTACTTGCTTTGCTTACCTACCCAACCCTTTAACGTCTCTGAGATACAATTCCCCCCACCCATCAGTAGCAGTTTCGACTCGCCCGCGATGAGCGCCTCAGAAATAAAGGCCATCGATGCTGAGAAGACGGACGCGGAGCCCGGTATCCGCACCGTCGAGTCGACCTCGCCCGGCAAGCTTGAGCTGCCTGACTACGCGCGTGCTCTGGCTGAGTTCGACTACGCCCCCGAGGAAGAGCGCCGGATCCTCCGCAAGATCGACCGGCGGGTAGTTATTACCCTCGGCTGTCTCTACTGCGTCAGCTTAATCGACCGTGTGAACCTGGGAGCAGCAAACATCGCCGGCATGGGCCGCGAGCTGGAGCTGGTCGGAAACAGATACGTAGGTGCCACCTCCGCCAGACAATGCTTCTTAGCGAGAAAGCGAAAGGAACTGTTCTGAAGAGCTGACCGTCGTCTGCGCACTATCAGTCCATCGTCACGCTCGTCTTCTTCGTAGCATACACGTTGTTCCAGCAACCGTTTATCGTCATCGTGCGAAAGATTGGCCCCCGAAAGTTCCTCTCTCTGATTGTGCTCCTCTGGGGCGCCGTCACTATTGGAATGGGCTTTGTCGCGGACTGGGAGCAACTAGCCGGGCTGCGAGTCGTCCTCGGAGTCTTCGAGGCAGGATTGTTCCCCGGCTCCGTTTACCTGCTTAGCACCTGGTACACGAGATGTGAGACTAGCCCGACGGCGAGCTTGTGGCGGCGCGTGCTCGCCCGCCCCTGCCCTGCTGGCCTAAGCCCCGTCCAAGATGCGGAACTTTGTGCTGACGACGTATGTGCCGGTAGACGAGGTCGGAAAGCGCTACTCCGTCTTCTACCTTGTGGGCAGCGGAGCCTCTGCCTTTGCAGGCATCTTAGCCTATGGGGTAAGTTGTGCAGTTGAATACGACGCAACATAGAAGTAACTAGGGGCTAACACATACCCTCTCGTCGACAAACAGCTCCAGCAAATGGACGGCCTCGCTAACCTTCGCGGCTGGCGCTGGATCTTCATTATCGAGGGCATCCTAACGTGCCTGCTGGCGCTTGTTTCCTACTTGCTGCTGGTTGACTTCCCCGACTCAGAGACTTATTTGTGGAGCTTCCTGGACCAACGTGCAAAGGACTGGATCATTGCCCGGGTAAACGCAGACCGCGGTGACGCTCGTCCCGAAACCTTCAACTTGCGCAAGTACCTCTCCCCAGCCAAGGACTGGAAGGTCTGGGCCTATGCCGTCATCTTCTGCAACGTCACGACTATTAATTACGCGCTGGCTTTCTTCCTGCCCATCATACTAACGAAGAATATGGGTTTCAGCGTCGGAGCCGCGCAGTGCCTCGTAGCTCCGCCCTATGTCGCGGCCAGTGCCTTGATCTACGGAAGTGCTTACTTTAGCGATAAGCATCGGCTTCGTGCGCCCTTTCTCGTCATGAACATGATTATTGCTGTCGTTGGCCTGCCTATTATGGGCTTTCATCGTAATGCTGGCGTGCGATACTTTGGCGTCTTCCTCGTCACCTCGGGAGCCTTGGCATCCATCCCTATCGTGCTCTCTTACCAGGCCAATAACATCCGAGGCCAGTGGAAGCGAGCTTTCTGCAGTGGCGCCTCCATCGGATTCGCAGGTATCGGCGGCATCGTTGGTGGATTGATCTTTAGGTTGGTGGTGTTCTCTCGCGCTGCTTCCTGTGGCCCATCTAGCTAAGGTGACGTTAACATTGACTCCTATGCGCAGAGCCCAGGATGCCCCTTACTACCGACCTGGCCTATATATCTGCATCGGACTACTTGGTCTAAGCATCCTACTTGTCGTTTGTCTGACCGCTGCATATCGCACCTTGAACCGACAGGCCGACCGCGGTGAGAGAATTCTAGAGAACGAGGACGTAAGTTATTGCCTCCCCCTGTGCTTGTCTCCGGTCCTGGCTGAACGTACTGTCGGTAGGGCGAATTTCCACTTGATTTCCGTTACACCTACTAGGGACGGTAAATCTCTGCGACTAAGCTTGGATGCTGCTGTGGATCTGGGGGAGATGGCTGGGCTTTAAGCCACGATGAGAGCGCCGTGTCTCTAGAGCCCTCTTAACTAATTTAAGTCTACTACGGGCGCCTTTAGATATTAATCCCATAGAGGAATTTCAAGTAGATATAGCGAATATGTAGATGTTTATAAAAACTAATAAGTCTATCTTAAGTTATTTTAAAGATTTTAAGTTAAGATTCTAAAAGGAATAAAATTAATATATATAATAAATATATATCTTAGATAAGTATATTTCTTAAAAAGTTTTAACCTTTAAAATAAGAATTACTTAAAAAATATAATAAAACTTTAAATTAATTTAAATTAAATTTTTTTTAAAAAAAAAATTTATTATAATTATTTTTAAATATTATTTAATTAGTTTTTTTTTTTGTTTTTAAGTTTATAAGTTAGCCTTAAAAGATATATCTAAATATCTCTAAAGTCTAATAAATAAAGTAAAATTAATAAAAAAGTAATAATTTAAACTATAGATTTTTATTTTATAACGTGTTTTATAAGCGAGTGACCCATATAAGCGAGTGACCCAAAAATCTCAACCTTCTCAATTAAATCGGCAATAAAAATACCACAAATTATCAGATCAATTAAAACTAATCGCTATATTCTTCTAAATTAACCTCAATTTCCTCCTGACAGGTCCTTGTATTATGCCCGGCCCTGCCGCATTTGCTACAATGTAAAACCCTCGGTCCCTTAGACCTTCCGCGACCACCACTTCTCGACGATTCGGCTGCTACCTGCGTATCAACATCCATCTGATCAATTGCTTGTGATGCCTCTTCTATAGTCAAAGGCCCTCCTTTCTGTAGTCTAGTCCTTTTCCCCCTCCGGCGTCGCTTTACTATCCGATTCTCTTGTTCAACTTGTTGAAGCCTATCCTCTAGTAGGACTATCTTATGGATAAGGACGCTTGTTGCCTTCTCAAAATGCTTAACAGCCTCAATAATTGACTCTGGGGAGCTGCTCTTATGGTTTCTAACCCTTCCCTGTAGATATTTAGAATGCGATTGGGCCTCTAGTAGTGTCTTTGGGGTCCTTGCAGTCCAAGGGGTTGAAGGTATCGTGACCTCTGCGGGAGGTGTCGGGGTCCGTAATTGCACATCAAGCTTTGAGATGACATTTTCTGGGTCAAAGGGAGCAAGCCCAGCTCCTCTAAAACCTCCTTTGATATTACTTTCTGTAATAGTAGCTCGGTGGGCGGCATGAAAGGCAGGAAAGAACTCGATCTTGGTGATGTGGTTTATAGAGCATCCCATTAGACGCTCTATTTCTCGCCCATAGGCCTTTTTCAGCGGCCCAAAGCACCCTACATCAAGAGGCTGGAGTAGATGAGAGGCATGAGCAGGCATACAGAGGGTAATAATCTTATTCTCCTCACAATATCTCTCGAATTCGATAGAGTGGTGGCTTTCATGACCATCGAGGATTAAGAGACGATAAGAACCAACTGATCGGTCCTTTGTTGATCGATCAAAGTGCTGTAGCCAGTCAAGACCTAGCTGGTTATTGGTCCATCCATTTTCGCTCAATGCAATGACCCAATCGGCGGGGAGGTTGCATTCTCGGTACCAATTGGCAAGATGATATTGGCCTGAACCAATGATGAATGGTGCGATCGATTGACCTTCTGCATTGACCGCTTGAATCACAGTAATCCATTCACGATTTCCAGGCTGTATCTTCTTTGGTATCCCTCGCCTTTCTGAGCTTGTGACGACCATTCCGGGCTCAATCATACCCATCATAAAGCCGGTCTCATCAAAGTTCCAGATATCAGCTAATTGGATACCGTATTTCGCGATCGTATTCTCTACGAGGCGAAACCAGCCCTGAATAATAGTCGGATCTTCGCATTTAGCTCTCTTATAGTCATATCTCCGAAATCGACATGCCTTTAGCTCTGGTTGTCGTTGGATAAAGTTATGAACCCAGAGCTTGCCGACTGGTAATGCCTCGCGATCGGCAAGTAGAGAATTGGCCATTTTTTCCACAAAATCGCGCCGAGGGGGGAAACCTCGGGAATCTAGGTCAAGGATAAATTGAACTATCGTCTGTTCCTCTAGATCAGATAGGTTCCGTGATTTTGTGGTTATATCACGCTTTGAATGAATGCCATTCCGGCGGCGACCTAAGGTGCGGTGATTGACCTGATATACAGTCGCCGCCTTTCGGATACTTAATTTCGGGTCATTTTGAAGGGCCTGAAGGGCAAGAAGTATCCTAGCTTCATATGAAGGCTGTGGCATATCGGGTTGTTGAAAGATATTGAATTGAATGATGATAATGTAAGTTGAGGGATTTTTGGGTCACTCGCTTATATGGGTCACTCGCTTATAAAACACGTTATAATTTTTTTAATACTTAAATTTACTTATATTATAATATTATATAAAATAAAATAAAATAAAGTAATATATAATTTAATAAAACTTATAAAAGAATTTATTAAAAATATAATATATTATAATAATTATAATAACTATTTTAGGGTAAAAGGTCTAAGCTTTATTAGTAGGGTTAAATAGATATTTATAGTAATAGATATAAAGGAATATATTCCCCTAAGGATTTTAGTTTTTTATGCTTTTTTTTATATATAATTTTATACTTTTTTCTTTATATTAAATATTATTAAACTAATTATTTAATCCTCTATCTTATAATAAAGATTTTATTTTAATTAAACCTAACTAGTAGTTTATACTTAGCTTATAATTAAGAAGTATTAGAATATATTATCTTATATAATCTTTTCTTTAATATTACTCTTTACCTTTAAAATATATAATATAAATTTTTATTATATAAAAACTTAATACTAGGATTTTATAGCTATTTCTTTTAATTTAATATAAAAACTTAATTTAATTAAGTATTTCTTAGTAAATACCAGTAACTTCTTTATACTTTAGTCTTTAAAACTTTAACTAATTATATAATCTTATTTATATAATTTATAATTTTCTAGTATTTCTTTTAAAATACTTTTATAACTTTAATATATAAATCTATTTTTAAAAGAATTTTATTAGTATTATATAAGCTTATATAAGAGTTTTAAACTTAAAGGTTTTTTTAGATAATAATAGGGAAAGATGGCTAGTTTCTGGGTGTGGCTGGTTTCCCTGTATTTAATATTATATTATACTAGTTTCGTACCAATGGTTTAGTAACTAGAAAAAGGGGAGTACACCTAACCTATGCCTTGGGGTCATAATACGGGTTAACCCGGATTCGACTTATTACCTCCATTTTATCCACTTCTTGGGGTAAGAAAACATTATTCTCTGCTAATAAAACGGTAATTACAAATCTCTGAACTAAACAAACTAAGCAGCAAATCAGCATTCTTACCAGGAAACACTTTTATATTTCGGTAAGATCTTTAAATACAATCATATCTTCCCCTTTCGCATGCTATCTGCTGTGCTACGAACTTCATTTTTCCGAGATTTAATCCAACGTTTCTCAGCCCCACATGCAGTTTCCACTTACTGGTGCGACCGCGCTCCTAGCTACTTCCGGAGTCCTAGCTGGAATAAAGGATGAAGTTACTGGACCAACTGTTCGTATCCAAAACGGAACGATTATTGGCAAATATGTCGAGACCCACAACCAAGATCTTTTCTTAGGAATCCCTTTCGCGCAGCCCCCAGTCGGAACTCTTCGCTTCAACGCGCCTCAATCCATAAATAGGACCTGGACAGCGCCTCTGAATGCTACTGCGTACGGTGCCCACTGTATCAATTACTTCCTGGATATGCCTTTTGGCCCCCCTGACCTCGCCACGAGATATCCCCAGAGCGAGGACTGCTTAACGATCAATGTTGTCCGGCCAGCAGGAACGAAATCCCATGAACGTCTTCCTGTATTGGCTTTCATATACGGAGGCGGTTTCCAAGAAGGAGGCTCTGGCGACGACAGATACAATGTTAGCGCCCTCGTTGAGAAGTCCGTTCAAATTGGCCGGCCGTCAATTGTGGTCAGTATGAACTATCGCCTTCAAGGATGGGGCTTTCTGGCTGGGAACGACATTCGCGGCCAAGGTCTCCTGAATCTTGGTATTCAGGACCAGCGACTTGCTCTGCAGTGGATTCAGGACAACATTGATGCATTTGGAGGAGACCGCCGGAGAGTCACCATCCAAGGAGAATCAGCCGGTGCTGCTTCGGTGGGCTTTCACTTATTAGCCCACGGAGGACGGAACGACGGCCTATTCAGTGCTGCGATCTGTCAGAGTGGTGGACCCTACTATTTTGGCAGCTTTGCGCCAGATGCCCAGGGGGAGAAGACGTATAAGAGCGTCCTAAAGGCGACCAACTGTACGAATGCGCATGACACACTGCAATGTTTACGCGCCGCACCTTTCGAAACTTTGAACACGGCCTTCACTGATCTCACATTCCTTCCAGTCATAGACGGAACCCTCGTCACTGAATATAGCTCTACTGCTCTTGCGAAGGGTCGGTTTGTGAGGGTCCCTCTGCTCATCGGTGCCAATACCGATGAGGGTAAGGCCTTCGCCGGCATGGGTGTTAACACGACCGATGAACTCGGTAGTTACATCATGCACTTCCCATACATACATACCACCAACAATGAAACCATCCGCGGTCTGCTGGAAGCCTATCCCGAGCCGGGTACCAACTCGACACATGGCCAATCGGATGATACCCTTCCCGTGTCTGAACCGTACGGAAACCAATTCCTGCGCACCGCAAGATATATCGGGGATGCCATGTTTATTGCTGGGCGGCGATACTCGTGCGAAATCTGGACTCAACATGGCCTCCCCTGCTACAGTTACAGGTTTAACACAATTCCTGGCGCCACCGATCCGCTGTACTTTGGCGCGACCCATTACGAGGAGATTGCATTCGTCTTTGGTAACATCTTGGGAATAGGAATGCCATCAAATGCTTTTGATGTTCAGCCCATCGAACGGAGAGAGAACTATGAGAATCTAAGTGATTTGATGGGCCAGATGTGGATGAGTTTTGTTGCGACACATTCCCCCAATGACCACAAAGGTATTCTACATATCGATCAGTTTCTAGTGAGACTTCTGCTAATCATTACATTTTAAAGTGAAATCGTTTCAGGTGGCTTGGCCTGAGTACAGCCTGAAGGACCCCCGGAACATGGTATTTGATGGGAACACGACAAGCTTTGTGGAAAAGGATAACTGGCGTGCCGACGCAATACAGTTAATCATCGAGAGATCCTTGGATTTCAGTCATTGATATGCCTAATCCTATTGACACATAGGATAGATAAGTGTTATACAAATCTCAAGTCCTAACTTAACAGCGAGGCCACCTCTGTTTTGTAGTACAGGTGTTACGACCTCCGCGGTTACATCATGTGGTACCCACAAGAACTCCTCCAATTAACTAGCGACTCACGCCCCCCCTTCTCTTCTTGTATCGTGAGCCGCCACCAGTATATATACACACTCCTTTAGCAGTAGATAGAACTTAGCTCACCAGCTATTAATAAAGCTTCTTTATATTAATAAGCCTCACACATATTACTTAATTATTAAGAGACATAACACTTCACTACTACTTAGTACAACTCCCTACGACTTTGCTAATAAATACCATTAATTGCATACGTAGGTGATAATCTGCCTGCTGCTAGTTGCTATTATAAAGGAGAAATACTTAAACTCAACAGCCTCATTACAGCAGCCAGCTTTGTTCAGCAGTATATATTCGGCTTACGAGTATACTACTGTCCAATCACAAGGCAAGATGGCCGAGCGGTCTAAGGCGCTGTGTTCAGGTTCAATTCGAACTAGTAACGATTCGCAGTCTCGAAAGGGGCCTGGGTTCGAATCCCAGTCTTGTCAGCTTTCTTTTTGTCCTTTCTGGCATTGAGAAATCCATCACTCATTCAAGACAATAAGTTTCTTGGCGAGTTAAGGCGCAACGTTCACTGGCTACTTTATTGCTGCATTCAAACACTCGTACTGCGCTTGCTACATTGTGCAACTAACCGGGTTTATTCAATTACCAGAGGTTACCCCAATCTTCTGTTCTCGCTATGCTCAATCAGCCGAATGAGGTTCCCCTCACAAATCATTACTCAGCACTTCAGCTATTGCTCCAACACCAACAATGAAGCGACTTCAAGAAATGAAAAGGCGAGATCAACGAATCGCACTCTATGGCGACTCTCCACCGCCTCCAAGAACACACGCTCCTTATCCAGAAGGTGAAGTCATTTACAGCTGCCTTTATCGCAACATAGTCCGACATGGCAATACCGTCACAAAGTACACAACACATCCAGATGGCATGGGCGTTAATGATCAACCAAACGAGGCATTGGTATTAAAATTCGTCAAAGAGCACACGACGATACCGGTGCCCGAGGTCATTAGTTCTGACTGGGATCGCATTGAGATGGAGTACATTGAAGGCCAAACACTGAAAGAAGTCTGGCCCTCACTTAAACCAGAAGAGCGCACGGCAATGCTGGCTCAGCTCAAAGATTACATTGCCCAGATGCGCGCGCTAAAAGGTACATACCTCGGCCGCTTTGATGGCCAAGGCGTCATTGTTCCCAGCATGATGACTCGATCCGGCGGGCCTTTCCATACCATTGAATCATTTCACGACTGGCTTGTTCGACCGCCGAAAAGAATCACGGAGCAGTCCATGTACTGGCACCAAATAACAGAGCAACTTGCGGCTGACTGTCCCATTGTGTTTACTCACGCCGACATCTCATCCAGAAACATTATCATACGCGACGGTCGGATAGTCGCGCTTCTGGACTGGGAATGGGCGGGTTGGTATCCCGAGTATTGGGATTATGTGTTTGCGCTCCGAGGCTTGGATAAGGTTGATTGGGAAACGCTGGGGAGTCAGGTGCCGTCGCTATTCGAGAAGCGCTATGATCTTGAGTACATATTGGTCAACTTTATCACTACTCTGTCATAGAGCTATGGCTCATAGCTGCTCTGTACTCCAAGACACTCTGCCAGTCAAATGCTCTCAATACAGCTCTGTCAACTATCCAACACAGCGATCCAACAACTTGTCCATCAACTCCCCTTCAACAGCGTCATACCACTCCAGCGTCTGATACCCTCGGAAACAAGTGCCTGAAGCCCCTCGAGAATAAAAGTCTGGCAATTCCAATCACTCATCTTCTCCCTGCCCTCAACTGGAGTAGCCGCAACAACATTGACCGGCTCCATCTCACGACCCTTCCAGACCTTCACAGCCCCGACATTAACGTGGCTGAGGTAGGTGGCACTGAGAGCCCAGTCTACTCTCCTGTGAATCCTGTCGACCTTCCATGGGTCGCCTTCATCTTCGTGCTGGGCGTGGACGGTTTCATGAAAGCCTGGGTCTTCGGGGGACGTGAAGTACGCAAGTACGTGACGGGCGAAATAGAAATCGGGGTTTCCTCTGAAGATGTATAAGGTGATGCAGACGGTAGATTGGCTCATTCTTGGTTTGGCCTAAGGCCGGCCGAGAAAAGGGCCTAGCTTTTGGTGAACGAATTTATGGGAGACAGAAGACAGCACGATTGAGAACAATGAATTTCTAGACGAGTATCTCTCTCAAGGACCTAGACTATCGCGCCATCCTCTATGCTCAACCAACCGAGGATATGCCCCGTCAGCGGTTAGATAAAGTCTGTTGGCCGACTTATAATTTGTTTGTCCATGTTGTCCAGCCTAAAAGCAGCGTATTCGCAGTGCATTCCGGTTCTGTAACTGATACTGGGATATTCTCGGATTTTTTGAAACGTTGGTTGTCCCTCCAATAGGTGTCTCTCGTTTTTGAGAATGTCAGCCACATAGCAGCAGCAGGCGCCGGCCAAGGCCAATATCTGCCTTGCTAACAAGGCGTACTCATTCTTCTCAAAGCACTGTTGATTTCGGGGCATGCATATCAGCTCATTTAGCCGCTTGATGGAACATTGAGCATCCTAGCCAGGCAGCAGTCTGCAACCAACAACCTACAGCAGAAACGCTGTAGCCAATGACAAGCAACCAACAGTTAACCACCAACACTTCACAACCAACCATCACAATCACATGCAGGGCGACTATGTTAACGACTAAACTCTGTGCTTTGGTGGTTCTTGAATTAGGCTAACCGTAAATATCGTATGCATTTGATAACTAAAGAGAGTAGGAGAGAAGAAAAAAGGTTAATCGCGAATATGTTGAAGATAATGTTCTGAACCCTTCCACTTCTGTGCATCAAGGAACACCCCAATTGCTTTATCTAGACACTGGTAAGCCCATTAGTCTTTCAAAGCACTCATTCTGACTTACTTATTTCGCGTAGATGTTCAACCTCTCTAGGCGAGCGGTAAACATGCGTAACAAAATCTTCAAGCCCCTCAAAAGACTCGGCCTCGAAACTGAGGAGCCCCTCGAAGTAGACCGTCACGAGATACTCCTCAAATGAAAGGCCGGCAAGGGAGAAATCTTCCTTTGAAAGCTCGCTCGTGTCCATGGTTTCTTCATCCGTCTGTTCTTCCTCACCCGCTGATTGCTCTCCGTTGATGTCATCATCCTCATTGAAGCATGCGTACACGTCAACTTGGGACACCAAGACACAATGGCCTCCCGACAAGCTGAGATACAAATATGCAAAGGCGCAAGATTGCTGGTCAAAATGAAATCGGCACAAGTAGCCTCCTTGGCCGTCATCGATGGAAGCAGGGCATTTGATCAGCTTCGATAGTTTGAAGTACCAGGCCGAAAAGCTCGGGAATCGGTGGTGCAGCGTGTCGCTTCGGATAAATGCCTCAAAGCCGGGGGGAAGTACAAGGCCCAACTCGCTGACTTTCTTGACTAGAGCATCGGCTTCTGCCTTTGAAGCTACAGGACGATCACCTTCATTTCCGTTGTATTCGGCCATCTTTTCAGCCATGTCCTCGTCCAAGGGCTCAAGCCACCCAAATGAACCATCCAGCTTCATCCAGGTTACTAGATGGGGCGGTGAACAACGAATATAGGGTCCATATTTAAGCTTCAGCGATAGATCGGCGTAATCCTTCCTGGGAATTTCCTCACGCAATGAAACACAATCATCATCCAAGGGCGGGATGTAAGATGGATATGAAGGGCAAAGGCGACGGCTACTATGGGTGCTTTGCGGGTGAAACAAGGCCGTCATTCGTTGGGCGTTGCGAGTCCATTCTTTGTAGGGCCTGAATGATATATCAGCTGCGGCATATAGAGCTTTGTTGAAAGTGTGGAGGACAGATAATAGGTCGAATGGATTGAGATGTTTCAGAATTGCAATAGTGACTTCTGGTGGGAGGTTGTGAAATGACGGCATGGTAGCAAATAAGTTAACAGAGCTTGGAAAAGTGGTAAAGAAACTAACTGCCTTTATAAAGGGCGGCTTTTACCATTGAGGTTTAGTATTATGTGGCGTCGTGAACGCGGAATCAAGAGTACACAAGGTGCACCCCACTATTCCGCAGGGTTACCTTTATCAGCCAATGCTTTAACAGCTCGCCACGCAATTCTGGCGGGTGAGTGTTAGTGTCACTGCCGGTTTTGTGTATCCCTGTCGTTTCCAAGTCCCGGCCTGTTCCAACGTTCTCTTCTTCACCACCAGTATCTCCTTATCCCACACGTGAAGAAGATCCTACATTGACTATTGGGGCCAGGCGGGTTCATCGTTCATGGATATACGTGTCGAGGCAATTTGGGCGTGACGCGTGAGGGGATTGGCTGTCCTGTCCGTGTACAGAACCCGATAATAAAACAAGAATGGGGACAAGTGTCAGCAGATTAGCTGAGACACAGGACAAAACTAAAAACGCTAAAAGCCTGAAACAAAGAGTATTTGTTTATGTATTATGATAAAAAGAGAGACAGTTCTGGAAGGGGCAAAAGGAAAGTTTGTCGGTGGAGAGGCTCGAACTCTCGACCTTTGGATTACTCTGATCTGGGACCAAATCAAGCTTCGTGCTATGAGACCAACGCTCTAACCAACTGAGCCACACCGACAAGGTTTTCAATGTCTCAGTTGGTCAAGATTGAGATTATGGTCATTGTCATCGACATAATATGAATTGAATGGAAACAATGCGACATGAATGTGGCTTCAGCAAATGCCACAATCCTATCATTTCCTGTCCAACGAGGTGCGACACGAGGCGAAGTCTTATTATCGCGCCTGTTTGTCTCCCTTGTCGAGCCTGCTGACCCAGCACAACGCGTTTTTCAACAGCCAATCCACGATCACGGTGCATCAACTTGTAGAGGCGCGGTGGCAGGGTGGTCTAATAAGATAGACTAGAAATCTATTGTCTTCAGAGGCGCCTATTAGAATCAGTCCCGCGCCGAATAGACATGATATAGACTTAAGAGAGTCCGACCAGCTTTCGGTGTGCGATGGTGGGAACTCTCTGGGAATTTACTCAATTGAGTATGGCATCTGCTGTCTTATCGTATGATTGATCATAACTCTAGTCTCTTTTTGAATGCGGCAAGATGAGATGAGTATAAGAGTATTAAATCAGGCTCCACATGAAGTTATAAGTCAATTCAGTCTTTATATACTCTGCATCTGCATCACCCAGGACTACAGATGGAAACTGAGTGCTGGGTCCCGAGCTTGAAATCTGGTGCATATGATATAGGGTATGAAGCTTAAGATTCTCTTTCACCAACGAACCTCCACAATCGTCTCCGTACTATTTATCGTAGCTTTTTTATGACAAGATTGGCAAAAATTCGAGTTCTAAGAGCCGATATTACAAGCAAATGTCCCAACTCCCAGCAGTCAAGACGAGATATTGCAAGACCAATGAGGTCTCATTGATTGCACTACAGAGGTCATTGTGGATGACGCGGTCAGGATCGGAACAAACAAAGCCGGAGACACGAATGACGGCGGATAAAGGATAAAAAGATTGCCGAGCTCTAAGCCACCCTACTCGTATCTAACAAGGTTTTGATCCTCCATAATCTCTTGGGCATTGCGTTCCTGACGATCTGAAGATCTTGCGCGTGACAGAAAGTCACCCATCCGACAGGCTGTTGATAGCCATGACACACTCAATTGAGTATCTTCACCACCTTCGGACGATAAGACAAAACAGATTTGCAAACCCGTACAGTGATCGTGCGCTAAAAAGTCCAGACCTCAGAACAGAAACCCCCAACTTCCGTGTTAAACACTGTTTTGGCAATCAAAACAGCACAGCGTTTATATCGGAGCATCACTTCCGTTTCGACAGTATCTATTATTACTCATACAACAAACAGCGTTGACACCTAACTGAAATCGTACCGATTGCCGTGGTTCTTATCTTTAACTATAACCCTAATGTTTCCCCTGGGCCCCTGGTTTAGTGTGTCATCATCCCCCGGATGGTAAGCTGCATGGCACTAAAAGTTCGGTAAGCGAGGCCGTTTGAGGTTTTGCCCCTTGCAACGGGACCTGCTACTGTTATGGTTGGAGGGAAGAGTCTAGACGCGAGTCTTTTTTTTTTTTTTGTTTTTGTAAACGCTGGGAATTTGTTCTTATCGCGATGATAAGAGAAGGGATGTTTCATCTCGTTGCATTCATCTTGACTTGGGGCCAAGACATGGGATAACTGGAGTTAATTGATGAGAAGACAATTAGACGTCTTGATCTTTCTACTGGCCTTCAATGATGTTTATTGGCACCAGACTATCGATGAATCTTGTCAGCAATGTGTATAGATGCCTCACTCTCTTATCATGTTTCCCAAGCCTTCAGGTCTTCCTTGGCATCCGAGACCGGGAGAGTCTCAAACTCCTTGTCGCGACAAGACCTGCGGCGTGAATCACGCTATTCCCCACCTCCACACGTCAAGGTTTAAGGTTACCTTAAGCATACCTCACGAAACAACACTAACACTCCAATTCTATTTTCGACCTCGACTCAATTAAAACCTGTTTACTATAGCCAGCCCCCAAATCATCTATTAAAACAATGCCTTCGTCCAACCTGCTGATTTTTACTCATCATCGTTCGATTATTCTGTTCTTTGTTTCCTAACTGTTTATTTTTCTATTCTTTGAGGCTGGCCTCTTTTGTTTAGTGGATAATATTATTTGTTTCAGTCTCTTTAGTACTTACAGCCAAGCTTTACTTGTTTTTGTCAAAGGATAATCATCATGGCTGGTTCCATTTCTCTGAGGGCTCTTCTCTTGAGTGCTTTTGCCTCAAAGGCCATTGCAAGTTGTGCTTATGGTACTCTATTGCAGCCACGAGCTGAGGGCGGCAAGGTTGAGGTCAACACCTTCGGTTACACTGGCAAGATCGTATGTACCCAGATTCCTACATTCATTGGAGATGCTGACAATCACAGGGCCCTACCAACTGGGTAGCTCTCGATCCCCAGGCCAACGCCCTCTGCTCAACTGGCGTGAACCAATCTCCCATCGACATGGTTGCAGGCGCCAACGCCATGGTCCCCGCCAGCCAGCTCAACCTTGCGATTCCCGATATGCTCGAAGGCGCCGAATTCGAGAACCTCGGCACAACCGTCGAAGTCGTCGCCGGAAAGGGTACCATGTCTTTCCAAAACACCAGCTTTACTCTCCAGCAGTTCCATTTCCACTTGCCAAGTGAACATTTGGATGCTGGAAAGAGTATGGCTATGGAGATGCACATGGTCTGGGAGAGCGCCGATGCCAAGATCGCAGTTGTTGGTGTCTTTATTGATGTTGAGGATGGTGCTGGTGGAAGCCCTGCTGGTAACGCCACAGCTCCTCCTCCTCCCGTTGCGACTCCCGCTGCTCGCAAGCGAGATGGGTTCACTAAGGTCGTTCGCAAGAGTGAGCCTGAGACCAAGGATAAGCGACAGCTTCCCGGTGTTGGTGGCTCTTTCTTCCACGTCAACGCTCCAACTACAGCTGCGACTACCTCCTCGAACCTTTTGGAGACGGTCTTTGGTTCCGTTGGTGAGATCTCTGAGCCTGGAACTCTTACCAAGACCAAGGGTCTCAGCATGGCTGAGTTGGTCAGCACTCTTGCTGCAGGATCTTTCCAAACGTAAGTCTCATCGATAACTGCTCTCATCATAACAAAACTAACATTCGATTCAGATACGAGGGTTCTCTCACAACTCCTCCCTGCAGCGAGGGTGTCCGATGGCTCGTTTCCGACCAGAAGCTTTCCATCAAGACATCCACCTTCCACAGCGTCCAGTCTGTCATTGGCTTCAACTCTCGATTCCCCCAGGGTGCTCTTGGCGAGCCCAACGCCCTTGCAGGAGTGGCGGCTTAGATCTGGCAATGATGATTAAGAGGATGGAGCTTGGTTGTGTAATAATATTTTCCTAGTATACGAGTCTGAGTCGCGCAGGTATACTAGCAGGTTAACAGTTAGAATCAAAGAATAGAATCGGTGATCATAACCTAGCTGTCGCTTTGTGAATGTGTGTTACCGGTGAGATATTGCCTAGCTGCATAATTATTAGATCTAGGCCTTGGCTCCAGCATTGGAAAAAGCAGTTTGAAACTTGAGTTATTACTGGCTATAAAGCGCAAGACGAGGCTCTTACCAACTCCCCAAGCAGACTTGGGATCCGAAAGCTCTGCACATGTCAACGAAGGCCAGGTAATGATCGTTCTAATTGATTGTTGAATTGACAAAAAACCAAAAATGGAAACCTGCGTATCGCAGGTGGCTGGATCTCTCCCGCCGGGAATTGAACCCGGGTCTCAAGCGTGACAAGCTTGCATACTGACCACTATACTACGGAAGACGAACAGGCTCAAGCCTGCTGTAGTGAGGGGATTGTGATTGGACCTCAGCAGTTAGAGCTTATAGAGGCAATTGGCAAATAACTCTATAATAATAATTATAATTACACAAAAGGAGGGCTAAGATGTAATTATAAATAATTTAGATAACATACTTTAACTTTTAATAGTATGTAATATTTATTATTAAAAAAAAATAACTAGCTACTATCTGTGCAACATTGGGCCTTAATGACAGAGAATTGACAAAGCCCGATTACATACACAATGGAACAAAAAGCTGCAAGAGAGCCTCAATCGCAAGATTAGCCTCTAGGAATTGCGCTTATGTACACGCCTCGGTCGCCTTGTCAGGCGCAGCCGCAACAGCTGACGCCATTTGAAACCCGCGCCACCGGCAAGCATCAGACGAATTTGCCTTGAATTACATGCAAGACTGACTCTTGGTTTTAATATGCGCTTGTGACGGATGAAGAGAAAACTCGCGGGGAGCCTGCCTGACGTCCCAGGTGTGAAGGGGGGTATATAATGGTGTGACCCCTCAGGCACAAACAGTGGAGGGGCTGACATGTTTCTAATTCTGACCAAATTAATTAACTGTCACAAATCCAGTCGAATTGGTCATTATCAAGAGTATAGTAATGCTAGCTGATATTGCCTGTATCGCCAAACAAGTTTTTCAATTCGGACGGCGTCCCTGAACCATAAACTACAGATTGCTTGATGCATCAAAGATAACCACACTATTAAACAATCGCTATAAGTAAGTATAGAATCAGGACAAACTCACACTCGCTCAGCAAATACCCTACCGGAAACTGACTTTGTATAATAGTGTGCGGTGCGACAGGATGTCGTGCCATCAGCACAGCCAATGCCTGCGACACGTTTCCTCATCTGAACGTGACCCCAAGGCCTGAGCCAGATTCCGAGGACGAAGAGGAATATGAACTCTGGTGGCAGGAATACCAGCAATGGGGGCGGGTTCAGTGCGCTTGCGGTAATGGCTATTTCTGCAGACGACACGCAATTTGGATTCCTGGCGGGGATGTTACCGAGGGACTTGCATTCCCCCGTGAGCGACAACATGAGGGTTGCCCGAGCAGTCACTACCAACCTACGTACCGTCAAGCAGCAGCAACAGCAGCCGAGTCACAGACCAACAACCCCGAAGAACGCCAGCGACAAGATGAAACCAACAGGCGCAGAGTCTCTGGTCGTCATCCATCCTCTCGAAGTCAGAATAGTCCCAGAGGTGAAGTTGAAAGACCATCAGCCAGTTCATCCTCTAGGCATGGAAGGCCCAGAAGTGATAGGCCTCCTACAAGTGATGGCAGCAGGCGTAGAGAACGAGAGGAAGATGGTCCTGCAGTTCGAACATCTGGAAGATCAACTCGGTCATCAAGGACCACTACAAGCGGCGACCAAGCTGATGGTTCTTATCCTCAGAGGGACACTTCTTCCCACCAGCTTACTGCTCGTCGTGAAGAAGACTACAGATCATATCAACAAAGAGACAGTTCATCTAGTCTGCCAGCTGGAGCGGGTGACCAAAGTTACACTTCCAGTCAAGCAAGGCAAAGCACAAGCACAACTTATCAGCCGAGCCTGAACACTTACGTCGCCGCTCCTGCTTCCGACCGCTACCCACCCATGACAAGCAATACTTCACGGACTCTTCAATCGTCATACCAACAACCAGATCCATATAGGCAGCCTTCTTCATCGGCACAGCAATCTTCGTATCCGCAGCCGTTTGGACAGCAACCTGTCACCCAACCGCGCTCTTATTGGCAGCAAACTACGACGCAGCCACTCTCATATCAGCAGCAGCCAACAGACAATCAGATGCCATATGGACAGCCAACCCTGCGGCAAGACCCATATAGGACGTCGAGAAACCCAGTGTCATCCCAACAGCAGCTGGCAGGACAGCAAGGACCATATGACCAGCAACCAGCGGACCAAGGCCCATACAGGACATTAAGGAACCAAGTTCCATACCATCAACAGCCTCCTGGACAACAGAGGCTCTATGGACAACGAAGTGTAGGGGAGCAAATGCCATACAGCGAGGAACCGGAAGAGCAACAAGACAACTCCTCACAGCAACAACACTATAGTCAGCAACCTTCGTACGGACAGCAACCTTCATATGGACATAAATCCTATTACCCCCCCAGCTGGAGCGCACAACAAGCACCGAGCTATTCATCTTACGGTGCTCAGGCTAGCCCACAGGATCTTGCAACAAGGATGAGCAATGTGAGGCTTGATGAAGAATCATACAGGCCGACTAATTATGACGAGTATCCGTCGTCCGGGGAGGAGGAGCCTACTGAGTCCGAAGCTCAGTCTGCAAGTAACAGAAGTAGGAGACACAGAAGACATAGCAGACGTTGAGGCGCCTGAAGGATATTTAGCGGGAGAGCGTGTTTAGATTTTATTAGTTCCATTGCGTTAGTGCTTGGTATTTTGGTATTTATTTCCTTAAACCCTAGATTAACTATTTATATTGTTTGTTGAAGAAACAGATGTGTTATTTGCAGTTGAGACCTGTGGCTGAGAGCTTATAATCATCACACAGAACTTAGTCGATCTTAATGAGGCCCTTCCACTGCCTCGGCGTTTGGATCGCCATACCAGTGGCCCAAAAACAAGGGTCTGTGTTACCAGGGACAATGGCCTATATCGCTTCTCAACGCCCTATTTTACAGGGTTATTACGGAATTCGCATTGCTGAATCTGAGACTTCAATGGCTCAACGGACAACCCCGCCCGTCAGCCTCTGGAGCATGAATTGAGGCTCTGGGATGCTTAGTCTGACTCAGACGAAAGTGCAATTGGGCCATTTCGAGGCCAGCAATACCTCCTTTACGAAAACAAGAGGTGTCGTAGAGGCGCTATGTAACACGTCCTGATTGGGCTCGAGAAGCCGGTGAGTAGCATTGGCGTTACACCTGCATTACGTGTGGTCAGCTGCAATTGGACTTGTGACACCCCTTACGACCGCCCAATTCACAGCCTGATTTCGGGGCAACCATCTGGAACACAGAGATTAGCACGGAGCCTGAAGTGGCCGCCTATACCTCAGTACAAGCACTAATGTCAGCATGGGCAGTAAATTGGCGATGATTGCTTGTTTCCAGTGAAAAACGTCTTTTGATATTCACGACAGATTTACATTAGATAGCAATGCATCATGTCCAACAAAGCTCCACCTTCTGAGGCTGACCTCGAGAAATTCTTCGAAAAAGATGTTATTTGCTGGAAAAAAGCTGTTCAGGTTAGTTGTTAGGCGCTGCTGTCTACCGGCGACGTTTCAGAACAAAATCGGTTGGCTTCTTATCCTGGTAATGGTGTGACTGATCTTGCGCCCCTTTAGATGGTCGAGGAGAAGCGTGCGAAGAAGCAGAAGAGGAAGCCAAATAAATTGAAGAAAAAACCAAATCCCTCGGGCAGTAGTGAACCAGACAGCAGTAAATCAATAACAGATCCGGACAACGCTCAACAATCTACGGCCGTCACAGCCCAAGAACTTATCCAGATTGCACAAACAGCACATGCTAATTCATCAAAGCAAAGAGGGACGGCCAAAGATATTTTTTACAAGATAGTGTTTTATTTCGAAAGGCATTCTCAAGTCATCGACGTTTTCATCCAGCAAGAGCCGAAGTTTACGGCAATCGTTTGGGGGTCGATACGATATCTCTTATGGGTATATATCCTCACTGTGTGCACATGTGCTACCGCGCTAATACTAACAGGTCATCGTGGACTACGAGCAAGCGTCCGAAGTAACAGCGGAAGGCATATTGTTAGTGGTACAGCAGGCGGAGAGATGGTCAAGAATGGCGCGGTGCTACGGACACCAACAGAGTGTAGAAAATGCCACAGTCTACTTATATGTCCAGGTTCTTGAGTTCTTGCAGTCTGCCACCGAGCGCTTCGGACAAGGCAAATGGGGTAAGTTTTGTTCTATTCTTTCTTCAGCATGTGAAACACTTTGACAAATGACCCATTATCTTACACTGGTGATAAATGCAGCTAGGCTAGAGGCATCATTAATCAATAGTGTGCGAGACGAATTCGCTGCAAAGATTGTGAAGCTACAGGACGCAGCAGACAGGCTGGACAGGGCAGCGAATTGGGAGAGTATGTTTCCTACCCTTTCCTTGAATACCATCAAGGGAGATACGTACAGTCTAGAGAAAGGCCAATGAAACTAACAATCTGGGTTCATATAGGCAACGAAGACAGTGAGGCTATACAAAGATGAGGCTGGCCGTTTAGCTGACTGGGTACACGCAGACAAACAAGCAAACAAAGAGATTCTGAAAATTCTACGGACACCGGAAACCCCTCAAGGTAGGTAAAAAACAAAAAGCCTCCCAGTTAATCATCATTCCATGTTTATATGAGAATCACATATTTTGTCTCCAGCATTCTTGGCTATGGGAAAGCTCTTGTGTGATTGGCTCTGCCCAGTCACGGGATTGTTGCAGCCTCGTCAAAGCTCACTGGGATGATCCCAAACTCTCCCTTGTGATCTTCTCCAAATCATCATTTTGCAGGGCTGAGATTGCGCGGCATTACACATTCGCCACCGACGGGTCTCGATACTTCAGTACCGTGTTAGAGCAGTGGGAGTTATCGAGATCACCTGTTTTTCTCAACATCACGCTATCATCACGCGAGAGAACTCACGCACGAATCACGAGGCTGATTGATATTTCATCTAGCGAGAGCAGCAATCATGACCGAGGCACTATCCGCGTTTGAAGCGAAGAAAGGTAAGGCCACAGAGTCGTATATTTATTTTATCATGCTTCTTTGGTACGATTCAAAGTATTTTGCTCTGGGTTGCGAACCAAACAGCGACAAATGAGCGGGCTGAGCTCCAGCTCGGCTTATCTACGTCATTCAAATTTCACACATGAGCTGCTGCTTACGGTTCGATAGGAGAACTTCAGATGGACCTCGACATTACGAAGATTCACCACTGTATCAATGAGCTGGCGAGTCCCATTGCCTGTCGTCCTAGTGGCCTTGGTGCTACAGCTACAGACTCTCAGCCTGAGTGGCTGACGATGAAATCCGCGTATCAGAGATGGCTAGCAGATGCCTCCCCGGACCCCTTATGGATAGTGGGTAAACCTGGTATGTTCATGTCGGTAATCATCAAGGGATAATGACCAATAGAATTTCATATAGGAGTCGGCAAGTCAACACTTGCCCATCAAATTCGGAGTACCTTGTCTAAGACACAGCATACCATCGTAACCCATGCTTTTCAGAGCAACGTGTCAACCCAGAAGCGAGACAGAGCCAGTCTTGCGATATCAATCCTCAGTCAGCTTCTTCCTCCATGTTATCCTGTGAGCAGCTTCCAAAAGGAAATTTTTGCTCAACTGCTTCCCTCGTATAATCAGTATAAATCGAGATTTGAAGATTGTCCCTTCGAACAGCTCTGGCCTCATTGCGTCACCCTCCTCCAGAGCCAAGAAGATTTTATCCTGATCATCGATGCACTCGATGAATGCAGATTTGACCACCGTGGGCAAGCAAAGGAGATTCTAGAGAGCTTAACACAGGTCCTTGACTGCACAGGCGGAAAAGTTGTTATCTTCTCTCGCCCCAACGACATGTTTGGTGTTGGAACCTCATCAAAGATCCACATAAATGAGATCAGGATCACTGAGCAAGACACGCTGCCCGAAATTACCGCTTTTTGTAACTCAGCTTCTGCTAAGCTAGATTTACCGGAGGAGATGAAGCTTCGAGTGGCCTCTCGAGCCAAGCGCCATGCGGACTCCTTTCTATGGCCAGCGCAGTTCCTGCAGGAATTTACCAAGACTCGTAAGATGAGCACCCTTCAGAAGATCCTTGAAGAATACCCTAGCGATATCTGGAGCGTCTACACCAGAATCTGGAAGGATAGATTGAGCAAACTAGACGAGGTGGACAAGTCAATTTGTCGTGATATCTTCCTGATGCTACTTGGAGCTCGGAGAGAATTCGACGTCACGGAGTTAGAGGATGCTCTACATTTGATTCCAGACTCGGGAACTGCTCAGTTCATTATCTCGCAGCACTGTCAACCATTAGTCGAGGTCCTAGATGGTGGTGTGCGCCTGAGCCATGCTTCCGTCCGAGATTTCCTACTAAACGAAGGAATCTCGGGTGGAGGATTATCAATGTCGGAGCCAGATGCGACTCTCGCTCGCAAGTGTCTTGAGTTTCTTCTCAAGGACATTTACGCAAGTAAAGACCGCATTGGCCAACGGCTCAGGAAGAACATTGAAGTTGGTGGCTCCGCAAATAACCAGGAGAAGAGCTTCTACGAATACGCCGCTCGCTACTGGTACATCCACCTCACTGCTCTTCTTCCTCCCACTCAGAGTCTGCTGGAGCTTGCCGGGAGGTTTCTGCGTTCCTTGCAGTTTGCATATTGGGCTGAGTACTCGATAACGGATATGGGTGACTTCGAAGCGATTCGATCCACAGAAATAACTCTGACGGTTTGGCTGCAGAGGCTACCCCACAATGATAGACCGTTACTGCATTTGGATGACTACTTTGAGACTCCGTATAAGAATCTCAGCAGAGAGTTTGAGGAGAACCAGGGAGACAAGGTCCTGCAGTGGATGGCCCTAATACAACTAGGATTCTACTATTTTGATAAGGGGAGGATGACGGAGATGGCGGACGTGCGCAAAAACGTTGCTACTGGACTTACTCAGCTCCTAGGACGACGCAATCCTCTAACCCTCCGAGCGCTCTCAGATGCAGCGTATACGTTCCTCTTCAACAATGAACTTCACAAGGCTCGGAGGCTTTATGCAGGTGTTGCCGCCGACCAGCGCGAGGTTGTCGGAGAGAGTGACCCAAGCCCCTATTTCACGCTCGTCTACCAGTCACAAGCGGAGCATCTTATGCTCGACTCCTCCGCAGCTCTGAGTACCCTGACGGATTCTTTGGCGGGCTTCATTAGAACAACAGGCCCACAGAGCAACGGGTCTCTTATCGCACAGTTGTGGTATGCTGTTGCGAATGCATCCGCAGGTCAGATTGAACAGGCCATCAAAATGATGGAGTTTGTACGTGACAAGCGAAGAGAACAGTATGGACCAGAAGATTCTTTTGGCATTGCTACCCAGATCTTCATGGGGGATCTATACCGCAAACTTGGGGATGAGGAGAAAGCACTCGAAAATATCGAACCGGCGCTTAGGTTTCGCCGTGGATTTTGGCCCATCTCTCACTTCATGACGCTCGACACGGCTCTCATCTTGGCCATAACATACCGAGACTTTGGGAATGATGACGAGGCGGCCGAGATCATTCAAGAGCTCGAAGAGCACGCAAGACTAGATTGTGACCAGAACTTTGTGCGGGCCTGTCAGGTGAAGCATCTGAGAGCGTTGCTGCTATTCGAAGATGGGAATCTGAACCAACCTATCCGTCTCCTAGAGACACTACTCATTGAGACAAACGAGGCGCACAATAACAGGGCTCTTCAGTGGGTTCGACTTGACCTCGCATACATGCTCAGATATAGAGGAGGAGAAGGAGATGAGGGTCTGGCAAGTTCGCTCTTTCACGGCATTGTCACTGATCAGACCCATGATCCAGATGACGAGCCTGATCCACCGAGATGGCTTGAGGCTGCAGAAGGTGCGCTGAAGCTATTGCGATTAGGGAATACTCAAGGCGCGAAGGACCTTCTTGAGAAGGAAAAGTTGCATTGGGCTCGTGAAGAAACGTTGTGGATGTGGTTGGGGGTGCCGGCTGCTGATACGGGGTGGATGAGATTGCCAAAGGGGTTGGGTGATGACAATATGTGACGATACCACTCAACTCTAACATGAGGACTTCTACGGTTGCTAGATTAATAATGAATTTGGAATATGTGTGCTATGCTTTCAATAAGAGTCTCGAGTTTCATAAAGTAGATATTATATTTCTTCTACTTTTTGTTCAATGGTTGTTCGGTTCCTGAGATTGGAACATCATCGGTTATTTGAACTTGACTGTGAACAACTCAAGATATTCTCAGGTAGTACAGCGCGTAACGACATCCTGTTACGGAATCTGCCTCTTACGAATCAGCGCTCCAAAGATGGCTCTTAAGGACTTTAGACTTGGCCAATCTCTTCAGTGATGGCCGGATCTAGAGCCGGAACCGGAATGCTCCGTCTGTCTAATCCCAACGTGCATTGTGCGCGAGCTCTTGGGTGATTAATAGTAATTGTAGTAGCCTAAATCCCCTTTAAAAATACGAATCCACCAGTTCGGTGACCTCGGTGCGGCGCAATCATGACAGTGCAAGTGTTACGTAAGAACCCGTCTAGTACTATAACTGATAAATAATGCTTTTGGACTTGTAAGGATATGGGAAAATGGAAGAAATATGCCATTTGACTATAAATTGACAAGAACCGAACATGATACGTTGAATGTCGACGAAGCCTGTTCTCAAATTGCCCTTGTCCTAAGCTTTCGCCTCGACCCTCTTCATCTCAACATCAAACGCCCTGGACTTGATACTAACAGCCTTCCCATCCTTTCCGTATTTGAACTCGAAGTGGTCCATAGAGAGCCCGTTGTAAATGAAGCGGTCGAGCATATGCCAAGTAATGCACGTCACATCCTTGACCTTAGTCAGACCTTCAATCATCTCAGCTTCAGTGTCGCTGAGCATCGGGAATACGGCTCTCCATGCAGCTCGAGATTTGTTCTCCATACCGGTGGGATACAGCCGAACACTCTTTATGCCTGAGTCGGTTGTGTCGTTGTATCGTCCTGGCTGAAAGCGGTTCAAATTGGGCAGAATGTCAAAGTCTCGGGCAGTCCAGTTAGTCAAGACCAGACCTGGTCCTTTATCCAAAGAGAGGGTAAGCGCAGATCCCGTCTTCTTATCAACGTAACTTCCAGCTAACCGAACTCGGGCTTCGTCTCGAACTGCCATGTCCATCGCTGGAATAAGAGCCTCGACGATATTGAGAGTTGCGAGCTGTGCCCAAACACTTGAGACTTCTGGTCCCGCACCAAGGACAGACACAACAAGGCCAGTGTCGGGTATCATAGCCATGCCGGATTGATAGCCACTCAAGGCACCGCCCTTGGTGTACAGATCGATAATGCGACCGTCGGAAGTTAGATTATCGACGCGATAGATCTCCCAGGGCGATCCAACTGAAGCGCTCCAGGTTGATGTGAAAGTGTTCGGCTTAAGCCATCGACGTGTGCCGGATGGCGACAGAGCCTTATTCTTAAGTATGTTGGTCATGAACGAAAGCACGTCAGCGGTGCTAGAGCCCATCGCGCCCGCACTAGGTATTGTTAGCGGTGATGTGAATTTTGAGAGGTCGTACTCACGGAGCAAAGATTCCGATATCAGCGTTCCAATCAGTGCTTCCAGCCGGAATGAACATACTTTCTGAGTTCTCCGGAACGATACCAGTGTATGTATGCTCCAGACCCAGAGGCTTCAAGACTAAATCCTTGATAGCGGCATCGAATGTTTTGTTCGATGCTGTTTCCACGACAAGGCCGACGAGACTGATTCCAGCGTTGGAGTAGACAGGTGATTGGCTTGGTTGATATACAGGAGGGCGATAATCCTTGAAGATGTTGAGGAAGTCTGTATTCGTTAGCCCTGAAGGGGTAAAGATATGACGGTTGACATGCCTTTTCGCGTGCAGACCGGAGCTCCAGGAGGACCTTTGCAAGATGGAATCCTGTTTCCCTTAGAAAGTTTGGGAAGGCCAAGAGCCTCCCAGTCAAAAGGGAAAGCCGAGATATCAGTGGTCACTGGCCTCGTCAGAAACAACACAACACTTAGTCATACCTTGGAGGTGTACTCACTATCGCCACCAAGACCCGAGAGATGCGCCGCAGCATCACCAACGGTGATACCAGCCCAGTGAGTAACGTCGAGCTCATCACGGAAATGAGAGCCATCGCGATGAGCAAGCTCAGGAATCCAGCGAGTCACAGGATCATTCATGCTCAGTACACCATCCTCTGCCAGACGCAACGCCGCCAATACGGTAAAGACCTTGGAAATACTTCCAAGGCGATATACAGTACTGGAGTTAATCTTCTTCACACCCTCCTTCAGGTTCATGATAGAAGGCGTGTGATGAAAGTCAAGCAATGGCTCATCCTCATAAATAGACTTGACTCCAATAGAAACAGCGGAGACGTTGAACCCTCCCGTCTGTCCCTTCAGAACGGTGGTGATAGCTTCAACGGCATATTGAACAGCAGGATGTTGACTGCCTTGTTTCGGCGCAGGTAGAACAGGACCATAAGGTGGACAATATCGAGGAGTAGCGTCAACGACTTGCTGAAGCCCAGCGAAAAGAGTGAAAAGAGTAGGTAACGACTGAGAGAACAACATTGTGAAGTATTGTTCTACGAGAAGAAGCAACTGCCACAGTGATTCTAACATCATTTTGAGAGATATTCCAGGCTCTATTTATTTATCTCCATCGTTTTGCGCAGATGCAGTTGTCTCTGCTGGAATTCCGTTCAGTTTGTTTTAGTGAGGCACTACAGCCTAGCCCCTGAAAAGACCGAGCTGGCCCACTTCCGTAGGATCTAGCGTGTTTTCACAGCAGGGATGTAATTCAGATTGATGATTGGTGGCACAGCCCCCAAAGACCGATATTGGCTTACCGTTTTATGCTGACGGCCCTTGGCTCGGAATGAATCATGATTCTCGAAGCAAGAAGTCTATTCTGGTAACAGAACATTCTTGTGCCATGTATCCCAATATCTCTCATCCGCCCAAAAGTCCTTCCTCGGACTACGAGTCTCGTCGCTTAGCATGCTTTCCATGTCGCGACATTTGCATAATTGTACCCTTGCGAAGCGAGCTGGACTTCCTGCACCTTTATCTAGAGTGATGCTCTCGTATCGTCGGTCTAGATAATCTTGGACAAGACATAGATGAACCCTCTGATGCTCAGGAACATCTGTAGAGGGCATACTTGGTTGCGACTCGTCGACGTTTGAGGAAAGCTTGTTCAGCGTGTTTTCCTCAGCTGCGATGACAACATCCAAGATCTGAGCCTCAATGGCTCCGCACCATGGCCCTTCCCTTCCACCCTTTCGGAGAAGGCTGAGAGCTCGTTTGCGCCAGAAGGAGTTTCTGTATTTGAGTGTCGCGAAGAAGAGAGGCTGAATAATGCCCATTTCTGGTGTAAATAAGGGTAATGAGTTTGTATCTTTGCCTTGATCTCTTATGTCCAGAACTGCTTTGGCCGAGGCGATGATCTCTTGAAACTCGAGGGCGTAGTCATCATATGCTGATTCAAATGGCTGAAGAGCATTGGAAACGTATATCAAGGCAGTGTAGCACTGCATACGAAGGACGATAAGTTGTTCATTTTTAGGATCAGAGATCGTTTGCTGAGGGTCTAGTTGATTGGATGACAACCACTGTTGCAAGTTTCCGCGAAGTCGTCCTTGCTCAATCAACAGATCAGAGGGAATTTGAGTAGGATGTGCGTATTTGTAAGGTAAGGCTGTAGAGATGAACCGATAGCAGACATGTAATATCCGATATAATGCTCGATCCGGTGACATTGACACCAAGGTTGAGTCGTTGGACCCAGCAGCATATGGGACGTCAAGACTCGTAGCGTATGTTGCTGAATGAAGATTGAGCTTCTCAAATAAAGTCGACAGCCCATCGTCATCAATCGGAAACATAGAACTGCTATTGCCCCGTGTCGCCATCACTGCAAGAGCTCCTTGAAGGTGCATATATCCCCTGTCGCTACGCTGCTGTAGAGTTTCAGTAAAGGCCATCAGTAGACAGGCCACCACGCAAGGCAATGCACCATTTCGAAGAACCGAAACTTCGTTTTGCACTAGTCTCAATGCCTGATAATAATGCCGTGTCGTTGCCAGCCCCGCCTGAGATCTAAGCATATGCTCGTCATAAGAAGCGCCGAATGCAGCAGCAGCAGCTTGCACGGCTGGTATCGAATGAATCATCTGAGGAACTGCATAACTCCAGAATGCAATCTCGGATTCACTCTTGGCGCGACGTGGTCCTTGACTGAGAACAGTGCAGGCTAGATAGACATAGCGATCCAAAGGAGAAGCCGGGCTACGGGAGGGACTGCGTGATGAGAGAAGCGCTACTTCCGCTGCTCTCAGAGAAGGACCCGGAGGCGCGCCAATGGGATAGCCAAGACATGAGACCTTGGAGAAGAGGCAGCGTCGACAGGATGGCTTTGTCTCATCACATTTGACTCTTCGTTTCCTTAATATGTCAGCATTACATCCTACCTCTCTCTTAGAAAAGGGTTCATACTTGCAGGTCAGACAGCCAAACTTGGACTGTCTTACATTAGTTCGCGTCCTCTTTGCACTCGCACTTATTATAGAAGTCTGCATGGTTGTTTAGACACGTATCATCGCTGACGGGAGAGGTATGAGGGGCTGAAGGCACGCAATTATATTTTTCCGGCTACTGGGTGTCAACCACCATACCCTGTTTACTACTATCCATAAACAGCTCCATGTAACTTCTCGATCTTCTATCCACTTTACCAACTCGTGCCTATCGGATTTATGTTGTAATAAATAGACTGGTGGAGATATGCCGATGCCCCTAGTTTCCAATATCTCAACGAGATATAGCAAGCCAACACTGAAAGTTGCTTTTTGAGACCCGACTGTAGATGTCTTGCAAACGGTAGATGTTTCTATTAGAATATCACGGGATTCGACCTCGATGTGCACCTGAGATGCGGAGTGAACCTCATGACTAGGTCCTAAGTATATACTTATGCCTCTGCGCCCAGAAGCAGGAAGAGAAACCACACGCGTGACAGATATGTCAATGGTGATTTGAATTGCGAGCAAATCCATCTGGTTTCTTACGAAGTGTTGACCACCTGAATGTAGGCCAGCCTGTAGGATGTCGTAGCGCGGGGACACCTGCTTGTGAAGTCGACTCCAGGGCTCACCAGCACCAAATGTCCTTCACAGGTCCAAAAGTCGGCATTTCCCTTATCACCATACTGACACTGAAGGCTCTGGAACCCATTCCCCTGGATTATCTCGCAGTCTATAGGCGAAACACCATTCTCCTCGCCAAGCGTAGCTTCCGTAGCAAGCACCAAACTGTAGTCGGATCCTGTTGAAAAGTACCCGGCAATTTTCCCAACATTAGCGCCATTGCCGATCTTGACTTTGCCGCTGCGTTCTCCGACGGTGAAGAATAGAGTCGAGCTGACGTCAGTAGTGAAGTCGATGAATTGTACATCGGGAATTTGTGTGTCGCTGAGTTCGGTGAAGCCTGAGCCGCTGAGGGGTGCGAGGGAGGGGTCACTGCTGCCGCGGGCGTAGATGAAAACGGATTGGACTGCTTCAGGCTCTTCGCTGGTGGTACTGGCTGCGGCAGTGGTGGTTGTAGCGTCGGTGGTGGTCTCGGCAGTGGTGATAGCTAGTGCGGTCGTGGTGGTGTCGACAAGGGCAGTGGTGGTGGTTTCAATGGAAGAGGCACCAGTAGTGGTTTCGATAGTTACAGTCGTACCAGTCTCGGTATGAGACTCAGACTCGGTTGAGATGGTAGAAGTCTGGGTCGCATCGATAGAAGCAGTGGAAGTCGCGGTCTCGCTTTCGAAAGAACTGGCTGTTGTCTGACTGACGGACGCAATGACAGTTGACGAGGAAACAATTGACAAAGGACGGCAGGGCCCAGCGTTCGCAAAATTAGCCGCCAATAAGACGATGGTCCCGGTGAGAAGATTGCGCGAAATCATGGTAACGAATGACTAGGTTAAACCTGAAAATGAGTGACAGAGTGTGAGTAAAGACAGAAGTGAAGATGAATGCCAAGAGGGTTTCTCTTTCCAGTTCTTTATACGAAAAATACCCCTTTTGTTTGTTGACTTGGTTTAGGGCCGATCTTCTTAGTGCAGATCTAGTTGAGGCTATTGATTGTGGCGGTCATCTAAGCCAGTAAATTACTGTGAGTGACTAATGGTGGTAATTTCCCCAAAAAGATTAATGGCGCCATTGAAGAACTTAAGTAGCTCCAGTAAAGTCCACTACCTCAATTATCAACCCTAAAATCCTCAAGTCAGACACCAACCGGCTTTAAGTATGTATATTGTCTTGCTCGCCATCTCAACCATCATAGATCTCTCAACGAAAGTGGCCAAGGAAACATGACTGACCGTGGAGAACAGCCATGGTAAAAACACAACCCATGAATCCAGCGCCTCGTATACAACCGAGGGATGCGTCGATCGCTCAGCCCAGAATCACAATCGACTTCGAGTGAGACATGCTTGTCGAGGTCATTGAGGTCGAAACCCTCACGATCGCATTGCGCACGCTGAAAGGACGTGAACACGTAGCAATCTTCATCATAATCGTCGTCATCAAGACTCATTTCAGAACCCATCCCACTACTTTCGGCGTCAGAATCTTCCAACTGAACGACAAAGACACCAACACCTAGAGGCCTAGCACCGAGCAAAGTTGCAGTGCAAAGTAGTTCCCCCTGCATGATAGCCTCTTCTACCTTTTCGACCATGCTGAACAGCCATTCTTCTGCAGCTGACGATGGCACTTTGAGGTCGAGGATCTCGAATAGCCTTTGGGATAGAACTGGATACTCAGAAGCCAGTTGCTCCGCTAGCCACTCAAGTGGCCGTTTTACCGGCTGGCGGTGCTTTTTCCTTCCGCGAGGTTGACTATAGTTGTGAAAGCCAGCCGTTGTGATCTCGTCGTCCAACCGCCATAGGTAACCCTTAGTCCGTACACCCTCATCAGTCAAAACAACGTTGGCAAAACGACAACCCTTATTAAAAGTAAGTTTTCCTTTTTCCCACGGAGACTCCAAGCCATAGAAGAAATGCCTATGTAAAAACTCCGTGATAGTAATTTTTCTCGCGTCAAGCTTGTCCCGAGGATGATTAAACAAGATCTCCCCATTCACCAGAACAAGTGTAAGCAAGGACAAACTAAGGCTGTGCTTGTCGCTCTGGAGCTTAGTGCTGTTCAAGCGCTTGGTATACTGGCAACAGTTGGCGATGATGGCTAGTCTATCCCACTCTCTTTCCAGTTGGCGACTCGCTATGTCTTCGATGATAGTCGGGGACATTGACACTGGGGCCGAGTCTTCGTCGCCAGCGAGTATAATTGTATATCGCTTGGCTCTCGAGAGGATGGTGTTCAAATACGGTGGCGGCGGTTGATGATTTGAATAGGCTAGGCAAAGTTTTGTTGCCTGTGCGTAAAGTCCCGCGGAACTGATCAAGAGTTCTCCGTCCAAGAGTTCTCCGTCAAAAGATCCAAAGTGACGAGATGACTTTTCATGATTGAGTGTTGCGCAATGGGTCATAAGAAGTGTCATACTCTTGTTCGCACGATAGTTCTCCTGGTAAGTCCATCCTCGGGAGAACCAAATATCTGAGGTGATATAATGTAGAAGCTGAAGTGCATCTAGAGCGCTTTTCCAATCCGCCGGCGATGATAGCAAGTTCTCGTTTCCACGCCTTGTCACAAAGCTTCCGGAGAGGATGCCGGTGAGTAGTTGGAGCTGTTCCGAGGTATTGATAGTTCGCGATAGCAACGCGGCTGGGTGGTGGCTAAGGCTATAGACTCGATCCATTGCCTGCATGCCTATCTCTTTCGTTTCGCCTTCCTGTTGATGGATGCAGTGCTTATCGATCCACAGATACTTAGAATTGACATGATCCATGTACCGCTTTATCCGGCTAAAGACTGTATTTCTCACGGATGATGGTTCCATACGGCCAGACTGAATGTCTTCAACCAAGTACCCACCGTTAGAGATATTGGCCTCTTCTGGAGATGGCTTCCATGTGTACGAGAGAGCTATATAATTTCTCTTCGTAAAAGCGTTGATTGTGACCAGAGTTAGACTCGGTTGTGTTAAGCCTTTAGCATCATCGCATTGCGATGGATTTGTGAAATATAGGCACTTGAGTTTCTCGAGAAATTTCAAAGACTTCTGTTGCGGCACGTTGGCTGCTTGAATGTGAACTAACTGCGCCGCAATGCTGGGGTCTGTATATCTCGCTCTGATATCGAGAAGCGGTTCATCCATGTCATCGCCCATATGGGAGCTTTGTTCCATATGCAATTGGTCGATCTGTGACATTGTCTGCTGAGTTTGAATGAGGACATGGATTAACGCGACATCTTGATTGCGAGCGCTCTAGGTAACCCCTTTATAGTTCTGGCTACTTTCATTTGAATATAATGACAATTCCAAATGTAATCTGCATCAGACATATATACGTAGAGGCTGTGCAATTAGGCAGCCGTGGGTGGCCTCAAAACCGGATACCGATGCGGATTGGTTAAAAATCGTGGCTTCTGATAATCACATGCAATAGCCGGAGCCAGTTCCTATAACCGTTATTTATAAGTCTCTACACTCTTATTTAAAAAGAAAAAGGGCTTCAACCACTTCGCTCAGACCACTTACCAAGAACAGCCTTGATATGACTATTGATCAAGTTTCCATCTCCTGTTGAACACCGTTTCTAGTGCTTTCAGATACCCTAGACCATCTAACAAACTTTTACCAACATAGCCATGCTTACAACGATCTCCAATATACCTTATAGCTACCCGAAGATTATATGCGCAACAAAACACCAAGCTGTCGACACCATAGCGAGCAATATGATCCAGGTGATGCTTGGCAACATCAATCATAATGGTAGTGATAGTCTCCATAGCGGCTTTGGAGCTCTTTGCCCATCCCTCTCGGTCAGCGTGTACAGGCAACGAGCCCGCCCGTGACAATATCTCCTCGTGTAGAATGTATAAGGACCTATGATGGAGTCAGAAGGTGCGGCATCAAGCTTCTATGGAATGGATAGTCGTTTGCCTTATTACTGTTGCGATAGTTCCACAACGCAGCCCCGGTTCATGCAGTGGCTGTGTCATGAACTCGGATAACCGCTCTTGCAACTCTTGGTCTAATTGCTGTAGCTTCAAGAGCCGTGTTTTAACATCACATTTCTCAGATTGATTCGTTCCATTCAAGCAGCTGTCAAGCATATAGATAGCTTGCGCTTGCCGTCCGAAACTGCTTAAGCCAGAAGAGCCCCGTAGTGTTGAAGAAGCCATGGTGCAATATATCGGAACGTATTCGCCGTTTGATTCAACGTCGGAAGGTAAAGGCACATCGGTATCTGGGAAGACTGCCGCCGGACTTCGGTGTTTGGCATGGCTGCATTCGAGCAAGATAAATCTGAAACATGTCAGGACGTTGCATGTTACCATTTACGTAGTGGCCTGAGGTTGGGTAGGGATCGAACCTTTCCAGGACGATGATAGACCACCACAAGTTCCAGTCTGCCATTGCCTGTAATCTCGTCTCTTCCTGAACGGCACCCAGCCTATCATATGCAATGCCGATTCCAATAACTTGTGCCATTCTGATACAAGCAGCAATAGAGATGGAAGCTGAGTCAATCTGGCCACTGGCATACTCATACGCCGATATGATAACACCAGCTCGGACCAAAGCTGTGTTGGCATGCATACTAGCTTGAACCTGGGCGTACAGTGTTTTTACAGCAACATGTACTGCAGTATGATGAACAAAAGGACCAGCCAAGTCTCCACCTGACCGCATAGTGACAAGGCATATGGAGAGCAAAAGAACAGAAACGTCAGCCCCAGGAAACCCTCGCTCGCTTAACTCAATAAGCTCATGCAGGCGCCGTGGGGCTATGATAGGTAACCACCTCTGAAAGTTCTCAAGGAATCGTTTCCCAGCCTCAAGAGGAGATTGACCGACTACCTTATAGAGGTAATGCATGTGATAAGACATCGTTTTGTCCAAAGTGGCAGTAGAGATGGACATTGGGAATAACGTAAGAGACCATGGTTTGAAGACCTCTCCTCCACTATCGCTATGTTTCGGCGTATCGCTCTCATTCTCGTAAACACAATCGAAACCACGCTTGAAACAGTATGAACAGACTGGTAGTTCTTTGCCGCACGCCTTCTTCTTGATTTTGCAAATCCGGCAAACCCGGGGTGCTCGTTGTGGCGAAGACATGAGTGATATGGAGATCGAAACCTGAGCGATGTGGGAACATGTCGTCGGCCGCCACTATCACCGTAATGGGCACTGAGACTGCGATAAATGAAAGGATTAGAAGTTCAGTTGGCGTTGGAAGGTCTTGAGCTCTGATATGAGAGTTCATCCTGGTGGAGACCTGCGGCCGCCGCTTTGCCCATGTCTGGTTTAGTGTAGATGGACAAGACGATCATGCCCGGATATAACCTCGTGGACTCTTGGCAATAACGCTGTTTCTTCGGCTTATATTGCCGAATACTTGCTCATCTGTTAAGAAACCTACAAGAGGCTTACCACAATAAGGCAACTCCGTAAAGTGAACAAGTCCAAGGGCTTCTATCAAGGTACTCATGAGTGATAAAGTGACAGAGTCGAGATTTAACTGTAAGCTTAAATATCGCGATTGTGCTGCCGATGGAATTGAGAGTAGTTTCTTTGTAGCATCAATCGTCCCCGACTTTACAATTTCTCCAGCAAACTCCATAACGGACGAAGCCTTCAACTCGCGCCTGCCATGAAGACCTATAAGAATCAGTCAGACTCCGAGCAGAGTGCTATGACGCCTGAACCATTAGCGGTTCAGGCGTCAAAACCAACCCGCCAATGGTGGCATTGGCATGAGCCTGACACTAGCAAACAAGAGAAGTGGCTCATCTTCAAGCTAGACGCAGCCATTCTGACTTACACCTGCTTGGTATGGAGAAAACGCTTCTGGATCAATAGATTCTTGTTAACGGACTTTCTAAAAGACTTTCTTTGTCAAATATCTGGATCAAACGAATATCACGAATGCTTATGTATCTGGAATGAAAGAGGACCTGAACCTTCGTGAGTCTTTCACCGTTGCAATGTCTCTAATACATAGTGGCTAATCGTTTCCTTTAGATGGAAATGAGCTCAACTGGCTTACGACATACTTCAACATCGGCATTATCATCGGGGCACCATTTTCAACAATGATGCTCACCCTCATCAAACCACGTTGGTGGCTTCCAGCCTGCACAATGGCCTGGTCGCTGCTCGTACTGGGAATGCATAAGGCTGAGGCTGTCAAGACTCTCTATATCTTGCGGTAAGACTCACCAAGTGTATGAGGGAGATGACTCAATCGATCTATCTAGATTCTTTACTGGTCTTTGCGAATCCGGTGCCATGCCTGGATCGTTCTACATTGTATGACTCTTCTAGAGACACGAAAGATATATGCTTACCCAGAAACTTGGCAGATCGGAAGCTGGTATCGCAGGTCAGAAATTAGCAGGCGGACTACCCTGTTCTGGTTCTCCTCCGTTGGCGGGCAGATGCTCTCCGGATACATTCAAGCTGGACTGTATGATAGCTTCAGTCCACTTAATGAGAACAAACTAACAAAGCTCTTAGATATCGAAACATGAATGGCCGCCTGGGTTTAGCTGCCTGGCGATGGCTGTTCGTCCTCGACTTTTTTTATCAGTGTCCCAGTCGTCATTTTCGGTCTTATGGTCTGCCCTGGTAAGAAAATACACGTTCATCCCACCATTTTTGTTCGGCCTAACACTTCACTGTACAGACGAACCGAAGGCTAAGAAGGTCTGGTGGATGACTGAAGAGGAGAGGCAAAGATGTATCGAGCGAATATCCGACGAGGGCCGAGACGCTGAACTTTTCCATTGGGATCGTGCCTTGGTCAAACAGGTTTTGACATCTTGGCAACTTTATGCCTTTTGTATTGCTTGGGGGCTAATAACTTCCTTTTTATTACTTTCCAATGGCTATTGCTAACCGGAATTAGGTTCATGGAACTAACCTGCGGTGTGAATCTTCAACGATGGATGACACTATGGATCAAGTCCCTCCGAGATGACGGAAAGCCCAAATACAGCACCGAGAAAGTCAACGCGATTCCTACCGCCGTCGGATGTACAGTACGTCACTTCATTCACCTTTATGGTCCACTTGACGAAAATTCTTCTAGGGCCTTGTCTGGATGCTCCTCAGTGCGTTCGTTGCAGATAGTTATCAGAATCGAGCTCTGCCGATCTGCGTGCTAGGCTGCGTGCAACTATTTAGCTACATTGTACTTCTCACGTGGCCAAATAGCGAGGCTTTCATCATGGCAGCTTATTATCTCGCCAGTGCATATAGCGCGCTATCACCGTTGATATCTGCTTGGCTGAACTCCAGTTGCGGCGGGAAGAAGCAGCTTCGGGCTCTTACCACGGGCTTGATGACTTCTATTGGATAGTAAGTTTCACCAATCCCAGAAGCAGGTAATAGCAGCTAACCGCTACCGCAAATTAGTGCCGTTGAAACTGTTGCTCAGCAAGAGATGTTTCCCATATCCCAGGCCCCCAGGTTTCAACAGACGCATGGATACGCATTTGGGATCGCATGGATAGTTGTCATGATTGTATGGTGCTCTGCATGCCTCCCACTAATGGAGAGACCTTTCAGCTCGCGATTACAAGTCCTGATGAGAATTGTACGGTAGTGCAGGTTACTCCAACGCCTTATTCTCTCGTCAATAGGTCGAAACAGATTCGCTGGTAGATTGATCATACTCGCTAGCCAGTAGTTAGATATTCGCCGTTTTGCACGATGTAACTCATTATTAGCTCTATTCCTCTATAGATACCAACATTCTGGCAAGTTTGGCATGGTATAGAGCTTTAGCTGAGACCGAAATCAGACAATTAGAATCATTAAAGCTCTAACCTCGTAGCTCATCGTGTTCCGCTTTTTCTATGCCTGGTTTAGTGCGTATGACCGCCCTTGCGTTGTTTCTTTGGTTGACAGCGCCGAATACTTAATCATCCTTCCAGACGCCTATTAGAAGGGTCTCTCCATTACCAAGAATCTCCACACAACAAATGCTTAAGTGGCATACTACCGAGAATACAATCTCCAGCGGATTCATTACGCCTAAGTATTTACATCGGCATCCAAAGTCTGCTGTATTCTTTGGCTCGGTAACCACTTCTCCGCTGGAGTAAACCACCAAGTTAATAAGGCCAGGATTGTAGTGCCCGCCATTATGATGGGCGCGTAGTTCAGCGACTCAGCCGTGACTGGGAAGACGTACGGCGAGTACAAGACAGCGACCACCCATCCATTCCAAAAGACCGCAATGACCTGAAAAGGCTTACTGAGCCGTCCTAAGCTCCATGCTGGCTTGGGGAAGTTTTTGGGTGTCAGGAAGAGTCGTGCAAGGGAGATTAGACCGTATGCAGCTGCCGAGGGTACGCCGGCGGCAGATACCAGAGAGGTGAATGCTACCGCTGATGGAAGAATGGTGCAGGTTATGATAGAGGCGACTCCCCAGACGACTAATACAGCGTTGCGAGGCTGACCTGCTTCTACCTTGGAGACCCAGCCAGACCAAGGCAGAACTCCGTCTCTTGCCACGGCAAAGACCAGTCTAGACGCTGCAGTAACTGCGATGGCGGTGTTCTGGTTCAACTGTAAGCTTTCTAGTTGTATTATAATGAGTAATTGGAGAGGCTTACAAACCAAAGTGCCAGTATGCACACAATGTTCATTACGATGTGTCCACCCTCCCCGAGGATCGCAGCATACACTGACACAAAAGGTTGTGGACCACCATAAGAGAAGAGCGTTGTCGCATCTGGCTGTCATGGTGTTATTAAGCAGCTCATATATTTTAGATGAGATGGGAACTTACCACGCAGAACAAGAAGAGAATGACGACCGCAAAACCGCCAATACCACTGACAACAGTACTCCAGAAAATGCCCCTGGCCGCTGCAACCGAGGCGTTCTTGGTCTCTTCAGCTACATGTCCCGAGGCATCAAAACCAATCAAGACGCCAGCAGTAGCAAGGTAGGAAAGACACCAATTCCAACCAGGCGGGGCCCCAGTGCCGTTATACGTCGTCATGAACGCATCGTGTGCTGATCTAAAGCCAAGAGTGTTGCTCGTGGCAATAGGGAGCCAGATCAGGTTGAGGAGAAAGTCAAGAACAACAATGCTACTAGAGAGCGCGAAGATCCACCTGAAGTACCGAGCTGCTGACATTAGATAAGCGCTATAGAAGGTCGTGCTGGGGGGCTTACGGGGAAGCAAATTCCAGATGCAGGCTAACGCGAGCATGATTTCTGTAAGGATCCATTGTACGGCTCGAAACTTGATGCTTGATGAGTCGGAGGGAAAGTTTGTGTTGAACACCACGATTTCCTGAGGATGTTAGATGTGTTTAAACTTGCTATTCCAAGGCAGATACTTACCGAGAGCATGTAATTCACAGCAGCTTGCGTGTTACCTTGGCGCAACAGCAATTAGAACTCATCAAGGTTACACAGGGACCGTACTAACTGGCGCAAAAGGTCGTCCAAGCAGTGGTAGACCACCAAGCAACGACAAACCCAAACAATCGACCAAAGCGAGGGCCGCCGGCTTCAGCAGCCCAGAGATAGATGGACCCAGCTAAAGGTAGGGAAGAGCAGATCTCGGCAATTACTGCGGCGGTTATGAACGTGAAGACACACGTCACGATGTAACTCGTCCTTTCGAAGTGATTAGCTGAGTGAAGAGACAGGCGGGTAGGACTCACCAGTATGCCAGATTACCACCTGCTGCGATGCCGGTTGAGAAAGTAACGCGCACGCCGCCGATGAAGTAAAGGGCAGCTACGTAGTGTTAGATGATTTTGTCTCTGTTCGTTGGATGGAATGACTGACCGAATGTGGTGGCGAAATTGTGGAATTGATTGAAGCTGCGTTGTAGAACCTGTCATTAATTAGTCGTTATTTATCTGATAGGGCATTACTCTGCCTATTACAGGTTTATATCCTAGTTTTTCCTATTGTTTCTGTGTCAGCTTCGACTGTCAGTCTATTTGAGTTATTTTTGAACTACTAACCAGAAGGATGTCGTCGGATGAATTATCGCTCAAATCGCCTCTTACGTCCCCGCCTGTGTTGACGGGGTCGTCTGTATTATTCTCCCGTACCGTTGACATTGCCGGTGTTTGTTGCTGGTCAATTAGAAATGCTGATGTAGCCACGGCGATGAGTATTAAGAAAAACAAATGTTGAAATTTTTAATGGTGCCTGAGGTACAGAGTATTTACCTCGTATATCAATCGGACCATTCGGCACAAGCCCCCTGCTAGCCAAAGTCAACATGTCCTCTTGACGGAAATCACCCCACTGATAAGATAATGAATTCCATAGTACTTTGTGATTTATACCACTAATAATAAAGTGATAGGCAGATCTATCTATATTAATTTAATTATTAATTAAATAGTAAATTATTTTTTAATCAAGTCTAACTATTTTATTTTAAATGGCAAAGCCAAAAGGTGCCACTCTTATTACATTCTTAAGTTACGTTTCTTTATAGCTTTGCCTAATAATATTTTCTATTGGTATAACTAGTCTGCGGCTGAAAATATTGTCTTAGGTGCATAACATCGGTGGGTTACTAGCACCCTATTGCAAGGCTTTGGCGAACCCCAGCCAACCCCGTTGCCTCTTTTCCCGCCTCTTTCGTTGAGGGCGAGGAATGGAAGAGGCTGCTTATTACCCCCGCGCAAGCTGATTGCTCATAAAACCTGTGACACGCACCCCGCTACAAGCTTCTTGTATTTTCGCCCTGATTTTCTTTCACGTTACTCACAACTCCGAAATAACTTTTCGAGTTTCCTTCGCATGCATAATGGAGAGACCGAGATACAGTGAGTTATGTCGCGGCATAAGATCGCAATTCACAATCGGTTTTGAAAAGGCCGAAACAAAAGACAAGTTCGCCACAAGGGGTCTGGTTAGAGACGTCCTGTCACGGCCTATGCTGAACAGTTTTTACCAGAGCCTCTGGGACGATGGCAATGTTTCGCGGACGGGCCCAAACCCAGTTGATGCGGAAGCTTTTGTTCGAAACATGGAGAAGAAAATGCTTCATGACTTTTTGGCTGTTTTAATATACGCAAAGTGCTCAATCGACGCCGCAAATACCTTCGCAAAAGAGCTTGTTTTTGGAGATAGGGCACAAGTGCAGCAAAGATATGGCGAAACTCCATATCTGCTCCCAGCGAACGAGGAGTATCTTAGTAGTCTGTTCGACAGTTTTGACGCCCAAGATTTCTTCGCTGAGCAACGCCCTTTCTGTACCATCGTACTTGGTGGAGCAGGAGTCGTCACGATTGATCAAGATGATAAGCGATCTCTGCCATGGCTGAACGAGAAACATATCGGTTCCGGTGCTTTTGGAAGCGTCTATGAGGTCAAGATACCCAAGGGCCATTTGACCATGCGTCGAGATTTCAGTGAAACCAACTCAACGTCCAAGCTAGTTGCTCGCAAAGACTACAAACCCGCCAAAGACATGGAGCAGAGCTTTGAGAAAGAGGTGAGATCTATCCGAGAGATCTTCAACGGCAACTCCAAGCACAATAACATTCTCGAGAGTTTTGGCACTCTTGTCATCAAAGGTCCGGAGCCAAAGTTCAGTCTTCTCATGCCACTAGCAGACATGGACCTGCAGAAGTACATGGAAGACAATCCACAGATCCCTATTGATGACAGATGGGCCCGAGAGCGTATAGTCAGCGCCGCTATAGGCCTGGCAGATGGACTCGAGTTTCTTCACAGCAAGATGACTACAGTTGGAGGTGATCGACTAGTTTGTTATCACATGGATCTCAAGCCCAGCAATATTCTAGTGTTTCTCCATGAACCACAAACGGAGGGCACTGGCACAGAGGACAGAGATTACGGCATGGTTTGGAAGCTCAGCGACTTCGGCTTATCAAGAGTGAAGACCAAAACGAATCCCGAAAAGAATTTGGACAGCCTCTTTGAGAAGAAATTTATCGAACAGTCCAGCCAACCATCCGCGACTCAAAACCATCGAGGGAACGGCACATACCTACCAAATGAAGCTCAAGATAATGGAAAGACGATGGATCAAAAGAGCGACATCTGGTCCTTGGGTTGCATTATCAGCGTCCTATTTACGTACATGGAAGAAGGGAATTCGGCGCTGAAACGTTACAGCAACTCCCGACTCAAGTACAACAAGAAGTTCGATGTGTTTTATCAGGAAAACAGGTCCAGCCGGGGTATCTGTCTCAACGACGCGGTAAAAAGCCAACACAGCAAATTAATTGAAGCCGCAAAAAAGCGCAACGCGACTGAAGGCGAAGCTGTTTCATCTATACTCAGGTACCTGGAGAGTAGTGTTCTGGTGACTGACCAAGGCGACAGATGCAACGCAGAATCAATAGTTCAATGCCTAGGAAGGACACTGAAGAGATATCAAACTGCAGAAACATCAGTCAGGCCTGCTTCACCCTCAGAAAAGCCGTATCCCTTACACAAGAAACTCAAAGAGTATGCACATGACTCTCAACTGGAAGATCTCGAGATTGACAATATCTAGTGCCCTTGTCCATGGTCTTCGCAGGGAGCGTTCTACCATGCCAGTAGATATCCACCGCTGGCGACTAGACATAAACAAGTCCATTCGTTTCAAAGACTGCCGGAGCTCTCCGAATGGTAAACTGATAGCTTACTGGAGCGACAAGGTTATCATGGTATTCGACAGGGCAACTACGATATCAAGGACAAATTCTAGTAGTACATCTGACAACGGAACACGAACCCTCTCTATGGAAAGCGCACGAGATCGGACTCTCAGGAATGTCGGACAACATCAACTAGCTGGGGTAAGCTGCTCCTGGAAATCCCTAGGGATGACAAATTCATATTTGGTCGCTGCGACGACTGAGACTAAATCGTTAAATGTAAGTTTGGATCACCAAGGAGATTTGGACGAGAATTCCATGGCTAATGCAGTCTGCCAGTGCTATTTATTTGACATTGAGTCTGATCAAACGCTCCAATCGTACAGCAAAGTTACTTTGCCACATCCTGGACTCCACAGTTTGGCAGTATCGCCAAACCAAAACTCAATGGCCTGTATCCTGAGTAATAATGATCAAACATCTTTATTAACGGCAGTAATCGAGACGAGTCTTTCTGAACCAACTACCCCTTCAGCTAGGTGAGCGAGCCATTGTTCCATTTAGTATTTTGCTGATACAAGTGCCAGTCTGTTTTCGGAAACCTCATCACGCCAAGACTATCAGGATGCAGGAATCCGTCTTGTCCAACGGAAGCTTATTGACCTGGACTGGCCTACATCCACAATCGAGCATTTAGCTCTCAGAACAGGAGATGAAGGCTATATAATCGTTCGCAGCTCGTCGACCCTATCTCTGTATCTATTCACTGTTCGCCCCCCGAGGCTGGTAAAGCAAGACTTAAAGCTTGGAGTAAGTCACCCGTTCAGTATTTGGTACAGGACCTAACATCACCGCTCCTAGTCACCTAGTAGCACTGCCGACAGGCTATTTACAGACATGGTTTTCTTCCAAAGTGAAGCAGACGAAGCTCAATCCGAAATCATTGTGGTTGCACAGGCTCACCGGATTTTTCATTCAAAGTTCAGAGGCGCCAACGAAAGGCCCTCGAGTGTTGCTTATCTCCCTATTGAACACTATCGTATACTCAAGATTGCCACAAATGGACAGGTAGTCGTGGCTCTAGGAGCACACTCGGGGAGTAGTCACCTCTTTCTGCTGGAGGTGAAACTCTCGAGTCCCAGGGTTCGTCCTCAACTTCGGAGGATCGCAGAGCTTAATGAGGTATCGACATCCTGTCAGTTTAAGCTGAGTGTAATTGGCGACTGGAGTGAGCCTATTGCCTTGATTACGACCGCGACACCTGAGGGGCATTATCGTGTGTATCACAAGAATCTGATTAGCTTAGTTAATAATAATAACTGAGATGTGTGGTTGATGCCATGCTGCTATATTAAATGCTGCCTAACTCCATGTCAGAAGAGACCTTTCTACTTCTCCTGTGCATGAGTGTCTTGACAATTGGAATGTTTCGCGCTACGCGACCAAGAAGAGTCTTGTCTAGAAGAACATGATATAACAAGAAAGTGCAGATAGTAAGAGCAGCAGAAGATAAAAAGTATATCCAGATCATGGAGGTCATCACGATCTGATCTCCATTGTCGTCAAGATCGAAGAAGTTCATCCCAAAGAATGTCTACCATCTGTCAGTTTACCATGTATCGAAAGGGTTTGAGTGTTAACTTACTGCTACAAACGACGCAGGCAAATACAACAATGTCAGGGTAGTAATAAAAACAGCAGACTTATTCAACCGAAGCATACTGTCATTTTGAACTTTGGCGTATAGCTGCTCCCGGAATGACAGAGTGTTGGCGAGAAGCTGCGTGATCTTCTGAGCCCGTTGCTGTAGAAAGTCTGCCACTCTGATGTAGGCACGACAGTTAAGCTGGTGTTTCTGGAATTCTATCAGCGCCGTTCTAGCTGACTCTTTGGCATGTCCTGTCGAATCAGGATACCAGTCGCGACAGAGAGAAGACAAGCCCTCCAGCACTTCGTTTGAACCTGCCAGGATGACCGGTATCTGTAGTAAGCGGCTCTCCAGATAGGCTAGCTCAGTGAGATGGCGGTACTCGGCTTCCGTCAATTCTTCAATCCATGTAGCTACTGCGTTGTTTGCCTTGAGACCTGTCAGTTTCGAATTAATGATTGAGAGATATGCATACAATTGGAACAAGGACTTTCTCCAGATACGCATTATATAGCCTCCAAGAAGAGAAATATGTGTTGAAAACTTCCTTGTGAAGCCAAAAGACGTCCTTGAGGTCATTTCTGGAGGCCTTTGAGACACAATCCTGCACAATTTGATGCAGCTTGGAATTCGGTGTTGGGTTGAACAAAATGCAAAGGTTCTTGTTTGTTTCGTTGTTGAATCTCTGGTAAACGCCACTCTGTCTGATGATCCAAGTACCTTGGGCAGCCTTGAATTCAGGATATCGAATTGTGTACGAGACCTCTACGCCATTTTAGAGTTACTCAAGTTCGGCACCTTTTGTAATTGCTTACCTGTTATTGGCCCATCTTGAGACAGTGTAAAAGGGACGCAAAAGGTTGATTCAACGTCGAAATCTTTGGCATAAAAACAGGAAGACACATCCCAAACAGAAGGCTTTAAATTGAACTTGTCAACGAGAAAGCTCAACATTGGTTTGGTGATCTGTAACGGCTTCCAAGACTGGCGCTGGCAGATCGATCTAGTTGCCCCGCATCAGTATGATATTACGGAGGTGAAGCTCCTAGAATACGTACATAAAGTGGTAGGGCTGCTCGTCGATTTCAGTGCGGCTGAAGTGGGACTGAATCTGCTCCGGGGTCGAAAACTGATGGACCTCAGCCGCAGAACGTTCTTCGTCCGATGGCCCGGCCCCTGTGCTGATGACCCTAACTGGCTCAGTGACCACATTGACAAAGCAAGGGTGAGACATATCCATTGAGACAAGAGACAGCTAATAAGCCCAAGACAGAAATTCATCGAAAGACAAATAGCAGAAAGCTGGAACTAAGGGGAGTTAAAGTTCTTGCACGTTATATTTCTCTCATCTTAAACTGGGCTTTCCATTATCCCAATCATCAGACTCTCTGGTCAGTCTGCCTCACAGCCTGATCTTGCTCATTAGGCCAGCCGTACACGCCACGATGCAGTCAGCATACCCCCCAGGCATTCCCTGTCAGCATCATTGGGATTGAGGAATCTCGGCACGCCTTGTCTTCGTCAGCTGTCGGTACAGTGGATCTTGTAATTGCGCTTACTCGAGTTCATTCTGTTGTTGTGTTAATAACACATACGGTATATGTACAAATTCTCACAGGAAGCATCATACCTGGGTGACTTGTCTCGGGGCTTTGAAAACCCACTGCTCGTTACTCATCTTGAAGGGCAAGTCAGTAGCGGAAAGCCTACGTAAAGAAGGGCCACGCCTACACGCAGTCCAAACTCGCCCTTTTGATATGGAAAGAGTTTCTCAAGGATTCTTTGTAGCTTTATTCCATCGTAGTAGCGACCGTCGAAGACATGGTGTACCTGTTTGGGTTTGGCCATGGTGGCTTTGCTGTCGAAGTGTACCGCTTTTTACTTTACGACCAAGAGTTGTTTCTTCAGATATTTTCTATTGCATCGTATTTGTAAAACCTGCAGTATCTATAACTGCGTACTTCGCGCTCTCGCACAGTATTTGGGCAATTCTCGGGGACGCACTTTCAAGTTACACATAACCAAATTCTCACACCTTGTACGACCCAACAGCGGGGTTAGAGGTCAGAGGAGGGATAAAAGCTCGTATTTCTCTTGGAGAAGCGCCCGACCGCAGTTCTGTGATGTAGCCAAAGGGATTTGTTTGGTTATGGGAAATGTGATAAGCCTCTTATGTATGTTTCATCACACGCCACATGCAAGGAGCCAATATTCCTGTGGTCCTTGAATGGCTACTGACCAGGCAGTCATGAACTTGTCAGCGATCTTATGCATATTCTCCCATTTTGGCATTCTGACGACTGTAAATTAATCGTGGGCCCGCTCCCATGAGAAGGGAATCAGAGGCTTGCGGCTGAAAATGACCGAGTCTAGACCTGGTTGCTAAGAGAGGGCTTGAAAGATGGCGGTCGACAGCAATCAGGCCTGTGAAAAATTTTGGTGAAACATGGTCTCCAGGAAGTACAGCCGTGCAGTCGTCTATTGCCTTTCACGTTCATTTGGTGATGTTGATTATTAGCAGTCCGTTTAACATGTCTCTTGCTCAACATCATATGAAGGCGTTACACAGTGAAATCATGTATTACAATGGGATTATCAGGCTGCTCTCAATAGACCAGGTCCTGTTTCTTCATGTGACATCTGGAAGCCTAGCGGGAGGTTGGGGCTGAAAAGCCCTGATCTGCCTCGTCTCCCGGAGCCATCAGGCTCATGCCTTGGCGCTTCAGCGCGTGAACGCCTCTTTCCTTGCACCTAATATCGCCCCTTTACCCTTCACTCTTGCTTTCTAAAGCGAAGCCTCCAAGTTTGCTTTTCGAATAATCCAAGTTCTTTAACCTTATTTCTTACCTGGCAAGATGTCTGAAAACGGATCTGGTCCGGGAGCAGCGCTCCCAGCTATTCCTCTCACTGTATTGTCCCATGGTCATGGGCTATTTGACAACGGCTCTGCAGCAAGCAACATGCCTCTTGCTAGGGATGCTTCTGGTCCATCCGACGGTGGTGGTGAGAATCCAGAAGCTCCAGAGCGATTTGTAACCACCCATGAAGGCGAAACAGAAGTGACTCAGCTTCCTATTCATACAGTTCGACGTAAACTGAGAGGCATTCATATCTTTGTGAGTCATCATTATTCCCAAACAGACTGAACAATAGAAACCCTTCGCTACGCACTTTTCAAGTACTAACCCAGAGACAGATGATTGCCGTTAACGGTACACTTGGTACAGGTCTTTATGTTCGAAGCGGCCAGATCCTCGAGCTTGGAGGACCCTTGGCTGTTATCTTTTCCTTCCTCTTCCTCGGAATATTGACTTGGGCGGTGATGCAATGCATCGCAGAGCTTCTATGTCTATGGCCAGTTCCAGGAGCAGTCCCCTTGTTTGTTAGGAAGTTTGTGGACAAAGAACTGGGAGACACTGTTGGCGTCGCATATTGGTATAGACTGAAAGATCGGTCAGTATACATTGAAGTAAGACTAACTAATCGCAGGTATACGTATTCTATAGGATTCGCTGCCCTAATCGCCACATCTGCCAGTGTCCTCAATTACTGGACCGTAGGGATACAGGGCTTTAGTGAAGGGTTCGCCTACGTTGTCCTACCGTTGACACTCGTGGCAATCAATTCTGTCAAGGTTGAGGTATGCTTTGTCATGCACGAAATGTGTTCCGGGTTGTATCTAACATTTCGACAAGATCTACGGCTGGATTGAAGTTGTCACGGGAGTTATCAAAATCATTTTCTTAGCCATTATCATTATTTGCCTTCCTCTCGCTATTTTCAAGTTTCCCAAGGAAACAGAAGATGGTCCTAAATCAACAGATGCCAGTAGTAATGGTAAGTTAATATTTAATAGAATATAGGCTTCACAGCTAATATTATCCCCCACTAGCTACAGCACCTGTTATCTCGAGGTCAAGTAAGTATCCAAAAGTTGCGTATCGAGATCCTGCGGAACCATGGACTTATAGGCTATACAATACAGGTTGGGACAATCCTTTCAGCCAGTTCAATGACGGAGCAGCCGATAATTGGTTTGAAGCGTTTATGTAAGTATCTCTGGAATGACAGAAGTAAATGGAACCTACTAATACCTACAAGGATGTGCCTGTCTCTTGCTATTTTTGCATACGCCGGAATCGAGAATATTGCGGTTTCCGTCATCGAAGCACGTTGGCCTTCCCGGCCAGCAACGCAACTATCAAGCGGAAACTTGTCAGGAATACAAGCTACTCAGGATTTACCATCGCCACCAAGAGCACCCTCACCTCAGAAAAGTAACACTGCTCGAGATTCAGTCAAACGAACGATTGGGTTCACGGCAGTAGTTCTACCGATACTGATTGCTTCTGCATACACCGTCAGCGGACTGTTCGTCTCCCTGGGTCTTTCCAGATATGACTGTAATCTTCAGAGGCTTAGTTGGCTGAAGAACGAAACGTGCGGGGGGCCAGAGACTCACGAGAAGGGTTTTACGTTCTCGCCTTTCATTCTCATCGCAAAAGCCTCGACTATTATCAACCTTGACCACGTTTTGAACGCTTTCATACTCTTCACTGCACTTACATGTGCTAATACTAATCTATACATCGCATCTAGGACACTTTTTGGCATCACCCGAAACATCCGTTCTGATGAGTCGATGCCAGCAGCTTTGGCCTGGTTTGGTGTTACAAATCGCGACAGAGTACCACTGCGGGCGATGGTTATCACTGCAATCGCGTTTTCCTGGGTGCCTTGTCTTCAAGGAACTGACAGTTTCAATACTGGCTTGGATCTTGGCAAGTTTGTCGAGATTCTTGTCCAGATGGGGTCCGTCAGCATCATCATTATCTGGGCTTGCCTATGCTTAGCATATGCCCGATACCATTACTGGTTAGTTATCTAAGTGTGTATTATTGTGAAGACTCTTACGGGATGATAGTATTCATAAGTTCCGCGACGAGCTAGCAGAGGACGGAATCCGCCTAGCGGAAGATCGCGAAGGTGAATCCGAGGCCTACCCCTATCAAAGCCACTGGCAACCAGTATTAGCGTACGCAGCGCTCGGGGTCTGTCTCTTTATCCTTTTTGTCTGCAATGGGGTTTTCTTATGGAAAGAATTCCATGTCTTCCCATTCTTGACGGGGTATCTGACGGTGAGAGCACTCAAGATTAGAACCAGAGTGTAGAAGGCTAATCAAACCACAACAGACTATCTGTTTCTTTGGAGTCTGGGTAATACTTAAGATCTATAAGCGAGCATGGTCACCTTGGAATAAGCTTGACGCGGAAGCTGCGAGAACTCTAATAAAGGAGCTAAATGATTTGCGAGATATATCCTTGGAACAGCCCGAGGATGATTCAGAGACTAGTCGATGGGCTTGGATTTGGAAAATATTTGGGAGTAACAGGAATGTTGGAACTGGAGAAAGATAATATATATAATTATTCTACATCTATGTTATAATATTTAAATTATAATATATATAATACTTTAATTATATTTTAATTATTAATAAAGTTCAAGAACTTTAAAAATTAATAAGTTGATTAATTATTATCCTTATGAAAGCGTCGTTAATATCTGTTAAGTATAATATATTAAAATGTAAATAAATGTATATTAATATAAAAGATAAAGAGAACTGCCTATGTAGCGTCTCTAGATACCTTTAAGAAGCGGCATATCAAGAATAGGCGAAAGTTGAAGACCACAAGGTCAAGCTAGGCCGAGGCATGCTTTGCCTCAACTAGAACGACAGCATATCAGCATCAGGGTGTTGTATTTGAACACTGAAAAGACGGCTTAGCTCAATTGAATGTGCCTGCAATGAGTAAAGTTTTAACTTTACTCTAGCATCTGGCCTAATGCCTACTCTGACGAAGTCCCTACAGACACTGAGAGTACCACTGATTCTGCTCCTTGCAAGTATACGGCGAAACACACACTGTCGGTCCAGTCCACGAAGCGCCACCACACTGTCCATATCTAGGCACACTAGGTCCACCAGTAACAGTCGGCTTAGAGGTAGTCGTAAGAGTAGTAGACGGCTTAGAAGAAGCTGTAGTAGTTGTACTTGGCTTCGTCGGCACAGTTCCTCCGTTAACAGCAGCAGCATGCTCATAAACCAACGGCTGAGCCTCATCATCCTCAAGATAGATAGTGTTTCCATCATCGTGATTCTTTCCGTATGAGAATTTGCTGGTGCCGAATTGCCAGTACATGTCGCTGACTTGGAGATCGAGAGAGGCCTTTTGCCATTTGCTCAGGGTAGCGATGCGAGTGGACTTGTCGGTCCAGCCGTATTCTTCGTGAAGAACTGGCTTCTTGGCGGTGGCACCGGCGGCGGCGTGGTCCTTGATCCATTGAACGACCCAGTCAGTTGTCTTGCTCCAGTACTGAGGGTAAGAGTGGAATGTGTTGAAGTCAATGTTGGGAAGTTTGAGTTCAGCGTCGAAGTCAGTTCCGTCAGCGCCGTTGTACGTCCAGTCGTCTGACTGTCGGTTGAAGCCGCCTTCACTTCCAGTGGTGACGAGATGGTCTGGGTCGAGGGATTTGATGTATGTGCTCATTTCGCTGACCCAAGAAGTGATGGTGGCAGGGGTACAGTCAGGTCCACGGGGAAGGTTTCGAGTTCCATCGGCGCCGCAGCGGGGTTCGTTGGCGATCTCCCAAGCGAACACGGCAGGTGAGTCCTTGTATCTGTTCACAACGGCTGAGATGTAGTTCTTGAATGCCTTCTTGATAGCAGGTAGGCGATAGAACTTCATCATACGTCAATAACTCTTCCCGGCGAAGTACTCTGGGATACTCACATCATCATGGTAGCGACCACCGAGATTAACAGTATAAACATCCATACCACCATAATCAGCCCAATTGTTCGTCAAAGCCAGAATGAGCTTCATGTTAGTAGCTTCAGCAGCTTTAATAACAACATCAAGCTTGGTCAGATCAATCTTGACTGTTCCATCCTTCTCAAAGAACTGCATGACGGTATTCTCAGCACCAGTGCCATACTGGGGCAAACCGCCGGATACATAAGTTCTGTTGTTGTCGTGGAAAGCCCATGTGCGCATGACTTTGAGACCAGCATCCTTTGCAAGTTGTAGACCAAGCTTGACATCCGCGTAGTGATCCGTTCCCCACTGGCAAGGTCAGTATGTTTAATCCAGATCGAGTCTCGGATGACTTACAACGTTGAAGGGGAGGTAGTAGGCATTGCTACCAGCAAAGAAAAAGTCCTTTCCATCAAGTTGGAACTTTGTTCCGTCGGTAGTAACAAAGCCAGCTGGTACAGCCAGCACTGGAGCGCCAGCAAAAGCAGCCGCGACAATTGAAGCAAACTTCATGATGAGATCTGAAGATTGAATGAATACTGCTCAATGCTGCTGGTCACGATAAACAGCGATTAATTACATCTTTTATATTTATTACATCGGCATCCAAATAGCACATGCCATTCCCCTCATCCCCATGGGGTGATAAATGCAGCATATCGGAGCTCAACACCCCGTGATATCCGGATTCGGAACGGCACTGGACGATCTTCCAGATACGGGCCGGAATGCCGCGATGATCCATCCGGTATGTTTTTGGAAATTAAACAAAGTTTCCTTTTCGATTCCTGAGAGGTAGGGAGTGGCTTTGTCATGCCATGATGGGCGGTGGCCATTTGTGGATAAACGGGCCTGTGCCGTTGAATGACAAACACCGGGTACTGGGACATGTGCATCTTGCATGATCAGAAGAGATTCACATATACCCCCAATATAGTCCACCAGTTGAAACGATGCAACCATACTGCATGATGAACCTGCACGAACAAGGACAATGCAGCAACCCAATTCCAGAAGTTTACCAAACTCCGTGAATACCGAATATTATATAGCTAAGGTCAAAGAAGCTTAATACCACTCACATATGATCTCATTGTGACTTACTCCTCCAGGGCTGAACCCCCAATCTTGTTCTCAAAAGCGAGCATGGCTTTGCGTTACGCGTATTCGCGTGAAGAACCTTATCAAGCAAGTGAATTATATACCAGCGACGGCACACCAGTGCATCGAGATTATCTAATCCGCACTTCTCCAACGGAACGTCACCGGTTCCAGGGTATTAACATATCCCTTCCCTTCATACCCTCCAAAGCCCATCCACGGCACATAGTAAGTAACATCATCCTCATCTAGACTCTCCTCCGTATAAAAGTTCCGAAACACCCCATCATCGGCCTGACAATCCCAAGCATCGTTATCCCTCGGCGGAATAGTATAGTATCTACAGTGCCCAGCAGGAATGGAGCAAGACAGTTCACCACCGGCTTTTAGATCACATTTTATAGGCGCGCCGTAGTAATGATCTGACGCTGAGCAATCGACGAACCAGCCTGGGTTGGGTACGGTACCGGAACCCCAGCGGATGCAGATGAGAGGGAAGTTGGGGCGGTATGGGTCGGCGCGGCGGAGGTAGCCAGTGCCTTCTTCGAGGATGAGGGCGACTGGTTGCCAGGCTGGGTTCGTGGAGAATTGGAGGTTGTAATAGTTTTCTTTCTGGCCCATTACTATATCATTTGCTGGACCACCTTCGGCGATGATATTGAAGGTTGTGACGGCGGGTTCTTCGGAGGTTGTTGTTGTAGGAGCAATCGCTGTAGTATCGGTCGTGTCGATTGATGTCACCAGAGTAGTTGTATCGGATTCAATTGAGGTCAATGTAGACGAAACAGCAGCAGAAGAGGTCTCAGTCGTCTCTGAAGCTACAGCCGAAATAGCGGTGGTGGCTGTCTCTGTCGACGCGACTCCAGACGTAGCCGCCTGTGTTAAAGTTGTCAAAACCGTATCACTAGATTGAGAATCTGTGCAGGCAAGTTAATAAGAGATCACGATATTGAATACGATGATAGACTTACAAGATGCAGGTTTGCAAGGACCCGCTATCGCGACTGGGAGCCCAAAGGCCAGCGAAAGTATAGAAGTGAAACGCATAACGAGAGACTTGCCGACAAGATTTGGCTTCAAAAACGCTGAAGAAATAAGAAGAAGAAGAAAAAGAGGCGTTGAAAATCGCCGGGTGGCGGCTGTCATCAGCATGGAATAAAGGAGACCCTGACCGTTGGCCCACTTTAGAAATCGATAGTTTTGAAGCTATCGACACTGCCAAGAGGTTCTAGAGCTGTTATTTGCTAGCGGTAACAAACGATAACTACCAATCCAGCTAAGCGACAGGGGCAAGCAAGCCACTAATTTGATTTGGCGGGAATAACGGCTCTGACTGATAAGATAAGCTTCAGAACGTGGCATGACGGAATTGAGTTGGGAACGACTTCAAAACATGCTTTGCACTTGACTTCAATTGTAGTACTTCCAATGCTTGCCGAAACCTTTCCAGATTCTCGGGACTTCGAGGTGTCGAGATACAAGTCATTGAATGGCTGCTGCTAGAATAGTGAACATGAGCCAAGTTACTGCCACAGAATATCATCCAATCATCGGTGAGATGGCCGAGTTGGTTATGGCGCCAGGTTAAGGTTAACCTTAACACCAATTTCCTGGTGGAGCAATCCTCCTGGGTTCGAGTCCCAGTCTCATCAGATTATCTTTTTGCGTTTCTTGCAACTAGTTCTGACTAGAAATATGTAGTCAATCACCGTTATCAGCTGTCATTCTTTTTTTTTTTTTTTTTTTTTTTTCCAGCTCTTTACCATTGACTGTTACTGAAGCCTGTTCACTTGGTTTGCACCAAAATGTAAGTTGCAGGCAGTCTTAAACTTCGTTCACATTCTTGCTATCGGATACACGATACCTCGAATATTGAAAATATCGTATGAGGCTAGTCTTAGTAAGCTATGCTGTGGCAGCTGCTCCAGTCGTCTTCTTCTCCGCCTTGACATTCTTCCACTCGAATCCAAACGAAGTAATCAGAGCGAAACATCCCATGCCCAAACCAAGATACCAAATCGATCTCATCGAATCGTTGTACGCATTCAATACCAAGTCAACCTTGTCAAAAGGCACAAGGTTCCACAGATTCGTTGCACCACTGTTTGCAAGCGAATTGATGTCAACCCCAGGAACATACTTGGCAATTTTGCTCTCAAGTTGTCCTTCCAGTAATGTCTGCGACACGGTGACAAATACTGTTCCGCCGAGAAAGATAAGAAAGTTCAAGATGGAAAGGCCAATTGGGCTATCGCTCTCAGAGAGAACGGTTTGGATGGCGATGGCGGGCTGTTGAAGTGTCAAACCCATGCCTGCTCCAGTGATAATCTGCATCTAGTCTTAGTAACACTTCCCATCATCTGTACTAAAACATACCTGATATCCAATCCATTTGGCCTTACTGACGTCTGCCGTCCAAGTACTTATCAACGCCGAGCCAACAATAAGCACAGCACATCCAGCGATAGCAAACGGCGTATAATATCCAATCTTGCTAACCAAAACACCACCAAGAATAACACAGAACACATTGCTAAGTAGTAGCGGGATCAGAGCTATACCTGAATCTTGAGGTGATTTTCCCTTCACAACTTGGAACCATACTGGAAGGTAAAACGAGTATATGACCAGCACGGAACCGATAGCCAAGGCGTTCAAGCAGGCAAACAGCGTGGTTCGCTGGAAAAGAATTCTCGGGGGAACTGTTGCTTTTTCTTTCCGCCAAGCTTGGTACGCAGCGAAGATGAGGAACAAGACGCCAAAGACGACGAAGAGAGCGATGACGCGTCCGCTGGTCCACTGTTGGTTCTCTTTGCCAAACTCAAGTGCGAACAGAAGGCTGACGACTGATCCAGCGACCATAAGAAAGCCTAATGGATCGAGGTCGAGGAATCTCTGACGCCATGACTCAGCTGGCTCGCTGGGTGATGGTCTATTCGGCGCCAAAATGAACAGAAGAATGAGCGAAAGCCCACCGATAGGAACGTTGATCCAAAAGCACCAACGCCACGTAACCGAAGTAAGATAACCCCCAAGAATCGGCCCCAGAATAGACGAGATACCAAAAGCAGACCCAAGTGACCCAAGGTACTTTGGCCTCTCCTCCAATGGAAAAAGCAGCGTGATGTAAATAAATACACCAGAGCCAATACCAGCACCTCCAATACCAGTGATGGCTCTCCCAACGATCAAAGCATTCGAGTTAGGTGCAGCTGCACAGACGATAGAACCAATCTCGAATATGGCGGTTAAAACGAAGAGAACCCATTTTGTAGAATAGTATTTGAAGACGAGACCGAATGATAGTTGGAAGACGCAGAGGGGGAGGAGGAAGGCGGATTCGTACCAGGCTATATCACCGAAGCTGTCAAATTCGGCGGAGATGGTTGGGATGGCTGTGCCGATGATTGTGCGGTCCTTACAGATGTTAGCTTGGTAAAGAAAACCGTAGGAGATTGGCTTACAAGAGCGACCAGGAAGAATACGAGGAAGAGAGCTAACATTGTTGGTAGGACGACTTTCTTTGGTGGGTATATCTTTTCGTTGACTGTGTCGTCGGAAGACATCTTTTCCACGCTGGCGCTTTGCCTACTCGGCGGCATCTCATCTCTAGTTTCTTTCTCGTCCATCATGACAGACTTTAAAAATGGATTGGAAGGTAGAGAGGCCGATAACCCTTGGAGCTTGTTGGACAGAGTATTGGTCGAAGAGAACTTGCTATGTTTGCAAGAGTAATGTCAAGTAAGAAAATAGAGTAAGAAAATAAGCAGCCTGGTCGTAAATAAAGAAGAATCCATTCCTGGGATTCCAAGTCAATTACACATCTCCCTTTCGCATCGTCAAGCATCGCATCAATCGTCCAATCAGATGTCATCCTTCAAAATCTCGGTCTCGGTACCGAGACCGAGCCAAGCAATCTCACCAGCAAAACTGTCGCGGGTCGCCCGAGCTTTTAATTACACACCGTCATGGATCTCAACATCACCGATCAACAACCCTCAACAGCACCACGAAGATCACAGTGCAATATCTTCAAAAATGAGACCTCAAGCCTGCGAACCATGTGCAAAACGCAAAGTCAAATGCGACAGAGCTGAACCGCCGTGTTCTAATTGTAAGCGTCGCAAGCATGATAATTGCACTTACCCTGAAGTGTCGCCCTTTGAGAGGATTAGAAAATTGGAGAACTCTCTCCTGTAAAAGTTTTTCCTTGGCACCCGCTGTTAGCGTTCTGCTAGGGCAGAAAATTTTTACAGGCCAAAATGGCAACAAAAGCAGCTGCGGGACTAGCGGGACCCTAACAGCTGCTGGAAGAAAGGGATTCAGAGAGTTGACCTTTCTTCGTGACAAGTGTTTTCAACGGCACTGAGCTCCGCGAGCTCTTGACATCGCCTCCGGGCACCATTTCATTTGTCTTATCTACGACTTCTTCTCACCTCGGCATTTCGGCTTCGCGAGCCTGCGACATTCCGGCCTCTGTGCCCCTCGACTTCCCGTAACACCGACTTCTGCAGCTTCGGCTGCCCAGACGACATTCGCAGCATCTTGCTGCTTGACATTGAGGGTCATCGCACCCTCACTCTCACTCTCACCTTCGCCTGCAGTTTAACGCTGCCTCGACCGACTACAGCAGCTTTAGCTGCCCGAACAACACAAACAGCCTTCGGCTGCTCGACTTTCTGGGCCCTCTCGTGCCCTCGACCTTGACGCACGGACCCCACATGGTTCGTTGCCCTTTTTGCAGCTCGGAAGCTGCTTGACCGATCTCTGCAGTCGCGTACTGCCCAGAGACCTTCTTCTTCTTTGCGGCCTCGGCTGCTGCCTGGAACACCACCAGGCTTTGACAATCTGTCTCACTGGCTGAGACCACGTGACAAAAACCGCTGGGTTGAAACGGTACAGAGCTTACCTGGAGACCATGGAACGGGGCGGTTGCCTCGTCTACAGAGCAGCGTTCTAGCCGCCTTGGGTTTTTCCCTGCGAGGGGTTTCCCCAAGGATGTACGGTCCTAGGTTGCAGCTACTGGCGATCTTAGGGGATCATGGACTTCCTGCCTCAGGGTATGGAAAGCTACTTGATCTATCTGTGCAAGAGAATTCTAGGCTGGAGAGGAATAGTTCCCGCTGACGGGATGACCTCTTGAAAGTAAATGCGCCTTTGTGCCGATGATATGCTGGATGAACTAGATAGGAGACGCTGCTGGAGGGAAGCTCTGCGAGGATCAACTGTATTGATGTCCAATGGGACGTGCTTCACCGACAACTACTGTAGGGCGAGCTACGAGTAGAGAGGTGCCTCTTGGGGGTAATGAGTACAGAAAACGCTCGAGCATGTATACGGCTCCGATCCAAGAGGCCTTGCAGATGATCCGATCGAGAATCAGCAGGGCAGCGATTGTAGATAGTTTAGCTCAGCACGTCCTGTGCTCCATTAGGAGACTTTTTGGGGCCTACGGCCCCCCGGACGAAAAATATACATAACATAACATATATATTAGAAAATTGGAGGAGGCGGTGAGGGCGCTGGGTGGTGATCCGCTGTCTGATACGCCTGAGAAACTGAGTATAAAGGCTAGTCCTGCAGCGGGGAGTAATGTTGAGACGCCGATTATTGTGCAGGAGGAGGGAAAATCTGTTTATCATGAGTCGTAAGTCAAACTAACACCACTCACTGGGGGGATCTTCATACTGATTCCGACAATGTCAGTGAGGGATGGCACACATGGATAGACGTCTCCCGTCTTTACAAAGGCTCCAAGCCAAAATTTAGTGCCTCCGACCCTCGAGGTTCAGCCTTATCACCCGGAAAGCACCTTCCCCATGCCTTCCACGGCTCGCCATGGAGAGACAACACCATCTTGTCAGATAAACTAGACTTCTGCCCCATACCCACAGAAGAAGCTCTCAAGCTATGGGATTACTTCATGGAGCGAGTGGAACCTATTGTCAAGATCAGCTTCAGCTGGACTCTTACGCATCTCAGGGCCGCTTTGTCGGATGCTGAGAAGTGGAGAAGGCTTAATAACGGTGACCATGTGCTGATATTGTCAACTTGTTTGTTTGGCGCTGCGAGCCTGACGAACCAAGAGTGTTTGGCTCTGTTTGGTCGCACGAAAGCGTCTTTGACGAATGAATGTCGCGTTCAATGTGACATGGCGTTCTCAAGGATAAGCCTACTTGCTATTGACAGCATCTCGGCCTTGAAAGCTATGTGCTTGTACATCGTGAGTTACCTTCTCAAAGCCCGCTGATCACGGACTAACATACTGCCAGAAAGCAAACGTCGACGTATTGACATCCCGCAGTATGTGGACACTGATGGGTCTCATCTCACGAAGCGCAGAACAACTCGGCATGCACCGTGACGGCACAGTATTAGGTCTTTCATCGATCGAAACAGAAGAGCGTCGCCGACTTTGGTGGCAACTTCAACATCTTGATCTCATCCTTTCGTTGAAGAATAATGTTACACCACTGTCATTTGGAGCAGGCTGGGATGTCAGACTTCCCCTCAACATCGAAGACAGTGATCTTAATCCAAGTTCGAGAACACCGCCGAAAGACCGACTTGGTTTGACGAGTTTCTCATATACGCTTTTTACATACTGGATCATGGAGAAACAACGCGGTTTTCGACTGACACAAGCCAGCCAGGCTATGGCGGGAGATAAATCTCTTCTTGGCTGTTTGGCAGACTCCATGATAGATGACCTTGAGACTGGTCTCAACGAGAACTTTTTGCAGTATTGCGATCCCATTAACCCATTGCATACAATCTTGCAGATCACAGCGCGGGCAGTTGTAAATGTTCTACGGCTGAGAAAACTCCATGAAGCTCGTATGAGATCTCAGAACAGTGATGATCGATGCCATATTGAGCACTTCAATGCGTGCATGCAGGGTATGCGGTATATCGTTTTGTCTCACTCGAATCTTCAGCTGAAGCCATTTATCTGGCTCGTCGAGAGCTCATTTCTCTGGTACGCTTGTAAGAAATAGTTCCATGTTCGGTTTAGTTATATCGCGCTGATAAATGAGTAGTTATTGGAATCTTGGTAGACATGTCGAACTTGACAGATGTCAATCTGATAAGATCAGCTTGGACGTTACTCTCGCAGCTTTACGCCGTTGCAGACCATTTATCCGACCTTCAAGACGACAGGAGGAAGTCTCATGCTGCGAGATCAGTCGTGGCAACGTGGTATGAATGCCGGCAGAAACCAGGTTTGGCTGCGATGGAGAAGCCAGCCTTTGTGTCACAGTTGGAGAAGGACCTGGCTGGGTTGGAGAGCAATACTGACACAGACAAACAAAGCCAAGTCATTGTCTCGCAAGAGCTTTGGCAGGCTCGACCTATAGAGACTGAACTGCAGCCGTTTGGGTTCGAGTTTGCAGATATTGATTGGGCGTTCTGGGACAGCATTAGTTAGACATATTCTCGCAAGATACCTTAAGCTCAAGTAAATATGCCAGGCTTCCCATACCTATATTGTGTATAACGTGCGTCTGGAGCAAAAAGAAAAGATTGAGTGACCTCTCAGAGCCTCTACTAACAAAAGAAAAGGGTCTGGCCGGGGATTGAACCCGGGACCTCTCGCAAGCTAAGCTATAGGGTTTTCCCTAAGCGAGAATCATACCACTAGACCACCAGACCAATCTTTAATCACGTGATATCTAGATCAACAGATCAGATCACAAGGCAGGATTTAAGAGACAGTAATAAACATTCTTATTCATGCACAATACCATGTCTCAATACCCTTTCCAATTCGCCCCTTAATTGACTTAAGCCACAACAAAATAAACACCCATGATCCTAAATCACTACTCGAATCTCGCCTGGGTGTCTCCTTTGGGGATAACAAAAGAGAAACCAAGGGACCAGTGAACGGCTGACGCATACGACGGGTACAGAAACCGTATGTCTGAAGTTTTCGTCATCTTGGTTAACCAGAAAAACTAAGTACCGCAGAGACTCAGTAAAATGAAACGGGGTTGTGGATACCCTTTTTACTGAGTTTTCTTTACGGTAATTCTATTGTCGAACTGCCCGCGAAAAATAAGCCTGCGAATTATTGACCTACAGGCAACGGAGCGAAAGCGTGGGGTGAGTCGGCCGAGTTTTGTCTTGGTACCTGGCGCGATCGCTCTTGGGCTCCCTGAAGTTTTCGATTTTGGGCTCTGTGAAGTTCCTTTCTTGCTTCCACTTGTCTTCGATGCTCGGCTCGCTGAAGCTGTTTTTCTTGATACCTTTACATCAGGGGCCAGTAGGTGGGCCATGAAACACATCGTGTAACTGAACATGGTTAGCGTTTTGGGGATAAAGGATGGTATCGGGTCTTGTACGGCGTCGCTTCTCTTGCAGGCTCGCACCAGTGGAGGTGTGTGTCCTGACACAGGTCGTGAGCTATCCAGCTGAGATGTGCAACTGTAGGCGATGTATTAGCTTTTAGGTTTATAATTAGATAGTCAATGGGAATATTGCCCACATCCAGTGTAAAGACGTTGTTTATCTTTGATCTGAGCGTTGGAGTTTCCTTTGGCCCATTATAACCTTGTACGCACAGTAGTAGCTGTCCAGCAGAGTATAATGTATGTGAGAATGTTGGCGACGGCTTTGTCTGGTTGGTTAGAAGAATGTTGGTAAGGAATGGACGAATTCAAGAGGGCGGGGTTTACATGCTTTTATGTTTCAAGCTGTCACGTCGCTTCGTGAAGACTGTGGAGTTGTACCTCAAAAATATAATTCAATGCCGCTATATATGATATAATGTCCATGATTATTAAAAAACTTCATTACAGAGAAGCCGAGTCTCTACTTGATTAATGACGACCTGGAACGTTTAAGCTTTAATGTCGTGATTAAGCCACTGAGCTAAATTGTTTGCTCCAGAGACATGCTCATCTCTGCTTCTGTGAAGCAAAGCTTGTTATAGCATATCAATGAATCATCACATGCGTTTATCTCTGCAGGGATAGGTAATTCCGGGAGACAACAATCCAGCACGCCATGAGATGCTGAGCGAGGTGCTCTCCCAAGCTGCTATAGGCAAAGACTGTAGTGTCATTTTTGAACTGTTCACTTCGCGATAGATAGCTCAGACACCAGGCAGTTTATACCTAAGAGGATCAGAGTTTGCCAACGACTTTTCGCTTCTGCCGTTATAAACTGCTTTCAATTGAGTTTGTTCAAACACGTATTTCTTCGTCTCCTCTGCCGCTGGCCCATAGATATACCGCATCCACTTTCGTCTCACTTACTTCGCAAAATGTCTCTAAAAGTGTCTTCTTTCCACGGAGGCTTCCACGGGGCTTTATCCACGGAAGAAGTTTGGCTTATGTCTTTCGTATCCAATCGGGTTTGTTGTCAATGCTTCTGGCTTACGGTTCCACAGCCAATCAGACCAACAAGAACAATCAACTCCATCTGCGCAGTGGAACTATTCAGCCAGTAAATCTGTAATCGCTAGGTATAACAGTAGCCGGTGTTTTTGACAGTTATGTATATATATAGTTGTCTTAGCCTGAGGTTTGTGATAGATTATCTAAACACTCTTAACTTGCCCTTTCTCCGATCCGCTGAGAACCATGTCAACAGAAGCACCAAATTGGCCAATCGACGGAGGCCATCGCGCCTGGCTTTCGACCTTTGGGGCATGGTGGGCTATGTTCATCACCTTCGGCTGGGTCAACTCCCTCGGTGTCTTCCAATCATATTACGAACAAAACCTCCTTTCAGACTATTCCACCTCGTCAATCGCATGGATCGCATCTGTCCAGCAATGTCTTACATACAGCATGGGCATTTTCCTCGGCAAAGTGTTTGACAACTACGGTCCACGATGGCTTCTTATCTTCGGAGGTCTTGCCCAGGTGTTCGGTCTGATGATGACGTCTATATCGACAGAGTACTACCAAGTCTTTCTTTCGCAGGCTATATGCAGTGCACTTGGCGCTAGTGCTGTTATGTACGGCACCGTTGGAGCGCTGGCGACATGGTGGAAAACTCGCAGAGCTGCAGCATACGGCATCGCCATCTCTGGATCATCTATTGGTGGTGTCATCTTTCCCATCATGGTAAATCGGCTCATGCCTCGTGTCGGATTCGGTTGGACGATGCGAATTGTCGCATTCATCATTCTTCTCGGAGCTGTTATGTCAATAGCGACAATTCGATCGAACAGAGCCCACGTCCCGACATCATTCAATACCCGAACTTATATCACCCCGTTGAAGGACATGAGATTCGTTCTCCTCTGCTTGGCATTGACACTTTTTGGCTTTGGACTATTCCTTCCCTTCAACTTTATTCCTCTAGAAGGACAGTCAATTGGAATGTCATGGGATATGTCGATCTACTCAATCGTTATTCTCAATGCTGTCAGTGTCTTTGGTCGCATCCTGCCAGGCTTTCTCGCCGACAAGTTTGGGCGCTTCAACATGATGGTGGTCTGCACAACCATGTCCGCCATCTTGACACTGGCTGTTTGGCTTCCCGGCAAGTCCAATACAGCATTACTTTGTTACTCTGCATTCTTTGGCTTCTTTTCCGGCTGCTACATCTCGTTGACTCCAGCTCTCGTGGTCGAGGTTTCACCGCCATCCGATATTGGCCATCGCACTGGAATACTATATTTCTGTATCTCCATTGGTGTTCTTGCCGGTAGTCCCATTGCAGGTGCGCTTGTGGAGGCTAATGAAGGTGATTATACATATCTCAAAGTGTTCTCTGGTGTAACCATGTTAACTGGAGCGGTTCTGGTTGCTCTTCTTTGTCTTTACATCAAACACCTTGCAAAGAAGACAGAAGTTGCATCGCAAAAGCAGTAGGAGTAGACGAGATTTTCGGAATGTTGGGGGAGAAGGACTTGGTACAATTTGTTGTTCTTCAAATTTAATAGATATTGGTATAGATCTTCATGCCTTTCCATGAATAGTTGACAATCGATGACAGTGTATTGGGACTTGGACGAGTCAATCATTTAAACTGAATAAACAAAATTAATTTCTCTTGCCAAGAGACAAGGGTTCTAGCATAGATCTCAACGACTTCATCTTCCTTAATCATTTATCCTTAGCTCTTCACTTGCTCAAAGACTCCATCTCGACACTTCCCAAGCTCTCAGCACAGACACCCCGCCAATGATGAATCCCGAGATAAAGAAAGATCAGAAGCGTGATATACTCCGCAAGCAGACACATCAAAGCAAACGCCACCGCTGACCCAACAAGTGAATTCCAGATGGTCGACATGTCATCAACAGTGAAAGCGCAAAGAAGTCCATAGACTGTTCGAAGGGCAAGTGTCGGAATGCTCGCAAGGGTGAGCTGTATGAACTACTTCCTGTCAGTATACATCCCGTCCATATGAATTGTGTAGAAGGTGAACATACAATGTGTCTCTCGGGAGCGATGCGGTGCTTCTGAGTATAGAGATGAAGTAACTCGACAGTCATCAAACCAAGAACAACAGCAAGAGTAACATAGCCAGCTTGCGTCAGGTGTCTTGAGATGTGTATGTTAGAACCACTAAGAGCCCCGGCAACGCAAAGAAGAGCTATAGCGGCGATGAACGCAAAGCGAATGATCTTCAACAGGATAAAAGCTCTCTTGTTCTCATCAAGACTTGATTTCATACTGCCTGGTTAGCATATCGCTGATTGTAAGGAATTGTCGTCTTACATCAGGCGGATGAACCCAACCATGGAGATCATTAATGGAATGAGGCCGACATTGAGCAGTACGGTAGTCGCGATGATGAGTCCGAGACTAGTGGGGTCGGATTGACGGAGAATGGTTAAAATCCCGCCAGCGAGTCGAGCTAAACGCGCCAGGTCGTTAGCGTTATATTTACTCCAGACAGTAGAGATGAGTCCCTTACCGAGGGAGAATGTTACAAGAGGGTACGAAGCAAGACGAAGCCCATGTTTCCAATTTCTGATAAGAACAAACACAGCGATGGGCAAGACAAGTGCGTAGAATACGACTTGCGCAATGCCAACAGAAGTATGTGGACTCAGCATATTGCAAGATATCGTCAACTGACAATGTAGCACAGTAGAGAATAAATCAACCCCGTTACGAGGGACGAGTGCTCTACCTTTATAGGCATTTTGATAGGGGCTCTGAGGCAAACGACATTTTCGCAAAGCCATCAAGACTCGCGGGATGATACCGAAAAAGTGATAGCGCCATCTCTGCCGGAGATCGGCATCTCGACGAAACTCAGCCGCATCGTGGGCCCCATTTCTCGCGCAATGATCCCAAAGATGGCTTAGCCTTGGCGCGCGGATCCCATCGACAAGCCGAGATCATTGGTCAAAGCGACGTGGTTAACTGGACCCAGCTTTAGGGACGCCGGGATGGCATTCTCATCTGAAGGGCAATTTGAACTCAGACAACCCAAATCCTGCATTGCCCTTGAGCCGGGTGCCTGAATTTAATTGAGAAGCAGACAAGACAACATGGTTGGCGTAGCTGGGCGATCTAAAGCGTGTCACACGTGCAGGCAGAGGAGAATTCGGGTAAGTCGATCCACCATCCATACCATTTGAGTCATGGGCTCTGCGATCGACGCTCCCGAGGCTGACCTGATGGTCTTGTCATATACCAGTGTGGCGCTGAAAAGCCGAGTTGTAGTAACTGCCTCAAGTCCGGCCGTTCATGCGCAGGCTATCAGAAAACACAGGTCTTCATACCATCCCATTACACAAAGACAACTAATCCCGAAATGATAACTTCGGATGCACCTCTATCTCTGTTGCGGTGCAAGGAAGTTAAGCATCACTCACATGGGAATCGACACCTTCCGATAACCACGCTACCGATATCGATATCTGTACGCAATGCCAACAGGGATCAGTTCCTAGCCCGATTCATAGACCGGCAGCTCCCATCATGTATCCTCACCTCAGGCCACCTCAATGATCATCGAAAATGGCTTCTCCGCCTACCCGACATGCCGTCACCGACCCCGGCCATGGAGCACGCCATCCTGGCCCTCAGTACCGCAGCCTTGGAGAAAGATGGCGGCTTTGGCGTCAGACAAGGTCAGAGCCTGCAGCTATATACAAGAGGACTCTACGAGCTACAACGGGCCATTGACAACCCCAAAATGAGATTGGATGATCAGACCTTGGCTGCATGTGTCTTGCTCGGCATGTTTGAGTTCTCAGAATGTCCGGGGCGAACTGTTAGTGATTATATGAGACATTATCAGGGAGCTATGGCACTCTTGAGGCTTCGTGGGCCCGGGCAACATATTGGTGGACTGGCGCATGATGTGTTCCAAGTACTGAGAATGCATACGGTAAGTTCAACCATGTACCCATCCACCAGTTTCTGACTTGAGGTAGGCTTTTCAAGGTCTGGCCCAGGGCTACGATAGCCAATTAGCCAAGTCAGCATGGATGGAAGGACCATGGATCTCGAAATCCAAGACCATGCACGATCTACTTCTCGATATATTTCTACAGGTTCCTCAACTTTTGTCCAGAGCCAGAGCGGTTCTATCATCACAACCTTCTCAGTACTTGCTCACTACTGTCATCGAAGCGTTATCAGCATTGCTTGCTCTCAACGAGGAACTTGATCAATGGCTTGCTTCTTATCAGCATATGTATCCTACACTTTACTGGCCACAACTATCAGAAGCTATTAGTTCAACAGACAGTGCGAAGTTGGGAAAGCTGTTCCCCGTATACCTTCAGTTTCCGTCCTATCACGTCGCGGAGACAATGATACTCTACTGGACTGTACAGATCCTGATACATGCCAGCATCTGTTCCCTATCATCGAGACTACCATCAACGAAGACGGAAGACGAGATGGCACACTCTGGGGGTGATGATCGGTCAAGCAAGGCTAAGGATTACATGTCTTTCAGTGACGTTCAACATGAGATCCAGACGTCAGACTTCAAGAAATGGCCAGAAACGTCAGCTCGCTCCATCTGTCAGTCTGTGGAGTATTTCTTCCAACCAGAGTTCAGTGGCATTGGCCCGGGAGTTGTTCTATCACCCTTACTAGTAGTCAAAGCGTGCCTGTCCAGCTCAGCGCGGAAATTCTCTCGAGAGATTGCTTGGATTGATGAGACAATTGGGCGCATTCAGAATAATGGGGCTGGATTAGCGGCTTGCATTTAGCTACTGATGAAATTTAAGAAACTATTCTACTATCCCGTTCTCAAGAATCGTCCTCGTCATCTTCCTGATCCTCTGGATCCCATTGACCCATTTCGTATAACAGCGCGGTGTTCTCCCTAAGAGGCACCTCACCATAAAAGTGACCTTCAATGCCATAATTCACATCCTGCCAGTGTTCAAGACTCATATCGCGCTCATGTCTTTTCGTAGCGATGCTGGTATCTTTGCAAACAACACCGCTGTAAGAAAGGCTACCCTCCATGTCGAGGTCATCAAGATCAACCCTAAGACCCTTCGGGGTATCACCTGATACGTTGGGGTGTTCACGAATCGCACTAAAAACAAAGCGCCAGTCGACGTTAGACGGTCCTCGACAAACTTTGCCAGACACCTCGAGGTGCCGCAGACTCTTCAAATGGAGAAGCCAGTGTCCGAGGGCTTGGGGGAAAATGTTGCCCTTTTGTGTCAGGTGAGTAAGCTCCGGGAAGTCATGGGTGGGCTGTCGAATAGGCCAGCATAGGACACCTTTTCCAACATGATCAATGCCATAGGCGAAATGCTGTATGCTGGAATGACACTTGTCCAGCAAGTCGTGACAGAAGTCGCCCGCCTTGATCTTCATTTTCTCGGCATGCGAGTCCGACATAGCCCAAAGGTGTCGCTCAACGAGACCGTTCTCACCAGAAGGGATTTCGGGGGAGATATGGAGTATCTTTAGCTTGCTGAAGTCGAGTTCTTCCCAGCCGGGGATATCTTTGCACTCGACGTCACCCGTCATGAATAGTTGGATGTTGAGATGAGGGATAGCAACACCCGAAGCTGCCAAGCATGCGAGGACCATGGCGATGAGCTTATCACCCGTGACAGCGGTGGCGTGTTTACAATGGTATTCCACAGTAGGCTCGGAGTTCTCATCGCGGAACCCAAATCTTTCCCATTCGTCTTCTTCATGGTCGTGTCGAGGAAGTTGCCACGGCATACCGACGTCCTCGCTGGGTGCGTCAAGATACTTGACCTGACGAATCTCCTTGCAATCGTAACTTAGTAGCTTAACTCTTTCAAGGCGGTCCCCCAATGCCTTGAGGACTTCCGTCCACGCTTGTTTAAGCTCACTCTCAGGATCTTCGAGTAATGCCTGTGTATCTCTAGCATCGCTCATGTATGCTTCATACGCAGCCTGCAGCGCTTCAGGCCAAAAGAGAACAGATGTATCTTGTGAACTGCGAAGGATCTTCTCATACGCTTTGTAGGGAAGCATCCAGCTGGGTGGTGTTGTGAACGTAATGGAATGCACATGAGGAGCGACGCGGGATAAGTCGCCGCGCTGAATACTTGTAAGCCCAGCACGCGTAGGTTCGAGGCAAATGTTGTTGAATAGAATATTGTTCAAGTCATCGCAATCTGCGAATGTTCTGTGTGCCAATCTCAAAGACTTGAGGTTCTGATGAGTCTCTTTCTCCACTGTAATGTCTCTGGATAACGCGGTTAGTAAGACGCGGAAATATCATGTACTGAGTGTGCGTACGGGTACTTGATGCTAAAAGGAACATTGATAAAACGCAGTTCTTTAACGATCTCCACGAGAATTTCTGCGGGAAGACAGAGCAAGTTGCTCGTATTCTGTTGTGGTTGAGCATCCATTGTGATCTTGAATCGGTGGTAAAAGAATAAGAATTCAAATTGAAAAGAAACAGGATCCTCTGTTATGTTAAAATAGAGGCAGAACCAACAGAAAAGGTTACACAGAGTCGAATACGGAAATTAGACCCCTCCAGCAAATAACGCTAATTGGACGTTTGGTGGGAATGGCACGATGCTGCCTACAGAGCCCCCGCTACAACTGAAAGACCCATTCACACGAGTCAACACAACAGGTGTCGGGGACTACTGTTTTTGAACGAACGGATAAAAAATAATATACTTGAAGATGGAAATGTAGAAATAAGCACAACTGCTTAATTCTACATAAGATGCGTGCTCTTGAACATCTAAATTAAAGGCATATCGCTACCAGCATTGCTACAATTAGAGTCCATGATTCGACGCGTAAAACGCGCGAGGTATTCTCAGTATTGCTTGAGATGCTCGTCTCTGTTGAAGTAGGATGTGAATATCTTTTCGTCGCTTCCTGACCACTGTTCGTAGTTGATACTGGTGTTTCTGGCGTCTCTAGTGCCTCAGTCGAATTGGCTTTGACATGTCGCTTCGCCAGATCGTAACAAGCACCAAAAGTAATTGTATTATTCAATCGGACTTGGGCATATGGAATACCAACCATCTGATTGAACCATCTTTTTGGGCACTCATGCGCACCGCTGGTAATGTCGTCTTGATCCTCAGCCCACCACGATGAAGCTGAACTTCCCAGTGAAGACCATGCAGGGAGAAAACTGGTCGGTACAGCGTCGACAAAGGCGCACCAGTCTGCGAGGGCGAATTGTCATTCTTATCTGTTTCGGCGGCCGCAGTGGAGCACACGAATCGGTTGGAGTTTTGGGCGTTGATCAATTTGTTTGCCTTGGCATTACACACAAGTTTACTTCGAACTGACCATGTCTGTTGGTTGTCGTGTTGGTTGCTACTTGTAACTTCACGCTTAGCTGTGAATCGGTGTTTATGGACCCAGAGATTTACAGGGGAGCACGGCCCGAGGCTATATTCGGAACAGGCCGAAATTCAAATCAACAAAACGTGTTTCATCCAAGGAAGATCATGTGAATGTCTTGGAAATACCTGTATTGTCTCATCCATTTCCCACCGCTGCCTCGTCCTCATCCTACTCGTCTTCCGAATGAGTCTCTACCATCCCTTTTCTCCAATTACCTAGCATAAATCGTAACCCATAATTACGCTTGAATGGTAATTCGTTATAGAAATACTTCTCGAGGCAGTACTGTCAATCCGTCAGGCCCTCAGGATCTGTGTTTAACATTTTCCTTTCCGAGGCGATGTTACTATCGTGGCTAATCACGCCTCTAAAACTCATTCTAACCCATTGAGATGTATGGATGTAGCGAGATTCTACCTCCAGGCCGGTTGTGCTTTGTCTCGTCACGCTTGGGTGATCTCGAATGGCATTGAAGAGATGGCGCCATTCGATGTAGGGAGTTCCTAGGGAGCGGTCTAGGCCATCCAGTTTGAGGTATCGTAGCTTCGGCATATTTCTGAGCCAGGTACTCATAATTGGATTGACCCAACCGAAAGCATGGATAAATTGTCCAAGAACTGGAAATTCAAGAGTCGGAGGCTCGATAGGCCAGTCCATGATACCCCTTCCGTTGAGGATGAGGGATTTCAATATCGCCAGATATTTATGGGCCATGGCATTCAAGATCTTGGCAGTTCGTTTCTCGATTTCTTCCCTTCTTAAGCAAGGCAGATCTTCATAGCCGCTGTGATGTTCACCGTCCGGAATTTCTGGACTGAACTCGATTTTTTCCAATGCTGAAAAGTCTAAGAGATCCCGGCCTGGCAATTTCGTGCAGTCGAATGTTCCTGTTATTATACTTCTGACGGTAATTTGGGTTATGGCAACACCAGAAGCTGCTAGGCAGGATATAACAGTAGAGAAAAGCGCGTCACCTGCAATAGCGGCAGGATATCGACAGCCATAAGCGACATCATGATCGAGATGACGGTGAGGGCCAAGATGATATGGTATCCCTTGGTATACCTTGCAAAGGTAGTCAAGGCCTCCAATGTGACACAGCCTATCGTCATCGTCACGAGGACTGAAGAGGCAAATCTCGCGCAGACTACCTCCAAAGAGCTCCAGTGTTTTCACCCACAAGCGTCTGAGCTCACTGTTTGGGTCTGTGAGTAAAACCTGCGACTCTCTGGCATGATATATGTATGTTGCATATGCGCCAGCCTGCTGTGGATCTCCAAAGCCTGTTTTGTCCTCTGGCATAGTGTCTTGCACGATTCCTTGAAAGGCCGCGAAAGGAAGCTCCCAACTCTGTGGCGAAAGAAATGTGAGTGAGCGAACAAATTTTGCAATGCGTGAGAAATTCGCAAGTTGAAGCTTTGATAATCCTCCAGGTGTTGGCTCCAGTCTGATGGTCTTGAATAATGAAGCGTTGATGTAGTCAAGATTGGCAAATCGCTGACGCGTTAATCTCAGAATTTCGAGGTCTTGTCGCGCCTTTCTGCCAAATAAGTTAGCTCATCTTCTGAATTAGTGGTATGATTATCCGTAAGCAAATCTGTCAGTTTTCGAATTGGCGTCGTTGATCAAGGCGTTCACAATGTCGATGACGATTTCTGTAGGTAACTCAAGGAGGCTGCCTGAAAGGTTGGGATTGGCCATTTTTACTGGTACACGCTGATAGGATATCTGTGAGAAAATACCCGTCGAAATCAATTCAGATCAAGGCGTTGTGTGGTATTGGTACTATATAAGCAAGACGCAGCATTGTGTCTAGTCGGTTATTGAGTCGGTCATCATGGCGCAGTGCCCTCAGCCTCAGAGTAGCGGACAAGGTGGAGAATATTTGTTATAACTGTTCTTCACTGGACACATATTATAATAATGGGGCACTGGTGCCTAGCAGCCCCCTATTCATTCACGTTTACCTTTGACGTTTACCGGATGGTGGACGTGGAATCTCGGTACTAGAAGTCTCAACGAGGGCATTAAACATCAGTTTACGCACCCAAAGTCTTGCACTACGGTCTAATGCCATGATTGGAACAGACCGAAACTCCCATAACCACATTGGAATTGAACTAAGCCTCATCGAAATATCAACACCAGAGCTCCCTCCTTCTAACTGAAATGACGGCTTAAGAGGTATCGGAAAGGTGCCGCAAGGTAAAGTGAAGATGGCAAGAAACCCAGTGGAACACCAATATCTTGGCGATTGAGTCCATAAGATATTCGGTAAAGAAGAATATCTCCTAAGGACATCAGGAGGACTGTTTCGTGCCCCTTCGCCGCGAATTGAAGAGCGTTCAATGATTCAGTTGAGGGGTTATCCCAGCGAACCTTGGCGATATAGAGCGAAAGGAGTGTCAGTGTGACGGTGATAGCTGGTAGATGCATAATTGAAAAGTGGCGCAGAGCTGACATTCTCTTGCTTTGGTGGGTAAACAAATTCCGAAAGAAAGAAAGATGACCCGATCTCCAAATGCCGGTAATGAACGGAAAGAAGTTTCGTCTTTTGGGGGGTTTCTTGACATTGAGCTGTTCAACCGTCAGGACCCCTGGCTCTGAGCTTGGGTTTACAGCAGCGAGAAATGTGTCTTCAACCTACTATCAATCAGAATGTATTGCAAACGCTGCCCATAAAAGTGCTTACCAATGGCTTTGAGGAATCAGCTCCCGTACTGACGGTATAAAACGTCCCAAGTTCGTGGTCATCGTCGCCTCGCATGCTGGGTGGCTTGTACTGTCTTGCGTTCGTGTTGGCAGTTCACTCAACACGTAGCAATGGGTAAACGGAAGAAGAAGAAGAAGAAGAAGAAGAAGAAGAAGAAGAAGAAGAGAGGGAAGTAAGGCTTTGAGCGCAGTATGCCCAAATCTTACTTGCATCAATTTCAGCCTTTGACGTATGTTCCGAACCATCTTGTAGATTATATCTTTTCAGGCTCTGGATGCTTGAGCTGTGACTGGTCCCCCTTGAGAAAAACCTGCGAAAACAACGCTAAAAGCTGCACTTCCTGCAATATTGTTACAGCCTCCTAAGAAAACTGAAAACCTCGGGCTCGGGTTTTATTTTAATAGGTCCGTCGAGATAGGCCGACTGACAACTGCACCCGCTCTGGGGTCACACAACATCAGTAAGAGTGGGTATTTTGGACTAATAATAGTAGCCAGAAGTGGCTACGGAGTATTCGTTGGTGCACACAACAAGCCAACAGCGCATGGCTGCCTAGTTTCAAGTCGTTCTTGATTGGCTGTGAGTGGTCGATTCTGGGCTGGCGCAAGGGGCTGGATTCATTTGGTTATGATCAATCGTGTAAGGCGGCTGGTAGCTGCTAATAACTCGATTCAAGCTTAGAATTCGACAAATAATACCAGAAAAACAGCTATAGACTTTGGAAAAATCAGGGAAAAGGCTGTATAAATATTTCGTCTCACAATTTAACCATACGCAGACGGGTACCAAGGATTGAACGACATCCCAGATCTGTTCCTAGGATCCATAAAGGTTTTGACATCATATGTGAGTAATAGGCTATATGCAACAAGTATAAATGAGCGGAGAAGGGAAGAGTAAAGAGGTCAGGTCTACAAATAGACGGACATACTATCTAAGTTATGCCCTGCCCTAAAAGAGAGCTATTAGAGAGTGTAACGCTCAGAGATAAAAGGCATTCATCCCTAGAACAAGCAATAGCGACCAATGGCCTCTCAGTTGACCGTGTCCAAGCTTCTCAGCCGCGTTACTCTCTGATGGAGCAGTGGCAGAAGGTACTGCCGTGGTTGTTGATGATGATGCGGTTGTGGTACTCTCCGGAGTTGAAGTGGTCTCAGCTTCACTGCTGAGATCGCTCGGAGTTTGCGAGGAGTCTAACCAAGGCTGTGCCGTCGTAGCCGGGTGCTGTAAAATAGTTGACGCTTTTTTCTCAACCAGCACTGACTTGGGACATAGCTCATCCATGCGTTCACGCTGGGTTATGATCCAACTGTTGGCGGGGCTGTAATGGCTAATATCGAATCCCCAGAGACGTCTGACATAACAAGGCTCGCAGAGGTACTTGGCAGGAAGTTTCTCATCGTCGTCCAACTCGGGGAACGAATCGATAATGTCTAAGGGAAAGGATCAGCATTTGAGCATCACGGAGTACTTATTTACGAACCGTTGCAGTATTTCCCTGTCTTGGCATCCTTGTCGCAAATCTGTCTCCGACCCTCCACCATATTGGGCGCACGCATCCCTTCCGGTTCGCAGTACTTGGCAAAGGATGCGGCCCATTTCTGGAGGGAGTCACCGCACTTTTTGGCGCAGATACTATCGGTGATGGTGAAATCGTCGCCTTCCTCAATCGAGCCTTGCCAACCGCTGCTCCCTGCGTCGTCAAGACTGGCATCGCAGTCGATATCTGTCAACATGACCTTGGCACAAGCCTCGGACCCACCATCTTCAACCCATTGTTTTACGAGGTACTCCTTGTAAGCAAGAAAAGCGCTCGCGCTCCAAAGGAGGTGAGAGGTGAGAAAGAGCGTGGATAGCTTCATAGCGTAATAGCCCAACAATTGAAAGAGTGAAATCGGAGGGCTTTGGAAAGGAAAGAATGAAACAATGACTCATAAAGCACCTACCTGCAGGCGGCTTCGTTCGCTTTATGGAGAGAGAAGATGAAAGCCCGTGATTTATGACCGTGGTCAAACCATGTGTCACTCGGTTTCTTTCCATGGGCCTGCCAATGAGACCGCTTGAATAAAATGGTAACTTAGGGGCCAAGGACGCCAAGTCGGCTGGACTGACAATGCAACCGAGCTCAATCCCTGTCTAGCGCTCTTCACGACCCTTATTTGATGTAACAAGCTGTTGGTTGTTGGTAGCAAAAACCAAAAGTACCACCATTATTGTCTGATTTGAACGTGAAGTGGACATTGCAATAAATGTACAACGATTCAAGATCTGAATTTCATGCATGCTTATTAGGCAGCCATGCCATGATAGAATCCAACTGCTAGAACAGGCGAAACCCCCATTGACATAAACTCAGCTTGACCTGTACTCCAGCTACGCTAAGCCGCCTTTAGCATAGTGCATCTCAACACCGTAGCCGTGGACTGAGCATATGACGATGTTAAATGAAGCCAACAAGTCTAATCGAGGCTTAAAACCTTTATAATTACTACAGCTAGAACTTTGAAGTTCAATTGTATCTAGAAGTACTACATAATGTAAGAATACAGGCACATAGCGCCTGGTAGTAGTGGAGGAGCGGCTAAGGGGGCTTTAACAACAAGCGACCTAATGTAAATATGAACCTGGCTGGTTATCCGGGAACTACGCTGAGTTTGGTTCATCAAGGCTCAACTAAGGTAGTCAATGAAGTTGCCAATGTGTCTTGAACAGTTGGAATGACAGATGCGGGGTAGACTTTCCTAGATTGCATGAGGGAGGTATAAAGTCATCTGGATGCCCGGGTTATTTACCTTCTTTTCAACGCGTTCTAGGTCCTTTCTCGACAAATAAACTAAACCACGCTTCATAACTGACCACTCTCTTACTTACATCTTCGATCTCCACCCACCATCACATCGTTATAAACCTCACCTCCTTCAAACTACACAATCATCATGCCGACAGAATCTACCATAACCATCCCCGTGAAGAGAAGTAGTGAAAGGGGCGCTGGGGGTAGTTTATCCTTTGGCTAAATCGTCATTGCAGATATGAATGGTGAAATGTTTCACGGCGCGGGAGTCGTACCATCCCATGATGAGCGATCAGGTGGTCAGCCACCACAAGGAGATATCAAGGGCGGAAAAGAAGGGATTATGGCCGACCAGAATCCCGTCGACGGAGGCGATAGGGCTGCTACCGGTATGTGTTTGCCTTTCTCAAATTTTTAGGGGATCCCGGTCTTGCTAATAAGTGTAGATAATGTAAATAAAGGACACAAATAAACTATACACCGAAGACCAATAGGTTCAGTTATATCGATAGGAGAAGCAATGTGTATTTTAGGAGAATAAAGGTGGAAGATGAAGCCGACTAATTTACCTGATATAAGGATACCAGACGAAATGGCTGCCCATTGCCTACTGTCCCATCGTCAAGTCTCTAGCCCAAACTATACAAGCCACAGTAGCTAGGTCCAGTAAAACATAGCCCTAACTCATCCGGCTTTGTCATGTTCCAGTCCCTAGTTGGACGGCATGTTGAGCGGCGATAAAGGAGTGATCCACTACTAGTGTGACGCAGGCAAACTGATGTTCAACTTTGACAACCCCTTTATCGGCAGCAACGGTTACACCGCCTCTGGCCCCTCAAGCTTCAATATCTCTAGTAGTGGCGGGAATGAAAATGAGAGCCATATTACCTGGACTACCACTGGTACGTTACTCTTTTAATTTATTCAGTAGGCTTGCTAACTTGTTTTGATAGAGAAAGTTGGGTATGGGCATAAGTAAGCCCTCGATTCACGGCAATGCCTGTGTCTATCGATACAAAGCGTTACCTTCTTGAGACTTCTTCTCTTTTGTGTCAAATGCTTTCGCCAGGTAGAGGTTGTACAGGGTACATAGTAATTGTTAGGAGATGCCAGATCAAGTACCCATCGATTGAAAGTGACATACTCCGCTTACTGTCCTCCTCTTGATATGTTCTTGGTGTTCTTGCTTTGCCGCAACACTTTCCAACTTAAACTATCAGTCGTTCTAAACTCCTCTAGTTCTCCGTTGAAGACAAAGAATCCGTAGGAAACCAACATGCCTGGTTTGCAGAACAGCTGATATGTTGCCAAGTGCCCAAGTAAAATCGGCTCGACAGATACTTCCGGCCGCAAGGGCCCGTTGATAGGAATCTCGGCATATGCACTCCAAGAGAAATATCGTTCGAAGACACTGGGTAACTTCGCTACTCTCGGGAGCAACAGTGGTAGAATGCAGGAGTAGTGCTTTTGGTAATGTACCACATTTTGGCACGGTAAACCAGGCCCGTTTCTCTTGCAAGATGAAGATTTTTGAAGAGTGTTTCTCGCTTGGATTTATATCTACATGGCCGATTCCATGTAGTATAAAAGAAACTGCATGCCCTATACCTAGCTGCTGTTGCATGTTTCGTGCAGGCCTCAAACTGTTGATATCACTTGCGCTTATAGTTCATTTGAACGACATAATAATACTATCATATCAATCTTGTGTTAGTTTACTCAACTTCAAGATTGCTCTTGCTGATAATCTCTGAGACTTGTGGCTGCCCAGGCCTATGGTCAGTCAATAACGACGAACTCAAGCTTCCGGGTTTGCGGTCGGGACGGGACCCGTGTCCGGCTTTAGCACCCGATGCACTAATAATACTTGGCGCAGCTCTGAGATATCTGACGTGTAAAGGGATCGGATATCTTACCCGACTCTGGCAAGGCAACACGGCATAGGCGCGACGTGGCGTATCATCCCCGCACAGCTCTTGTAGTTTCAGTATAATTACCTACAGGTTGCCATGTGATTGGAATATCTATAAAACGCGGCATTCCGAAGTTAGTTAATTCGTGGACAACTAAGCAAAGCTAAATTCATCCAATTAGTTACTGTTCACATCGGCCTTTTTCCCCAGTCACAACTTAACTTTTTCAACATGCAGATCCAAGACATCACTGTGTTTAGCTACGATGCCAACTATCGATTCGGCACATACTCCATGTCTCATGGCCGCTTAGCCAAGGGCCACAAGTCCCTCGTCGTCAGAATCCGTTCCGACGATGGTTTCGAGGGTTGGGCCGAGACTGCGCCTCTCGGTAGTGACTATCTGCCAAGTTCATTCACTGGCGAGTTAGCAGCCATACAAGAGCTCGGTCCCCAACTTTTGGGTCTAGACCCAAGATCACCCGCAGCAATTGATGATCAAATGGATCGTGCGATGATGGGCGCTTATGCGGCAAAGGCAGTCATCGATATGGCCTGCTGGGATATTCTCGGAAAGTCTCTCGGGTTACCAACTGCGATTCTTTTCGGCGGATGTCTCACCGAGAGACCCAGGGGCTTTTCAGTCATTGGAATTCGAGAGACGGAGGCTGCTGTGACTCAGGTCAAAGAGGAGTTCAAAAAGGGCGCGACGACAATGCAGCTCAAGGTTGGAGACGATCCCCTTGTTGATGCGCAGCGAGTCAGGGCCATTCGCGCTGCTCTACCCGACCATGTTTTGCTTTGGGTCGATGCAAATGGTGGCTGGACTTTGGACGAGGCATTAACCTTTGCACGCGCCATCGGGCAAGAGATTGCTGTTGGGGTCGAGCAGCCCTGCCGCACACTTCATGACTGCGCCGAACTCGGTCGTCGTACAGGACTACCAATTACGCTCGACGAGAGTATCGTCACTCTGGCTGATCTCTTAGAAGCTCATGCAGCTGGTATAACTGGTGTGAATATCAAGCCGTCACGGGTCGGCGGGCTTACAAAGGCACGACTCATTCGCGATGCAGCTGCTGCGCTGGACATGGTCATCAACTGTGATGATACGTGGGGTTCCGCTTTGACGACGGCTCAGAACGTTCTGTTGGCTACTACTACCCCGAGTCATCGATTGCGCGCCGTGGACCTGTTTTGTGAATGGACGGAGCCGTTGATTGCTGATATTCCGAGGATGGAAGCGGATGGGAGAATTACGCCTAGCACCCAGCCTGGAAATGGGTACGCGGCCATCTTTACGGATATGCTTGGTGAGCCATTAGCCCAGATCACATCTAATTGATATATGCCTGAGCCGCCAAGTCCCGCATCCAAGCTGTAGCCGTTTGGTGCCTGCGCTGAAATATTAAGCTTTTGAATGGAAGAGCATTGCAACAACTTGTCAGTGATTTAAATTGCCAGTGAAACTATGGGATCGAGACCCTCGTGAGCAAAAGTTTAAAATTTGCTGAGTGCTATAGAAATCATCAAGTGAATGACCCAGTATACGCATCCTCCCCAGGCAGCTATCCAGCAGACACACCAAGAACATTAAGACGAAAGTAGAATACACTGCATCCCCTCAATAGTAGGACAACTTGGTGTCTCCCTAACAGTTCACCGCATGTGCTGGGTACTTGTTAGGTTGAGAAGTGAGGCGCAGATGGCCTTCCCAAGTTCCCCCATGAGAGAATTTGCAACAGCCCACAATGGCTCCATGCTTATGCTGCCAATCAGCACAATCCTTCACCGCATCCAAGATAGTCTTAGTCTCAGCCGTAGTCTTGCAATCATGGCCACTGGTAGTAGCCAAGTACGCATAACCCTCCACAACATGACCATTACCATCCGTGCCGGTGGTCATAGAGCAGCTGTTACGTTCAGCTTTGCTCTTGATCACATCAGCGATGAACTGATAGATGTTAATCCCCGACTCGGCAGCCAGGATGGTAGTACCGCCAGCCAAGGCCACCGTAGCCCACGCCGTAACGTCAATGTGGCGACGTTTCTCAAAAACAGATACGTAGCCGGGATCAACGAGGTCCAAAGTCGCGGTGAGGTTGGAGTCTGGACCGTTCCATTGTTTGACGAGAGGGTTATAGCCTACGCGCTGACCTGGCTTGTCATAGAGCCCAAGACTCGGTTCAATAAAGCCAAATGCGAGGCAAGCAACCCAAGTTTTGCTGAGGTTGACCATGATCCTGATGATATGCGGATTACAACTGCGGCAGCGTCTATAATGAAGATTAGGAGTAGAAACTGAAGATCTCCCATAGTATTGGTTTGAGAGGTGGTAGAGAATATGCTTGTCGAAGGGATTAGAGGTTCCTTTTATATCTGAATTCGCTCGGATTTGCTCGTTGCTTGTTTCCCAAGGTTCTTGCGTGTTCGTGACTTTGACCTGCAGTTTTGGATTTCCGAAGGATTGAGAAAGTTGGGCGTGTTGGTTGTTGGTTGTTGGTTGTTGGTTGTTGGTCGTTCTCAGGTATATGTATGGTTTATACAAGGGTTTCATGCAGGGGACCGGATCACTCGGAATGATTCACCAGGCGCATGTGATGGCTGTTGGTTCTAATAAACATTACCAGCGCATTCAGAATAACGACCCGCTATCTGCTCTACTGCAACTCAAAAGCCAACCCATATCTAGTCGCTCTTACTGAAAAAGCTGCAAAGCTACGCACTTAATCAAAGAAAAGAAGGTATACTCCAGCGCGCTACTTCAACCAGTAGCTCAACGAGACAACCGATTTCTCCTTGTATTAGCAAAGCCTTTTGACTCCTCTAAGCGCTGGCTGCATTTAATCATGATTTGAAATCTATATCGGAAGGAAAGTGCCGGTTTATGCGGTAAATCTTTCGACATAGCGCTTTGACCGGCAATGCGGCACGATCCGTCGATGCCAGCAAATAACACTCCTTCAACCAGGTTACTAAGACACTGTCGTTCTCGAGTAAAAAAAAAAGCCTCAGTAGTATTTGCTAAAGATGACGACCAACATCTATTCACCCACTGCTTCGGCGATTACCACTTACAGACAGGCGATGGAGGAGCTTCGATGTTTGAAGACTGGGCCAACTTTAATGGTCTAGTCGGTTTATTCATTGCCTAAGGCTTGAGGACGGAAATAGTTCTATCTAGAGGAGGTAATCACTCTGTGCAGCTTGACGAGAACAATGGTACTCAAAGAATTTCTAGTAGGATGAGCTCGTGGTAGAGTGGCCTATCTATACCTGCCAATGGCCAAAGCCCTAATGAACAATACTAGCCAGTCCTTCCACAGTCTGAACCCCCTCCACCTGTTCTCCAACCCACCCATTCAAATCGAATACATGCCTATACACATTCAAACTTCCCCGCTTCTTGTAAAACACAAACATCTTATCCTTATAAGAAACAGAAGAAATATCCCTGTCGACATCATCACATCCCGGTATACGCATCGATCCGCTCGCTTGGACAGCAAGATCCAACGCTCACCATCAAAAACATGATACCAAATCTTGGTGCTGTCAACTACCCCGTGTCCTCGATGCATCAGGTAGAGTTTCTTTTGATATACCGCTACCGTTACACCCCAGTTCCCATTTCGGGAAAGACCTTGCCCCGTCTCCCAATTACTCCCATCGGAGGTAACTTACCTTCAGTAGCTTAAGCCAAATCTAAGACGATAGAATAGATATATCTTGTCGTTAAATACAACAGCCGTAAATCCCACGTTCACCTTGGGAATGGGGATATCAGTATCACCCTCCATGTCTGACCGTTAAAGGCATTGTATCTCAGTTCCCCCTGAGGAGCTCCACGGTGGAAAAGGTATAGCTTGCCTTTGAAGGTAACAGCACACATTCCAGGTGAAGTAACAGTATTCGGAATAATCGTTGTAGCGCCTTTTGTCCAGGCGCATGAGTCGTATAACTCGTAATAGACTCGGGACTGATGCGTTTGAGGGTGAAGATGGAAAATGTAGAGCCTGTGAGTAAAGAACCGATATATCCTGATTCGCCGCCCACTCAACATGGAACGTCCCTTGTATATCCAGCCACTCGGCCTGAATCTCAAATATCAAAGGCTTATCGTCCACAAAAGCCCTGTTGCTAGCCTTGACTATAATCTTGGTGACTCGTAGAATGGCCTTCTTCAAAGTATTCAGAATATCTTTGTTCATCTGCGACACCTTTTGTACGATTTATTGAATATCATCCAGCGTTGCGATGAGGTCGTTGACTTGTATCTCTATGCTTTCGTAGTCCTTCTTCTTGTTCAAGTATGCATGTTTTGCAGGCAACATCTTGATTTCACCCTCGATTTCAGCAATTCTCTTCCTTGCAGCCTCTTTGCTTCGGCGTAAGTCTCTCCTCAGTCTTTTCAAGAGCTCTCTTCGCTTCCTTCATGGCATCTTTGAGCTCTTGACTCCTCCTCATCAACTCTTCAAGAAGTCTGATTTGACGATTCAGATCTTCTTTTTCATCCTTGGACATCTCCTCAATCCAGGTCATGGGTCCTCTATTGATGAGACCATCAAGTGCTCGTCCAAATTGGTCGAACTTTCTGGCTGCTTCGTTGATGGCTTCTTCGATGCGCCAGAAAGCTGGTAGTTTCATGATGGCTTCTCCAGCGTGTCGGAGTTCTGCGTCGATTGCTTTTCGGGCATGTGCTTCCTCTAGACCTAGTGTAGCTTCTGTGAGCTTTATGGCCTGGTCAAGTGTTAATGAATGCGACTATCGTTACTGCAATGATAGTACGTACTCAATATGGTTTGTCCAAGATACCACCGTGATTGAGGTTCCACTCGCAACTCTTCTTCCATTTCCATCTCGTTACCTCCAGTTCTATCAAGGTTAGAGTTTGTCGATAGCTCAAAGTTCTTACCTTGCACCTGAATACCTCGGTCGTAATATCGACCTAAGAACTCTGCGCCAGATGAGACATACAACTTGAGGTCCTTGAAAACCAGTTTGTCCTCCGCACCTTTCATCCGCTGCATTTCTGGGTTGTCGATGAGAACGCTAGCAAACTGAATGATCTCCATAGCATCGATCTTGTTCATCTCAAGCTGGAAGACTGCTTCAGCGCTGGTCACGCGCAGACCCATGTCGAGTTTCGCGCGATACTTTCCAATATCGACTTGTCCACGGAGAGCAATTTCACTGAAGTTTTGTTAGGACATTCGCCTAGCAGTAAACGGGGGACTTACTCTGGTCCAGTAACGAGAACAGTCGCATATGTAAGCCTGTTCCGAACCCGAGTTGAGAAAAGACCAGGTTCTTATTCAGGTTGAATGGGTTGACCCATTTGGAATCATCAGACATTTTCCTACCAAGTCGTTAGTATTGTATCATTACGACATGTCAACCAACTTACAATTCTCCTCTTGCACTCTTGAAGGTTCCAGCAATGACTTCCTCCACAGAAATGGGGTCTGAGTCCTTGAACGTCAAAGTCAATGTTACGTGAATGTCCAACTCTGGCCCTGTAGATGACTTGATGGCGATTGTAGTACCGAATTGACGGAGGTATGCAGTGTCCGAAAGTTTCAACTAAAGTATATCAGTATGACTCAGCGTGGACATGCTTGGAGACTTACTTTGAAGGACTCGGGGAGATCAATAGTAGCGCTGATCTTGCCGTTCGAAGTTATTGATAAGATGAGCGTCAGTCCTTCTAACTACTTCTTCCCGTTGAATTCCTCAAGTTGCGGGAAGGAGGGGATAGTTGCATAAGCTGTAGGCCTAATCATGATGTTAAATCCAAACTTATAGTATCACATCTGAACTTACGTTTGACAATCGGATATTTGTACGCATCAACCGTCCCCAGAACATCCCAGTTGTCTGGCTCCTTCTCTTCCTCGTCCTTTTCCTCTTCCTCTCCTTTCTTGTCTTCGTCCTCATCCCCCTCTTACTCATTCGGGCCCCCGTCAGGCATTTCCTCCTTAGCAACGTTGAGTACATCAAGGCTGTTTATCCAGACCTCGCCATCAGGTACCCTATTCGTACTCGCCTTGGGCCTCACCTCATCACCCTTCTCTTTATCACCATCGGTCTTCTCTTTCTTCTCATCACCATCTCCATCTTCTTTCTCTTCATCTTTCTTTTCCTTCTTCCTCTCGTGAGAGGAAGCGATAAGTGCAATATTCTTCAACTCGAGGTTGAGAAAATTATCCTCTGGAATAGCATCCCAAATTTCTCTCAACCTGACATTCTCAATAGCACCAAATGCTAGCCATTCCCTCTTTTCCTTATCCTTCTTCTGCTCTGTGTAAAGCCCGGCCTTGATGGTGACCTTGTTGATTTCGACCACGCCGAGGATTCCGAACCTGCTTCCTCTCTTGACCTTCTTTTTCTTCTTCTCTTCCTCTTCCGCAGCAACAAAGTCTCTCGCAACCCTGTAGTTCACATCCAGCGGAACGTTCGCATAGGGAACTTTGGTGATCACCAAGCTGCCGAAGAAGGCAAAACCAAAGAACCAAGACTTCTTCCCCTTCGGTTTGTCGTCTGAACTTTCTTCATCGTCATCTCTCTCCTCATTCTCGCTTCCAGCCCCGTCGCCGGCTCTTGATGTCGTTGATGAAGGGGAACAGTGTTCCCAAAGGATGGCTGTTGAGGCTGAAGCTCTCTGTATTAAGCTTGATCTTCTCTCTGGCAGGTTCATCCTTATCGTCCTCCTCTTCCTCTTTATCATCCTTGTCATTTGACGGTTTAATGTCTGGTTCGGCAGACAAGGGCACAATTTTCCCACTCGGTTCTTCGGTCTTGTCTTGGCTCTTATCCTCTTTGTCTTCCGGTTCCTCGGGCACATCAACGGCATCCTTTTCGGGTCCTGATCACGAATCAGATTTCTCCGTTCAACATGGAATTCACACAATAAGTGCAAGAGCAAAGTGCGATCGATATGGATGTAAGCGCTTACCTTTGTACTTGTATAACTTGGCTGTCAAGCCCTTTATTCCCCAAAAGTCATCAATGTCTCCAGACAAGACAAACTCGTCCATCTTAGACCCCCCAAGCTTCTCCTTGTTGTTTTCTTCATCCTTCTTCTCCTCGAGCCCTGTGGGTTCCGAGCCCCCCGCCTTGAAGGCGGACAAGGTCCAAGGAATGGGTCCCGAAGTCGACTTCTGGAAGCTGGAAAGTGAGGAGCTCCAAGCCGTGGGCAGATTCGTCGCAGCAGATTCAACACCCTTGATATCCGAGCCGCCTTGACGTTCGTCGGGAAGAATAAGTAGAGGCATTGGGGGCTCTTCGGTCTCATCATCTAAGATCTTGGCAATCAATTGAGCTGGTTGTCCCTTGCTTGCTCGAATAGGCTGGACGGGAAGGTCGGCGAAGCCATTCATGTTCTCATCTGGGATGACAAGACATAGATTGCGCACGACAGCGCCTCCGATAACTGTAGCTCGCTGGAGAGGAGGACTATCAGACTTGATGGTTTTGTTCCAGCCTGCGAAGCTGGCACCAGCATCGGGTGGGGTGCCAGGCTGCTCATCGGTCTCGGAGTCGATCTCGGATAGTTCTGGCAGCTCAACATCAGGGCGAAAGGCAAGAGGTGTTGATCCTGTGATGCGACTGATGGGAACATCGAGAGAAGGCATTTCAATTCGGTCCAGTTCTTTCTCAATGGCATCTCCGGGGAGGACTGAATCCGGATCTGGGTTAGGCGGAACGAGGCCCCATTCCGGTGGAAGCTTGGTGATCGATTGAGATGTCATGGTTGGAGTAGTAACTGTTTCGAGATAATTGAGTAGCTTGGAAGATCGATTATGGCTACCGCTCGCGGAAGAATTGGCGGCTCAGCTCCCCATAAGTAAAAGTCATCCGTGCCATAGTTGGCCTAGACTCAAATGATGCGAGCCGATGATCGATTGCATGCTGGGTATCGCTCGATCAAGGCGCGCGTAAAACCTGCTCATTCAGGGCCCCTAATGCTGTCTCACATGCAAGTCTGGACCATTGAAGACTAGGCACCTCAGTATCTCGATGATAATGTTCCCAATTGAGTGTTTAGCTTTACTTTCTGTCACTTGTCGTTTCGGACTAGCTATGGCGGGGCTGAGCTAAGACATTCAGAATGGTGACGATCATCGAGGGCAGTGAAGTCAATCGAACCAATTGAGACAATAAAGAGCTTATCTACGATACATCGCGTCGACAGAGTCGTCACTGAAGAAAGTTCAATCCGGCAGGCAGCTCGTTATGCTTTAAATGACGAGTTATAATGCAGCGAGTGAAAAGAAAATCGAGTTGAACACTGTCCGAGAAGACGGATGCAGAAAAGATCGACTTCAGCTCATGTTACCAGACAGATTATTGCCTGATTTGGACTCTGCTGATTGAGCTACTGGAGACTAAATGCCGTGCCGCTGCGGGCCGAGCACACGATGTCATCCTTCACATCGCCATCGCTCAGCGATCGATTAATAAGCCCTGAAACTTCTCTAAGCCACGAGAAAAGCACAGATCAACCTCTTTAGTCTTGTGCATGGTGTCAATGGTTGATGTGACTGCTCAATCTCGTAGAGGGTAAGTAAGTTTGTATGCTTGATATGGGTTCATTCTAGCTGTTTAATCTTTGTGGATTGGTAACCACTTCTTCTTTACTTAGGGCGAGGGGTTGATCACTAGCACGATCCAATTTTCTGAAATAATATTTGAATATAAGAAATCAGAAAGTATATAATACGCACAGGAGAAAGAGGCGCAGCTGTGATAGCTGATCAACGTGCAGAAAAGAGGCAAATTCTCTTTCTACAGGGTAGGGTATTTTGACGCTATCGCGATAAGGATAAGCTCTTATCAGTAATTCTGGAGAAGCATGTCATTTCACCCTCCACCATGTTGCGATCGGCAGTTATACCGAAGCAAGAATACCACTGTAAATGGAGTTGTCGAAATCTCAATGATAAAGATAGATTTATTGCAGGCATTTTAATGGGAAAACAAGATGAAGCGAGTTCAAAATAGATCTCTCCGTTCACTAATGGATGATGATATAAATAGAAAGCTTGGCATAGAAAAGGAGAATTTCTGCTTTGTCATTCCAGCCTTAAAATAACAGCCGAGGCCCCATCGCGGGCAGGGCTCACCAATTGATTAGCGGAAAATATTTTGGGCCGATTTTATCTATACGAGGTTTTGCCCCGCGGATTTTTGAGCTGCAAGTTCTGGGCCTAACTTCCCCTGGTCCATTTACGAGAAACTGAACTCTCTCCTCAATAAGCTTTACAAGTAAAAACTCTGTTGGATTGGAACTTTAGTATCGAGATGAGAGAGGATAAAATACGCATGCTTAAATTTGCGCTGATGCACGGAACAAAACAGAGCGAAGAAAAATATCACCAAATTGAGAACTCTGCCCAAAACGGCCAGTGTTTCTAAAATTATCCGAGCCTTGGCTGACCCCTATCAAAGTCCCAAGAATTGGGACGAAAAAAATAGGGGGGAACGGGCCAGTTAAGCCTCAATGCGCGCTATGTAACGGTCTCTCCGAAGCATAAAAACGCATGTCATCAAAGCGCTAAGCGAAACCCGGACATTCCGACTGTCCAGCCAAAGCAGAGATAGATCACGTATGCAAACACGAAGAAGTGAGGCAAAGTTCTGTTGGGAGAAACGTTGCTTCTGCAGAAATTATTTAAACACGCAGCCAGCCACAAGTTTCTGTTTGCGGCTTTGGACCATGAATTATTGGGAGGGGAGGGAGCCATACCCGCTTTGGTCATCAATCTGACGTTAGCTACGGGGGCTAGTACCTGATTCTAAACAGGGATGAGCCCCGTTGACTAGCAAAGCCCCGGCAGTTCTATGACATGACCGTTACGAAATATGTACAAAAAGGACAACAACGCTTCAAAATATACTGCTTCTCTGTTATTCTTTTCTTCAACCCGCGGTGACCTTGTAATACCCCGCAAACACCTTTTTTTTTTTAAACCACCATATCCTGTACATTTCTTCTCCAAACACCACTACCCGCCAAAATGCCAGGACGCACTTCCCCAACAGGCAGTGTCATGACACAAGAAGCCTACCGAAAGCGAAAAGAAGAAGAGAACAGCGAAGACGAAGAGGAAAACATTAACTACGATTCCGACGACGATGGCAAGCCAAAGAAGCAAAACGATCAGAGAAAACGTCAAGAAGCTCACCTCGCTGGGTACCGACAACAAATGATGAAAACAACCGAAGGACCGCCATCAATAGAACACTCCCGAATTCCATCGATACAAGGTCCATGGATGAATATCCCCGACGATGACAGCGACGATGATGTCCCGCTGGCGATGCTGCAGGCTAGAAGTCAACGTGATCGCATGTCTCGCTTAGCAGGCGTTCGATCAAACCCCAATCTCCGGGCATCCGCGCAACAACACATGATGAGACCTGGTTCGGCGCAAGGAAAGCCCGATAATGGTTCACATCTGCGATTGCCATCCTTTGCAACAAATCTTCCTCAAGATCCTTTCCAAGACCCGTTTCAAGATCCATTTCAGACGAAGAAGCCCATGTTCACGGGCGGGTTGATCAGTGTTATTGCGAATGAGGAGCGCGCTAAAGCATCGCGACGGGGAACACCAAGTGCTAGCTTTCAAGCACCACAGAACCCGTTTGCTTTGACGAGTGCATCGCCGTACATGCCGCCACCGTATGGAGCGCCAATGCCACAGCAATTATCGAGGCCGCAAACACCTTCTGGTCAAATACATCAGCAAATACCCCAGGGCATCCAAGACCAGATGCAGTTTATACAGACCATGACGTTTGGCGCGCAGCACAAGTCCAATAATTCGTGGGCCAGCATTCCGCAAAGACCTGGAACGAGTGGTAGTGCGGCGCCGGCGGTGAAGCCTGCGTTGCCGGCTTATGGGGGTTATGCGCAGTCTATTCCACCAGCGGAAAGGAGTACTGTTGGTCTTCCTAGTCGATACAGGGCAGTGTCGAAGCAGAAGGCGTAATGAAAAGAATAGAATGGAGAGAATGATTATATTGGGGGAAGTGATATGATACCTGACGCGGAAAATAATGCGACTCGGAGACTGTACCAAATATTTTATTTGTATCATTGGGTATTTGGAGTTCAAAAGGAATGATTGGAATACACGGCCTGTATAATATTTATCTTGAATCGAGTATCAATAAGACTCGTCTTAAGCTTATGGCGAGGAGCATAAGAATGATAATGCAGTATGCATTTTTCGCGATGACTCGATCTGATCTTAAGCTCTGCAATAAATTATTATCACTTCCTTTGGCAGTCCATTCATCCTCCCAAAATTTCCTACAATAACCCACGCTGGCGCGCTACCTAATTGACGGGCGAAATAGCGAGCATGAGCCTTCTACCACGCGGAGCTATATTAAACCGATCCTCCATCTCCATCTCCCAAACCTTCATTTCTTCTCCAACCCTAAACCTCAGACCCGAGCGCATGACCTCGCTTACAGCCCAATAAAGTTCTTGCCACGCAAGATTCTGTCCGATACAATTTCTCTTACCAAGGCTAAACGGTGTGAGAGCAGACTTCATCTCCGGGGTTTCGGCGAGCCATCGCTCCGGTATGAATCTCTCTGGGTCTGGGAACACTGACGGATCATGGTGGTGAAGCCAGTTCTGCATTCCGATAACGGTGCCGGGCGGCAGAGTGTACTTGTCTAGTGTCAAAGGCTCGGTAAGCAGTCGGGGAATGGTCGAGATAATCGTTGGATGAGCGCGGAAAGTTTCTTTGATGATTGCATTGATGTAGGCGTTGTTTCTGATAGCCACGATATCATCTTCGGGTATCGCAAGTACTTCCGTACGCAGACGCTCCTGAACAGCCGCATTCTCCAGCTTTGAGATCTCGTACAGCAAGTATGTCAAAGTAGACGATGTAGTACCCGAGCCAGCAAACATATAGCCCATAGCCTCCTCAACAAGCTCTTCATGGGTAAGTTTGCGTCCCAAGTAGCCATCGACCCCAGTAGCCAATGGCGTAAGCAAGTACCTCTCATCAGAGGAACTCTTCTCTAGAAAGTGATCGACCATCTCATATGACTTCTCCCGCCAATAATCTCGTTTACGGTATGAGTCACCGATGACACCCGGCAATTTGGTACCGATATCAAACCTGGCTACAAAAGGAAGGGCGCCATCAAAGAGCAAAGTGAGTGCGCTTCCATCCATTGCCTGGAGTAGTTTCAGGGCAGCTGCGCCGTCGGCATCGTTGGAGAAGTCTTTTGCGAAGCCAGCTTGACATATGACCTCGAAGCTGAAGAGACCGCACAGTGTATAGGCATCGACGGGAGATGATGTACCGCTTCTGAGGCGTTGCGCGAGACGTTTGGCATTGCCCTGTATCAACGGGTCCAGGAGTGCAACTGATTGCAGCGAATAGGGAGGACTGCTCATTTTTCTTCGTGCAGCATGTTGCTGAGTGTTTCTATCATGCTGAGTCAGATGACGGGCCCTGCAAGTAGAGAAACCATAAAAAGGTGACAGAAGAAAGAACTAGACTCACATCATTTGGAAAATATTGTCTTTACCCACAAAGGTAGCAGATTCATAGAAGTCTGGGTTTTTAATCATTCCCTTGGTATTCAAGTAGATGGTGCGCAGGTGTCTCCAGTCGCTGATGGAGACCTCATTCGGGCCAGTTCGTACAATAGAACCGTACTTCATGTGGAGTTCCTCCAGCTTCTGTATTTCGGGTTTTATATCAGAACATGCTTGAAGAGGATGTTTGAAGATGTACATACGTAAACGCGGCGGCCTTGTATGGCACTCAGCCATACTGCTGCTCCAGTGAGCTTGGTAGAGGATGGTCCGGGGATATGTCGAAGAGGATTGAAGAGTAAGCGACCGATAATCTGTGAAGCTGTTGGTCAGATAGTGATACTAACGGAGATACGGTGACTGACTTTAATTGATAGATAAAGCAGACATAACGATAGTGAGAGCACAGCGACGAGAGGCCCCCGAGAGAAGCCCGAAACTTGATGGGACAAGCCGCTCATCGCGATGAGCTGGAAGATTTTAGTTGAGAAAGATAAGAATGGGATTCAAGTATTATAGCTAGGCTGTCGATATGTACAGTTTATACTCAGGTACGAAAACAGAAGATGCATTTGCTATCTATACGGCTCTCTCTTAAATAATGGGAACTCCGGAAGTCTTTGCGGGGTTGAACAACTGTAACCCATTGGCTACTCGGCCCCTCATGGCCATGAAGCAATCGGGATGTGGAGTCCCCCCATTAGTGTCTTCACCACCAAAGTCAGCTCATTGGGTCAGATCTCTTAGATCAAAGCCATTTGAACCGCGATGTTCCTGTTTCCTCCTGCTCTCTCCTATATCTATCTTGAAATTTAACAGATGACCGCTATTATACTACGTAATAATGCATTTTAACTTTATTTAAGATAACACCCATGTTAGAATAAGTGTCAAGACAGGCGGCGGACCACGGCGATAGACTAGGCCGGGTCACTTATAGTCTTCCCTCATCCTAATGTTACCCCGCAATCCCGGCGTTCATTAAACACCGGCCCAAGCTTAGTGCATTTATATTGATATCTGGACCCTTTATCTCATGAATCAATTAAGGTGTTAGTTCGAGATCAAGACGTTCAGCTTCGTGCCTGAGTTCTCATCGGTCGGGGTGAGACCGTGTGCAGATACTAGGTCGAGACTGATCTTGAAGTAGTCTACACCTGCTGCTACACGACTCAACTCGAGATAGTGTATGAGTATAGTGTTTTTCGTCAAGTAAGAAGTCCCTAACTGAAGTAACAAATTACTGAGATGAATGGTTTCGGATTCTGTTCGGTTTTTATATCAGCAGCAGCCGGTGAGTTTGAAAGATATTAGGACTTGAACACAATACGGCCGAATCTTGACGTTGCAGTGAGACTCTTGGTATGAGTTCCTTCACGATGCCCGGAGTGTATATTCACCCGTCCCGTACAGGGATTAAAGAGGGGGCGCTGACCTCCTTTCAAAAATGTCAGATTCATTGTTTGTAGATAGGAAAAGGGTATGAAGAATAGATCTGACTCTATGACCCTATCGGTAAACCTACACAGTCGTTTCATATCGTCCAAATCGGTTTGCCATGTTCCCACCTCCTATCTCGCAGTTATGCACGAACTGCTCACGAGTTCTCGATATCGACTTGTTGCTGGACCATAACCCCATCAACAACAAAGGTTACCGCCCATACGATATGGACAAAGAGCTGTACCGATTTCAAGACACTTGGCCAGAACTACCAGGCCTTGCAGATTCCGGCTGTGGATTATGCAAGTTGATTCGAGACACCTTTGCTTCCCGGTCTCTTTCAACCGAATACAAGGGGCGTATTACTGGCTTGCTGACAAGGTTCGCGACATCGATTCAAGAGAAGCCGAGGAAGGTTTTCTATTACTCCATAAGGATATATGGCGAATCGGAAGGGTACGTGGACTGGTCCACGGTGCTGGCGCATGCACAGTTCTTGCCCTGCTCTCATGATGGTATGCATGCCCTTTTCTTCATGAATTGAGGATATACTAACAGAGGGGTAGATGATATGCCGTTTCTGCGCCCTCCTCCTACAGAAGTTCTGTCTGAACAAACACTGAACTTCATGAGAAAGTCCATTGACCAGTGTGCATCGACCTGTCATCCATGGGAGCCTTCTGGCTCTACTCCCTCGCGACTTCTCGATATGTCGGATTATCAAACCAAAGGACGCATCAAGCTCGTGCAGACGGAGAAGTTGCCAAGAGTCAAATATGCAGCGCTGAGCTACTGTTGGGGAAATGCAGACGACGCAGCGTATCAACCTAAGACAAATTCCGCCAATTTATCTGAGAGAATTAGCGGCTTTAGTATCGACACCATGTCTCCCGTTGTTCGCGATGCTATCACAACTTGTGAGGCGTTGGGGATACGTTACTTATGGGTTGATGCACTCTGTATTCTACAGGGAAAGGCTGATGTCGCGGACTGGGACATTGAAAGCCAGAAGATGACTGACATCTTTCGCAACGCATATATTACGATTTGCCCGTCCTCCTCCAAGGGTTGCCGGGAAGGCTTTCTGGGTCAACGACAGCTGCACCCTGGCATTCGTGTCAAGACCCCCGTCACCTCAAATGCAGTGTTCCAAAAGGAGAGTCGAGAATACTGTATTCTTCCATACGTTGAATATAATAAGGACACAACCTCCGTCATTTTCAGCCACGAGTTTACAGATTCGAAATGGTATACTCGGGCTTGGGTATGGCAGGAAGTCAACTTTTCACCCCGACTCGTTATTTTCTCCCCGACGTTCGTCTTTTATCGGTGTCCAGAGAATTTACTCTGCGAGAACGGCGCCACAAAAACAACAATGTATGTCCAAAAAGGCATAGGAGAATACCACAGCAAACGATATCAAGATGCACAGCCATTCGCCTTTTTTCGAGCCTGCGTGGAAGATATCTCAAGCAAGGACATCAGCTTCGAGTCTGATCGTTTAGCTGCAGTGGCAGGTGTTGCAAAACAAGTTGCTCAAGCGACAGGGAGTGAATATGCTGCAGGTCTATGGGTTGAGGATATTTACAAAGATCTAATCTTTGAGAGAAATCTTCGTGAGAGAAACAATCGTGACAAGGGCGGGCTCGTGAGGTACATCGAGTCATTGAGGACCAGACACTCTGCTATAGGACCTACGTGGTCTTGGCCTGGGCATAGAGGCGGAGTCCGTTGGGACTCGAACTTCTCGTCAGTGGACCGCGAGACTTTGGAGCTTAGCGGTGGAGATTGGGAGTATGAGTGCAAATATATTGACATCACCACCGATAAAGTAGGAGAAAACCTGTTTGGTCAAGTAAGCCGGGGCTGTTTGGCTGTTACTACCAAAATGGCATCTTTGACGGAAATTGCAGCACTTCACGACGGAGATGACGAGGAACTTATTAAGGAGATGTTGATTACGCCCGAGTATAGCAGTCAGGTCGCTTGCGGTATCAACTGGAACTGGGACGTTGATAACGCTGAGACTCCAAGCCATCTCGCAGATAAGATTCTGGTTATGGCATTCTCTAGCTGCTTATATGGACGCAGTGATATCAGAAACTTGTACGGATTGATGGTGTATCCGGCGGAGAAAGAGGGTGAATATTACCGAGTAGGATCCTTCGAGGCACAGAGTGCAGATGATGATGAGGAGGGCGAGGATACTGGGGTACTTATGGCACAGAAGTGGAAAGAAAGAAGTATTGTCATCATTTAGAATAGAACTTTATTACTTGTATATCACAGACGACGACTCCAGAGCTGCCGAAATGGCTAACTAAAAAGCTGCTACTGAGCGCCGAGGAACATATATCGTACACAACCCGCATCAATGTATCCTCCAATACCGCCATTGTCACCTATAAGCCAATGTATTAGTATACGATCAGTGAAGCATGGGACAGAGTACTTACAGCCTGCATAAGCCTTCACAAACAGATCTTTGCACAGCGGGCCATCCTTTCCTAACGGCGTATACGGATCCTGTGAATCCACAGTCGTCTTGCATCCCTCAACCCATGAAACCTCGTAGTAATAGAGATCGCTCTTGGTAGTACCAGAGACAGGGCTCCCGGGCTTCATCTCAACAGGCAAGTTGGCCTCGCAGTACGCATCTGCCAAAGAGCGCACAGCGCCTGGGCTGACGTCCTTGTGATCACCTCCCTTGTTCTTGCAGAACACTGGGCCCAACTCTAACGGTGTGGTTTTCTGCTCTGGTGGTGCGGGAGCTTCTGTTGGCTTAGTTGAGACCCATGAGGCACAGTATGTGTTCTCGACGCATGCTTGTCCTCTACCACCTCCGCCCTGAGCACATTGTGTGTTAGTCGCTGTCTCGGCGCATGAGCTACCGTCAGGGGTTGAGATAGGTCCAGGAACATCGGTGAGAGTTGGTAGACCAGTTAAGTGAAAAGGTGGTGCTGTCGTCGACGTGGTAGGCATAGCGGTGTACTTGTAGGTACCGCATCCTACATCGATAGTACCCTCGAGAAAGCTGTTCTCAGAGTCAAAACACTCGTCGCCGAAAGCGTACATTGAATCACCGCAGGGAATCTGGCAATCGCCCTTTGCACCGCTCCAGTCGTATTCGAAGACCCAGCCATCGCAAGGCTCAGCTCGTTCCCGAAGCATGTGTCTTCTCATGTTAAGCGACGCGCGCTTCTCTTGAGAACCGCTTTCAGCATCGGCACCAGTGAGGTTCTTGCTCAACTCATCGCCCTCATGTCCATTAACGTCGGCGCAGAACTTGGAGTAGATAGACATAAAGCAATCGCGAGGTACGTCGTTGCTGCTTTGTTGTTGGCATTGAACATCGGGGTGTTGAGCATCATTGATAGAGATGTTTTCATCATCAAAGACCTGCTGGAAATATCGAGATGTGTCGTCTTCGATCGCTTCCATTGTAGGAATGGCCTCGTTGTCGGCTGGTACGTCGCCCCAGAGGACTGACTCCTCTGGGAAGATGCTGGTAGTGATGGTTGGTGTTTCTTTGGCGGGGCAGTCGATAGGAGCAGGACATGTGACGTAGACGGTACTATAGGTTCTCTATTAGAAATGCTGATGACAAGAGGTCTTGGACTGTAGACGTACCTGGTATATGTCTCGCTTTCTGAGTAGAAGGAAACAGTCTTTGTGCATGGTGCCGGATCCTTTTTCTCGCAATCATCTGGTTCATTGGGATCTTGAGGATCTTTGGGATCTTTTGGATCTTTGGGATCTTCGGGGTCTTTAGGATCAGGGTTCTCAGGGTCTTTAGGATCGGGATCCTTAGGGTCCTTGGGGTCTGGGTTTTCGGGATCCTTAGGGTCTTTAGGATCATCCGGCTTCTTAGGATCGTCAGGGTTTTCAGGGTCCTTGGGATCTTGAGGATTGTCAGGCTTCTTAGGATCATCGGGAGTGTCAGGAACCTTGGGGACATCCGGGACCTTAGGGACATCTGGGATCTTGGGAACATCTGGAATGTCTGGAGTCTCAGGATCGTCAGGGTTCTTAGGATCATCTGGCTTCTTGGGGTCATCGGGTTTCTTCGGATCATCAGGTTTGTTGGGAACTGGAACCGGTACTGGTACAGGAGCGACATCAGTGGTCTTCGGCTCCTCTGGTGTATCTGGCTTCTCCGTCGTAATTGGAGCAGGCGGGTTCTCTGGCTCCGTTGTGATCTCTGGCTCCTGAGGAGCCGGCGCTGCTGTTGTCGTGACTGGTGGGGGAGGATTGTTGGGCTCAGTTGTTGTTTCTGGCTCAGGAGCTGGTACAGGCGTGTTTGGGCGCGCTGGTTCATTTGGCTGAGGATTGGGGACGATTGGGGGAGGAGGATTCCGGTCATCAGCTGGAATTTCTTGTTCTTGCCTTGGGACAAGAACTCTAGGATAGACTGGGTGCGTGAAGACGGCTGCTCCAGAGGAGGTCTCTTGTTTGAGGCTCGCACTGACAAAGGTTGCACTTAGCCATAGTGCTGCAAGGAAGTTGACCTTCCAAGGTACCGTCATGATGGCGGCTATGCTTAAAAGAATAGAACAGAAGACAATGGACAAGCAACGTTCTCAAGAAATAAGATAAGAAAGAGAGGGGAAGGTTTAATGCCGAGTCAAGCTTGATGTTATTCGACGGCTTGAGGTCGAGTATTATGATATATACAACTCGGAATGGATTACTTGGAAGATCTATGTAGTGCTGTAGTTATTGGTGGATAGAAAGTCCCCTTGCAGGAGCTAGACTGCCTCATCCAAAATTATCCAAGCTCAGGGCAGGGCAAACAAGTAAGCCATAGGATCTGCACAGCCGCCGGGGCACTATGCACCAATTGTGGCGCTTGATTCGGAAGTACAACCCATTTTGGCATGTAAACTCCAGTTAATAATCAATCTTCTTCACTACAGGAGTTTGTCTCCCAGGGCCAGCGGGATTCCGTGCAGGAGGATCACAAGGCATAAGCTTGCTTACATGTTAAAATTAAAAGTAAGCTTTTCTTTAACCATGCTCGTGTTAGCGTCAAACATTAGCTTTATAAATAATTCCGATGGAGCTTCCCGAGGCATTTCTTACAGACGACCCAATCAGACGCTCTAGAACGAATGGTAAGCCGTAAGAAGGTCAATCATAAGCTGTGCTAGTGCCATAGGTTTCTGGACTCGGAGCCGCACAGCCTCGGCACAGCCCTACGGATACATATCTGATTAATTAATCATGTTACATTGGACCTCTTTACGGCAATGTCCGTCATCTGAATTAAGCGCTGAGTAGGATCGATACGAAGATTTTGTATAAAACGGTTTTCTTATGTCAGAATGAGAGTTAATTACAGTGACATTGAAGGATTGTCTGTGCCTTCGCGCAAGGCTTAGACAGAGTCATTTCCAATAGAGAATTTTCCATATCCCTGCGACTTATCGACAAGCTCATTCCCTATTCAAGAAGCTTAGAATAGTACTGGAATTTCTTCATGCGTTTATCTTAGCTACTGCAGCACACACAGCTTCGAGGCCTTATATCTGTCTTCTTGAAGGTCCTTTCTTTCTCTACCTTTCCTTATTACCTGCGATTCTCTCAGACCACTTTCTACTTTCTAATCTCCGGCTTATCCATTTTTTGCCATGAAGGTCTTTTTGCCTATCGTGGCCCTTGCTGGTCTGGGCCTAGCTGCAGACATGAATGTTTGGGACCTCGATGACTCTTGCCAAACACCTGAACGTAAGGGCGCTTTCGAAAAAGCATACAGTGATGCCGAGGTCCTCGCAGTCAAGGCTCAAGAGGACCTTGAGAAGCTCAAGGGCGCGCGTCCAGACTTTGTCTCAAACATGCGAACTAATTGGGACCGCATCGCGAGGGCCGCGACCAACATGTTTGGCTTTGTGCCAAATAAAGATGGCCATGACCCCAATGAGGAGCATTACTCGAATGTTAGATGTAAGTCAACGTCGCCACGAAAAATATGCCTTTGCTAATTGACTCAAGATGTTTATGATCGTATGGTCAAGACACTCCACAATGATGAAATGATTCCAGCCAACGGCTACGGCGGTCTCAAGCCCCTTCTTCTATGCGACGAAAGCAAATTCGTCTGGGTTGGCAGAGATGACAAAGATCCTCATGACCCTGCAGGACGCCCCCTACGCGAATCCAGACCTAAAGAGATGGCGGGTCAAACAGCTGGAGCTTGGGTGTACAAGAAACGGTATCTGGTAAACAGCGTCAAGCAAGAAAACACAGGTCTCTGCAGACCTGGAGTATTTGCTGTTACTCTTACCCGAAACGATTTTATCATCTTTTGCCCTCCGTCGTTTGAGGGCAAGGTGGCTGAGACACAATCTGCTGTTGATGCTAAAGACAGCGTTCAGAAGGATGATACGCTGGATACGTACTCGGCTACTAGCCTTTCGCGAATCATGGTCCATGAGCTTGCGCACTGGTTTGGTGGTGATAAGACCGGTGGAACTGAGAATCGCAATGGTATGTATAATAGAAAGGATATTCTTCCATCTGTGTAGATGCTAATGTACTCCCAATTTAGTCCCTGATCAACAAGCTGTCGGAAAGGAGGGTGCCCTGGTCTATCAAAAGCCCGACGGAAAGCGCACCACTGATGCTTCTATCCCAGGAATCAAGAAATATGTCACATGTAAGTCTTTCTTTCTAATATTCTCTCAAATTCACAGTTCGGGTCTCCTGTAAGTGAGGTATTGTGGCTGACGGCATCATTTACAACAGACAACTTTCTGTGGGTTTCCAATTTGGCGCGCTCTCATGAGGGGGAAAACGCAGGCAATAGCGGCCCAAGCAAGGCTACCTTTACCGCTGAGTCGTACGCTCTTTTCGCATTGATGTCGTAAGTTACCTTGTTGATCTCAGACTGCCTATTCAACGGTTTTATGAGTTGTTGCTGATTTTTTATCCACCAGGTATATGGACAACTGGGATTGGGCGAATGATGGGAAAGCGAAAGCATTTGTTGACGAGATGATCCCATATGAGAGACTTCCTAACAGTAAGAAAGTGCGCTTGGGCTAAGGAAAGGGTTGTTGTTTGGTTATTTAGCTATTGTAATGGTGTTTGTTCCTATTATAGAACGCGTCTGATTGCCCGGGAAGGCAGGCTTTGCTGCAGAGTGTCCCAGAGATCTTTTTATTACGTGACCGGAGCTTTTCCATCCTGATGCAAAGACCTGTATTGTCTTCGACTGATCAAGTGGTTCTTTATCAAGAATTGCCACGCATTGGGGACATTTGAGCTCTCGCAGCCCTTGTATTTGACTGGCTGAGGCAGATGCGCCCAGAGTTGCAGCAAGGAAACCATTGGAAGCGCAGAAAACTGACGTCGGTACATCAACAGGCTTGAAAATTGAGTAGAGTGCTGGTATTTTGTTCAAGTCTCTCAATCGAGAGAAGTCCGTCGTACATAGCGGGGCCCTCTGCAACCTGACTTCAAGCAGCTGTAAGCAAGTTGCACACCGCCCAAGCAGCCGTTGATGGTTCCCCCTGTTTTGGTCGATGTAGATCGAAGGCGAATCATCCCATTAGGAAATAACACGATGAGACTTTCTGCAGCCACAGAAATTTAACGCTCGGCTGCCAGCGGCTCGAATCCGAGCCCGACTGTGGCATCAGGCAGACACAGAGCAGAGCAAAATAGCTTGTTTACCCTGTCTGTTTAGCGCCGTAAATACCCGATTAACCAAGCCGTTCAAATTTGGTCAGTGGCGGCGGCAATCTACACCGCGATATGCATCTAGACTAAATAGATAGATCTACGGATGCGAGATGGTGCGGGACGGGACATCGGTCCGGCCGTCTAACTCTCCGCTCTTATGCAGATCTTGTTGTCATAAGTGACAGGTACCGGACAGCTAGGCCTTGGAGATGAACTTGCCGCCTGTTTGCGTCGCATGTCTCATTACCCCGCCTTGGTCAGCTTGAATTGACGCATTAGAATAGGTCTCGGGAACTAGCAGAGTTGTATGTAAAGCATATTCACGATTCGACAGGAGTAATTATTCGTCTCGAACTTTCATAGCAACTATTAGACTGCATAAATGTTGCCAACTAATTAATAATAGCGGTGAGGATGAATATGCCAATACCAGTCGCAAAGCTGAGGTTCAACAAGGAACTTGGTTCCTGGTTGCATAATGGCCAAGCCTGAACACATCGAAAGACATAGCCGTTTGTGCTCCGAAAAAGGCCGAGTACTGAGACACGGGGAATTCTGTGGCGAGCTGAATCTCAGACACAAAAGAGGGGTTCAGCCGGGCCGCTGCTCTTTCCGGCGAGACATACAGACCGTGTAACCCGGCACTGCAAAGCTCGTCACAATTGAGATCTCCTCAGACCCCGCTTCCCTGGAAACCAGATTCTCGTGTGCAACTGCATTTACGTGTTGTCTGGGGAGAAACGATCAGTCTTCTGGCTCCCGTTTTCCAGTTTTCCAAATCAGCATCCGATTAATCTTTAAGAGTTCTGCTCAATAATCTTACTATTTAGTATAAAAACATAGGTAAGTATTCCTAGGAACTATATGTGTGAAAAAACAGACAAAACGTAATATTATATACCCCGAACTCGTAGTAACGATTCCATAACCAGGGTCGATCATCCAGGCCAGCAATCGGCCCAATGACATGATACCAATGGTTTCTCTTCTCTCGCAGAAACACAGTGCTCCATTTGGGACACATTTACCGCTAGATTGTCGTCGTACCGTGTCTCAATCGCTGCTCGGAACTCGTTGAGTCGATGTGCCGACAGGCCGGGGGATAACAGGCCATGCCAGTAGCCTATAGGTTGCGACCGATACGTGCAACTACATGATGCATGGCAACACGAGGTAGTTAGAATGAACATCATTGGACGTAGAGGACGGCCTGTAAAGGCTGTTGGTGAGACAAGCAAACATTCCTGCAGGTAGACCGATCTACAAGGTGTCCTCTTACGGCATTCTCAAGGTCGTCCAAACGATTTATCGTCTATAAGAGTCCCTCCTTCTCTCCCTGAACCTCATCCCAAACTCTCAACTCAACTCATCTCATCTTCACTCGGCACCTCTTTCTCAACCAACTACCAACATCAATCACTCAAAATGGGCTACGGCACTCTTGAAAACGGCGACTGGCTCATGGTCGGCATGAGCATCTTCAGCAAAGATCGCTCCGTCGAGCTCCGCATGCAGGACGATGGCAAGCTGGCCATCTACTACAATAACCGCTGCGCCTGGCAGAGCACCGACCAGCAAATCAGCAACGCAAAGGGTGCCATCATGCAGGGTGATGGCAATCTCTGCATCTAGTAAGTCTTCCCTGTCTTGTTCAGATTTTGTTACAAGGTCGTTAACCGCATTTTCTTCAGTGACAAGAATGGCAAGGCCACTTGGCACACCAACACTGCTGCGCCAAGCGGTGACAACAAGACATTCCTTTCTGTCCAGGATGATGGAAACCTCGTTCTGTACAAGAATGGTGGCGCTACTCCCATCTGGTCGTCCAAGAGCAACAAGTAAGTTGGCTGGCAGGGATGGCATGAGATATGCGCTGTTGGAGGGTACAGTTGGGGATCTGGAGACTTAGCCAAGTTCTACCTATCTGACGGTGCATTCCCATAGCACGTATAGCCATCAATACAATTATATCTGAGAAATCACCCATTACTGCAGCGAGTGCCCAATTTGTCCGCCCGTATCAATCACGTCTTAGTAAATGCCTCTATCCTCGCTTTGTTTTTGAATTGACTGTTGTATGTTTACTAAATCATTTGGGCATAAACTTTGACCGTGAATCTTAGGGACTGGTAGTTGTGTAGACTGGCGCTGTCGAGGATGTACCGGAGTACATTCTTTTCTCTAATGATATAAAGAATTGAATAATGTTATCTAATTAGAATATGCGTATAGGCTTGATAAGTCTTAGGGCGCCTTAAGTTACTTCCGAATGATTGCTAGAAAGTCCTAAACGCTGCAAACTCGCGTAAAGGCAAGACTGTCTATGTTGACCTGCACCTTGTCGAATTCTCCTCCACAGGATACGCTGAGCTGTACATCTCCCTGAGCGAGATTCTCGCCCCCACTAGACCAGTTGACGCTGCCCGACTTCCAACCACCGACGGAATAGTCCATATCGCCACGAAGGGTCGTATCTCCGACAGTGAGCTCAATGTCGCAAGTGTAATCGGCACCAACGCTGGCACTAAGAACTCGGTAATAGTAAGAGAATTCATAGTCACCATCCAGGTTGTCTAAAGTCTGCTTGACATAGCCATTGCCCTGACCGTAATTAAAGATAAAGGCCCTAGTTCACAATGTATTAGCATATAACAGAGATAGAATGCAACTTGGGTAGCGTACAAAGCGTTAACGCCAGCTTGAGGTTCTCGTTGGATTAGGCCGCCATTGCCAGTCCAGGGTGAGATACTATCAGATCTATCATCGAAGCCTGGGTTGATGAGCGCCTGGGTTTCAAGGCAGGCTGGTGCTGCGGTAGTGGTCGTGGATTCCGCTTTGGTCGTAGTGGTAGTATCCGCGAGGGTCGTGACGGTAGTCATATCGACTGAAGTAGCCGTTGTATCAGCAGCAACCGTCGAGGTGGTCTCGGCATAAGAGGCTCCAGTCGTGGACGAGGCCTCAGCAAGGCTTGTCACGGCTGTAGTTGTTGGACGGCAGGGGCCGGCTTCTGCTCCGAGAAGGAGGGTAGCGATAGCCGCGACGTTAAGGAGGGAAAGGCGAACCATTTTGTCGTGATGAGAAACAGCTGTTGAAACGAGTGGATACGACTGCAGATATTGCAGCGTGAGTTGAATGAATGTGAGTAGCGAGACGTCGCAAGAGGCAAATCTGAGTCAAGAGAACTTAGCAGGTAGGTAGCTCCTTTTTAGTTCAGTTGCTGTCTTCGCATCAGTTCATATTCAGCTGTGTTTATTAATGGCGCTGAATAACGGCTTGGCAGGAGGCTATTGCCAATAGTTCAGTACGCTATTGAGGAAGAATGAAGTTAAGCGCAAAACACTAGTCACTTTCGGATATGATATGCATAACGGACCTGTCAGCCAGGTCCATGCAGGGCTGTGACGAATAACATCGTTTTGAGTCGCAAACGAAAGATCCACCAGGGGTTCCTGGTGGTTTATTCCACTATTGACAAGACACCCAGCGATAAACAAATAATGCTGTTCAACCTCGCTATTCATGAATCCGTGCTCCCACAATCTAATCATTCAAGTAAACAAGTGCAAATGCATCATTTGGTCTTCTGTCGTTTATTCGCTCTGTCAATCTTCTTAAAGAATTGACTCTTTTCCTTTTCACCCCTCTTCCTCTTCAGCGCCTTGTTAGCAGATTGATTCCGCTCAATGTATGCCATATCCTGCACACCACTAAGTTGGTCAAGATAACCTGCGACGCGTGTAACCTTGCTCTTCTTGCCCCAGAGATCACCCTCTTCAAAATCATCGTCAATGGGGGTTTCGTTGTCAACCAACGTGCCCTGAAGTAACTCCCGCTGTTCAGCCGCAGTAGCAAACGCGAGATCAGGCGTGTCTTCAATATCATCTAGCTTGGTGATGACTTTGAACGCGTAGCCTTGATCGATCAGGAATGCCTGGCGCTTTGAAGCAAAGTGCATTTCGGACGTGTCTTTAGACACGAGCGAGTAAAAGAACGCATTGAACCCTTCGTCGTTGCGGCGTTTTGCTCGTAAGATACGACCCAGTCGCTGTGCTTCTTGACGCCGCGAACCGAACTGGGAGGAGATCTGGATAAGACATGTTGCCTCGGGCAGATCAAGCGATGTATCGCCGATTTTGGAGAGAAATAAGGTATTCACGTTGGGACTGTCGAAAATGGTCAAGGACCCTGAGTCGCTCTTCTTGGCTTGTACCGCCGTAGATAAGGTACCTCTTAAGCTTGTACACGTAGAGTTTGAGGGAGTAGAGCTCGTCTGAGAAGACTATGATCTTATCGCCGCGCGCTTCGTGATAGTTGATTAGGAATTGGCAAGCTTGAAATTTGGAGGGATTGATAGCGGCTAGGGTTCGCTTCATCCGAGACGGGACTTGTAGATATTGCTCGTAGAACGCAGTTGGCATAGAACACCAGACCTCGGCACATTGCACCTTTGCGATATGCCCCTGTTGCGAGAGCTCCATCCAATTGGCCTCGTACAACTTGGGCCCGATCAGGAAATTGAGATGGCCGATCTTGTCATCCTCGCGAAGCAAGGTAGCTGTAAGCCCAAGTTTAGAGTGCGTTTTAATCGACGAGATAACACGTCGAAACATATTTGCCGGAACAACATGGACCTCATCAAGAATCATCAATCCCCATTCCCGTCCTGCTAAAAAGTCCATCATCTTCTTTGAGTCGTGAGCACACTCACGACTATTCGTAACCATTGAATACGTCGTAACAATCACACCAGTGCTTCCAGAGAATTTCTCCTTGTTGTCGGATGTAAAAGTAGTGATGTCTTCGGGGTTGATGTTTGACCATTTGAGAAACTCGTTGCGCCACTGGACTGCGGAAACTGAGCTTGTGCAGAGGACGATGACGCCCTTTCTGATGGTGCATGCTGCTGTGATGCCGACGAGGGTTTTCCCTGCGCCGCATGGGAGAACGATGATGCCGCTTTTGGCGCGACCGTTGCCGAACATTTTGCTGAGACTCTTCTCTTGGTATGGTCTAATCTGGGTATTAGGGCGTAGATCAATGTCCAAGTCGGGATTAACGTTGTCATATCGGAAGTCGTACTCTTCAAGGATAGGGAACGATAAGTCCAGGCATCGCTTCTGAACGACCTCAACGGCGCTGTCGGGAATCTCAAAGGCATGGACTGCTTCTTTCTCTTCATCATTGTCTGCGTCATTCAAAACAGCTTCAATTTGATCCGATTCAGAAGAATCCTTGTCCGCTTCTTTGGCGAGGTTGGCCTGCTGAACCCCCGCCGCGTTCTTTGTTCCAGGAATGACCAAGCCACTCAGCGCTGGCGCACGCGACGTAGTAATCTCATCAGACCCATTAAGTCGAAGGGGACCGATAACATTGTCTTTAAGCAACGTCTGAAGCACATTTGCATCGCCACTCTCGACGAAATATTTGTTGTTCTTCAAAACCAGCTTTACTTTTCCATAGCTCTTGGTGCAAGACCTGATGAATTCTTTGATGGTCTGTGGAAGCTCCGTCTTGATAAACTTGTCAAGAGTACTAATGATATCGTCGCCATTTAAACCGACAGATACAGCGGCATATAGACTATGCGGCGTAATCTTGTACTCGTGGAGAAAAGCTGGTCTGGATTGAGGCTCTGCGATGGTAACGAGAAAGTCAGTCGCTAGGTCTGCCAACGGATGAAAACGCTCTAAAATGATGTATCCTTTGTCGGGATCAATCCACAGCGGGCGGTTGGCGCTATCAGGGTTGCGCGCAAGATAAGAGAAGTCTCGCTTGACGATGTTGCTGATGTCGATAGAGGCCTTTTGCGCCTTTCCTTTGAGCGGCATGATGATGTTGAGAAGAAATGCTGGAAGGTTTACAAGAGGTGAGAATCGACTTTAGGCAGCTGACACAGGGAACAAAGAACACGGCGGGAGGGGGCCATCCATACCCGCACGGGTACCCGTGCAAATAAGATATCATCATATCAGCAACCCCGATTATTTAAAAATGCCTTATATAAGCAAATTGAAGCTAATTGACTGCTTAAGACCCTGTTTTTTATATATCCTAGATCTAGTTATCTTTATTAACCTAATTCTTTATTAATTAGTATTCTACTTGCCCTATTTATAATAAATTAAGCTCTTAAAGTCTTTTCTAATAATGCTCTCCTCCTAGAAGCTATTTTTAGCTTATAAAGTAAGCTACTTATAGTAATTAATAAATAGGCAAGTATATATAGTTATGCCTTTATTATATAGAGATCTTTAAAAGTAAAGACTCTTAATTAAGCTCTTATAGTTACCTATATATATAATTATAATGGAAGGCTTAGGTCTAACTAGGTAAATAAGAGGAAGACTTTATTATACTATATAGCCTGCCTTTGCTTAATTAATATTATAGAAAGTAATTATAAGACTTAATAAGTAATTAAGTATTATTATAACCCTTATACTTATATATATAACTATAAGCCAAGCTATAGGCTAAGGGCATATCTAGTTTATTATTAAATTATAAGTAATTAAAAGCAGACTATATAGCTACTTATAGAAGCTAGTATAAAGCCTAAAGAGATATAGATATTTATTAAGCTTTTAGATAAATTCTACCTTATAATATAGTAAGATATTTATAATACTATTATATAAAGTAAATAAGACCTTATTAAAGGCTAAAGCTTAATATATGCCCTTATTAATAAGCTTATTAATTTAGGCTTTAAAAGCTATTTTTACCTTAATTAAAATAATAAGGTTATTATAATATTCTTTATTAATATAAACTCTTTTATATATATTAAGTCTTATTTAGAAGTTATAATACTTAATTATATATATAAAATAAATAAGTATAAAATACCTCTTTTTAATATTATTAATATTAATACTTATAAAAAGAGCTTTTATATTATATTTATATTTATAAATAGTAAAAAAGAAGCAGACTATCTCTAGGTTCTCTCTTATGTTTAGGAGGTATATAAAGTATAAGGAATAGCTCTTCCTTCTATAATACTTATAGATTAATATCTTACTTATATAAATATAATTATAAATACAGCTACTTTTCCTAAGCTAATATATTTACTTTATATCTTTTATATTAATTAAGCTATCTTAGCCTATTATTAACTTAAGTTTATAAGAGGCTTAAATAACCCCTAAAGGCATAGTAAATAGCTTAAGTTTTAGAAAAGCTTTAATTAAATTATAAGCTTAAAGACTTAGGCTATTTATAAGGAATAGCTAAAGAAGTTTAAAAATACTTATACCCTAAGCTATTATAATAAAGTAAGTTATATTATAACTACTTAGCTTAATTTATATAAAGAGAAATTTATAAAGGCTTAAATAAGGAATACCCTTTACTTTAGTTATATAATAATATTACTAGTAAAGGGGATATATAATCTTATTAAGAGATACTTAAATAATAACTAAGCCAATCTCTTTAAGTATTAGTAATATATTAAACAAGCTATAGATAATTAGCTATAAAGCCTTTATAATAGCCTTACTTATAATAATATTAATAAGCTTATTATTTAAAGTATTTAGTTATTATAACTTTTATTTAGTATTATTATTAATTAGGTCTTTTATAAGGCTTTACTTAAGGTTAAAAAGCAAGCTAAATACCTAAAAGCCTATATACTTATATATATATAAGCATTTAGTAATTTCTTTAATTTATTATATACTTATATCCTTAAGCCTTTATTAAAAGATAGTCTTTATTTCTAACTATCTTACTTTTACTTTTATTAATATTTATACTACCTAAAAGCCCTCTTACTTCTTATTAAACTTTAAAGGGTATTTAATTACCTTATTAATAAATTAATACTACTACTAATAAGTATATAGTAAGAACTTTATATATTTAAAGAGATTTAAAAGGCCTTATAGCTAAAGGCATAACTATAATACTTTATATACTAGCAGATTAGCTATTAAAGAAGCTTTAAGATATGCCCTTTTTATTATAGTAATATATTACCTGCTTCTTATTAAGTCCCTTTAGTATTATAACTAGTAGCTAAGCCTTATATAAATCCTTAATTACAGTTAGTTATAGCCTAACTTACTATTATTATAGTAACTAAGATAGAAATATATATTATAATATATATAAGGACTATTACTTCTATACTAATTATAATACCTTCTCTAAGTGCTTTTTATTTAAGTGCCTCTCCTTAAGCTTCCCCTTAAACTATAAGTATTATAGTAATTATACCTAAGGTATATAATAATATTTTTATTATTTATAAATAATATATATTAGATTATAATAAATAGTATTTATAATAGCCTTAATATTGCTATATTAATAAGCTATATTAAAAGGCTATAAAGCTTTATTTAAAGTACTTAAAGGCAAATTATAAATAGGCCTATAGCTTAAGTTAAATAAGTAGTTATATAAGAGCTTTAAATAATAAAAAGCTTTAAGATTAAACTAAAGAGGAGATAAATATATATATTAACTTCTTAAATTAAGAAGAGGAGTAAGTATATTATATAGTTACTAGTTAAGCTTAATATACTAGCTAAAGAGGTATTAAAGATAGTATATATATTATAAAGGAAGATAGTTAGATATAGTAGGTATATTATAATAATTAAATAGCTATATAAAAAAATAATTTATTAATAGTTAATTAAATAAATATATATATTATTAAAAAGAGTAAAAAAAGCTTTATCTCTAAGCAATATAACTAATATTTATCTACTAATTTATTATACTTTTTAATTAAGTTATAAACTTATACTTTATTAAAGTTATATCCTTAAATTAGGGCTATTATAAAGGTATTATAAAAGTATTATTATAATATATTATTATGGCTTAAGTTATAATAATTACTTATTTTTAATATATTTAACTATATTAAATAATAGTTAATATATATTATAAGTTAGGAAATATTAGCTTAAATAATTATTATAATATATATTAATATAGTAACTTAAAGGTAATTTAGGAGAGTAATATATATATAAAAGGCTAGTATTAATATTACTTTTAACTTCCTTCTTTCCTTAATATAATATAATATATTATAAAAAGTATTTTAATAAATCTTATAATTATTATATTATTTATCCCTTTAATACTATATCTCTTAACCCTAATAATAATTAGGCTATTTAAATTTATAAGGATAATATAGCTACCCCCTCTTACTATGTTCCCTCTAGCTAAAATAACTAATTTATCCTCTAGCCTGCATAGAGTGCTAATAGCTTGCCTGGCTATATAGGTACTAGTTAGTATATAAGAGAGTCTTCTAGGTTCTTTACCTCTATTCCTGTCCTTATTCTTGCTAGTTAAGAGAACCATTTAGTTGCCTAGCCTATATATAATATATTTAATATTAATAGCTAGATAGCTTAGAATACTCTAGCAGGTATAAATTATTAGTTATACCTTTTAATACCTTAGTAGCTATATATAGTATATAATATTATATTTATCCTAGCTAGTAATCTAGCTACTATAACTACTATTACCTATAAATATTATATTAAAGGCAACTAGTATATAGGCTAGCTTTATAATATTATTAATAAATATATAGCTTGCCTAGTTCTTAATATTATGCCTTTTTAAATTACTAATAGCCTTATATATTAAGATTAGGCCTATTAAGCTAGTCCCCTTATTCTTAAGATAATATAGCCTATATCTGTAGTTAGAATAATTATATATATACTAACTATTTAAGTTATATAGTAAAATAGGATATATATTTAGATAGTTAACCTATAAGGGTATATATAATAAATTTAATAAGGAAGGCAGTAAAGGGAAGACTTATATATTACTTATTTAATAGTATAGTGCCTTATTTATAGCTCTTAAGGAATATATAATATTACTTTATATATTTTATTTAATTATATATATATAACCTATTATTATAAGGATTAATTAGGCATATTTACTACTATTAAGTTACTTGCTAATAAAATAGGAATTTAATATATTAAAGTAATAAAGTATATATTATTAAAATAAGTAAAAAAAGCTTAATTAGATAATATATAATATATATATATAATTAATCGGGGTTGCTGATGTGATAATATCATATTTATACGGGTACCCGTGCGGGTATGCATGGCCGTCGCGCCTTGTATATAAGGGGATAGATGCCCTGAACTTATATTAAGAGGTAATAAAGGGATTAATATTTTTATATAATATAATAACTTATTATATTTTTATTAATTAAAAGCCTTAAATACCTTATAAAAGTATTTAATATTAGTATTTATAAAAAGCTTTTAAAATATAATAAATAAAGTTTAATTAAAATATTAATTATAACTTATTTCTAATTATTTAAATAATTTTTATTATATAGAATTTAAATATTAATTAAATAACTAAAATATTAATTTTTAAATTAAGGCATATAGTAATCCTAATAAGGTACTTACTAGGCATAACCTCTCTGTGTACATGGAGAAGAAACCCTGCTAACTTTGATTAAGAACTACTAAGGCAGGTCTTTTTCAGTACAAGCTTTCTTTTGTTGTATTTGCTATTGTGATTGGGTGTGGATTAGATAATTGGTCTATGGGTTGTTGGTTTCGCGGGCTGGACCTGGGAACTCGTCAATTTGCTAGAGTCTATTGAACGTTTCGCAAGTACCGCATATATCAGGTGTTGAATGTCGTAGCACTCGATGTCTCCTGCAATATGAGTGTCACGTAAAAGTACTCGATTGGACACCACACGAAGGATGCCATATATCGTTACCAGGAGTGTGTATATGTAACCTCTTCATCAAGCTTCTGGGATAATTGAGTACACCAACGACCCTATCTGTTCCATCATCAGTGGATCCTTATTCGAGCCGTCAAGAATGGTACGGGTATCAAGGCCCGCAGGGTGTCTAAGCCTTTGTATGAAATGCAACATTTATCGGCATTTCAAGCCACTTGACCATAGCCGCCGCATTCTTGTCATCCGCCTTCTTCTTCAACTCCTCCTGTGCCAGCTTCAAGGGCGAGACCCCATTCTTGTTCTGCTTCCTTGCGTCCGCACCACGGCTCACTAGCCACTCTACCGCGCCAACCCTTTTATTCATCACAGCATGTAGTAACGCTGCGCTGCCGTCAATGTCAACGGCGTCTATGTGGGCCCCGCGCTTGACCAAGTACTCCATAACAGCAGTCTGTTGGCTCTGAGCAGCCGTCATCAGAGGCGTAATGCCATTGTTGCCGATTCTGTTTGCATTGAGATGTTTCTCTTCCAGGAAGTATTTGATGATGTTGAGTTGCCCTCTTTCGCAGGCGATGATAAACGCATCCCATCCGGGAAGCTTTTCAGGAGATTCATCATCACAACCCTTTTCAAGGAGATACCGGACGACTTCGAGGTGGCCTTTGCCTGCAGCCATTGTAATCGGCGTCCCTCCAGTACCAAGGAATACTGGTCGCTTTGCGCAGATGTTCGCTTTTGCGCCCCTCTCAAGCAGAAGCTTGACGACATCTAAGTAGCCACCACATGCTGCCCAGTTGATAGCACTTCCATCACCAGGAAGAACACCGAAACCAACATCCTTCCGTATGTCCATATCAGCACCACGATTGAGAAGGATCCGGACGGTATCCAATTGTCCATTGTACGCTGCGTGGCCAAGGGCTGTCCAGCCGCCATGCTTACCATCGATAGGAACCTTTTGATCGAGTAGTTCAACTACTTTAACAGAATCATTCTTCTTTGCAGCTGACACCAGGTTCTCCACAGTATTAGGATTGGCTTCCATCGGCTTGGGCTGGGGCGCTGTAGCTGTCTGTTGAGGTGGTACTGCTCTCGTTGTGTGCTGGGTGTTGACTGACAGGTCAGCTGCTGATGTTTTCTTCAAGCTGGTGCTTTCGTCTAAATGTTCGAAGACAGCTTATTAGTTACAATGCCCTCAAGAAACAAGTTTCGATCCACAGTTTTGATAATTTACCTGTATTGATTCCAGTAGTTGGATTGATTTGGCTGGTGTTGCTTGCCAGTTCGGCCAATGGCACTGGCGCTGATGAAGTCGGCTGACGTTCCGAATGCGCGAACAGAGTCTAGAATAATTATTAATGCCATAATTTAAAGAGATTTAGTACATCACAAACCTTTAAAGTCATTGGAAAGCCGCTAATACTCGTAGAATGTGTAGCTCCAAAGTTGGCATCGATGCGAATCGGCTCATCAAGATGCTGATGTTGAAACTCAATTGCGAATCGAAGTGGTTTGTCATCCGCAACTCGCTTTACCTCGTATACCTTTCCTCGAACAAGGAATTTCGAAGTACGAGTCAGGAGTTCTTCGAAGCCTTGATCATTTGGCATCAAACGGGAGCAGATCCAGCCATGAATAACTGTGACGGCGCCATGTTTCGTGATACTACCGAGTTCAAAGAAATAGAGGCTCGCTCGTAGTTTGTCAGCTATGCATTGGAGTGCGTCTGCATGCAAAATGCCAGAGGTTGCTGAGAAGGGCGAGATAGAAGTCTTCTCATAGAAGGCGGCCTTCTTTGCTGCTGCTTCCATAGTCGCAATAGCACCCGTGTCATCGAGGGCAGGTTCAGTACTCCCATCGAACCTCAAGTTTAGCCTTGACGCACGGTCTCGGATACGTTTGTCCTGGCTCGTGAGGAATCTGTCCCAGGCATCTTCGCCGTTCATGGTGCTGACAAGGGTTGAGAAGAGATGCGCAAGCCATTTTGGTATGATGGCTGTGGAAACGGGCTCAGCTGCGGGATATCTAGCTCGCCCAGATCCGATAGACAGAATAACATCATAAGTAGGATCTTCCCATATCTTTCGTGACTCATTGAGCGCTACTTGGATTGGGTTGTTCTCCTTCAAGCCGCCATCGCGGCATTCATTCCCGGCGTGAGAAATAGGTTCGAAGTACATGGGAGCTGCCGAGGTACATCGCGCGCTGTAAGGATTGTTAGCAGTGGCTTAGTTTTCATGGGCAGTATCCTTACGCCTTCCATAGCGGGAGTTTCGAATCAAGATATCGATCTTTACCGCCCGGATTGTAGTTGGCAATCAAGTGACAATCTTCCTTGGCCGTGGTGGTGACCGCAACTCTACAGGAGCTGTTTAGTCCATAGAGCGATTTTGGATCCTTCCCCTCAAACGCATTTTGGAGGGCTGTCTCCAAAACATCAGTCTTGTAGATCGAACTGCTAAACCATCGGGCCGCCCAACCAAAGAACCGAGACTTGGTGAGAAACTTGGCCTCGAACCCTTTGCTGCAGATGTTGCGGAACAGACTTGTGCATTCGACGACACTTCGTCGTTGCACACCTATACCCAGTGCGATGATGCCACCTACAAAAGTCAGAAGGATGTCCTACGTGCTCACTGTCCAATTCGAGAAACTTACCTGTACTGGTACCAACAATGAGATCAAAGAAACTCCCAATCGGGATACCAAGCCCGACCTCTTTCTCCAAGCGGTTCAAAACCGTCAGCTCAACGATTCCCCGTACGCCTCCTCCATCAAGCGACAGTACCCGAAGGCCAGAAAACGGCGGCCTGATGGTAGTAATGAACGGCCACTTGTCAGATGACGAACTTCCGCAGATTATACATCTTTGATGGATGAAGCGTCCGGGATATCGCTTATCTAAATCGGTATCATCGAAATCATCCACGCATGTCTCGCAGATGACATGTCCGCAGGGAAGACGGTATTCCGGTCTTCCAAACAGACAACTGAGACAAAAGGTTGCGTTTATTTCGGTTCCGCGATTCGAAAGACTTGAGTAAAGAGAAAGAAACGATCTTGCAAGTGCAAATGGGTTGTCCTCGGGGTTATAGCCAAAAGGGAATCGACGCTTTTCGTCATGTGATGCTGGGTAGCCACCAAGCCGTCTCAAGGTATCAATGTTTTGGCGATGATGAACGGCCGCAAGGCGCCGCCAGTCGCAGTGGTTGGAAGGACCGCTTAAATTGATCCCTCGCATGGTGGTGTGAAGGGCTGATTCGATCGCAAGCAAAAACTTGGCGGAATTGAAGTCGCCAACGACAAAGTTTCCATCGTGTAAAAGGTCGCCTGACGCGCTTTGATGGCCTATTCGGTGACCAGATTTGGTATTAACGCACTTCTCGCCGGAATCGGGGTCGATGTATGCGCATGGTGATTTACTATCCAGGAACTGGCTGATGGCTCTGGTGCAGATTGCTCGGGTGTCTTTGTCAAAGACGACTGAGGGAAGTAGCACGATATCTATCAATACAACAAATGATGTGAGCCATTGAAACGTGTATAATTCAGCTATGAGTTAAGCTAAACCTACGTACCATCTTTGTTCGCACTCAATGAGTTCCTCAGTAGACTCGTCGCGATAACAGCAGCCGTGTCGTCAAACCGGGCCTCCATGCCATTCTTCAACGACATGCCAAGAAATTCGGAAAAGTGACCCTCGGTTGTATCCGGAACCGATATCTGTCGTCGACACTGACCGAAATCGAACGGTTCTGAACTTCCTGATGCAAGATGCGCAAATGCGTAATGCACCACCTGAGACATCTGCGTCGTGTCGAAGCGAGTCCAAGACTCAGCTCTCTGGGCTTGGACACGCTCTGCATCTCTCCTGACTCGTTTAGCCAATCGATTGGTTTGGTTGATAATCTCAAGACTAGTTCCGAGTGGTCCGTAGCCCTCTAGTGGGATGTAGTGAACATAGACACTGGAGAAGCTCCTTGAAAACAACTGTCTCATTGTCTTGTCTCCGTGCTAGGGACAAGTTAGCATGATGCTCGAGGGGGCTCTGGTTGGGTATAGGTACATGCCTTTTGAGCAAGTTCACGAAACTCGGTTGTCTCGCTGATCTCCTTCTCAATAGCCTGAAAGAAAGCATCCGTGACAACCTCATGATCATCACCAAGCCATTCCTCATTCTCCAGACTCGGCCCATTAAGAACAATGATCAGCGCAGGTAGTGCATGTTGATTAATAGTGTTCTGCACACCAACCTTGCTCCAGTTCAGAAGTCGCAGCGCCGACTCGGCCCACGCTCTGTGGTTCCTGGTGACATAGCAGATCACATCACTGAAGATGTACAGAAAGCGAGGATAGATGGTCTTGACAGCCGTTCGTCGATCAACTGGCTTACCATCCTTGGACTCAATGAGATAGCGCTGTCCATACCTTGCCCATTCGGTCTGGTGCTCTGCCGCAAGAGGTTCTGTACCCAATAGCCCTTCGCAGTCTGCATAGAACATCGGCGCCACTGTTCCAAAGGTCGTTGGGTCAAGGTACAGATTGACTTCTCCAGTAGTAGATCTGATGGCAGAAGATCCAGTCTGAGCTCCAGGAACTGGAGCGTCAAGGGGATCGAAATCCAAGGCCTGTTCGGAGTCAAAGATCAAGCTTCGGACTTTACTTCATTGTCAGCTCATCTCTTCCCCAACCATACATTGAAATGAGCAAAATGGGCCGAACTTACTCAGAGTCGACTTTCCTGCACCAGTATCCCCAACAAACGAGCAAATGCTCGGATACTGCCGCCTGGGACTCCGCTTATCGAAATGAAGCGACTCCTCTAAAAGGTTAGAGAATCGCGTAGTCTCAACCAATGTCGCAATACGATCCTTACGTCCAGGCGGTGACGAAACGTGAAGACCGAACCATTTAGTCGTCTCATCTCTCTGAAAGTGCGAAGCAGGAGAAAACGAACTTGCAATGTTGGAAACTACTCCCTTGATTCTGTTCCATTTGGTTTCGGTCTTTTTCGAACCACCACGTTTGTGGGTTTGATTGCGCGGTAGGTGTTTCTTGGAGAAGCAGTATTCGCAGAACCGCTCACCGCAGGAGCATCGGACATCACCGGGTTTTTCTTCACACTTTGCACACAGGTCGTCGTCCATGATGAAATCCATGTCGAACTGACTGCTAACTGAGATGAATAGTTGAGATTATATGAGACGCTATAGAAGAGGCGATGGTTGGGTATTTCAAGGCTTTCTTTATCAGTCTGGTTCGCATAAGGCTCCATGAGGCGACTTTCAGCCGCAGTTCTAGAGACGGCAAAACGCCTGGCTGCAGGTTACTAAAAGGCCCCAACTGAAACATACAGGCCAACAGTTCGGCATTAGTGTTCAGCTCAACCTTCTGATGGAGGGTTGCATTTGGCGCTGACCAACCAGTGAGGGGAATCGCTCAGCCGACTTCGGTACTTTCAACATGTTACTGTTGCGCCTCGTTGGGCAGAAAACACCACTGTGGTGTTCTAGACTTTTGTACACCTGCAGGCTATTTTATGGGAATAGTCCGAGGTCAACCGGGGCATTCCTCATTTGATCCTCTTGAATCTCCTGTATCAAACTTTCAGGATAATCCTCGATGTTCAGGTCCATGTACCCGCGAGGAGCCCATTTCCGAGCGCAGACAAAGAGCGTCCTTCCATTAATGCTGGTATCAGACAGGATCCTCAGCGCGCATTCACCAGCATCTTCAACCGTCGCGAACTCGACGCCCGATTTCTCAACTTCATCGAACTGGTCTTTGGAGAGAATGCCAGTGCGGATATACCTGAAGAATGGGTTAGTCAAAGACCTACAGCTCTGTGGGATGAAGAGTGATATACCAAGGCGCAATGACATTGACTCGGCTTCCATAGTAAAATGCCGTCCTTCGCAAAGCATGCATTATTCCACGGACTGCCCATTTTGTGCTGCTGTACTCTGGAGATCTTGGAACGTCGAGGAAGCCGGCTCCTGAACTGATGAGGATCAAGCAGGTATCTTCTTGGTCTTTGTTGACTTCGGTGCCATTTTGGGACACGAAATAGTGCATGGCCAGCTTAGCGGTATAGAGCGCGCCCTTAAGATTGACATCGATGACTTGTAAGTCTGGCTTTTGGGGTTCTTGGTCTTTGCCTGTGTAACCATGAGTTTAAAGCCTGGTGACAGGGACGTAGGGGGAATTCGCACCGTCAAAGGTAAAGGTCTGGTCTTCCTTCGTCATACCTGCATTGGCTATCACATAGTGGACCTTTCCAGAAGGCGATATTTCAGCCGCCTCCTTGAATAAGAGAACTTGATCTTCCCAAACAGTTGCATCACACTGGGCGAACTTTGAGCCCGTCAATTCTGAAGCCAGCTTCTCGCCAGCAACGACATTTTTATCGCCAATGACAACCTTGGCTCTTTTACACATCAGTCTTTGAGGTTTAAGATATTCTTGAGTGATTCCACATACCCTGCGTTATGTAAAGCCCGCACGTATGCTTCTCCTATCCCGCTGGCCCCTGGGAGATGTTAGTTAACCTATATCATGATTTCAGCGCCGCTGACCTCCAGTTACAATGGCAACTTTTCCAGCAATTTCATCTTTATTGAAGTCGATGTCGCAGTTTACAGCTGGTGATATTTGATAGGGAGGCATTTTGGGAAATTGAGTCTGTAGGCTGGTTGTAAAATTGTAAAACTATTGAAGATGTTATGGTTTTTGACTTTGCAACTGTGTTGATGAGCAGGGGTTTTGACGAAATGGTTCTCACGGAGGTACTGGCTCGTACACCTCACCGAATCTTATAGAATACTCCTTGAGCGTTATTTGCCACTATCCATCAGATAACTGATGCGGACTTATGCGAGTTGATGATATCACCAAACCTCAAGCTCTTGCGATCGCTCATCGGACCCACTTACCCAGATCCTGAGATCATCCAATGATAACCCCAAGACTTGAGACTATACCTTGATTGGACGCACTAATGCAACCTGCTGACAGAGTGGAGTAACCCATTCCCTCTCTTGAGGCCGCATTCACGTGCATGCCATGATGACGCCTCCAACATTCGACGATTTTCTTTCCTGATTTATCCTATCAATCGTCTACAGGTATCAAATAAGTCTCTCATAATTAGCCATAAACATCGATATATCAGCACTCTGCATATACAGCACGATGGCAGATCCACAAAAGATTGCCATTGAACCAATGGCCCAGCAGATGCTCGTCCAGAAAGCTGGAGAGGATTGGACCGGGATCACTAGTACTGCACAACGACGAAAGCTGCAGAATCGGCTGAACAAGAGGTCGCAATGTGAGTACACACTTCTAACCTGTACCCTGGGGTCAGCTTCTTACATAATATCACGCCTGGCAGATCTCAGAAAACGTCAACAACTCGAAAAAAATCGGCTTGCCTCGAATATCGTCGGTAAAGCCGGCCTACCCGCTGAGTCCATGCCTTCAATAGCACTCGCTCTTCAAGGGCCACCCGATGCCATGTTTGAAGTCATTCGTCAAACTTGCGAAGTCTATGAGAGGCCTGATATAAGCGAAAGGGTGTTCGCCGTTGCGTGCAAGACTTATATGGACTATACCATGAATTCCCCTCGAATATCGCAGCTTCCACTCCTCATCAGTCTCAACGTTACAATAGCAGTTGCTAACAATGCTACCGTGTTGGGATTTGATCGTACGCTTATGTGCATTGATGAAGCTATATCACCGTTCAACCTCAATGGACCTATGAGTCCAGATTATAATGCTCCAGTGGCGCTCCAACCTACAGAAGTGCAGAAGTCGGTGTTGCATCACCCTTGGCTGGACATATTCCCATTTCCAAAATTCAGAGATAATGTCATTCTGGCGGCGGATGCGGAGTTATTGGATGATGGCGAGCTTTGTGAGGATATATCAGAGATCAACTGGGAGAACGTTGAGAGGCCAAGTTTGATCGTATGGGGAGATGCCTCCGTGCCGCATTCCTGGGAGGCGTCGCCTTGGTTTTTAAGGAAATGGGGTTGGCTACTTCAAGGCTGCCCTGAGCTTATAGAAACAACGAACCAATGGCGACAGAGTCGAGGAGAAAAGTTACTGAAGTGGAACAATGAGTAGTATAGGTATTTCCATAATATTCATCAATAAGTGACCGCTTCTTGGCAGCTATTGGGCCGCATGTATGTCGTGGCCAAGGATAGGATGTAAGCAGTGAAACTATCAGCGCCTTGCATTAGTGCAGCCAACTACGCCGCCGTATTGTGTTGCATGCAGCAATATACCCTAACAGACTTGGATAGCAAAACTCGTTTCACTCTTGACCCTTTTTGAAACGGTTTGGGAGATGATTGTATGATGAAACTGAACTCCAGCATCAACAACTTGCTCGTTCCGCAGCAAGAGCATTGTCGCAGTGGAACCGGCACCTACAGAGAAGCAGTTGCGAATCTGGACGCTCAACAATTGGACGCGGTCGTGTGGCCCAATGGCAAGGCGTCTGACTACGAATCAGAAGATTCTGGGTTCGATCCCCAGCATGATCATATTTTTGCTCCTTAGTGACTATGTTGTGCTCCACTTAGTTAACCTGCGTGATCAATCATTTTGACAGAACATCAACCTCGATAGTACATGCTAATCAGATCTCCTATATCTCACTCTGGTTCAAGTTTTGCTGGGCTGGCTCTAGCAGTCGAGGGACAACTCCCAACACCACCCCTGCTTCCTTTCAAAGCCGGACTTTCGGCCTTGCACTATCACATACGATCATACCCACTGGAGAATTCGGGATCCCGTCTGCTCTCCCATAGACAAGCCAGTGAGGGGCGGATTAGTAGTTGGCTCGGTGACGACCAGCGAATACCCGCTGTTGTATGTTTTTGCCTGTGGCAGCTTTGCCTTCTTTTTTCTATAAGTTATTTATGGAGCTATTTGTTCTAGATTGCATACCTTCATGGTATAGAGGTCATAGGACGTCTTAATAAAGCTGATGGATATAAAGACTTTGTTTCTAGTGCACTGTGATATAGGAGATAATATTTCTATTTCTATTTCAGTTTCTATTTTTAGTCAGTCTCCGTGTTACGACGAGTCCATCGAATTACGGCTGGGTTCATAGGCCGGGAAAACATTGACTAAGAACAACAGTCAGTAAGAACGTATCAATGTCGGGAGGAGTGCTTACTGAATAGTCTGGCGCAGGAAGAGGTGCCTTAGGGTCAGGCTGTTCAATATGGAGCAGTCTCACAAACGTTGCAATGATGGCGCCAAGCTGTGCATACGCATAGTTCTCTCCAACACAACGATGTCGTCCTGCTCCAAAAGGTAGATATGGACTGCTCACAGACTTGTTCATCACTCCAAAGCCGTAATCAACAGTCTCTCCATTACCCTTAGCGTCGTCAAGAGACTCGATCTTATCCCACCGGTGAGGATCCCATTCCATAGGCCGCGGGAAGTACTCTTCAGATCGTGCCTGTGTACCGGGTGAGGCAAGCAGTGTGTGCGATGGAGGAACTACCCAGTCTGTTCCAGGTACTCGCATAGGTGACTTGACTTGTCGAAGAATAGAGTGAATAGGACTGTGAAGACGCAACGTCTCTTTGATGACCTGTCCATTCAGCGCCAACTTTTGCAAATTCTCCCAGGTCAATGCCTCCTGCGGTGATCCCAAGACCTCAAGCTGCTCATCATACAACTCCTTTACAAGATGCGGTTTATGCGCAAGGTTAAGAAGAAGCCAAGCACCGCTCGCAGCTGTATTATGCTGCCCACCCATAAGAATAGCAATCAACATCCTCGCCGCATGATGATCCGGCAGATCTTCACCATCTTTATACTTGGCATTCATAAGCGTCCAAACCATATCAGTCTCATCGCCTTGATTTCCAATCTCTCGACGTTTGCGGATGATATCGCTGAAAAGTTCCTCCATGACTTTACGAGCGTGATCGCGCCGGAAGTTTTGTGGCAAGGGAAGACCCGGCATTACGAAGTTGATGGGTTGGAAACCGTCGTCTAGATGGCGGTAGAGGGTTGCGAATGTACTGTCGAACATGGACCGAACTTCGTTCCCGAGAAGGGAGCCGGCGGCTGTGTAGATTGTGATTTCGGCCATTACTTCTGTGATGTTTACGACGCCGGTGTTGCCTTTGAAATAGGGTGAAGTGTTGATGTAGTCTTCGACTTCTTTCACGAATTTGGGGATGTAACATCGCAATGAGTCTGTGGTGAGGCCGAGCTTGAGAAGCTATCGATGAACAGTTAGCATGCCGTTCTTCGTATGGCGTAGGTCGACCTGCCCTCTTCTGATCCATGAATCTAGCATTAGAACAATCATAAACAACCTCCTTCCCAAAAACAGGCGTCGTAAGTTTCCCATAGACATCTTCAGCATTAAGATCCGCATGTTTCCCATTCAAGATAAAATCATTCCCCTTCGGCCCCAAAAACACTGTCGTTGACTTTCCAAGCAGAATGAAGGTGAAGCAATCTCCATATTTGGCTTGACAATCGAAGAAGAATTTGTATGGATCAATTCCATACTGAACTGTGCTGCCGATAAGTGGAAAGATGTGAAATACAACGGGAGGGCGGTGAGGATTCGGGAACCATAGCTGTCTAACCACGTTGGTGACGGTTGCGATAACGATGATGAGAAATCCTGTTATCGGTACAGATAATGACAGCGGAAGAGACCGCCAATTGGCATAAAGGGCCTCCATTGACGATGCCCTCAGTGAATACGTGGCGCGATGAAAATTTGGAGTTTTTCCCAACAGAAAACCTGCTGGTCAGCACTATCGAACGATTTGAGACAAGAGCAGCTGATAATGAGTCAGCCTTATCGGGCCCCTCGGCAGAAGATCTTGTTCCTGAGAGAATAGCGCTAAGGTACCCCTCGCTAATAATGATCCTTGTCACGCGAGGCCTTCGATTGGCTATTCCGTACACAACCATTGAATCATCAGTGAGCCTGAGCATCTCATAAAACGACTCGACTCTTGTTTTGAGCTCACAAAAATTATCTTCAAGCTACAATGCGCTGCAAAGTCTCAAAGTCGATAATATGACAGTCGTGATGGAGGAAGTACTGAAGGGATTGCACTATAGCAAAGTTGGCCTCCCTGACTTAGAGACCCATATTGCACGATCAGCACTCTTTATTGGCCATATATGTAGCAAGATCCGTTTCTCAACCACGTTGCTACAGATATGGCCCATTCAAGCACGTTGAGACTCAACTCCACGTTTCATTCGCTATATCCAAAGCAACATGGATACTAAGGATAGCTGTTCCAAGGATACATAATCAATACCTTGAAGACACTACAATGAGGGTGATCATCATCGTCCTTTCTCAATCTCTACTGTTTCTCACAATTCCCCTTTTCAAAATCCTCTCCGCTGTACCAGACAACATGGCAGATACGCACTCCATCATCACCCCAGCTATCATGTACTGGGGAACCCCAGTAGCCCTCATCACTACCTCGAACGAGGACGGGACTGCCAACATTGGCCCAATATCATCCGTCTGGTGGCTCGGCCACCGCTGCGTCCTAGGCTTAGCCTCAGGATCCCAAACAACAATCAACCTCTTCCGCACTAAACAATGCGTCATCAACCTCCCCAGCAACGACATGGCGCACTACATCAATCCCATCGCAAAAACCACCGGTACACCTACAATCCCCCCCGGCAAAAAAGACCGCGGCTACAAGCATTGCAAAGACAAGTTCAGCGCTTCAGGTCTTACGCAGCAAGCTTCTGATTTTGTGCAGCCGCCGCGTATTGCAGAATGTCCTGTGCAGATGGAAGCTGAGGTTACGAACAGCATGGAGTTGATGCAGGATGTTCCGGATCGAAGGGGGATTCTGGTAGCTATTGAGGTCAAGGTTCTTAGGACACATGTTCGGAATGATTTGCGGATGGATGGTTATGCTGATAGGATTGACCCGGACCGCTGGAGGCCGTTGATTATGAGCTTTCAGGAGTTCTACGGTCTGATGCCTACAAAAGTCGCGGAGTCGAACCTCGCTACTATTGATGAGGAAAAGTATCGCGTTGTTACTCGATCGGATGTTGTCAAGCAAGGAGGAGACATGGATACGTTGGACAGTGAGGCTGGGGCTGGAAGATAACGCCAAGATACCCCTCACCAGTCATGATCCCTGTCAAGAGAACTTCTATTGGCTGCATGACCAATAATTCAGCCTGTCAGTCTGCCTGTAGGTATGTTTCACAACACAGCCGCAATGGAACTAGTCTAGATAAATGCCTTGATTCTACTTTTCACTTTTCAATAAATCCTCTTTCGTTTAAACCTTTGATCTTGATGGCAAGTTGCAGCGATGGAAACTGATATTTGTCCAGATGGCGACAGTCGCACTGAGAAAGAGATGGTCGTCAAACTCATAGTCGCCCATTTCACAGCCGTCGTCGCCTTCTGCAATTTCCAATCCCTACGCAACGAAAGACTCGACACAGTTGAACCAGTCTTATTCCTTCTATCACCCTTGATAGTCATAACACAAACAGCCCTCGGCATCGTCATCATTAACGTATCATTCGTCTCGAACGTTGCTCAGTCCCCGAAATCTTTTCCAATCCATCTCGAAACCTATGCACGACGATGGAATACGCTTTTCGGAAAGAAACCAACACAACCTCGTCGAACACCTACGGGCTCATTGGAAGAAAATATGCAATCTCGTTTTGGAAGTGCTTGGATAAGGCTTGGAAGAGCCATAGCTATCTTCGGAACACTTTTCCAATTCGCAGCTACGATATTTCTCTACAGACGTCGAAAGAGTTTACATGGCTGGGATTCACTTACAGTCGTTGATCATCGAACATTCGAGCTATCCGTCGGCGGCGGCGCTGTCTCTATCTTATCTCTTGCTCTCCTTCTCAAATTGCCTGGCTTCGGACAAGCACCAGAAACGCTGTACATCCCAGAACTCAAGCCAGAACTAGCTATCATCTTCTGCCGCGGTGATTCACGCCGTTGTCCGAGCTGGTATCAAATCCTCTACGTTTCAGATATCGGCTCAGCAACATCAGCTGCGACGTGGCTAGCCTGCGTTTCATCATCAACATACAAAGGCGAATCTCTTCCGTTTCACTTCCTATATGAGTTTTACGCCGGGATCTACACTGAGTTTGCCCGTACTCTTTCGCTACAAATCTCAATGACTGCATTCTATCTCCTTGTTGGAATCTTTTTCGCGGTTGTTTTCTCACTACCCCATGTATACAATGGCCCAGGCTTTGAAAAAGTCAATAGTCTCTGGGCCATGATACCAGCTCTTCTTGTACTGCTGGCCGTCATGATTACTTTTTTCTGCATGTTGATGCTGATGATGTTGCCGGTTCTTTTGGTTTTGTTTCCCTCTCTTGTTAGCGGGCCTGGATGCATTTTCACGATGAAAGGGTATGAGACTCGTGCGTTGTTTTCGAAGCCGCCTTTTGGACCGTTGGCGAATGAGACGGAATGTCTTTTGCTGTGGAAGGATCCTATGGCGGAGTATTTGTGGTCGCTTGTATAGTTATTCAAAATACGGCAGTCACCTTGGCGACACTCTGAACTCAGCTGAAAATGGGTCCCGATGTTCATGTTCTTTCAGAAATTGGTGCCGTTGATAAGTAAAAACGACATGCTAATGTATCTATCTTTAACCAGCGGCTCGCGTTGTAAGATTCCATCATCAAATTAGCTTACAGTGACTACGGCTTCCTCTTTCACAAGCAGAATTGTCTATTGTACCAGCACCATAATCGTCGCGTCAACCATCTCTGACGTCTTCCAAGCTTCCGCCACCAGCGACTCTCCGGCCCTGATTGCGGTGGTCCTGGCACGCCATGCAACGCTATTGATTAAGATCCAGTCTTCTATACTTATGGAAAGTCTGGAGCTCCAACTTGTGGTTTCGGAGGCAAAGGCGTATTTACCAGCATATGCCTACATGCTCACCCTCCGAGTTCGTGTAGGGGGCTCAAAGCATTACTTGGATAATGAACGCCAACTATTTCCGATATATACTACAGTTCAGTTACACATTCTTTAATTTGCTTTCCTCACTATCGCACGGAATAGTTGATACATGATACTCAAAAATTAATGACATTGGATCTCTATTCTCTTGAAATTTCTATCCACACTGATACACTGGAGTTTCCGTATGCCAATAAGCATATAAATTCTTATTGCCCTTCCTGTCAATCTTGCGTTGCCTTCTACTTTCTTCCTTCTGAACCTTTTCCGTAAATCGGTGCTGGGTTGCTATCAATGAGCGCTGCTCAGATGTTGACAGGTGCATCAAAGCGTTGCGGTCGCTGGCGCTCATGTTTGCAAGCTGATATGTAACCGTTGCCTTTTGTCGTCTTTCTTTTCTTGATAGCAGCCGTGTATCGGAAGTACCGGGTGCAGGTTCCTCGTGAATAGGATTCTCCTCGTCAACTTGGACAGAAGAATACTCGAGTTGAGACCTTGGAGTCCACTTGCGATCGCGCATCTGCGAAGCTGATGGCTCAACTTGCGCTGATGACTTTTTGGAGATGAGTCGCCCTGACGGTAAGCGGATGGAATCCCGATCAACCTGCAGCGGCTCTCGGCTAGGTTTCACTTGGGGACTTTCAAAGTGCTCTTCCTCGTCGTTTTCGCTCTCGGCATCCTCGCCTAGATCAAGAGATTCATGCGAAAAGTCGTAGAAATCGGAAAATTCTGAGCCTTCTGACACGTCGAACTTGCAATGGCCTTTTCCCATCATGTGCTGTTGTACGGCCTGAACCGTTGTTCGGCTTGTCCCGCAGTAAATGCACTCCCGGTATTCACAGACAACTAGATGGATGTATCTGAATAGTGTCTCAAGATCTACCAAGAGGTGCTGCTGATAGGGAACGAAGAGACCGTGTGATCTTTGCATGTGAACGATACTTTCGGCCAGTGTCGGGAAGGCAGAGGGACAAAAGAGGCATTGTCCTGGCGTGAATGATTCAGTTGCCGGATCGGAAGACTTGTTGATAGACATGACGTATGGCGTCAAAGGGCTGGTTTCTTCAGGGAAAGGGAGGGCCATGGAAGTTGTCGTGGTGGTTGTAGTTACTGTAGTTGTTGCTCCTAGCATGAGATTGAGTAGTCGAGTGTTGGAGGTCAAGGCCGAATTGATGCTATTTTGAAGCTCAATACTTGGTAGAGATCTCGATGAATGTATGCTAATGATTCAACAAGATGGGTAGAGCATGCATCCTTTATAGTACTGGCCATTGAGTTTGAGGTTCCAGATCTCAAGTGCATCTTTCAATGGCATCAATATGATTGGATAATGGAGGTGAGTCAAAGTAATGGGGCTAGGCTCGTTTAGGGTAATCGCCATGATGATTCATAGTGATTGGGACCCCCGCGGGGCCGAGACTCCTGCCCTAACAGAATCAGCCTCGGCCCAGGCTATGGCCTGTTAAGACACATGTCACTCTCCCGCGCCACCATGGACTCGATTCCACGGGCCCCCGGGCCCGAAGAGCGACAATCTGTCGTACCGCCATATTTTGTGGCAAAGCTCCAGAGAACTAATTAAATTCTTTTCGAATTCAATCGCTCATAAATAGCGCGCTCATATTGTCTAGATGAAAGGAAGAGTTTTTAAAGTCAGTACTGTTATTATTGCTAAGTAGATAAAATCCAATTAAATTGCGCCCTCAAGATGATCCCAACTCCCTTGCTCCTTAATTATACTTCTTCTGTCACAAACCTCTATCGACTATTCCTAGAGCACTCTCTCAAACACTAAATCCACATGAGCCCAAACCTTATCAGCCATCTTTTCTCTCAATCCAACCAAGACCTTCTCATTATCCGCAGCTTCACTCTTGTTATCAACCAAAAAGACACCACCAGCAGATCGAGTCGCCTTGCTTAGTCCTTCAGGAATAGGTGTCGCCGCTTCCTCAGTTTCCTCAATAGTGTATCTCGCATTAGTCGCGTAGAACAATGCTCGAGCGCCAACATCATCAGGACTAGCAAAGAACAACCCTCCAAGAGGTGTAACAATCCATTGAAGCAGAAACCCGATGATACCGCTTGAACCACGAGAGAGAAGTGGTGTAGCAGTCAGCCCGGGAAATGCGTGCACAAAGCTGATTTTGGGGTTCTCTTTGGCAAAGCGCTCGAGGACGAGAGTGAGCATGGTAGCAGCTTGTTGGGCTGCAGAAGCGACACCAAAGTTGCCGGGCTTGGCGAGGTCGAGGTCATCTTCGATTAGAGGACCTTCTTGGCCTCCTGCAAGGATGCTGGTGACGTGAGGGTTTTCGCTGCGGTTGAGAAGAGGGAGGAGGACTTCGATGGCTCGGACACGGCTGTAGAAGCGGGTTGTCAAAGATGGTTCGAGCTTTTCCTTGGTTTCTGGAAAGTGTCAGTGATAGTTATCGATGCAGTCACGATTGTATATTACCTTTTCTCCCTTCAAATGACATGAATCCAACAGACATGAACAAAATGTCAATTTTAGTCTCCCGCTTCGCAATCTCCTTCATAGCAGCATCGGCTTCCTTGACAAGGGAAACATCTCGCTCAATGAACTCAATTGTGGCTGATGGGTTGCTCTGTCGGAGTTCTGCGATAAGTGGTGTAGCAGCTGAAGTACTTCGACCAACGATGTAAATTGTTGGCGATTTGTTATCGGTAGCGATGGCGAGCTGCTTGATTGTGCTGCGACCAATACCGGATGTGGCGCCGAGGAAAACCGCTGTGAGATTCTGGGGGAGTGATTGGGGGAGGGTTGTTTGGTTCGACTTCTTGATTGTGTTGATTGCGACCATTTTTAATGATGTGAATTACTGTTGGGAATAGATATTGGTGAATTCGAATGGTGAAGTTTGATGTTTAGTCTGGTTGTAGTTGTTAAATACTGATGAGGATGTTGATGATGAGATTGATTTCGATGAAGCGACCCCTCACTTTAATACAACTTCAATCTACACTCGTCATTCTCATTTCTGGCAATCATTATCGCAAAGTCAGCCCTATTCGCGGGAATCGGATATCCGACAATCCCAGTAAGCACAGGGGAGTCTAGCGCCTACGGAATGCTGTGAGAAATGTCAGCCTCATCTGATTGGCTACGGAGGATTCCTTTCGGTCTTCTTGGCGTTCTCCGAGATTTTAGTGCGTCATGATAAGCTTGTGATTGCTGACAACCCTCGATCTTCCCAATACTACGGATATCCGAAAATTCATTTTGCGGGCTTTGAAGATATACCGGAGCTTTTGAACTCACGTCGATGTATGTTGTATCTTTATACACAATGTTCGACATTCGAGAGCCATGGACTTGAGATGTGAGGACCTTGGACAGTCGATGCTGAGCTAATTTCGGTCAATTCAGTTAAGTAGGCCCTATCGATCATCTCGGGAAGTCGAACAACTTATCTACCAATCCCCTGGCCTCCCCAGTGAGCTTCAAACCATCTTTGACATCGTCCTTAAGTATCCCCTTCCAATCCTTCTCCTTGTCTTTTATATGCCCTCCATACTTCAACTGCCCGCACGGCCCATTGCTGAAAACATACTGAGGCTGCTCTTTGGACACCACGCCGCCAATGTACTTGGCGTACAGCGGCTGCGCCCCTTCGACACACTTCATTCTGTCAAGAGTAATATAAAGATAGCAGTTGGGGGAGTTTGATAGACGATCCCCAGGGCGCCGGCCGAAGAAGCTGATGCGGCAGTATGGCCGCTTCATACACTCTACGCAACAGTCGAGTGGTGTGTTGGCGCTTACGATTGTTGGTGCCATATCGGAGTCTTGGTTGATCCATGAGGTGATGAGGCGATTGCCAGGCGCGTATCGGAGGATGTTGTCGCTGGAGCAGGCGGCGTAGTGGGTGTCTTGGGGTATTTGTCTCTCGAGGGTGACTATACGCATCTTAGCTGATGTAGCGAGTCAAATTTGGACTGTGATACTTGCCCGTCTCATTAACGGTAGTAGTCATTGTCGCGTTGATAAATGCCGTTTCGATGGGACGAACAGTAATTGTCACGGTGGTATTAAGGCCCGAAGGATATTGAGTCTCCAACACAGTAGTCGTGATAGTCGACGTGCTTGTCTCGGTAGAAATCTCGGTGGTGTTCGGTGTCTCCTGGCGAAAGGTGGTGAGAGTCACCCTCGTGTATATCGGCATCTCTTTAGTACAATGCTTTGTCTGACCATACAAAAACAGCTGAACGCTTTTCCCGATCTTCTGAGTCTTCGCGCGTTCATCACTACTTTCCATTTGAGTCGTATCAAGAATCGCGGTAAAGTTAGGCTTCTTTGAGATAGTCACATTGTAAAAACTGGTAGTCGTAATGGTGTTCGTGTTCGTCTGCGTCTCGGTCGTGGTTAGTGTGTGATTAACCGAAGTTAGTACTTCAATAAACGGTCAGCAGTGAGAAACACGGAGAAACTATCGTGAGTACTGGTAACCGTGCTGGTAGCTATCTTGGCTTCTGGGCTTGCTGTGATTGTTGCCATCTTCGTGGTTGTTTTATTGATGGTAGTTGTCGTGGCGATGGGACGGACAGTGCCGGTATCTTGGCTGATAATATTGTCGGTGATGGTGATTGTTTCTACCTTGGTGGACGTGTTGGTCTGAACGCGCCTGACACTATTGGGTCCAAGAGGCTGTTCGCACCTAACAGTGGCACCAGCAGCGAAGCTTTCTGTGCCCAGGGCGAGAAGGGCCAGGAATAACCCCAGGACTACCATGTTGTCGAGAATCGCGAAAAGGTCGAAGATGGCAAAAGAATCTCAGCGGGAGGGGTAACAGGCGAGCTACTTAATTATATACAGCTACGTGGCAGGTTTCGGTGACTTTACTAGTAAGGTTTCAGCCAAAATCATCAAAGTGGCCAGGTATTGAAGTTTGCTATTTCATATCAATTGCGTCGAGACTCCAAGCCTCTCTACGCCGTAAACTTATAGTCACTATCTTGAAAACAAGCAGCAGAAGTAACAAAACTAAGGAAAGCTATAATGCCACCTATAAATCTTAAACCCATGCTTTCTGCTGTAAGTTATGCAAGTATATGGCAACGAGAGGTAGAATCTAAGCCCATGTACGCGGTAAGCCACATATGCTGGGAAGAAGGATATTGATCAAGTCAGGCTGTAGGCCGAAACACTTGACCTTGTCGATAGTCATGAAGAGATCTTGGCTTTACCGCCCATTCTAGACGATAATCTGTCGGTTGAGGCATTCAGCAAGTCCAGAAGCGGAGAGTTGCGATACAAATTCACCACAGACTGCAAGCTCGAGACAAAGAAACGAACACTTCTCAAAAGTACATAGCGTCGAGCTGGGCCAAAGCCTAGTCCTCGGAGTACTGGCGCTACTAATGCAGATGCAGACTTTACCTACTGGAGAAGTGGTGTATTCTACCAGCAGCTCTTTGCCAAAGGTCCACGCAGCGAATACTTTGGAGTCGCAAGAGGTCATGATCTGGCAAGCCTGGGTGTTAAAGCAAAACGAGTTGATTGTGTTGTTGTTCGTTCTAAGTTACATATGTCCGAGAGGAGCACAGCTCCTTACGTAGTAGCCACATCCCAGCCACCAGCAGATCGGACCACCTTCGCCGCACTGTCTCAACAGTGATCAACCCAAAGCGGAAGGCCAAGATCTTTGGAGTCATTATGGACGCAAAGCCAAGGTTTAAGAAATATATAGCCAAAGCAGCTACCAGAGGTCTTGCAGCAGCTATATGTCTAAGAAGGCTTAAGATACTATCCCTATAAATAGCTAGGCAGCTCTTTGCAGTAATTATTGCACCAGCTATAGACTATGCTTCTGTTATCTAATTGTATATAAGGTGAGAGAGAACTGAGTTAGTTTAATAGGGCTTAGAGGACAGGAGTGTATGCTATTATAGGCGCTTTTTAGACTATATTAACAGAGGTGGCTAAAGTGGAAGCTAGTATCTAGATAGTATATAAGTAGTATGTCTAGGCAGGTATAAGATTATATAGTAATATAATAACCCTATTAAAGATATATTTACTTATACTCCTTAAGGTATTTATAAGCTAAAGATATATATTAATATTAAAGAGTTTAGTATTTGCCTATAAAGGGAGTAGTATTAAGTAAATAAAGAAAATTTAAGCTTATATAATATTATTATAATATAATTATATATTATTAGTATATAAAGCTAATTAAGAAGTAGTAGTAATAATAGCTAAAGATATTAATAATATTATAATTATAATTAATACTTTTAATAGAGAAGGGCTTATAGGTATAGGTAGTATTATAGTATATTAATTATCTAACTAAATAGGCAAGATAGTAACTAGATATTTAGTTATCCTTAGGTCGTGAGATAACTAGAACCTATACATGGCCGAGCTAGAGGCGATAGCGATGGCATTGCGATGTATGCCCGATGGTCTGTAATTCTAAGAGCTTACGGTATTAATAATCTAGATATATGCTTTACCAGTAACTCTGCGGGATGGAACCCCGCACAAGAGACAACTGAACAATCAATCAACGCATTTTTGCTGCTGCTCATCACATTCACTTTAACCCGTTAATAAGCACGCTAAGTGCGACAGAAACCTTTCCTTCTTCCTGGGCGGAAAGTCGGCGTCAGATGGACCCAAATGAACATCTAACCTGGAGGCGGTGCGAGCGGCAATTAAGTTTGCGATGGCGACGGGAAGACTGAGTTGAGAACGGGAAAATAGAACATATTAAAGCATTAACATCACAGCTGACTACTAACATTAAACAGCCTTAATGCTTCAGCTGCTGAAGATGGGATGCTGAACACTTGGAGAAGTCGGCCATCAAGCAGGCCTGTCAAGCAGTCAAGCGAGGCTAAAACGGAAAAGACTAAAGAAGAGAAGCGGGGCTTTCCTATGTGCAGGCCGGATCAATGCGGAGGAATCGTAAATAGCTTAGCGTGCCTACTAGCCCTATGAGATTCGTTCTGATGTTTGGTTCGAATGAACCGCTATACGAGTGTAAATAATTAATCGCCGTAGAACTAAAACACTTTCCAAAGAGTATTTATACAAATAGTTCTCTCATTCACATGCTAACGCATGTCCATCACGCTATATCCTTTATCTGTTTCTCTAAATCATATTAATATATTGGGATTCGCCATATTTACAATGCCGATCTGGTACTATGAGTAATATGTAATATTCTCGTCATAATTCCCTAAGAACCGTGGAAGCCACTAAAACGTAGACAGCATAGCCAAAGAATTAATTTCAGCTGTTACTTGACCGCATGGTCAAGAACTGGGCTTTAAAGCCACAAAGTCAAAGGTGCTACAACAAAAGAATTGTCTCTGGATTCAACACCATTCTAGCGTTGACGATGGCGATGGTTCAATTCGTGTGTTGACCAATGCCATTAGAGAGCCAGACACACTTTTGCATTATCTTGCTTATGTCTGTCCAACCAGCGTCAGTCGATATCCATGGTGGAGGAACAAGGACCGGCGAGATGGCAGCTTCCGAAAGATTATGCTTCAGCCCACAGCCACCGTCTAACCCTAGCTGGTTAGAAAGCAAGGAATTGCAAAGCCGAGACAGCACGAGATCAGCTGCACAAAGCTGGCACTATCAGCCGTAATGGAGCGGTGAAGGAACTACTGATATTATCTTGGCCTTTAACCAAGCGTGTCTCCAACCCTCTTCAATTCTGGTCCAAGTCAGCGCTACACTTCCACGATGGTTGTCGAGGCGAAACCAGCAGGAAATGCTCCCACAGAGCTAGCTCGACTATGGAGAGATGCGTTCCAGGCTTACAACGATGCGGTGGGGAAAAAAGGCCTGAAACTCGACCTCGACGGTGGCCATCTCGTCACCAGCTTGGCCGATGTTGTGGGTTCCGTCGACACGTCCAAAAAATCGTTTGAGAAGTGGCGACACGACGGTGGAAACTGGGACAAAGCAGTCCACTTCATCGGTAAGAATCTTGACTACGCCCAGAGAGTCGGCGACCAGATCGCTTGTTCTGCTGCTGCCTCGTTTCCTCCCGCTAGCGCGATATGGACTGTAGCAACGTACGCCATCAAGGCATGCCAGGCTCAGTCCAAGGACTATGATCAGTTACTGGGCCTTATCGGAGAAGCAGGATCCTTCTTAAAGACGCTTCAGATCATTGAGGACAATTTCCCCGACTGCGACTGTTATGCAGAATGTGTCACCGATGCATTCACCGCCCTCATGATGGTCTTTGCCATTCAGACAAAGTATATGTGGGAAGGACGGCCGTTGAAGTTCTTGCATACTCTTGTCCAAGGCGGCGGCGACGCCAGACTCAGTGCAGCCTACGGCGATGTTACCACTGCCATCTCTCGCCTGAGTCGTGCGAATGGTTTGATGGCTGTGAGAAACACCGAGGACATTAAGACATTGGTAGGCAATCTCGGCGAGAAAGTCGACTTCATCCACGAGGAAATGATCGCCTACTTTCAAGACCAAGGCAAACGGATTGAGGCTGGATTCGACCTCCAGGAACTGAATTTCCAGCAGCAGAGCGCCTCACTGGCCAGCATTCAACGCAGCATCAGAGAGCTTAAGAGCCAGCTGGCCCAGGATACCAACGCTGAGACTGCTGCACAACCCACAAAAGACGCCGTAACCGGGAAATCAGTGGCCCTGAATATCGCAAAGCACTTCTTCGGGGCACCTCCGAGCCCCTTGGCCAAATTCAAAGAGCTACGTCGCTCATTCGTACCCGGTACAGACTCTTGGCTCTACGAGAACAAGAAGTACCAGGAATGGCAGGACGGGGACACAAATTTCCTCTGGATTACCGGCGAACCAGGGTTGGGTAAGACTCATCTAGCTTACTCAATCATCGAATCACTCCGAACCAAGACGAACAAGGACCCACAGACCTCAGTCGCATATTACTTCTTCCAACAAGAGAACGAACCTTTCAGGTCTGTCAAGTCGGCTCTCCAATCAATTGGTCTGCAAATAGTCACCCAAAACCACAAGCTCTGTGAGAGACTTGCGAGCGGAGTGTCCGACATTTGTTGTGCGAAGTGGTCCCTTCTCAACATCTGGTTATGGACAATTGACGAACTGTACGAGAAGGACTCAAACGACCGACTTTTCCTCGTTATTGACAGCCTTGAACAAGCAAATCCTGCCCAAGCCGGAGAATTCCTTGCCTATATGGAAGGCATCGTCGACTTCAAGCAGAAGATTAAGGTTGTTTTCACCGGCAACGACTTCGAGGCATTGTCTATGTGGCGTAAGTATCGTGTCACCAAAGACCTTGCTACTATTTCGATCGACCCGAGTGCTGCCAGGAGTGGGATGCAGAAGTTGCTTGAATCTAGATTCGAGTCGCTTCCTCGACTGTCGAGATTTAGTGACCATGTGAAGGCAGAGATTGCCAAAGCCATAACAGACGGGAAGTATGGTGAGTGTCGACTCCAAGAAAACACGATGGATGCACATGACTGAACGTTGTCAGGGCTTCAATACGCTGACAGGATTTTGCAATACCTCGATTCTAAAGGTCTGGAGCGTCCAGCTATGAGAGCTCTCGACGAACTTCCAGGAGGTCTGCCTCACTTCTACAACAATGTACTAACTACGTGCTCCGATAATTTGAGAGAGCAAGAACGGCTATCACTGAAGCTCATATTCGCCTGGATAGCTTTCGCAGAGCGCCCACTCACCCTCGAGGAGGCGTACAGCTTACTCAAGTTGAAGCTTGGAAAGTTGATTGATCTTGAAACGGAAATAGCAGGAAGATGTTCAAGGTATGAGACTGAATTTTAAGAATTCCCCTGGTCCAGACTGACATCTAGAATCTAGCATCTTGGATATGTCCAGCAATCTCGTCTGGGAGGAGCTGATACAAAGAAGGCAACGGAACGAAGTCGTTCACAAGGACTCCAACGTTGAGGGCCCGTCCGAAGACGAAGCTGACAAGGTTCAGTCTCGCGACATGTACCAGCCGGATAGCTCGCTTCTCCTTCATTTCCAGGAAAACACACTTCGTGAGCACATGCGGTCAGCAAATGTCCCGAACAGCACTCTGCAGACGTCGCCGCTCCTTTCTCATGTCGATATCTTTACCACTTGCGCAGAAGTGCTCTGCAGCCCTGAAGAACCAAGAGCCCCGGGGAACGCTGATGCAAGACGGACACTCCAGAAGTACGCGGCGAATTATTGGATGGCTCATTTCAGACAAATCATAGACATTGCCACGTCTAAGACGGATGGGGTACAGGAACAGACTTATACGATTTCTGCTCCAGATGAGGTTGTTACCCGAGTAGTCCAATGCTTCAGTAGCATCTCTTCGGACAGAGGTAATGTTGTGAAGGCAAGTTCGAACGCGTGTAAGGTGGGAACCAGCCATCTGACTAAACTAACTGCATCCAGAAATTATTACAGTATAATGCAGGATCCTGCTACGATGACTTCAACGACGGAGTACCTTACTTTATCAAACTATGGGCACAGAAGGCCCTTGAAAGCTCACCAAATCTTTTAGGGGAAGAAGTGAGGCTTTGGGCGCAGAGAGCAGTTGAAAACCCAGCCCAAGTTTTGCAACCCCTTGCGCGTGGCCATGTAATCCATTGGTTTACCGAGATCCATGAGGACACGGCTTCGCGGGCTTTCAAACTAGCATGGAAAGCTTTTGTTACAGTACGTACATCTCTGCGCTCACAACATTGAATTCTAACTTACATTTCGAGCAGCGCGAGATTGATGAGAATTCTCCGTCTCAGGAAGAAGAAGATGACCAGTGGTTCTACAAGGAAAATGAAGTCGAAGGCAGCGGGGATGATGATGCTTCCGAAGAGGAAGATATAACTTCCTGCGAACAACAACTAATTTCTGCCTTCGAAGACGTTGTAGTCGGGCCGTCTGGTTACAGAGCCATGGGATTGGCGCTCCTCTCCGAGTGGGCATTTGACGCTCTAGAGGCCTTCAACGAGAGCTTAAAACTTTGCGAAACAGATATCGACCAGTTTGCCACTCTCGCAGCCATGGCCAAGTGCCACCACAGCATTGAAGATCACGACAAAGATGCTTATGATATGGCGTGCAAGGCACTCGCACTTGACCGCTCCGGCCTGGACAAGGGGTATGATGACCTGGTTCACACGGCCCTCATTGTACGGGCTACCTACGAGTCCAACCACAACATGCTCGAAGCCGCCGTCGAGTCGCTGCAGGAGGCCATGACAGTCTATTCTGGGGATCGAGGAAAGACAGCCGAAGACTTCAGCATGCTGCTTCGTATTCTTGACAAACTCGGCCGCCACGAAGACATCCTCGCCAGCATTGTGAAGTGGGGTCCGATACGACTCGCTGTGACTGCTGAGGACTGGGACGAGGTGAACATGTGGTATCAGAAAGCGGCCAAGCAGACAGGACAGGAGCAAGTCATGATTATGACGTACGAACTCTTGGTCCAGGAACTTGCACCCTTGGAGTGGGCATCACCAACGCGGTACCAGTATGCGCTCGGCTGCCGCCGCAGCATCGGCGATATGGCGAAGGCCAAGAGCTTACTGTATGAGATCCTGGACGCAGACAATTGCATCGATCCGGCCACGGACACCGTCTCGGACAGCATTCCTTACCTCGCACGCCGCGAGCTTGCAGAAATCATACACGACGAATTTCTCCAAGCGACGAGCTCCGCGCAAAAGCGCGCTTCACTTTCCGAAATCGAAGGCCTAGCGGGACGGAAACTCGGAAACGCCCATCTCACGTCTGACATCCAGGCGAACTTTCTAAAGAGGCCTGAAGCTACTATCCTCGCCCGAATGTACCGTCGCTTCGGGCCGCTGGACAAGTTCGAGGAGACGTTGACGGAGGCGTTCAATAATTGCCTGGCGAGCCTCAAGGACCAGAATCCATGGAACGATTCGGATACCTTGCGTGAGCTGTGCAATGTGCTCGCTTGTCTCCCGGGCTTGCAGCGCGAGGCAGCGATTGCACTGAGCGCACAGTTCTATCATGTGGACAAGGAGCTGATGATGAAGAGCTTGGAAATGATTTCGAGATTTAGAGAGCTCGATGACGGGCTTGGTTTAAAGTATAGCAGCGATGGAGAGTGGGAAGACACTGATGATGATGACGAAGGGCAAGATGAAGACGAAGAAGATGATGCCACCGATGCCAATTCCAAACATCTCGGTGAAATGCCCCAAGGTCCAGGGAAGAAGAACTGGATCCGCGCCATAGTCGACAACGATGCCAACGACCGCTTTGACATCAAAGGCCACCGCGGTATCCGTTGCGGTGGCTATTGTCTTGATAATCCCGGCGATATCACGAGCTGGGATCAGACGGCAATGTATCGTTGTGTCGTTTGTACGGACTGCGATTGGTGCGAGAAGTGCTATTTAAACCGCGTCGCCAATAGTGGCAGTTCCGAGGGAGAGAAATGGCGGGCGTATTGTGGTGCCGGGCATGAATTTATTCGCGGACCGGCCGAGGGATGGATGGGAATTAAGGATGGAAAGATTGAAATAAAGGGCAAAGAGCCAGAGAAGTTTGAGGAGTGGTTGGGACGTTTAGAGAGGGAGCAATGGCCCAAGGCCTGGAAGGAGTTTTGGAAGGATTAATGTGTATAGCGGGATGGTACGCTTTTGTTGGCCAAGCGGGAAATTCAACATCTGGGAAGGCTGTTATAAAGATAAGAAATATAACTCTCTTATCCCTTAGTTAAGGACTGTAGCAGCTTAGTTTTCCAAGTGAATAACCCTTTACTGAAAAGGTCTTATTAGCAGGAAGGCTAAGCGTAAAGTGAACTGAGGGGAGGAGTAATTTTACATTTAGAAATATATAATTAGGTAGATTGGCTAAATAGTTATTTTTGCAAGCTACAGAGCGTATTTTATTGAAGACCTATATATAGTGGTTATATATATAGTGCTTATTATGGGATTGCAGTCTAAAAGTACTATCCACCACCCCTCCTTTGCCAATACCCCTCTTTTGCTAGGTAAAATAAAAAAAGCTTTATTAAAACTTATAAACTTTACTTATATAAAAGTTAACCTAAATATATAGCAAATTAAAAGAAATTACCTTTATTATTATAAATAAAATTAAATATAATAACTTTATAAATACTATATACTTTTTTATTAATACCTTTATAAATAACTTTATTTATAATAAGAAGATTACTTCTTAAAATAATACTTATAAAGATAGCTATTATATTTTTAAATCCTTTATATTTGCCTTTAGTACTAACTATTTTAAGTAAAATAAAAATATTAAGGCTATAAATAGTATTAAAGCTATTAAGGATGCTAATACTATTAAGGCTGCTAACGGTAAGGGTAATAATTTAACTCAGCTTGGAGGTCTATAATTCCGATTCTTATATTACTGCCAGAGGTCCAACGGCCTGCCGTCCTGGATCTACATCGAATTCTATATTATATACACCATAACCTTGAAGCATTCGGAGATAGACTCAGCCGTGGGACCAGCGAGTAGATTCTGTGCAGTCTTTACGTGTTCTCCAGGGTACCCTTCCGGTATAGCATGGCTAACACTTGATATCAGCTTGGTTAGAGAGATCGATGGGTTCTCCTCGCTACGAGGGGCCAAGAGTCTGATCACCAGCGACAGCACAACATCGGCTTGATTATCTCGATGGACTGCTATGTCTTTCGAACTCGAAGCGTTAATAGTGACTATTTAATACGTGTAAGATATTATGACTACTTGGTCCTTAGAGTAACTTGCTATCCTAAGAAGTATTTTGCAGACGGAGCCACGGGAGAGAAAAGGGCCACTCAAAGCTCATCTGGACGACTGGTGGAGTATAAATACTAAGCTGTGGATTCGTTGGAGATGGCGGAGCTGTTATGGTTTATGTTAGAGCAGAATCTTAAGATGGACTTTACTGATATGTTTCGAATCGAGCCATGATATCTGTTCTTCGGTGACGATTGATTTCTTTTGTGATTTTGGCCTTTTTCCATACCTTGCCACAATATATAACATCACTGTCCTTTCCCTTATCTTGGTGCTTGCGAATCTTCCGTTTAACGTACTGCCATGTCTCCTTGTCAATGTTCTTGGAGAAGTTCCAGTTCCTAAGCCTATATTCCAACTGCCCTTTTCTTCTACTAAGTTAGTGATCTTCTCATAATATTGACTTGTGATATACAAACGTAGTATGCAATCCTTGAGCTCTCAGTAAGATCACCAAATCTTTTAGCGATCTGTCGTTGACTAGATACTCGTATCTAATCAAGTCCTTACGGTCCAGCCAGTCCCCCTCAGTTGGCTGCGATGTTATTGTACTCATGAGAATGATTGAAATGCGATAGTACGGACGTGGCTGAGATATTGCGCAAGAATTTCTAGACTGGAGATAATGAGAATACAGCGAGGAAATAGAAGAAGAGAAGAAATGCTTTTGAGTTGAGTTGATGAGGGAAGAAAGAATAGAGTGCCGAGGGTACAGCTGTATCTTTGTAGATGCCTAACGAGGCTCTGGGGTCACGGTTCTGATTCGTCTAATCCAGAATCTGAGTGACTTGTCAAGTTGGTAAGCATCACTTCAAGCTTAGTGCCTGACTGAATAGTCTTCCATTGGCTACCTCCAGAATCTCATCAGCTGGGTGGACTTTGCATGTAATAGTGTGCCCCAACCCGAGTCTTATTCGTCAAATCCATAATCTTGCAGCTGTAGCCTGTAACTGAAGGGTACCTCACCATAAACAGCTCGATTGGATGTATCCAGAATCTTGACTCCACAGTGAGTTGCCTGACTTGATATTACGGGCTTACTCCAGAATCTGAATTCTGCTGGCGAATTATTCGTTTTGTTTTATCTCCTGCTACTATGCCTCTTGAAATGAGGACGGGTCCGATGTAGATTTACAAATGCCGCCTCACAGTTATGTCCGAAGTAGACCTTTGCAAGCATATAAGCAAGTCATAATCACTTTGGCCTATCCCATAGAGACTGATATCGTCGGTCAAAGCTCTTTCACCGGGTTGAAGCTTTCTAGTTGCACGCTGCCTCGTAAATCTTTCGCAGAATGAAACCCGAGATCATTGTCGCCATCGTCAGCTTGGTGGTTTCTCTACCACCAGCGCTTTACACGCTGCATACATGGTACCAACGGCGCTCTCAGGCTATGTGTAAGTCTATGAAATATCATTGAATTATATAAGAGCTAATTTGAATCTTGACGCTCACTTCAGATCACCCTTTTCACCAGATACATCTCTCAAGACGCCATTTGGAACTTCTTTGCTCTATGTCTGAGCGAGGTATCACGTTGGTACTTAGGGTTGAAGAAGGCCGACCAGTTCCCCAGAGGGACTCAATATTTAGAGCATCAAACCCTGACATGACGTCGAGCTGTTGAGCTGTTGAAAGAGTGGCGTTGTGTTCATAGTGGCTCAGATCAGGGTCTGGAACATCCCCGTAAGCAAGGTGACGTTTGGGAGATCTCCTTTGTGGACAAACACTACTATAGATAGATTAGGACATACAATAAACATACTTTTACCATTATTGGCATATTTTTAACTGGTGTTAATTATTATAGCGGAAACCTGCTGCAAACCACGAATTGGTTAGCGTCGGGATCGACATGCTTATACCGAAAACAGACTCATTGCTTATCAAGCGGTGATTATCAAGCTGGTCAGACATGCAGGGCATGTCAAACAATTCGAGGGAAAGGACATATACCTATTGGATATAGAATGTGCTTTAAATGACTTAGCAGATAGTTGCATTTTGTGATAGGATCATGACATGATACCCAGTGCCCACTGATAGGCATGACACTATCTCCAAAAAGTCAAATTGCGGGGTCAACGTGAGTCACTTGCGCCCTTACAGTGATTATCTTGACAAGCAATAAATACTTCGCGTCAGTCAGGCCATCACTCAATCTTGTCTTATAGCATACAATCGAATATCATAACAGGCGAATCGCAATGGCTTCTCTCACGAAAACTACATACCAGGCGTTTGCATCGGCAAGGGCTGAGGGTAATCCTGCAGCCGTGATTATCCTGCCGAAGCCCGAGTCCGGCGCACAAGATGGCAGCGAAGAGTTTCCATACGAGCTGTTCCCCCCCGCTTCGAAACTTCAAGAGACAGCGACGAGTATCAATCTCCCGATGACTGCATTCGCACTCCCTCTTGATCCGGAGAATGAGTCGGCAAAAGCTCATTATGCCGTTCGGTGGTTCAATCCTGTCAACGAAGCGCCGCTTTGTGGCCATGCGACCCTTGCTTTGTCCCAGCACCTGTTTAGTACTCTTTCCAATGCACCGCAGACGCTGAGGTATCTCACCAGGCTTCATGGGGTTGCCTCTGCATCACTCAACCAAAGCCCGTTTGAGGATGCCAAACTAGTTGGTATTGAGTTTCCAGAACTTGTTAACCTTCCTGCCGTCTCGAAAGATGGCAAGCGATGGGATGAGTTGAAGAGTCTGTTTGAGGGTGCAACTGGTTCGAAGTGGGAGGGCGACGGAGAGCCAATTGGTGTATTTGAACAAGATCAGTATTTCTTGTTGGAGTTTAATCCTGAGCTTGACCTGAAGGCTCTAGAGTTTGATGCCTCTAAGCTGGTCAGTTTATCACTGTTATCAAGAGTCCAGAACTGACTTGCTAGACTTCTCTGAATGGCTTTATCTATATGTTTCAAATTTCAACAAGCTCATCCGAACATATCCATACTCGAGTCATCAACTGCATAGCTGGAAACAACCACGAAGACGCTGCGGTAAGTATAGTTATTGATCGTCTGACCCCGACTAACTTCAACAGACTGGTTCCGCTCATCGGGCCATCATCCCACATGTCTTGTCAAACGCTGAGACTACTGCTCGTCTGAAGCAGTACCATCCAGACTTTAATGGAAATACGCTACGATCTTTGCAACAGTCGAAAGAAGGTGGTGAATTAACTGTTGAGTGGCTTCGGGATACAAAGACTGTGAGGATCATGGGCAAGGCTTCGCGTACCGGCGAGACTAGCATCGAGATCTGAGCGGAGCGGAGTGACCCAACGTCAGCTTGAGTCTGAAGTTAACCGCCGCAATAGGTCGCCGCGAGTTGGAGACTGCTATATATATATATCATACGGTGTAAATAATAGTTCATCATATATTTCAGGCTATAGTCATTCTTAAGTCCGAATATTATATGCAGGTATTTGGGTTGATGAAACAAGAATAAAAGTGCAAGAACTTGCCTTTCCACTTAAGGAATCATCTTATCAAACAATCCAGTCGCTGATTAATCGTATGATGACCGTCTGACTCACGCCGTTTCCTACATTTAGGCTAATTCCTTCAGCGTTTTCTCGGGCACCACGATGGTCCAAGTTCGGCTGGGAGCGCAGTAGATAAGAAGCCAAACATTCCATCTTATCCATAACAATACCAGTTCTATAAGAAACTGCGGAGATCAAAGACAGCTCTATATAACACTCAACCATGGATTTCAATCCCAAGATAGGCATTGTCCACAACGAAGGCTGTGGCCTTCACTACTGGTATCAAGGATCCGGCCCTCTTATCATATTCATTCCCGGTGGAAACGGCCATGGGAGACAGTTCAACAACATAATAGCCGCTCTGTCAGACCGCTTCACCTGCGCTACGTTTGATCGTCGTCAAATGTCAGCAAGCCAAGTCCCCGTTAACAAGCGCCTGAGTCCTCCCCAACAAGCTCGAGATATTCGAGCAGTCATCAAAGCTGTTGGCTTCGATAAAGCTATTCTTTTTGGCAGCAGTTCCGGTGGTACTTTTGCATTCCAATTCGCCCATGACTTTCCCGAAATGGTCGTTCATTTGATTGCTCATGAAGCCGGCCTTTCAATGCTTCTTCCGGATGCAACACAGATAACGGAATGGATGTACGGTCTTCTACACACTTTCGAAACACAAGGCCAAGATGCGGCTGCTGAACAGTTTGCGAAATGTCTCATTGGTTATGATGCTGAGGGTATTCCAAAGCCAGCAGCGCCTGAAGCAAGCAACCCGAAGAACTTTTGGGAATACGAATGGGCACCGTTGATTGGATACTGCCCCAATTTGTTTCGCATAAAGGAACATGGTGTTAGTGTAGGTGTTATGAGGGGTGTACGATGTAAAGATGCTTTCTACGCCCGGGCTATTGAGGAGCAGGCGAAGATTCTGGAATGTCCTAGGATGACGGTGCCAGGACATCACGAAGGGTTTCAGTGTGAGACAGAAGAGTTTGTCCCGTCACTTTTGGAGATGCTCGATATTTTGGAGAAGAGGAAATAGTCGCATGTTCCTCGAAGCCTTGAGATTCAATGGGTTGCTACTTTTATTCAGCTGGCCATGTACGGGTCTGATCGCCAGTGGCGTCCTCGTTGGATTCAATTTGCTAACGGTGGGCAGGAAGAAGCAACATCAACCGCACGAACCCCAATGTATGTCCGTAAGTCTCTAACGTAGTCGACAGGGACTACATGTTCAGCTTGCTGTCAAAGTCTTGTCCTGCCGATCATGGCTGAATTTTATGCTTCGATGTGGAGTGATAGTAATGAGGCCGCAGCCGCCGTGGGGAGACAGCTTCTTGGCACAAGAATGAGTAGCATGTATTTAGTTCAGTTCTTTTCGAGCGGAAATAATATCATTCCTGTAGTACATTCGTCTCGCTTTTATCGATATCTGATGATGCCGTCACAGCAGATGAACAACAACCCCGTTACTCTAAACCAGCCATGCAGGTTTTGTAAAGTCCTCGAGCTCAATGATTCATCCTTCAGTGGAGAGTCCAAGATCAGTGACAATGGAACTCCCTTTCTCGACTTTGGTGAAATCAAGCAGACCAAATAGGATAGAGAAGCACAAACTAGGGCTAGACATTAACGTGCAAGAATAGCTTTGAGCTTTGCAATGCAGAATGCTGATGCAGAGGCGCCAAAGACCGTTCCAAAGACCGAATTGAAGCTTGATTACGCTAGGAGTGATGCGCTGCCCGAATTACCCGGATTAGCTAGCACTGCAGCTACGGGCTGTGTGTTCTGCGAAGTTCTTCGGCATGATTTGATGGCTCCTTGGGAGTCGATTGAAGCGAAGGGGGAGGAGAAGTAACAGGTTGCTGAACTAGAAGAGAACGAGAGCAATGAAAACGACGCTGAAAGTGAAGGTGACGAAGTCGGAAATGAGAGTAGCAATAGCGATGGAGAAGAAAAGGAATCTGGGGGTGACGTCGATGAAGAGGAGGAGGACAATGAAGATACCAACAAAGCTAGATATGAGTACATCGACACTGACAGTGATGCGGAAAGCGAACCAGATACAGAGGCTGATGAAGAGCCTGACGATAAAAAATGTCATGGAGGTGGAGAAGGGCAAAAATGAGGAGAATCAGGAACAGCAACCAGCTACCAAGCGAGCTCCCAGGATCGCAAACCTCATCATTACCGAGGTTACATACAAGCTTCGAGAACACGGTCCCGGCGATGAGCGGCCGCAGAGAACGTGGCTAGATGCTTTGTACGTTTGCTTCTTACTGCATTCGTCGACGAACGTCAAGGAACCCCAAACAGGCAACAGAAGTCATGCCCAAAAGTACGGGCAGAAAGCCGATCTCAATCCTAGCCCACGTCATCCACGGCAGTTGCATCTGCCCCCCAGACCCAAAGAGACAATCCATAATTGGCTCGCCAAATGTCTCCCAAGACCGTAGTGCTTTTCCGCCACGGCATCATATCAGTTTTTAGTATTACGTCCGGGGGATCTACTACTCTATCTGCTTTTCCGTACAAGTCCCTACCACTTTATTTCACAAACCACCAATCACAATTGTCGTATTAAGCGTTGCTATCGTCATTTGCCAACCTTGTTTTTAACCTTCGCTGATCCCCCGCATCTTTCTTCCCCGTGGGGGAGTCTTGGCGTGGAGACCGTTTGGCATAAAAGCTGACTTCTGCTCCTTTCTTCAATAGAATCATCGTTTAATACTCATTCTCGTTATTAAAAAATAAAGAAAACTGATCAGAAAATGGCGTCATCAATTCCCCAAGGTCCAGCGGGTCATGACCATAAACCCGACGATACAGCGCGCAACGAGCATATTGAACGGGCTCTTGACAACGTTGAGTCGAGACCAAACGATGACGCCATATTTTCCAAGTTTCCCAAGATGGATAAGGTAGATGAATTTGGAGCCCATGCCAAAACGGACCCCAGAGAAATTGCGCTTGTTAAGAAATTGGATAAGTACATTCTTGTAAGTACTTCAATTCGCAACGGTGTTTCTTGTTTCTGATGATGAGTGCAGCCTATGTTATGGTTTATGTACCTGTTCAATTATCTCGATCGCAACGCCCTCGTCAATGCGAGACTTAATAGTCTTGAAGAAGATCTTGGATTGGTGGGAACGCAATATAATACTTGCGTCTCAATTTTGTTTGTCGGATACATGTAAGTTCAATTACCGTCACCTTCAAAGGACCAACAGCTAATGCATCCAGTGCTGGCCAAGTCCCTAGTAACATGCTCATCAACAGAGTCAAACCATCCTGGTACATGGCTGGCTTCTGTCTCGCGTGGTCCATCGTCAGTTTGGTGACCTTCTTGGCGAATAGTTACGGCAGTATGGTTGCACTTCGCTTCATCCTCGGAGTGACTGAAGCGCCGGTCAGTAGAGCATTACATGCAGATTTAGGATGTTATCTGACCCTTGATAGTTTTATCCTGGAGCTTTGTTCATTCTCAGTATGTTTTACACGCGCAAAGAACTCGCTGTCAGACTGGCCATCTTTTATACGGGCAACATGATAGCCAGTTCCTTTGCGGGACTTATCGCCGCTGGAGTCTTTGCTGGTCTTGATCAGAAACATGGTCTGGCTGGTTGGCAATGGTACGTAGCACGTTCGAGGCCCTTTCACTCCGCTCACCATGGCACAATAGGCTCTTCATTATTCAAGGAGCCTTGTCAATCCTTACCGCCATCCTAGCATTCATCTTCCTTCCGGACCATCCCCTCACCACCCGCTGGCTCTCAGAAGAACAGCGACAACTCGCATACAATCGCATCTACACCGACACTACAGATGTCCGCGAAAAGACGAGTGTATGGATCGGTCTCAAAGAATCTGCATCAGATTGGCGAACATGGGCACTGTGTCTTATGTACAACCTTCACCTCTCATCAGTCGGCTTCCAAAACTTCCTCCCAACCGTCATGAGGACTCTCACCGATAGCAACACCATCGCTCTAGTCTTGACATGCCCGCCATATCTCCTTGCCGCTGCGATCGGAATCGGCATGGCTTGGACGTCAGGGCGCTGGAATGAGCGGACGCTGCATATCACGATTTGCAAATGCATCGTCATGGTCGGTTTTATTATTGCTGTTTCAACCCTGAACATAGCTGCCCGAATGTTCAGCATCTACCTCTTTGTCGGTTTCAGCTTTGGTATTAATAATATCATCCTCGCATGGATCAGCGCGACGGTCGGACAGACGAGCGAGAAGAAAGCAGTTTCTCTTGCAATTTGCAATACTTTTGGTAATTTGGCTCATGTTTATACAGCTTATTTATGGCCTTCGTCGGATGAGCCACGGTATACGACTGCTTGGGTTTCGAGTATTGCGTTCTCGCTTGGTGTTGTTGTTATTGCGTGGGGCTTGAGGTTCCATTTGAAGCATTTGAACAACAAAACGAGGAGGGATCATCCGGAGGTTACGAACTTTTATGTTTATTGAAGAGCTCAGAAGCTGGCATTATTTCTTTTTGTGCAGGTTATGCAACTGAGCGGATGAAAGCCGATGGTTATGCATGGTCCATAAATAACGTCGGGATATGTCCGACAATGGTCTTTTCAAACCGAGGACATGAAGCCGTATAGACACTCTGCTTAATATATATAGCTAAACATTATGTTATTCCTTACGAAGCTATTTATCGGACTTTCTTCTTCTGATGACCAAATGCATCAATTTACGCCATGGCACAAACGAGGTGTCAGCCCCATGTCACAGGACAAATGAGCCAGGTTCGGGTTCCGATGCTTTGCCAACTTCCTACCAATCACCTTCTGCTCTCAGAAACAATGTTACCATGAAGAATGCCAGCCTGTTAGTAAAGGATTCAACCTTAGGAAAAGAGAATTGATAGGCAAGCCTGAAGGGTAGCGACTCCGTGAGCCGACATCTGAACTTCAAGTCGGATACCCTGTATCCATACCGTAAAGGATGAGGGCTTATCTTATCTCAGCCTCTTAGTGACGTCAGACTTGGCACGACTCGCACCACGAAACAATTATGGGGAGACGTGACTCGAAGGAACAAGCAGATCACAATACATCTCGATGAAGACAAGTAAAACACCAACTCCATGCTTAATTCTAAATACAACGCTATATACAAATCTATCATGCTACGCTAAATCTAAACCATGTATTGAATCGTCCTCCTCTGCCGTCTCTTCTCCTGCTCCTCCCTCTCCCTCTCATCATCCTCCGACGAATGATCCCCCGAAAACGTCGCAAACTCATTCCTCGCCAGAATAGCAGGTGGGATCTCACCAGGCAGTATTCCGTTCTCGTCAACAGGCCTGCTGAAGCGATTGAACGCGATAAAGTTGTCTTCGTCAGCGGCGATCGCGTTGACGGGTGTCGCTGAGGTGAATGACTTGCGGCGGATGGAAATGGCGTCGTCTTGGATGGGTTCGACGCCTCTCTTGCGGTAGACAAAGTCGAGAAGAGGAATTGAAAGACCGTGGACGACGATGGAGAAGAAGACGAGGAAATAGATGACTGGACCGAGAGCGGCGAGAAGATCACGCTCTTCCTGGTCTGCGTCTTCAGGATGAGGAAACAAGTGCTTCATGTGCTCAAGGTAAAAGACAGCGCCTACACCAATAGGTCCGAAATAACCCATGAACAGCGCCTCCTTATAATCCTTGACAACAGCAGGCATCGCCTTGTACAGCAGTAAAATGGCTGGGATGCGTCGGAACGCAAGGACCATGAAGCCAAGAGCGATGAGTCGGGGGAGCGTAACGCCGGTGCCGTCCGGGTCGTGGAATGATTGCCAGGGAAGAACAATTCCGATGAACATGAAACCGCCAAAGTTGAGGAGCACGTCGATGCAGTGGTTTACTTCGTCGTGGCGGCGGTGCGTCTCGGCGAGGAATTCGCCGTCCCAGTTTAGCATATTGCCCGCGACGGTGCAGGCGACGAGATCGTTTGTGCCGATGGCGCCGGTTGTGCCGATGATGAAGAGGCCGAGAGCTGCGGGGAAGAGGAGGTATGATTCTTCATCGACCCATCCTCTGTGCATTGTTAGCATGTCTTATCAATTATTGATGGAGTGATTAAGACTTACCGACGCATCGCGTACTTGATGGCCTTGCATGAAGTGAAACCGACGACAGCGCCGTAGGCGATACCCATGGCGACGTAGTAGAGCCAAGTCTCGACGACCCAGTTCTTCATGGCTTCACCGATACCACCTCCGAGACGGCCAACCTCTTCACTAGCGCGTACAGCAAGATGCGCGGCCTCAGCACCACTCTGCTCAGGATGTTCATATGCATGTCGCATTAGATACACCGCAAGCATAAGAAACGGGAAGCCTATGTGTGTCAGTAACCCAATCAATCATCTCGACAAAATATACATACCAAATCCATCGTTGGCACCAGCTTCAGACGAAATAATTTCTCGAAGATGACGAGAAACATACTTGTCAGCAAAAGGTCCCTTCGCAACAGCTTGCGAAAGGACGGGATCGGTGCAGGTAACGCATGAAGCGAGGGCTAGTGCAGCCAAAAGACTAAGCTTGGGAATGGTAGCGAGAATGCAGCCAGTGGTTAAAAGCCACATGAGGGTCATGATTGGCAGCAGACACATGAGCAACTCTTTCCAGCGAGTTACGTTGTACTTTGCTGGCAGCGAGTAACCAGCTATGACGAGCTGTACACCGATGACAACTCGCATCAGGCCCTGTAGAGGTCAGTCACAGGCCATTACAGCAGTGTTGGGGCCACTTACCAGAGCGATGTCCTCAGTCTGACCAGGTTCTGCGGAACCCCATCTCTCACTATCAAGAAACTTGGCTGATACGGGTCCAAGAATGATACCGAACACCATAGCAGGTACTTCACATCAACACCATCAGTAACCATCAACACAGAATGATCAGTATAACTTACAAGCTTCTCCAAGGTACCATGACTGCTTGATCTTGACGGATATGATACCGTACAATGCCATGAAGCCACCTGTGAAAAACCTCTGTCAGAACGCCAAGGCTCGCCAAGATCTGGGCAAATCACCACCAAGAAATGCCCAGGAAGGAATCGTACTGACCCAAGACTCCCAACACGATGTTGAGCTCACTGAGGTTGAGGACTGGCATTTTGGCGTCAAGGATGTATGCAGAATCACGTAACTAAATGTTTGGGACTCAGAAGTATATAGTCTTGAGGTTTGCCGGTTTGTTACTTCTTCTCGAGGTCTCGGGGAGAAGAAGGGTGATGGTGCTGCAGGCTTGATGACAGAGAGGATTTGGGGAGGATGTGTACCAGACACTATCCAAAGAAAAGTCAACAAGCCCTTCGAGTATGAAACTCTGCAACAGCGAGTATGTTCTTCACCAACAGAACATAAGCTCAGTAAACAAGCAAACAAAAAGGAAAAGGTTGCGCAGAGTCAGGTCAAGATCAAAAGGAAGAATTCTACAATAGTGGCGTTTGGGACACAGTATGCAGGGCGCAGAAAGCTTTTTGTACAAAGAGAAACGCGGGGGAGAGAAAAGCGAGATATCAAGTTTAAAGCTGGGGAGGAAAATGCCTCAGAATTTCTAAACAAAAGCCAAGATTGTTGACGACAGGACAGACAAGGGGAGATGATGAGAGACAGTACTAAAACATGAGATCTGCGTGGGTGATTCAAGTAGGTCAAAGCTACAACGGCGGAAGCTAAAAACAGGATATCGGGGAGGTTGTAAGCCAAGACTGAGAGCAGGTGCTCCACTACCGCCGCGGAACATGATCGTGGAAGGAAGACAGGCGACCTCGGAGAAAGAACACACGCCACCTGCCATCATGTCAGGCGCTTTTCCCGCTCCGAGAGTGGAAGCTGCGGGATTTCTGATCCCGATGACGATGTTCAGCTGAATGGGTATCTTGTCGTGTTTGCGCTAATCTTGAGGCTGAGATGCTTACGACGATAAATGATCTGTTCTAACGCGTAACGTTTTTAATCAGCCTCAGCATTCTCACAATCAAGATTAAAAAAAGAAACAGCTACCTCTCAGATAAATAAGATCGGCAGGGCAAAGGAAAAGAAAAGAGAACGGGGGATGGGGGAGACACAGGCCGCTTCACTGTCGTAAGCCCCAAACGGTGGCCAAGTTCACCAAGACCTTGGCTGTAAGAATGATTCGGTCAAAGCGAATTTTCACCGTGTTATTGAATGGCCAAGTCACCTGGCCAAGATATTACAAAGGGGGCGGCTTTCTTGGCTTGAGGTTGGCGGAGTATTGAGATTGGCGCTTGGCGCTTGGCGGCTACTTGGCGGTTAAGGTTATTTGTTAAGCATGCTCGCGTTATGCTTAAATAAAGTGGGTGCTACTGGCCAAGCGTGGGGCTGGTGGTGCCGCCAAGCAGAGCCGCCAAGAATATGAGGGCGACAGGTGATGAAAAGTCGGGAGACGGGGAGACCGGTGAGCTTGGCTGGTGGTTTTGGTATCGTGTTTTGTCGGATGCTGGGGAAGGGAAGGTGAGCGGTAGGCTTTGTTGCATGAGTTGTTGGACTAAGTTATGGTGATACCGATCAAGTTGAAGGTTACGAGGATTGTTAACTGTGATACAGATTGCCGATCGTGTTGCAAACTGATTTGGTATGCTATTGATAGAATTCCAGATACACCCTAGATACTCACAAGATAACAGAAATCCTTTGCTGATGGAATCAGGTAATCTGTCTTTGTCTTCCTGATGATCAGTGACTCGGAATGTTCAAGACAAAGGCTCAGGGTAAATGACATCAAAAGCTCCATCAAAGAATGGTTAAATCCACCTTTGCCATTCCAAAACTCGCTGATCAAGAATGTCATGTTGACATAATTTGAGAAGGCAAGACAGGTTGGTCGAAATCTCCGTCAAGGCAATAAACTCAGGCCCGTAGACAATCGCCAATCCCGATCGTGAAATTATAGATGTGATCTTTAAAACATAAATGCACTTATTACCAGACGTGGCGGACTAAAAAGCGGGATGTCGCTGATCGGCACTTCCGCTCCGCTCAGCGTGAGTTGAATCATCGCGTAAACATATCCGCGGAGTCAAGGCGACAAGGTTCGCGGGAAGGAAAGATAAGCAACTGATAAGAGGAATCCGAGATGACGGTTCCGCTCTTATCCCTCTGGATCATCTTTATCGATAATTTTGCCAAGAAATGAGTGTTTTATCTAATCGATAATTTTCAGAGACAGCCTTATCTGGTGAGAGCTGCTTGGTAAACTTACTCTATTTTCAAGGATGGAGCTATCGTTTCTTGACCTTGCAGATTGAAGTTCACTATGCTGTCCATTCGTCGCGCGCCTCAAAGGCACAAAATGGTACACTAAGTAAATATTGATATTTTCTTTTAATTTAAGAGCATACCATAAATTCGCAATTTGGATACTAGGATGATAAGCACCTGCAAGACGTCAAAAGCATGAAGACAATGCGGAACCTTTCAGCGGACAACAAAAACTAAGCCCTCCACGACCTGACAATGTAATTTTCATTAGCAACAGATAATTAAAGAGAAGAACCTGTGCTTCTCTCTCAAGTCAACGCAGAACAAAAGTACGCTCAGCCTCGCCATAATCACGCGTAGTAGTAGCTCTTTAAAAAGATGTAGGAGAGAAATTCTCAAAGTTGCACGTGACTATAATATACTTTTACTGAGAAACTTGACGAAAGCGAGATTCCGAACCTCCCATGTAACTTTCTTTCCACTGAATTCCGTCGCGAAAACAGGGCTGCTTCGTCGTTGAATAAACAACTGCGCTTTATTGGCTGTGGTTTTTTTATGCAAGTTAATACTGGACTGGGCGAATGAAACCCCGAGGGGTGGTTTGAGGACTCGTGTTTTTGAGCTGTCCTTCCTTTCGATTTGATCGCATCGTGCGTGTAAACCTTGACCAATGAATTCTTCACGCGAGGAGAGAGCTAACAAATGAGCGGCATCCGTTTTTTTCGTCATGGCAGTGTCTTGCCCCTCTATTTCACGATGTCAAATAAAGTTATCAGATCTCTTCATCTATCTCATTGGAGGATCTAGGTCAAACCTCAACGATGCATCGCCACATCCGTTCTTGTATACGTGTCAAGATGATTTGTCTGGTTGAGCTCAAGGAAGATTATCGAGGCAGATCTCCAATTACTACCGAGTTTGTGGGCCACTGGCTGGACACATAGAACGTCTGCGATTATCATGGACACAAAGGGGGGAAGACTGAAATGATAGAACGCGGTAGCAAAAGTACACGCTGGAAAGAGCATCAAAAAAATCTTTAATCTTCTGTAATAGCAATTTTGCCATCAAAGTGACATACCAAGGTCCTTGCATTTTGTACTCTGTTACAGAATCTCAACTCACCAAGGTCCTGTAGCGCTAGCGCAAGCGAGAATGAGATCTCAAGTGAGAATCATAATTATATGTGTACCAAAACACTCTTATCTGCAATTCAGTACTTTTTGCATCACTACCAGGTTGGCCAAGTCTCTCCCGAGCAACTATACGTAAAGTCTTGCCTATTACAACAAATGCAAAGACTACCATCGTCGCCGGGTGTCGCTCAAAGCAAGATAATACATCCCGAAGCCCTTATCATCTTCCTACAGCCTTACCCAGCTTGTTTGTACCAACTTTGTTCCTCTTGTATTAACGGACACGCAACCAAGCCTCGAATTTGCCACTACACTGATCTCTTTGCAAAGAATACGTATCTGATAGCACTGCAATAAATATAACTATTTAAAGCCCTGCCTTGTCCCCTTTACCAAAGGGAAGAGCACACATTCCTATCTTCGTAAAGTACTCTCTCTGTCTCATCTTCCCATCCCCAAAGATATTCCCATTCCTATCCCCAAACACAACCCTACCCAAACATCTCAAGTAAGCTTGACACTACTGGAAGATGTATTCCCAACTCCTCTCCCAGGCACCTCTCGTCCTCGGGTTCCTAGGTGTCATCGTTGCTGCAGTCCCTGACTGCAAAAACACCAACATCTATTTGCTTGAGGAGAAGGACCGTTTTCCAGCTCTCCATCAAGCCGACTGGATCTGCCCAACTGGAATCCCCAAGCCTCGCTACCATAACGGTAAATGGCCTACGCCCGAGCAGGAAGCTCACGCCAAAGCCCTCATCGGCCCTGTCTCCAAGACAGATGCTTGCGGCTGGAAGGCTGACGGCCACATCTGCAAAGCCACTCAGAACACTGGTATCACCCTCGACCTCGTCGCTGCGAGACCTCTCACCATCAAGGTCAAGATCAACAACTATGACGCCTACCCGATCACCTTTTGGAAGAAATACTCTCCTCTCAGTGAATCTGCTTTCGAGCAGGGTTACTTCAAGATCTCCCAAGGTGAACAGTTCGTCGTCACTCACGCACCCCAACCAGAGGGGTATCGACCGGATGATCCAACTGAGCTTGCTGTGATCAATCCTTGCGAGGCGTTGGAGCAAGACATCTTCCTGACAGATCCGAACCATGCTTGGCATCACATGGTGAAGAACGGTGGTGACATTAAGATCAGTATGTCTGGAAGGTGGAATGGCTTTTGGGCAACAAGCGCCCCTGAGGTTATGAAGAGTGATCTAGGTTATTCCTGCAAAGGTATCTGGAACAGTCTGGGTATGACTTGGTCTGCACGGAATACCTTGACACTGCGCTTTCCCCAGGACCACTACGTCTCCTCTGAGCCGACAGATAACTGGGAATACGATACGGTAAAGGCATCGGCTGAAGCTCCTAAGCCACATGTCTCTGAAAACCCAGAGGATGAGGCTGAGCCTGAAAAGAGTTCAGCTAGTGGGCAGCTAGCTACTGAGTCGCCGGAATCTGTCATTCCAGAAAACGAAGCCGAGCCTGAAACGAGCTCAGCTAATGAACCTTCATCTAGCGAGTCGCCAACCACTGAGCCACCAACAACTGAACCATCAGCATCTGTCAGTCCAGAGTGGCCAGCTACTGAGGAAGCGAGTACGGCAGAGGCCTCGACTACGCCTGCATCATCTGCCACTCCAGAGGAGGAAGCTGAGGAGGAAACAGAGGCGACAGCTGCCACGCCAACCTGGGCAACAATGGCCTCTACAACTGCTCAGCCAGTATTTTCCCGTTCAGCGGAAGGGGCTAGAGGCAGATCGGGTTGTAGAGGTCGACCTGGTTGCACAGGTAGACCGGGGTATTCAGGCACACCAGGCTATGTAGGCCCCCTGAAACATCTGATGCCGAGGGACACTACCGACTGAGGAGAATCCTGCTGGCCCTGATTGCTCAAGGAAGCTGTAGAGGGACGGGGGATGGTAAGGTTAGAAGAAGAAAGTTTAAATGACTAGACTATGATATCCTGAGATCAGTAAAAGTCAGGAATGCGAAATACGGAAGTTTAATTACGACTACAGGAGACAGAAAATAAGACTTTCTGTTTAATTTTATGATATTTTATGCTTTCAAAATACTGGACGACAGTATGAAATTAACCTTTACAATGAATAGCTCTCAAGCGAAATTGTTGGTGTCGCAATGCCAGAGCGATGGGTAGACAAAGGTTTAAATCAGAGCTCAACCAGAGCCTTTATTGAAACTACGCAACCAAAAGCTTGTTTTTTCTCTCCAGTCTCCTTGTTGCGCGAATTGCAAAGTCAAGACTGCGAGAAATGAAAGCTAAATCCATTTAAGATGCAAACAGTCGTTTACACTATGGATTTTGCACATCTATAGACTGCAGATGAAAAAACGTTGCCAGATAACTCCACGCGTGATTAAGCGCAGTGAGATTTTCCTAGACCTGTAACTAAATTTTATTTATTCGCGCAACGAATATTCGAAAGTAACTACCATCTACAGAAACCCAAGATGGCTCTCAGATGAATATGGCAAGCGACCCTTACCTCCTGGAAATTCCTATAAATATCACGTCTCCTCCCAGGTTTGAGAAGAAAAGAACTTGATCCTTTATCCAACACACAACACTCTCAGACTCACAAAGCCTTACCAAGCCTTCACCTTCACCTTCACCTACCCTTATACAAACACAATCAACAACTCAAGTCCAACTTGACACCCCAAATCATCATTAAAGATGCAGTTCTTCTCCAAGACTATGTTGGCCCTTAGCCTCCTCGGCTCTCTTGCCTCCTCTTCTCCTATAGCTACACCTTCTCTCGTCACCCGTGCCATCTCTGAAACATCTCTCATCCCTCATGCTACCCATGGCGTTGGCCATAACGATACCCACCCTGCCGCTCATCGTGTCGGCTACCACTGTACACACCATACTACCCATAAAGGTGGTCATCGTTGTACCCATCATGCTACCCATAAGTGCGGTCCTCATTGTCCCCATCATGCCAAGCACGACTACGTCGGACACTCCGACAACGAGAAAGCCCTCACCTTGCAGCACGGGATGGCCATGGAATTAGTCCCCGTCAGCAATGTCTGCACCGGTCACGAGTACTGCGAAAAGAACATCCAGGACAAGAAGTTCCTCAGCGGCGATCTCAACAAGGCCCTCAAGAACGTCACCGTGTCCATGGAGCAAGTCGAGGCCTCTCCTCTCATCATCAGGGTCACGGTCACCAACAACAGTACCGGTCCCATCACCTTCTGGAAGGACTTGTCGCCTCTGAGCAGCTATGCTCTTGACCTCGGCTACTTCCACGTGCAGAGCGGTATTGATGGTGTCAAGTTCGGCGAGCGCACTCGTGCCGAGGCCCACGGCTACAGACCGGACTCATACAGCGACCTCATCGAGGTCGGCGCTGGCGCGTGGGCGCGCACAAACATCACGCTTCCCCGGGACACGGACACCCCTGAGGCCGAGACCTGGCTCAAGATGCTCGAGATGGGCGGCAACGCCACGGTCAGGATGTCCGGAAACTGGTACGGCATCTGGGCGGCTAGCAAGGAAAAGGTCATGGCGACCGATATGGAGTACAGCCAGTATGGCTTTAATTTCTGGAATGACCTGTACATTCCATGGGAGGCGACATTCTCTGAGGAGTCTGCCAAGTACTCGCCTGTCTGGGGCATGGGTCTTTATCTGGAGTAGACCTTAATTGCAACAGGGGAGAGGAATGGTTTGATCCGCTAAACACGGTAATCAACCTGGTACCTCTCCCAAGACACATTACGAATGTGAAGAGGAACTACTCGCGGTCAAAAATGTGTGTACTTTACCTCTCTTTTGCCTGGCACCAGATGAATTAAAGGCGATACATATTCCGCCATCATCGTGGAAGCCGGCCCTGTGTTTTCTGAAATCAATAAAAGAGAAAGCATGAGATTGGAACAAGGATATAACTGTTGGAATGTGTTCAGATAACAATACCAATTTCTCCACCAAAGTTTTTGATGCCAAATAAATAAAAGTGATGTTAGTGGTGATTACATTGAGCTTAGTCATGAATGGAGTCTCGGACAAACAACCATAGAGACCGCAGTAACGTAGCTCGATCCACTTCCCAGGTGTGACGAACAGCTATTGGCACCGCAGTAAGTTTGAAATGAAGGCTGGCTATGATGCGACCTTTCTAGATTTAACTTCATTAACCGAGTAGATGTTATCGATAGGCTTTTTTGGCAAAAGAAAGTTGAGGTTGAAAATTGTGGTCCGTTTGTCGTGACCCGTAGTTTTCCCGATTCCAGACCACTCCCTTGACCGCCCCTTTTTACCTCATTTAAATTCAGTCCCTTGCGTCAGAGAATGAAATTAATGCCTGTGGCCTCATCACGTGTGTCAAACTTTATTTTAACTTCATCTGTGCTACTAGAGCCTGTAGTATCGCGCCGTGGCATGGTTTCTTCGTCGTCTTTTATGTTTAGCTGTGAAAATGACCTACTGTGGCTCATGTCCATAGCGTAATGTTTGTGTTGAAATATCATTTGACCCTGTTTCAGAATTTGCAGGCGTCATCCATTGCACAATTAAGTTGCCTACCTTATCGCGCCACCGTGACGAGAAGCAAATGGTGATGTGGTGGCTATTTGCACCTTACTGAAGATTGATTTGAAGTAAGCCCAGTTGGATGATAGATGGCATAACATAACAGATGGTGCCGTAATTCAGAAAATGGTCTCAGAATCTATTCGTCGACAGTGCAGCCTCTTTCATATCTCTGCTCCCACATTGCGTGATCGTGGCTCAACGCCTCCAAAGACGTGTTTGAGAACACATGAACTCTGCAAGGCACCCCCGCTTCAACAGGTCCGTTTAGCCAGTTGAGCTTGGGATTGACCCAACAGCCCTCGCAAAGATCTTTCGTCGCGCACCATTCTTGTGCCCGCCCCATCACGTCCCAGATTCCCATTCGTTCCCGTTTAACACATAGGATCAGTGGCTTTTGACCACTCTTCCGTACACCAAACCTCCTCAGTTATCCTCTAGCCTATAAGTAACCACGTCCTCTGCCAAAAGAATCGCAAATATTACGACTCCAGAGGCCTTTGTCAACACTTTTGCCCTACAAAGGTCGCACAAGCACACTCTACTCCGTCAATCATCACTCCACACAATGATTCTCAAACCGTTTCTTTCCCTGATCATCCTCTTCGGTCTTCTGGCATGCCTTGCCACAGCCGCTCCACAGCCTGATTGCCCATGTTCTCGCCGCAAAGGCTCAAATGGCCGCAAGGGTCTGAATGCTCGCTCACCTATGTTGCCTGGAGCCGATGGCTGGCCTAAATACAAGGTCAAGAAATCAGACAAAATAACCCTGCCAATCTGGGACCCGATTCAGAAAAAATGGAAAATGCCAGTCCAGAAACCAGCCAAGAAAGGTATCTTTGATGCTTGGAAGAAGAAGTCGATTAAGGAGCTCTGGGAGAACTTGGATAAAGAGGCAAAATTGAAAGAACTGGACCAGCAGCGTCTCCGCGACGCGCTGGCTGATTCAGAGCTCACTATCAAACAAATCAGCAAAAGCCCCCCAACCATCAACGTTAAGTTCATCAACAGGAGTCCCTTCAGACTCTGCTTCAACGAATACAAGAGCCCAATGGATGCACATGCATTCGAAAACGGATTATTTTCGATCATTGAGGAGGAGACCAAAAACAACTTTGCCGTGTACAACGAATCAAGCGAGACAGTTCTTGATGATACTAAAAATGACAGATCTGTCATCCTTGCACCCAACCAGACGGTAGAGCAAAACATCGAGCTTCCTGGAAAGAACGTCCGTAAGCCCGGAAATTGGCTCAGGATGCTCAAGGCTGCTGATAGGGTAACTGTCAGGCTGGAAGCGATATGGCCTGACATTAAGGCCACGGAGGAAAACTCAACGGACAACACAACAGAATTGGGTTGGGCGTATAAATTATATGATCCCTTCAAATCGAACGAAATTGAGTTACATCTGTAAAAGGCAGCAACTACAGGAGGGTGCACCAGGGGCTACGAGAACGCCGGTTACTTGCTACACGGTCCTCTTCAATCTCCTTAGCTCGAAAAGAATTACTCACCCTAAACCATCTTCTCTATCCTGTGTTCCAACTTCCGACGAGTGAAAGCATGTCCATAAAACCGCCTAGTAGTATCAGTGCGCAGGGCGTAGAGAAGCCTTCATCGGGCTTGTCAAATTGCGTAGCAAGTTCCATGTACAAATTGCCAACAGGCGAGGCTTGATTAAGGGTATGGTGGAGTAGTGCTTCAGAAGACCTACCCTGTAACGAGGGGCAAAAGTTGCGAGATACGCCCAAACAGTCAATTCCGCCGAGGCTTCTAACAATATGATCAATAATAATAATAGTCAAACAAGCCAGGCGGTCGAGCTATAGATACATGCCAACCACATAGGTCACCGAACCAACAATGTCAAGGCTCAAAAGGGACTTCAGACTATTTCTTAACAGCACCAAAGTAAACATTCCCAAAACACATCCTAGATAACCTCCAAGATCTCCAATACAGAGCCCTCAATTTGCCCTCTTCACCAATCCATCAAGCCCATGATCACTTCACTTCTTGTAGCAACGCGAGTCTCCGTCTCTCAAGCTCCTCCAAATACTTCGCCCAGCATCTCTTGCAATCCCTCCAATTTCCAATTGCCTTTGCTTCAACCTCATAGCAATCTCCCCATTCGCACTGCGGTACCTTGCTATCTACGGCTTTTTGGCAGCGACTCACCGAGACTTCGGGGGAAAAGGGCCTGACGCATTTCTGGCAGACCTTCAAGAGGGTTCTGATCTGACACATGATTCCGGCTGTCTGGGTTAGGTTTTCTACTAGGAGAATGTCGTTGGTATGTAGTGGTGACGAAGGAGAGTTGGTAAATCGGCGATATGATCTTGCGAAAGGGAGAATGACTACGAGGAGGACACATGACAATTTATACCTAAGATTCAGAGTGAATCACCCGTCACTATATTTGCAGTGACTCAAGATATGAACAGATGAACAGCACCTCTGAAATAAACCCCACATGAACAAGGCGATACGGTCAAGAGCTCAGTGTCTCATCTGACCGAACACAGCATTGTTCAGTCATAAGAGTGAGTATTTCAATCGCTTCCATTACTAACAGAGCTATTACAGTAGAATGAGGTCGGTTTAAGGTTGTAGACTAAAATGAGTTCATTGCTGTCTTCCTTGTCCTGCAGGTCGGATTAGCTAGGGTGATCCATCTTTAGTATGGCGGTGTAAGTCAATCGGGTTCCAGAACATCACGGCCACGCAAATACCGCCCCCACTGCCCCATACCAATGGATCTCCTATAATGCAAATGGTAGAATTTCGTTACTGGGAAGCATTTTAATTGGCGGATGTCAGTATCACTAGAAAAAAAATAGATCAGAGCAGAGATAGAGACTTGCTGTCGCTGAACCTGCGAGTCGGGCTAATTGCACTCAGTTTATGCCAAATACCGAATTGTAGATTTTCACGTCCGGAAGACGATAACGAAAAGGCTGTTGTAATTGTTTTTGCAACCCTGATGCCGACATAAACGGGAACCGGGTTATCTGTTAGTGTCGGGGTCTAAGGATTCTAGCCAAGTCGACTATTGAATCAGGATCCATAATCAGTATTACACTGACACCATTGATGACTCTGTGCCTAGTGAGCAATCGGTCCACGAAACATCACAGACTCTCAATTGGAAAGCAAGCATAGATAAGAAGATAAGTGCATTAAATCACTTCCAATATTTAAAGCTATCCTATGAGCCAAAGAGTGTCGCTTAAGCAATCCATCGGAAGTTGGGGTTCTTCCAATCAAGGTCCTGAATCTCCTGCTGCGACAAGCCAGCCAATTCAGCTTCAGCAGATCGACTAGCCCGCTTCCGGTTATCTCGCTTAATCCACCAAAGAGTTGCAGCACCAAGAACAAGAATCGTGCTTGACGTCGCCAAGTTCAAACCGTTGCCGATGGGGTAATTGGGCGCATCACTCTTGACGAAGGACCAGGTAGAGATCAATCCGCCGATGTTGCCGAACATGACTGTGAATAGTTAGCAACTTATCAAAGGTGGGGGTGATGTTTCGATGAACGTACCATTTGTTCCAATTGCTGCACTGCGCGCCGTGTCGCTGAGAACATTGGCGCTGATATGCGAATTCGTCAAAGGCGCCAGCGCAAACGCCGAACTAGCAACAAGAAACGTAGCACCATATCTCGCATGTCCATTCGTCGTCCCCAGAAAGATCGCATAACCGACCATAACCATCGGCGCACAAAGAATGATAAAGATCTGCCTGCGATCAAACTTGTAGCTAATTCCCGGGATAAGCACCGTGAAAAAAGCACCGACGACATATGGCGGAACAGTGAACAGCTGTTGAGAGATAGTTGTCCGCTCGGGATAAATGGTTCGTACGATGGTGGGCAGGAAGAAGGCGAGGCCTTGTACTGTGATGTTGTCGAGGAGGAAGATGATGGATGTTGAGAGCGTGAGAGGACTGCGGATGCCAGCGAGGATTTTGGCGGTGTCGATCTTGTCGAGGACTTCGGTTGTGCCGAGACGTTCGGCTTTGACGCGGTTGAGAGCGAGGGCTTTTTCTTCTTCGGTGAGCCAGGCGGCTGATTGGGGACGGTCGGTGAGAGTGGCTGAGACATGTTAGCAATGAGGGGATCATGAGAAGGGGGAGGGCTTACCGAATGAGATGATAGACAAGCCGACGGTGATGATACCTTCAATGGCTGGTCATAACGTTAGCAATTGATCTTGACGTGAAGGTCCGAAGGGCATACCGAAGATCATCTCCCAACTGGTGAAGCGTCCAAAATGAGGAAGCTTCAAGATCGCCGATGCCAAAAGGCCTCCAAACGCACCCGCCAACGGCGCCATAACAATATACAGCGAAAGCCGAAACGTAAGTTCCGATCGTCTATACCATCGCGACATATAATACGCAATACCGGGCAACATACCGGCCTCAAAAATCCCCAAAACAAATCTCACACCACAAATCTGATGAACATTTGACACAAACGCTGTAAAGATAGAACAGAGTCCAAAACCTAAAGATGTCAAGGGGATGAACCATCCGGGTCCCATGTATTTGCAGAGAAGGTTGGCGGGGATCTCGAAGACGATGTAGCTGATGTAGAATACTGATAGGACGAGGTTGTAGTCGTTGCCTGTGAGGCCGAGATCTTCTTCTAGGCCTGCGAGACGGGCGTTTCCTGGCGAGAGTTAGTTTGGAGCTGGGGTGAATGTGTGGAGAAGAGGGGGGAGGGAGGGCTTACCGATGTTGGCGCGGTCGATGAAGCAGAAGAGATAGAGGAGACAAACGGTCGGAACGATCATCCAGTCAATCTTTCGACGAAGTCTAGCTTCTGCCTTCGGATCAATGTAGAATTGCGCATTCTCAATGCTAAAATCGTGAGTTAGACGTGGTAATTGAATAATGCACGAAACGCGTACCTCTCAACAGTACCACCGGGAGTGTCGGTTATGTTGGACGCAGTATCAGCGCCATTCTGCAATTTCTCGTTCTGCACGCTGGTATCCATCTTGCTTGATGCTGATGAGAAGTGAAGAAAAAGTAAAAAGATCGACACTGTCGGTCTGACCCCCTTTATACCTAATCTCTCCATTAACTCTCCCAGCGCGTCTCACTAGTGCCGAGCGGGGTTTGTCTTATCGGATCCGGGGTACTGGAGTACGCCAGCGTTCCCCAGATTTCTTTTACCCCAGGTCAACTCAACGGCCCCCTCGGAAACTCTCACAGCTGCCGGCATATGATGTCGGCTTTGCGAGCGCTGTGATTGGTTGGGAGGGTGATTAGGGTTCCCCGCGGAAATTGCGACTATGCTGAGCTGAGACTGGAGTCCGTGGAGGGGAGGCGCTGATAGGTTGGTGTTCCTCGGAAGATGGATTGGAATGCTTTGCTTCCGAGGGGAATTGGGATGAATGATGTTGGCATTGAGTGTGCCCAGACTGGTCTATTTTATGAGAGCGATGCATGACGTTAATCTGAGGGTTTATTTTGATGCTTGTTTGGGGACCACGTGGTTGGGATGGAGGTCTGGATTGATCTCGATTAAGTGATCGATCTGACCAGTCAGATTCGTTTCCGGCGGCGGTCTGAAGTCATGACTCGTCATGTCAGCTTTGGAGCAAAGCGTGAGTCTTGCTTGCCATCTGAGGAAAACAATTATCCTGCAGAGTGATATGAGAATTCTATATCTACAGTCTGCATGTAGAAGGACATTGGCTCTGTCGGTCATGGAGTGAGCCTTTAATTGCACGTTCACATGCCAATGCGTGTTTCGCAATTTGAAGTGGCAGTCATGCTGTCCAGTTCCATCGGCATCACGGCTAAGGGGGGCGCAAATCTAACAAGGTGGTAAAACATCCAAACTATATGCTAGTTGCATTGCAAAAGAAAAGAAAACTCACCCTCTTGCACGTCGAATGGGTTCAATTGCATGAATAGTAAGAGGATAATTGCTGTTAGCCTTGGAAGTACAGGGTATTTTGGCTACCCCCAACGTCAAACGTTGGCCGATGAAAATACAAATTGGGCGGGACACGATAAGGATAACGATAAGCTTATCTCATAACCTGTATCTCATCTTGCTGATCTCATTGGTTGCTTCAACCCTCTAGACAGCAATCGGGTAATTATTTGACCCGTCTCACTAAGCCAAGATGAGAAAGACTCCAAGTCAGCCCTGTCACAACATCTCAACATTCTCATTCCCAGAATTGATGAATACCGTTACAGAAATGGAGATTCGATTCAAAGTCCAAAAGGCTCCTCCAATCCCAAAACCTCCACCAAAGACCGACACACAGCCTTCAACTCTCGCATTCGTCCAGGTCAATCCCGCAAGGAAAGATAAAGCAGCCCAACGAAAAATCCGCCAACATGTAATGAGAGACATAGGTCTCTCCCGAAGAATGGGCACAGTCCGCACGCCAAATCCAACAAGTCACCCAATCTTCATTCCGACATACTGGGGCGATGCCCAAGTCTGCTATAATTTCCGACGATTATTTCGTGCGATGGACATGGTGTCCGAGGGATTGCTATCGATAGCTGTCGTTGATCCTGTTTTGAGATTGAGGCAGAAATTGACGGCGACTTTTGAAAGTCCGCCAACTGTGGAGGAGATTCAGCAGTATACTGAGTCGTTGAGTTTGGTGAGGGAGGGGATTGAGGTGGAGAGTAAGGCTAGTGAGAATGCTGTTATTGGCACGGTGATTTGTCTGGCGACTTTTGATGTAAGTCACCGAAATGGGGTTGAAGCTCATGGCTAATGAGGTAGATGCGTGCTGGGAATTCTGAATCGTGGATGGTTCACATGGCAGGGCTTGAAAGAATAGTTGAGATGGCCGGTGGAGTTGCAGAATTGGACTCACGGCCTGCTATTCGACAATCTCTATTTATGTAAGTCTTCTGACAACTATAGTATTGCTGTTACTGACTCCAATAGCTGTGACCTTCTAGGCTCAATGATAGAGGACTCCAAACCGAGGTTCCCTTTACCTCGAGATTTACCTACGTTACCGCAGGCTACCAGGTCACGATACATTCAAAAGCTTCTAACATCATTGAGAAGTGACGATCAGTCGATAAAAGAACAAATTGCTGTCATAGATGGAGCTTTCACATCCGCGAATCAGGTCGCCGTCTTACTAAATGAAGTATGGCGCGTCAGCCCATTTGCGCTTGATCTCCTCATCCCCGTATGCGCCCTAGCACATCAAGCCTTATCTCTCAAAAGAATGAGTTCTATACAGAAAAGCCATGATTCGTCGCATGCGACGTCTACTGGAATACTTGCAGAGATAGTGCGCATCTCAGCTGTTTCTCTATTCGCATTGGTAACGACACAATCGTCTGGTGATGCGCTATACGTCGCAGCAAGAAGAAACACGGCGGTGAAACAACTCATGGCACAATTAGATGACAAGATTTGGAAGGGGAAAGAGGAATTGAAGCTTTGGGTGTTGGTTATCCAAGTCTGCATGGGCGTTGGTTCATCGAAACCATGGTTCATAGACCAGATCACTCAAACCATGTCACTTGTTAGGCTACGATCATGGGAGGATTTGATGGACTGTTTAAGAAAGGTAGTATGGGTTGAAAAGGTTTCTCCATTGGAGATGACGCATCTTAGGTCTGATATTGGGGAATGGCTATCCTAGACTAGTAATTTCCAGGACAATGCCAACCTCGAGGAGCTTAGTAAGTAACGCCGCCGTTAACACCAATGTACTGTCCCGTAATCCATCGGGACTTCTCTTGAACCAATAACAAAACAGCATCACCAATATCTTCAGGCGTTCCAGGTCGATCAGCAGCTCTAGTGATGTCGATTTCCCACTTCATCATCTCATCCTCTCTTCCCTTGGGATAGAACTCGGTCCTCACAGGACCAGGAGCAACTGAGTTAACAGTAATGCCTTTACTGCGACCAAGCTATTCATCCTTATCAGCCTATACCAGAAGGAAGAATGCATCCGGGTACTCACCTCTCCAGCCCATGTCCACGTCAAGTTATCAAGAGCAGCCTTAGAAGCTGCATATGAAGAGGCGATTACGTTTCCTCGTTTGGCATTGGTGGAACTGATGTTGATGATACGGCCGCCCGGAGGCATGTGAGCAACGACATAGTGAACCATGTAAAACGCTCCCAGAACATTGACTTGGAAAACCTTGGTCAGTTCCTCCATGTTAGGCTCGTCGGTGATGGGACAAAGACAGGCAGTAGCAGCGTTATTAACTACCATAGTCAGCTCTGAAGAAGAAATTTGCGCATACAACTTACCGAGAATATCGATATGATCAGTCCCAAATCCCTCAAGAGTCTTGTCGACTAGATACTTTGCTCCTTCGGTAGTATCAACAGAAGCTTGAATAGCGATGGCCTTTCCACCTGCTTCATGAAGTGTGGTGCAGACGTTCTCGGCGCGATGCTTGGAAGAGTCGGAGACGTAGTTTACTGCAACTGAAGCACCGTTTCGAGCAAGGGCTAGGGCAATTCCAGCGCCAATGCCGTTCTCACGGCCTGAGCCGGTGACGATGGCGACTTTGCCTTGAAGAGCGAGGGTATCGGGCATGTTGATATGTTTTAAGTTTCTTGAAGCGTATGAAGAAGAGGATGTTGATGACACAGAGAAAGAAACGCTGGGAGCTTTCTGGACTTTTATACCTCTCAAGGTCATATCATTATCTCCCATACAAACGGTCAAGTCGGACTCCGACGGCGGACCATTTCAGATGAGACCTTGCGGTAGCCTATCATTGATCCTGAAAAAGTTCGGTACTGGTTGTCCGAGTTATCCGCTTTGTTACAAGGCTGGGTTTATTGAGTTGAGAATTTCCTAATTAGGAAAATGGTGTTTAATACCCCTCCGTTCTCTGTGGGACACACGCACTTAGCTGTCCACTCATGACACGAACTCAGCAGCATGAGAAGCAGAAGGATTGCTTTGACTCGGTTACGGATATTGTTTTGGAATCTGATTTTCAGTCATAGCTTCGTCTCGCTCTTAGAATTGGCCCGGCTGAGTAATTCATCCGCCAACAACACCGAAGCGACCACGATGAACCAATAATAACCATGTTCACGGGTCTTTTTATTCATGGCTACCGAGTACTGGAACGCCTTGTTCTCTTTGTCCGTCAAAGTTGACCAGGCCTCATGAGACATGTAAGCATCATCCACCTCCTTGCTCTAATTATCCCATCTCTTATTCGCCTAGACAAAGTCCAAAAACAGCGCAAAAGTGGCGACTGCACATCCAGCCTGTGTAATCATGACAGAAAGTTCCGCAGGCCGGACATACAGTACGTCTTTGGCTTGAATGGCCTTAGGACCGATGATGTTCCCGGGTGGAAAAGAGCCGCTGATGGCAGCAGCGGCGAAAGCACGCTTGGTGGCTCCACCGAAATTGTGACCATCCACCATACCATGCTAGTGGATATTACATGTTAGACTCATGCTGTAGACGACGGTTAAGGATGTATTCACGGCGCTGGCAAGATTAATGCTGTCGAGACAGCCAGCTTTGTTTGTTGAAGGCAGGAATGTCATTAATGCACCGCCAATAATACTTCACAGCAGCAGTAGTATCAAGTTCCATCTAGGGAAAGGCTTAAATGTTATTATTCATGGACCGAAAGCTGTTATTGATGATAAGAACATGTCGACTCAAGAGGAAGAGTCACTCGTAAGCATGACTGAAAGACGCATGACATCCAACTGTAGATTGCAAAGTGTCTTAATGATCTCCTGAGGACGGAATTAAGACTCTCGATTCCAGTCTGGTTGGCACTGATATGCTTGACAAGAGGAACTTGCTCGCCTTTTGAGCCACTTCGATTTCATAGGAATATAAGGCAGCATTGAAAGTGTAGCAAAGACGATGGTTATGGTAACGATGCCCAACATGATGAATGCGGAGAAATCGGGCTCTCGGCTGATCAGAACAGCAAGGTTTGGAGAGTAGCACTGGCCTATTTCTATTTGTTGTAGTCGGTGTTTCAGGCCAAGATAGAACTACCGGTTGCAACGTTAGCAGAGCCTTTGTTGAGACTTCGGCTCATGACCCCGCTCTTATGCCGAGTTAGTCATCACGTCAGGCACGGCAATTGCCTGTGCCGATCTGATGTGAGAGTAAGCAATCTGACATGCGAATGAGTGAATTAATAAATGAGCCCATGGTTCAGTTCACTTCTGCCAGAAACATTGTTCATCGCCAACCCTCAGCAAAATGATTCCAACTGAAGATCACCCCGTCCTCATCATAGGCGCGGGTATAAGCGGCCTACTTCTTGCGCAGAGTCTATCACGACACGGCATTCCCTTTCGTGTATTCGAACGCGACACAGACCTTGAAACGCGTGGCGTAGGATGGGGTCTCACTCTTCTCTGGACGCTGCCCGCCCTGAAAGCTCTTTTACCCAAACATTTGTTTGATCGCTTACCAGAAGCCTATGTTGACCGAGAAGCTGTTACGCAAGGGCTGTCATCGAGTTTTCCGTTCTTTGACTTGAGTACAGGAGAGCTCAAGGCTTCGGTACCTAAAGCACCAGAGGCAGAACGTGTACGAGTGACGAGGCAGGGTCTTAGAGCTCTGCTAGCCACTGGAATTGACATTGAGGTACGTTGCAGCCCTGAATCCAGTTTCCATCTACTTACACTTCCGGATCACAGTGGAATATAGCTGTAGCCGGAGTTGTGTCGACAGACGACTCTGTTACTGCTTCATTCGAGGATGGCAGCTCAGCAACTGGGAGTTTACTCGTCGCATGTGATGGCAGTCACTCACGAGTGCGTCGCTCACTCTTCCCCGAGTGGAAGCTTCAAGACGTTCCTGTTCGAATGCTAGGCATCAAGATGGAGCTATCACCTGCACAGATCAAGCCAATTCGAGACCTTGATCCCTATTTCTTTCACAGCACGAACTCGAAGAATGATACCTTCATATACTTTAGTGGTAAGTCACCCGACCTTCCTTGTTCTTTCAATGAGCTTTGCTCATGGCTACTAGTTCTCGATGCCCCAGGAAATCACAGCAATACCGACCGCCCGTACATTGGGCAACTCTGTATATCATGGCCATATCACGAAGGCTTCCTGAACAGACCTTCTCCTATCGAGATTCCGGATACACCGGAAGAGAAGTACAAGTTGGTTCAAGAGTTTACTTCCACCTGGGCGGAGTGCTTTCGTCCGCTTGCATCCGCAGTCTCGTTGGACAGCGAGATGAAAGGTCTCAAGATACAAGACTTGACCCCTCCGAAAGACTTTCAAAGCACTGGCCCAGCTGTACTCATGGGAGATGCTCTTCACGCAATGGCAATGTGTAAGGCTCATCACCCATTCCTTATATGCCGATAACTAACAGCAAAGACCGAGGAGAGGGCGCGAACCACGTGATATTTGACGTCAAAGACTTTGTAGAACGAGTCATTCCTGTTCTCAACAGTGATGGAGATCTAAGAACTGCGCTGGGCGAGTATGAACGAGCGGTCATTGCCCGAACGCGTCCAGCAGTACTGGCCTCGAGGAGAGCTTGTCTCGATGCACATGAATGGAAGAGGATTAGCAAGTTGAGCCCACTGTTGACAAAGCGCATGCCATATATAGAATTCGAAGAGACCGAGGAGGTTGAAGCAATGCATAGACTATAAGAGAAGGAGTAATATGTCTTTTTTTTTATTTTAATTTCCATTTTACTGACTTTTAGCAATTAGCCTTAGCTAAGCACCTATCTTAACACTCCTTTAAACAGCTGTACCGCTTTGGGAACACGCCCGAGACAACTAAATTACAGGTGCAGTTGATCCTGGAAACTAACATTAAGCGAGGAAGCAAAATGAAGAATAACAGGGGCCTAACGGCCAAAGTGTCATCAAACCAGAACCCCTTTAAATAGTGCGTGAAATCTTTTCGAGATCTCTCAAACTCTACAGAATACTTCATCTCAGTGACCCTGTAAGTTAACCAGACGGTACATATAGCCTATGATCGCATTTCTTCCAGTGATATCGGCTTTGTTGGCTGGTATCACAAAGACAGTATCCGCGGAATCAGCTCTATAGAGAAGAGTCAATTGTCCGTTCACACTGGCTCTTCTCGCATTGAGTGGTTTGTATGTCATTTGCGCCAATCCATTCGCTGCCCATGATATATTATCATCTTCTAACACACTTGTACTGTAGTTCACGCAAGGTCTTTCTTTCCACTTAAATCTCTGACGGCCACGAGGCTACAGCACGGTTGCTGAAACCGCCCTCAGATCGTGTGCTCCCGTACGCGTTAGAGGGCCTCTATGGCTTCTTTAAATGGGAATACCGTCCATTTGGAGCATTTCTGGATGAGTATCAACCCCAGGAGTCGAATGTTGTTGACCTCGCCCCTGAGTATTTGAATTTGCTTTCGCAACCACTGGATGGAGTGTTTGATGGTCCAGAATCGAGTTCATGTAGGTCGTGGAAGTGCCTTTGGCACGACTCTGAATTGGATGATTATTTCCGTGAGGGGTGTGGATCGAGACTTCTAGACTGCGCATACGTGATATGGGACTACTCTGGCATCTCTGATAAACACTTGTCAGAAAGGTTCAGAGCCATCCGCGAACACTCAATCCCCTCTCCACAAAGCGAACCTTTCTACCTCAGTGAGGAAGAAGCGCGATCCGTGCATCAACGGTACGCTATCCATTTGCGGGGTGGTCAGGGCTGGTGGCCTACCAAGGACGTCGACTTCAGTAGGGTCACTGGGCTGACGGACCAGGACAGGGAGGAGCTGATCTGTGAGTGGAAGGTACGTGGTTGGGTGAAATCACGTAAGCGTAAACGAAGCGGCAGTTGTAGGCCTTGTTCAGACAAGTCTTCAATTCTTGCACGCCCACGTCATTCCCCAGCTACGCAGTAATTCACATTCTGGCAGCGAGGTCCGGTTGGTCGAATCGAGAGTGTAAATGCTACAGGTACGCGGGTCAGCAATGACTCCTGACGCCGAGACAAGCAAGCACCTACTTCTATCGTGAGAAACGAGGGTGATCGCGGGGTGAAGGAGGGGAAGTGAGGGGGAAAAGAGGGAGAAGAAGTCAAATTGAGAAATGAAGGCTGCGATGAGAAGTTGTCAGTCAAGAAGCTGGGACATGGGCCCAAATGGATCAATTGAATATGGATGACTCACTTTTGGCGTTTGGGAAAAAACTGTAAAGGCTGGCTGGAAAGGTTAGCAAAGTACAAAAGGGCAAGAATGGGGAAGAGCTGACTTAGTGGACCGAGACTGGCTCGGCCGGTGTTAGTAATAAATTGGATCAGGTCACAAGACAAAGCAGTGATGATAAACACAGTAAAATAACACTTGAGTCACGCTGGTCAAATTGCTCTACGATAGATCCAAGCCTTGACTGCGGCGAGTCCCTCGGACAGCGGGGCCGCAGAGGTAGATGACGCAAAGGAGTTGAAACGGGATTCCTGCTTGGAACCCTCAAACTGGGGGATGCCGAAGTAGGAGATGGCCCAATCGGTAACGATATCGGGTTCGTCGGACAGCATCTTGTAGAAGTCGCGGTGGCCGAGTGCTCTGTAGAGTTGTCTTCGGGGCATCGCAAGGTTCACGCATTCGATGAACATATGGTATACGGTCTGGTGGTCGTTGTTGCAAGTACATAAGGAAGTGCTGGAGCACTGTTTCATGGTTAGCAGTGTGGACGCGTTGAGGAAATGCGGGTTGACTTACGCCAATCTTGGCTAGATGAGCATTGAGACCAATGTGCTCGGTTCGACATTGGATCAGAATGGTACTTTGTGCTCGAGATAGGCCGCGGTAGCGCTTGAGGTTGTGAGATCCCCATCCGTCCTTGTCCTTGGTGGCTGCGGTGGGGTGTGAATGCCTTTCAGTACGATCTGCACAGTATTGATTCCACAACTCGGACGACTGCTCCTCAGCATCCTCCTGGGCGATCTTGCGCATGCGTTGTTTTACAACCGGGGTGAGGGGGACAGGTAGGAACATATTTGCACTTGACTCAGCTCTGTCCAAAAGCCATCTCGCTCCAAGATCAAGGGCATGGTATGGATGGGCGCCATACTCGGACGGGTCCCTGCCGTGCTGTCGGGTCTTGACTAAAGTTTCGTGCTCCGGTGTTTTTAAAGCAGACGCGCGCTGGGTTGTTGCGACCCTGTTCAGAAAGACTAGGATGTTCTCCACGTATGCCTCTTTGTTTAGGGTTTCGCCGGCGCTGCTGTTGAGCGCGCCTGTAACCCTTCTTAGGCAGTAGCTTTCGATGCTCGTCAGTACCTTAGTGACGGCTTTGGTCAATCTGAAACTGGTATCCCAGCCGTATATGAACCAAGCGCCGCAAGCGTATGAGATGATAGGTCGAACGGTGGTAATGTAGAGACGCCTCATGGAAACAAAGTTGGGGCCCGCGGTCGTACTGGAGATTCGCGCAATGTCATTCATCTTCTTGTAGACTTTGCCGACCACCTAAGAATATTCGTTAGTAGTCAGTACCAATTTATGCTCGTTCAGGCAGCTGGGGCTATGTATTTGTCTTACCTTTGCGACGTGTGCTCCCCATATAAGCTTGTGATCCACTTCAACTCCTAGGATTCTCATTGAGCTCTCAGGCTTCTTGCCCTCGAGCCCGGGAATCTTGGGCATGTGCTTCAAGGGATCAGCCTTGTGGCGAGGTGGATGGAAGTGCATAGCGTGGTATTTGTGAGGCGAGAAAGAAACGCCGGCCGAGTCGGCCCATACCACGATCCTGTCGTGGCATTCCTTGAGCGCCTGGCAGTTGAGTTCGTAATCGTCGGACACGGCGAGTAGGTAGGTATCGTCGACGTAGGCCAAGGGGTAGATCTTGACCTTAGAGCTGGTGTACTCAGAAGCGGTGCCTAGGATGGGCATGGAGAAGAACAAGAAGAGGATGGGTGACAATGGACTGCCCTGCGGAATGCCCATATTGACCCAGAACTTGGATGAGGTAAAGCCCGGGAGCCTCATGTCGGTATTGCGATCGGTCAAGAACGACCAGATGAAGCGGAGCATCCATTCCGGGATGCCTGCCTGTTCCAGAATCTTCATGAGCTTGATTCGGTCGACCCTGTCATGTGCGCCCGTGATGTCCAGTCCCATCAGAGTAGCCAGTCTCTGGACCTTCCGAGTCCACGCATCATAGACATTGTTGAGAAGAAACTGAAGTGCTTTCGAGGTGCACTTGCCAGGAGTACCAAACTGCATATTGGGGAGGAGATTGTGCTCGATAGCGAGCAATTTGAGACGGTGGGTGAAGATCTTCTCGAGAAGCTTCCCCATGCAAGGAAGCAGGGCGACCGGCCGCCAGCTCTTGGGCTGCTCGTAGTCATCTTTGTCTGGCTTTCGGAGCATGACAGTGGACGCTTGTTTGAAGGCAGCGGGGTGATGGCCAAGCTGGAGGCAGGCGGCAAATAGGTGGTGAAGGTACCTTTTTCTATTTGTGGGCCACCTACACCGATGTCTTGAGAGTCTTCTAATATGATACAGAGTGTAGGCATAGTTGTACTCGTCGCGTAATGCCCACTTGAAGCTTAGAACACAGTCCCATATCTTTTCACCGTCTTTGATATCTACAATCAGTCTCCAGTCTGGTAAGGAACTAATGATGTGGCCGAATGAACATTATGAGTCATTTCGAATAGACGGTGAAGTTCTTTTTTTCGCATGGCATTGGCGATGACAGTAAGTCATTTCGCCGGATTTTTCACAGTAGCTCTAACCAGTCCCTTACGGTAGATCTATCTATACTCTGATTGCAGAAATCCCAGGTTATATCTTGTTCCCGTGTTCTCTTACATGAAGCTCTAATGCTTCATTCATCCACACAGAGATCGTCTTCTCTCTGTTTCTTTTTCTTCACCATTCCCAAACTATTTTCCTTTGTTCCTCAACATGTCCTATCTGGAGCCCAACCCGACGGAACTCAGTGAGGCTGCTCCGCAGGAAGCTGATGAGCGATGTTACCAGCTGTCAGATGGAGACATGTCAGAAGACGATGCAAGGTGTGAAGAGGATGAACTACGAGAGGGAGATCAGAACATCGACGGCGACGATGATCTCATGATCTCCAATGATATTCCCTTTCCCAACAGCACAGGTCCAGATGGGAATCCTGACTCAGCTGCCCCCACGAATCCGATACATCAAGCATCATTGGAGCGGTCGCTCATCGACCTCAGTGATCTCGTCAAATTTAGTTTGCACATGACAATTGCGCAAAATTATCATACTGGCATGGCCCTCACGCAGATTAGGGAAACGATGATGCAACAAATACCGGCCACAATTGTCGACACGAGGGGCAAGATAAGAGTCAAGTTGAACGGTGAGGACTACGTGAAAGTAAGAGACGATTTGAGGTGCAAGGGCGTTATCAGCAAGTTCCGGAAGGCAGGCCAACCTTGGGATATGGTCGCCGACATGCGGCTCGCTGGAGATCAAGTCATGTTGTTGACGACCGTCGACGAGGATTCGGAAGCAAGAATTCGGCTACAATCTCATATGCTCAGCGGTATCCTCGGCCTTGATCCGAATACCAAGGTTGTCCCAGAGCGTTACCATGTGGAGATTCCGGACTACCAGGGGAGGTCCGACGAGACTCCTCGTTCGCAAAAGGCAAGGTGGTCTCATTGGAACAAGGTTTACATTGCCGATGCTTTTACATCATTTGGTACGCTCATTCTGTGCATGGAGTCGGAGAAGGATGCACTGAAGCTTTGGAGGGATGGCGGTGTGACACTTGGCTTTCAAAAGCTACCAGCTGAGTAAGTTGCAATCCTGAATTGCGAGGCAATAGCTTACCGATTTACTTTTAGGCCCATCGATATTCGCGCCCTCAACGTCTGGTGTCGAAACTGCTCTAAACCTTCACATCTCCAGCGGGAATGCAACCAGCCAACTCGATGCGGCAAATGTGCTGAGGCTCATGATACAAGCCTATGCAAAAGCACTGGACCGTACCGCTGTGTCAACTGTCCCGAGAGTCATCGCTCTGCTTCAATGCATTGCAAGAATGCCCAAGTTGTCAAGATGGTGAAGGAGTGCGAAAAGTGGCGAAAGGCTGGTCCTTCATGGGCAAAGACCGTGCAACAGCCACAGCTCCCTGACGAGACACTGATGAGCCAGCTGCGTAGCTACCAAAACACAGCAGCGGGGCAAGCATTTCTCAGCAGCTTCATGACCGTCCCGACACCCCAGGATCAGGCAGGTGATAAGGAATCGAGCAAGGCCAAAGATGCGAAGAAGGAGAAGAAGAGAAAGTTTGAGGTTCACGATGTCTTGAACGTTGATAACCGGCTGAATTATGATTGGGCGGCCGCTTCTTAGGAGAACCAGCGCCAGATGGACCTGGAGAAGAAGGCAGCTGGACCGCCTAGACGTGGTAGACCTTCAAAGAGGGGCAGAGGGACGTCTTAAGTCGACCAGGTGCCTAAGCAATGTCTTTGTATATTATTTAGAGTTATATTTCACTGTTGGGCGTGGCGTTAGTCATCGTTTACTTGGAACTGCCGAATAGATATTTGTTTGAACAACAAGATTCCCCATCGATGCAATCGAATTACAGTGCAATTGCAGTACAACTGCCGATCTATCAACTGAGAGTTGATTCGGGCTAAATAATTCTATTATGCGGACCGCCTTGGCTATTCTCGAACAATGTTTAGTGGGTTGCCAGTAGTCTTCAAGGCACCAAATGTGCTCTCTCTTGATCTCTAGGCAACTCAAATTGCTACTCAGTGGTTTGCCATTTTGTCCAAGCTTTCTGTGGATTCAAATATACCGTGACTTTACTTTCCACCATCCTCTTACATTCACGTATCAAACCCCCAACCGATCTGGTCAGTCGACGCCCCAGCAATCCGCATCAAACTCCTCGCACCACTGACAGCATTGAATCGTCCACCTTGGAAGGCAGCAGCGGCGACCCCCATAGCAGCTCTCGTGTCAACGCGCTCGTTTCCCGTGTTCGCATCCCCCCTCTCTAAAACCTGATTCAAAAATGCATCACCTGCCAAGCCCTCATATCGATCCAGACAAAGCTGCTTGATGGCGGGTCCATACAAGTCCACCCATTGCTGCTCGCTAACGGTAGTATAACTCTTCTGGCCGTTTGCATCGGTCCGAGAGAATGGCCATTCGGCGCTGACGACTTGATATCGCTTTGTGATGAAAAAGAGTATTGGCCATGAGAAGATCCAGAGGAATGTGAGGTAGAAGATCCAGCAGACCCAGGTCGTCAGGCGCCACGTGTTTAGGCGGTTGGATGAGTAGATATCGACTGCTCGGTCGGCGACAGGGAATTCGATGGTGAGATTGCCTTTGTAGTTGGAGCTTCGAATATAACTCGTCAAACGATCTCGGAAGAGGGTCTCATCCATGCCGGTGACTATTCGAGCCAAACGGAATCTGTGACACGTTAGAAGGGACCTTGGACGTAGGGAGTGAAGCATACACTTTGGTCCCGGCTGCTTTAGCACAGTAACGGTGACACCATTCCTTCAGGGTTGGCTTCGCATGGCCAACCTCAATATCACCCTTGACACCATCCTGGCGCTTCTTCAACACCGTCCCGCGATATGTCTTCTCGCCACTCTCAACAGTCTTGAGCGTCGAGTAGCCAATAGCACCGGTGATGAAATTGGGGTACAGATAATTCTGCAAATTCACCATGATCCTGAAATCAGTAACCTCCTCACGCTTGCTCTTGCCGTCGCTATCGCGCTTGGTTTCCTTGTGCGTTCCCGTTATGTTGATATACGGCGAAGGAGGAAACGTTGCCATGGTTCTGATCCATTTTTCGAGAAATATTGGGTCCGCGTCGGAGCGGGGATCTCGCACGGCGTTTACTTCGTTACCGATACGAGTGCGTTTTTGACCGATGCGGTTGGAGGTGAAGGCCATGTGAGACTCGGGCTGGGTGACGCCCGTTTGCAGAAGTTGATCTTCAAGACCGGTGCTGTCGTTAGCAGCCGTCGCCGGAGTGTTTGACCCCAGCGTTGGTGTATCGTGGTATGCAGGCGGCGGTGGTTCATCGCCGTTGAGAACATCGTCCTCGACGTGAGCGTATGAGGGTTCCCCCACTGTCGTGTGCAGAGACACGGCATCAGGATCATCCTGATAAGGCTTTGGTGAAGGAGGATTACCCATTGTCACGATGATGAGATGAGAAATACGAAGGAATCGTCAGGATGTCGGCCAATCTGGGTATTTAATGTTCAGCTTCAGCTTAGGCAGCAACCTGTTTGTGTAAAAACAGAAAGAAACTGGATCGTGCGCGTTCACGGCGCGGTTTTGTGAGATTTCATGCTCCAAGACGGATGGAGTAACCGCCGAGGCAGAGAATTATGGGCTTCGGCGAATGAGCAGGTAAGCCGAAGTTGAGCCAGCCTCTGACGAATGTAAGCACTAAGCGGCTTTGAGCATAGCTTGGTCTTCACCATTTTCAAGTCGAGCTCTTCAATTCTTGCGACTTCATTCATTGACGACAGGTTGAAGCTGTGCAACAGTTGATTTAATACTCTTCTTGCCTCGATATCTGATATACATATAAATAGGCGTCATTTATTTCGCCATATTCCTCAAATATCTGTAGCATGTTTAGGGTGTCGCAATAGGTCGGTATCATCTTATCTCCGATGGATTTCATGCAACTAGATGTAATCCCGATCTTAAAGTCTCAAAGACTATAGAATCGTATTTTGTGCTTTTTTCTTATTTTTTCCTCGACCCATTCAAGCAAGCTCATTTAAATAACAAGATTTTTAAATTCCCAAAGCTCAATACCCTCTTAATAAGTTGAACGTTTCAGGACCTCTCGAAAATATTTGAGATACTTAGACATTCATCCATTATCCCTTGAACTAATCATGCTTTCAAAAGGTATTCTCAAAATCATAAACCCTGTCTAGTTCCAAGCGTTATCCAAGGATTCATACAAGTTGGTTTTACATACTTCATCCTCAAGCTCATCTGCCCTCTGAAGACAGGAAGTAGTTGTTAGTCACTAGCGACTAACGTTAGCCAGTTTTAGGCACCCCAGCGGGCTCCATGGCCCTTGAACGCTAGGTCCTGATGTTGAACGGTGGCTGTCCGATAGCCTTCAGCTAGCTCCGGATACAGACCGATCCTGTCGGATACCCTCCAGATCTGCAGTGTATCACAAAAACCATGCTCACTCCAGTAACTGTAGTCATACGAACACTGAGGACATATGCAATCAATATGTCTCTACCCATCTTACCGTCTGCGGCATGGAATTGCCATATGCACTGTTTCAACCCGGAGCGTTACTCCTTGAAAACAACGCGCTCTTATACCCCGCAGCCAGCGGTATTGAAAGACCTCATTCAGAACTCAAAAGCTGATAATGTGATGCTTGTACAAGCGACCATTGAAGATGGATATACAGGCTTACTGGAACACCTGCAGCAGTGTCGGGATATGTATCCCGACAAGCATGTCCGCGGGACCATCTTTTGGGAGCCTGGAAATCCAGATCTGAAGAACCTGACTGAATCCGAGTTTGAGAAGCTACATGACGCAGGGATTCGATCTGTGAGAATTCACGGCTCATATGGCGGTTCGGGCGACGATGTGTCTTGGGTAATCCAGCAATTCCTGGACGTTGCTTCTCATTGCCCTCTGCGTAAATACAACTGGAGTATCTCAGCACAATTGCCGCTCGCGACATGGTCTTCAATTGCAGACACCATCTCTTCCCATCCAGACCTTAAAGACGTCCCCATCATCGCAGATCATAACGGTTCCGCAACACCATCCGACATCAACACTCCCAATTTCACAACCCTTCTTCACCTCCTCTCCTCCAGCATGTACATCAAACTCGGCGCCCTCCACCGAAGATGCAACCAAATATCCCAAATGGAACATATAATTAAAGCCCTTGCAAACGCCGCTCCTGACTCAATCCTCTGGGGAAGCGACTGGCCGCACTGCAACGCTGCTATCCGAGGACTTACGCCGACGCCTCCTCTGGAAGTAAACACAGACCAGGAGCTTGGACTTTTGAGGGACTGGCTTACGGAGGAGCAGTGGGAGCGTATGCTTGTCTCGAACCCAGAACGGATATTCGGCACGCGGGGGTAGACGCTAGTTTAGTGTGGGGGAGAATCTGGGGTCGGGATGGGTCCGAAGGTCTTGAGTCGGGGAAGTCAAGTTGGGGAGCTTTGGTGTATAAAGAGCGAGATCCTCAACTGCGTTAAACATCATCAAAAGAATCAATACAATCCAGTATTCTCTTTCTTCTACCAAGTTAGTTATAAGATGGATAGTTCTAAATCTCAAGTAGATGACGTTACCGTCTTCAAATCCACTGGTGAAGAAGTCGAAAATGTCCCTACCAAACAACTCACCCTCTTGGATACCTACCGCTCCTACACCCCCGAATTCTCCAAAGAAACAGAAGCTCAACTCGTGCGCAAGATCGATCTTCGGCTTCTTCCCTTAGTCGTTACTATCTACCTTTTCAACTATCTCGATCGAAACTCCATCACACAGGCTCGTCTCTATGGACTTCAGGAAGACACTCATGTCAAGGGCGCGACGTACCAGACGGCCATTTCTATCTTTTCTGCTGGTTACATCATGATGCAGCTTCCATCTACGCTGATTATGACAAAGATGCAACCTCATATCTTCTTGGTATGTATTTCTTCGAGGGCTTGGTGACGCGGCTAACTTGTATAGCCTGGCTGTATCATCCTTTGGGCTTGTGTCAGTGCCTGCACATCTGCTACCTCTAGCCCAGCGGGTCTCCTCATCGTCCGTTTCATCCTCGGTATTGTTGAAGCGCCATTCTTCCCTGGAGCTATATATTACCTCAGTACATGGTATACCAAGAAGGAACTTGGCATCAGAATGGCCTTGCTCGTTTGCGGTCTTCTTTTGTCCAATTGCTTTGCCGGTTTGATCTCTGCGGGTATACTCTCAGGCATGGCTGGCGTCGGACACCTTGCCGCATGGCGATGGCTCTTCATCCTTGAAGGACTTGCTACTATCGTCATTGGCGTTGTCGCATTCTTCCTTCTTCCAGATTATCCTGGCACTACTAGCTGGTTGACCGAAGAAGAGAGAGTTGTCGCGCAGGGGCGGCTGGCTGTTGATGCCGGAAGTGAAGAGATACTTGGTGAAGAGGAGATCACTATGAAGCAAGCCATTCTCTCAGCCGTCCGTGACTACAGAGTCTGGTTGTTTTCTTGTCTGCAAATGTCGACAACTGCATCTATCTCATTCTCCCACTTCTTCCCTACTCTGATCAAGCAACTCGGCTTCAAAAACAACACCGTCGTTCTTCTTCTCACAGCGCCGCCGTATCTCTTCTCTTTCATCTGGGCTCTCAGCTTCGCATGGGATGCCGATCGTCGACAGAAGCGATCTCCCCATGCTGCCATCTCCGGCCTCACTGCTATTGCCGCTACCATCGCACTCGTCGCCATCGCAGACCAGAAATGGCCCCGCTACGCATTGACCTTTCTAGTCAGCGCTGGAACATTTGGTATTTACTCCACGACATATCCTTGGCTGTCTTCAACCATTGTTCAACCACGAGTCAAGCGTGCCGCTTCAGTAGGTATCGCAAACACCTTGGCCAACAGCGCTTCACTCTTCGCAAATTACTTCTGGCTTGATCAATACGGTCCAGACTTTCGTGTATCTTGGGCCTGTATCTTAGCTTTTCAAGGGTTGGGCTTTGCTTGCATTATGGGGTTGAGGTATTCACTTAAGCGGGCTAATAAGGCTTTCGATGAGCTGAGTGCAACTGTTGATGAGACTAGTGAGGAGAGTGTGAGCAGGCTGGATAAAGATTCTCAACGGGCGGTTCTGAACGGATTTAGATTCATTACCTAAAGTACCTAAGGTAATTAGATGCCGTGGTGCTGCGCGACCCACCTCGGGGAATATCCGGGCAGCGTGTCTCGTAGGTTATGAAGGAGCGCGAATAGAACCCTACTCTAGAATCTACAAAGTTTGAGTACACGTGAAATTCAAATGCACAGATAAATTCAGCGTATACATATAAAGCAAACATGGTCTCCCTCTCAAGTCATATTAATCATAACAGTTTTTGTCTCCATTCAAGACGTCAACCCAATAAGACCGCATTCCAGTCCCAATCCAAACTCTTTATAACCACCAAAAGGCGTGTTGAGAACAGGCGACTAATACAATTGACTCCCACCATTCCAGCCTCAAACTCACCAGCTACACGCAGAGGTCTGTTGATATCGCGCGTGGAAAGGCCAGCAGCCAGTCCGTACTCACTGTTATTGGCCCGAGCAATGACTTCGTCCTCGTCCTTGAAATGCATGATGACGGATACCGGGCCAAATATCTCTTCGGTAGCAATCTCAGACTCTTCAGCGACTTCGATGAAGGCTGTAGGAGGGAGCCAGAATCCCTGAGCGTAGGGTTAATCTTCATCTACAAACGCTGTCAGTATAATGTTCCAAAAGTCACACCGAGACCTTCTATGGATACTCACATAGCCATCATCAGCTGGCCAAGATTCGCCATGGATTTTATCGATCCACCCAGCAAAATACCGCAAGAGGGCTGAAGACATCTGCATAGTCCAGGTAACCGACTTGGGCCTCCCAAGGGTCAAAGTCGTAAGAGCCAAGAGTGCTTCACTGTTCTGATCGATCAAGTCCGCAAGCTTCAACATCGGCGCCTTTCGAACTTCCGGGTGGGTCTTCTTCCAGGCGGGAAAGGCCTTTTCGGCGGCGTCGACTGCGGCGTCAACGTCTTCGGGACCAGCGATTTGGATGTCGCCTGCGACAAGGGAGCCATCGGCTGGGTTGTAGACAGAGCATGTATGAAGCAAGTCAGTTATTCTCTTCTGTTTCAAGATATTTGGCAGCCTACGTCTTGCAGTTCTGCTTGTCAGGACTTAACATCGGACTGAACAGAAACTCATGACTGCTGCAGTAGCTCAACATATAACTCGTCTTCCAACCTCACGACTCAGTTGAGCACGGATCACACGTTGCGGAGTTCGTTGAATACAAGTTTTATGCATTGAATTCAGGTTGTCATGATGTGTATTGTCACTGTTGATTGTCTTTGACCGCCGGTGATCGCGGTCCGGTCAATGGTCTTAAAAAACTTAGTTATGCGGAGTTGGTCCATCCACTGAGAAAGATCCTTACTCTAATTTAAATAATCTTGAATCAGAACCAGTTATTTAATTCGAACGCAATTAATTCCATAAACTTTTCTCTGCAAATAAAATCTCATCCATCACTCCTACTCCCTTTCCCCGTCTGCAAATTCTCATCACTCGGACCCTCCTCCGTATACCACGTACTCGGTTGTTTCTTCGTCGTCTGCACCAACGAAATCTCACTATCCTGGTCTATCGACTGAAGATGACTTTGACCCGATCGAAAGCCACTCGAATTCGGAACTCTAAGATTTCTCGACGCCGATGTCGATCTAGGCATACCGCCGTATGAAGACCCCTTGGTCGTACCGCCTTCGCGAAAGAAATATGCAAATATTGAGCGGCTGAGGGCCAGATTTGCGCCGACTATGCCAAGGTAGAGTTCGAGGTTTGACCAGATTGCCGTTATGGCGTAAACCCCTAGATGTGTTAGGACAGGTTTTGAGGTTGGGGTTTGGACTTGGCTTACAGCTTAGATCTGATGTCACGACGCCGAGGGAAGCTGCGCGGGCGATTCCGAAGCCAGTGGCGCTATCAAGGGTTAGTCACAAGATGAACGAGGAAGACGATCGATGGGTCAACTTACACTAGCCCCAAGCTCATCAAGGCCCAGACTGAGATCTTCGTCTTCAATGGAAGGCTGGTGTTCCATATCACGAAGACTGGCAGTAGTGAACATATCATATCTGTGAGAATGGAAAACGCTAGACAAAATTAGCCAATGATTCTGCATACAAAGAAGGGCCATTGCTTCATACCAATCGTAGCGTAAATGTAGTAGATTCGAATCCGCGGGTTCCAACAATCGCCGACACCAGTCCAATAAGCGCTGACGGGTCTGCATTCAGACAGCAAAATAATAATGCATCCAAAATTCGTAACAACCAATCCCGCCATGATTCCCCAAGCCGCATATCTCACCTTCTTTGAATCCTTGATCCTCAACAAAAGCAGCAGGATCGAAATCTTGAGTAAGCAAATACTCGCAAAAAGCAAAATCTGCGCAACCCATCCAAGCTTATTATTCTGCACGTAATCCTCTGGTTCAATAAACCAACGATGCCGACCATTCCCGATGCTAACTTGTCCAACCTGCACGCCAAACCGCGCGATGCCGAGCAATGTAACAACGACGATCGTGTAGTCGTCCCAACCTGACGATCGTAGGGCTGAGCGTACCCATATTCTTACACTAGTGGTGATGATCACCAGGGCGAGACACGTTCCCGAGATGCCTAAAAGGATTGGACCGACGTTTTGATCGGGCGGTAAAGGGTTCGGAGGTTGCACGGATGCCATGATCAGCGATATGACGAAAGGATTATGAGAAAGAGGGGGGGAAAGGAGTGCATGAATTTAGAGTAATTAGTCGGTGACTTTGTTTATGTACAGTCTGCGCGGCATTTCTTGACGGCAGGGGATGGTACCCGATCTGATGCATCACACGGCGAAGCTGTTGCCGAAAGTTAAATTCTATTAAAGGCAACATCAGTTTCTATCACCTACTGTTTTGATCACGAATTTCCACTTGTCGAGTCATTTTGCCCCATTGATTCTTACAATTTATAAGCGGCCTTGAGCATGCCCCCATCATACCATGGGATTATTCAGGTCTCTATAATCACTTCCTGCAGAAATATCCCCCGTTTTCTCTAATTCTATTCGTTGCTGTAAGCGAAGACCCTGAGTCCCTGGTCTAAGCAAAACCTTATTGTGCATTGGCGGGGTTTCATTGTTCGCCAAGGACGTATTGGTCGCCCTAAACAGGCGTTGGTCCGCTCCCTGTCACGGATGAGTCTTCCGCTTGTCAATTAAATTTACAGTTAAATACTACCTTAATCTGCAGGGGGGCTATGCATGTGCAGGCACTCAATAAAGGGTTCTTTTCCCTGGCGTTCCTCTCTTTCTTCTTTTGTCTGTGTTCTGCAGCTTTGTGGCGATTACCGTGTAATATCTGTTACTTTTTGAACCATGCTTGTCAAGTTGCATTTGTGGTTTAGCCTTGCTGCAGGTGCAGTAGCGGCTCCATCGAAGGATGCTTATGATTATGTGAGTTAAGTCAATTTGTCTCCAATCCAAACGGCATTTGTCTCAGTTGCCAATTGTCCGTTTTAACTCTAATGACATGTCGCATTCTTTCATCTTAAATCGAACAATTCCTCGGATCTCCCGGCTAATCATGAATCTTTTAACAGATCGTCGTCGGAGGTGGCACAGCTGGTGTCGCAGTCGCTGCTCGTCTCAGCGAAGGCCTCCCATCAGCCAACATCCTCCTCGTCGAAGCCGGTCCCGCTGTACATGATGAACCAAAGATCAACATCCCCGGTATGAAAGGTTCGACCCTCGGTACCAAGTACGATTGGAACTTCACGACCGTCCCGCAAGCTGGCGCGAATAACAGAGTTTGGCCGATCAATCGTGGTAAGGTCTTGGGAGGGAGCTCGGCTCTTAATCTCATGACCTATGATCGTGCTTCAGCCGCTGAATACAATGCCTGGGAAGCGCTCGGCAACCCTGGTTGGAACTGGAAGACGATGATCAAGGCGATGATGAAGTCTGAGACATTTACTGGCAAGAACACTGCGACGTATGGCTCGAAGGGCGTTGGTGACAGCGGCCCCGTCAAGGCCGTCGTCAATCGCATCATCCCCAAGCATCAAGAGTCTTGGATTCCTACTCTCAACAAGCTTGGAGTTCGCAAGAATCTCGAGTCGCTCGGTGGAGATCCTCTTGGTGTTATGTACCAGCCCAGCAGCATCGACCCCTCGAACTACAACCGCTCTTACAGTGCCAACGCCTACACGGAGATCTCGGGTTCCAACCTTGAGATCCTTGCCGACACCATCGTCGCTAAGATCAACGTCTCTGGCCCTGCCGCAAAGAAGAAGGCCATCGCTACTGGTGTGACCCTCCAGGACGGAACTTACATCAAGGCCCGTCGCGAAGTCATCCTCTCCGCTGGTTCAATCCAGAGCCCCGGTCTTCTCGAACAATCCGGTATCGGAAGTAAATCCGTTCTTTCCGCCGCTGGTATCAAGCAGATCATTGATCTTCCCGGCGTCGGTGAGAATCTTCAGGACCATCTCCGCGTCATGACTTCATACCAGCTCAAGCCCGAGTTCCTTTCCTTCGATGCGCTCCGAAGCAATGCTACCTTTGCCGCTGAGCAGCTTGCACTCTGGAATGCTGGTAAGCGCTCACTGTACGATTACACCGGCAGCGCGTATACGTTCTCGACATGGAAGCAGGCTCTTGGTAACGATGCTAAGTTGGTGTCGCTTGCTAAAGACGCTGCTGGTAAGGATGCTAGCAAGGTTGATAAGAAGAAGTTGGACTTCCTCAAGGATTCTTCTGTTCCTCAGGTCGAGGTCATTTTCTCCGATGGTTATACCGGAGTGAAGGGTTATCCCGTTGCCACGTCTCCCCTCTTCGGCAAGGGTTTCGTGACACTGATTGGTGTTGTAATGCATCCTCTCAGTCGCGGCAGCGTTCACATAAATCCCTCGGACCCAGCCGGAAAACCCATCATTAACCCCAACTATCTCAGCAACTCTCACGATGTTGAAGCAGTCTTTCAAACAGTCAAGTACAACCGAAAGATTGCAAACACCGAACCCATGCGCTCAATCTGGGAGGATGAGTACGAGCCTGGTCTGGATGTCAAGACCGATGAGCAGATCAAGGATTATGTTTTGAGAACGACGCTGAGCATTTTCCATCCTAGCGGTACATGCGCTATGCTTCCCAAGGCAGATGGCGGTGTCGTTGACGCCAAGCTCAGGGTGTATGGTGCTGAGAATCTACGTGTTGTTGATGCTAGTGTTATTCCTCTGTTGATCTCAGCGCATATTCAGACGGCGGTTTATGGCATTGCTGAGATTGCTGCTGAACTCATCATCAAGGATGCGAAATGAGTACTTGTTAGTTGAACTTTAGATAGCATGTAGCAAATCTTCACTGATTAGACCGTTTCAGTTAATCACTTTCCCTTCTGAGGTTTTGGCCCGTGAACAAATAGATGGCTTTGAGTGCAAACGGTCAGAGTTTCAGCGCTCAATCCAGCCTCTGAATTGGAACAATACTAGAGATTCCAGTAGCTTCTTCTGGCCTGTGAGTCAGATATGCCCTGCCATGAAGAGTCGTTAATTGTCGACTGATCCGCAGAGAATTGCTAGTTACTGATGCCCGAAGGGTCAGGTTATCACATTGTCTGAACGCCTTCGCTGTGCGATTGAAGGTCGTATGTCCATCAGTCAACAAGCACCTACGTCAAAAAAGCTTGGTCTCTGAATCGGAATAGCAGTAAGAGTGTCACTGTCTGGTTGTTTCAGTGAATCCAATACCATCTCGAGCGCTCAACACCACTATCCAAATGACTGCCCGGCAATACGCTCTCCACCATGATCCCCTTCCATTTTCGTACGTCACAAAGCTGAGCGCACTCTCCTCATCCGATTCATCGCAATAATCACAAAAATTTCGTACCAAGACCAGTCAAACTCATCTTTCACAATGACGACTCAGTACGTACACAACTTCTTTTGTCGAAAGCGAAGCTGTTCACCCAAAGATAAAAAGATCGACCGCTTTGTTGAAAAGTCAGAAGGACAGTATCAAGCCAAGTTTCTGGATGAGGATAAGCAGTTCCTTCGGATAACTCGAGCTTTTGTGGAAAGCAATAGTGTGGAGGACACGATTGAAGAGGTCTTCAAGGCGATGAAAAGAGGAGGGCTTAAGAAATACTGGCAACGGAAACTCACTGTAACTGGTTGCTATCCCGACCATGTTGAGGTTGGCATTGCGGACCTAGAAAAGTGAGAAGATTTCACGACTACGAGGGGAATTGAAAAGAAGAAATTGAATACTTGTTGATCGTGCCAAGTCTTTGGATGATTCGCCAGTGGTTTCCCCAGTGTACTTGAAAGGATTAAATGTCAGATTGCTAGACTCCCAGCAAAGAACGCTATGAGAGGCATTCGTAGTGAGAATCCGAAGGAACACTGGGTCATGATCATGGTTGCGCCACAAACAGTCACCATTTCTTGACATCCATTATTCAAACTCGACAAGGCACATGTATCAACTCATCATACTCTCTAAAAAATGTCAAGAAACCGTTTTTGCGAACTGTGAAAACGGCTCAAGGGTCAAATGTGAGACTCAGTGAAGGCCAGCCATGCCGTTCTGCGCTAAACTCGATTGGTTTGTTAATCTGAACAGTGCTGGAAGAATCACCGTCCTTTGTCGTGTGAACAAGGTCCCATTTGCGTGTGCGGCATCACTGTTCAGCGGCTGGACAGAGAACATCCTCATCACTGTAATTGCCCGTAGTTTTTACCGTATAAAACTGAGCGTCACCACTCTTCTCAACCCACTCATCAAAACATCCCTATGTAATTCTTAAAAAAATAAAAACATGTCGCAGCCATTATCCGTCACCCAGCCCACGCATCTGCACACCTTGTGGCGCCCAAAGACTTCCAGTAGATTACAGAGACTCATCGAACGGCTCACCCGCAAGCCAGATACGCAAGGCAACCGTGGACTGTTCCTTGAGTACCGTGACGACTATTCCATGAAACGATTGGGACACATGCTTTGTTTGATGGTACCATTGGCCGATAAGAGCCCAGAGGAGAGACGGGCGGATCTTCACGCTGAAATGAAAAAGGAGGGGCTCAGTAAATACTGGGAGTTTGCGATACAGGCGCTTTCTACCTCGCCGAATGAAGTGGATGAGAGGTTGTACAACGTGGAATAGTCAGGGTTCTGAACATTGAGGGGCTCAGAGACATTTTGCAATTTTATTTACTACGGTGCTCTTTTGACTTGTTGTTTTGGTCTTGGCGATTGATCATGGTGACAGGGAAAAGTTCCACTTCCATGTGAGAACCTTCCCAAATAGGCAATTTGCTGCCGGGATATATAAATGTGATTGGTCCTGCTGAGCATCCATAGTAATCTTGGAGGTAGCTCTTCTGGCTACTCTTAAAATAGATTCAATTGAATTCTCATTTTCTATAATTCCTCTTAGGTATAAACTAACTCGTGGTCGTCCCCTTGCCATCTTGTAGAGTATTCAAGTTCCGATTATGAGGCAGGTATCAGTGCAATGAGTTCTTACGTGCATTCAAGGTTTCCGGTCAATGGACTGCTTCGTTGCACGTAGTCTATTGATTGATAATGCTAAGCAATGTTTAATCAGCACTGGTCTCTCTTCCGTACTAATAATACCTATGAATGTCCGAAGAATACAGCACTGAAACAGATAGCTTTCTGTATGTGACACTTAGCATGACTACTGGCGTAATCATCACTGTTCGATAGTCAACTCCAAGTCTGCATCACAGAGAACATCCAGGCACTCAATTGATGGTATAAGATAGTGACTTTGGTGCTGTGCCTTAGCTCAATCAACAATCATATCACACGAACACACCGACAACGAACGACTGCCAATACCATGGGCGCAACCACTGCCAAGAAACTCCGGGAATGGTCTGAGTGGTGGAACGAAGACTTCAGACACTATTACTATGTTAAAAATAATGACGGTTATGAAGCATCATTGTGTCGCTTTACTTATAAGTACAAGGGCAAATACGAAGTTCATTTCGACAAGGAGAATGAGACTCTTCATATTGTGCTGCATGAAGACGATTACTATCATAAGGACGTGAACGCTCAGAAAAGAATTAGAAAGGAACTTGAAACAGCAATGGCGAAGGAAATGCTTGGCTATTGGGCAAAGGATGAGGTAAGGCATCGAGAAAGAGATGATCAGTTTGCACAAGCGGTGGAAGAGCACTATCAAGAGCAGGAGGCTAAAGTACAGAGATGAGCCTACAAGAGGGAAAGTATGAGGGATGATCTAATGAAGGGGAATTCCAAGATCAGAAGTTAGTATAATTGTCAGCTCAAATATCAAGCGGATTAATTCCCCTCTTCGATATAATTCCTGGCTTTGAGAAATACCCTCTGGGTGGCCAAAAACATGCCAAAGTACTTTAAAATGATGATCAAGCCAGTGAGTGCTAAGTGGCTAGTGCCATAGCGGACAACCAGTAGTGCTAGGAGTCACAGTGTTTCCATGGGATACTCTAATAACTCCAGCAATCGAAGACAAATAGAAGAGGCCTAAACGATGAGTAAGCTGCCGTACAGTGGGGGGAAATCTTCCACGGTTACAAAATATAGATCTACGATGGTTCGCAGTCGAATCATTGGCAGTGAGGTCTCCTCTTTAAATGAACTCTCTACCAAGACCTTTCACTTTGTCAAACAAACCGGGTTAAACAATGGCACTCATTAGTCTTATTCAGTATGAATCTCTTTCCACACTGAGTTTATCCAGCTTCTGCAGAGTCACTAATGGTTCCGAGTGTGAGACAGGCCCCCTGACCTGTAGAAACATCACTGTGTGTATCTCCTGGAAAGGTGTCCTCTTCACAGTCCATCTTTACATGGCCTAGTTTTATAAAAGAAGTGTTCAGCGCGCTCTCTGGGCCAACTCATCAAACCACCTCACAAACAAGTTCCAATAATACGCTCAATCAAAAAAACGCTTTATAATGGAATTCTTAGGTTTTATCCCACTGCCACCAGAATGTCCTAACGAGAAGTTCAGACACTACTACTTTATCAAAAAGAAGGATGGCTGGATGCCTGCACTTTTGCTTTTATAAACAAGCATAAAGACGACTATAAAGTCGAACTTTGCGATAAGGAAACAAGACTTCACATTACGTTACCTGAAAATTATTATATGTGGATGGAATTTGGAGAGCTTCTGAAGATACGCAAAGAGCTGGAAGCTGCGATGAGGAAGGAGAAGCTTTCCTATTATTGGGAAAAGGATGAGAAAAGGAACTGGGCGGCACAGTCGGATCTCATAGCAGAGAAATTGGAGGAGAACTACCAAGAGAAGCTGAAGCGGGACAAGAAGTTCAAAAAGATGGAGGCGGTCAAGTCAGACTTGACAATAATGTTAGAGCATCAGCGACTTGTGTGGGATTTCTTTTTGCAATGACGAGGTTATGGTTATGACCAGGACGACTAAATCTTCAACGAGAAAAGGGCCAAGGAAGCTCAATTGCTGGCATGCCAAAGATGGCTGGTCTCGTGAGTCCAATACAGCTTTTCAACCTCTTTTGAATTAATCTCAATAAACGCATCATCTTTAGCTTCTTCGAAACTATATACCCAATATTTAATTTAGCATTGTGCATTGATGCTTTTGATACGGCCTACTTCCCATTGAGGAAATATATAGTACATAATCCGACCAACGGTATCTAGAGATCACATACGAATTAGTTTCTTCATTAGAATTGCCAGACTGAGTCCCTACTGCTACATACTATTAGGTCTTCTGCCCAACAATCCGTTGGCAACGATCATAGCGGACCATTGCGTAATAATACAAGTGATGGTCTGTCAATGGGAAACACTAATCATACTAATACATTGAAGAGAAAAGGAGAACAACTGGACGGTCGGTCAATCGTAATAGTGCAGAGAACAGCTCGTTTTAATTTTGAAGGACAGGAAAAGATTGCACGAACGATATAGGGGCCCACGTTTCGCATATGCTCTATTCTGGGAATTACTTTCACCTTGTGGAGAGACAGATCGTGATGGACGATGGTAGTCGGCACTGGTTGGTTGGATTCAGTATAGATATCCTTCGACTCTGAATTCCGGTAACAGACGCAGCGTCACCGATGGCCAGAAGTGTGACGCAGACCCTGATGGACTCTTTAACAATCACTATTTGTTGAACCTGGCAAGGTTTCCTCGTCAGAGACCATCTTTACATCGGCCTTGTTCTATATAATCATTGCCCAGTGCCCTCTCTGTCCGGCTCACTCAACCATCTTGACCAGATCACTTTACGTCAAACCACAGACACCAAACCAGCGACGAATTCATGATGGAGACCCCAACTCTTCAAGACCCTTCTCAACCATCTCCAGAGGCAGATCGAATGATTGAACTGATCCGGCACCGGCACTTCGTCAGAAAAAAACACACCCCAATGCCTCAATTCTTAAAAAACATGATTATGGCGTCTATTGAGAAGAATATGGCAAATTATACAGTTGAATTCCTAGACAAGGATCAAAGGCTTCACATTGTGCTGCCTCCAGGCAACTGCTTCGAAGAGGGCACCGACAGTGCTTGGGCTGCTTACCAGGAACTGGAAAAAGCAATGGAGAAGACGAAGCTTTCGACTTTTTTCCAGGAAGACAGCGTCATGGGCTTGAAGAACTCGGCAGAAATATTTAAAACGATTGTTGAGTGTCAGGAAGTGGAAAGGGCGGACAAGGAAGCTCAGGAGGACAGGATCAAATCATTACAAAGGCGCAAGGCAAGATATGAGAATAGCCTGGGGGAAATCGGTGAATCTTCACGGAGCTCAGGTTGAAGATTGATATGCAGGGACATGACTGTAGGCCAGAGAGATTCAGCAAGCTCGTCTTCTTGAATCCTACACAGGCTTAGTCTCTTCAATACAATGTGATGCCTTAACCTTCTTCGAAATAATCCATAAAAAGCTATCATCTTCAACTTCTTCCAAAACCGCATGTTGAACGTCCAATCCAGCATCATGAGTTAACGCTTTTAACACCGCCTCTTTCCCAAGGCCGCTCCAAAACATCCAGCCTTTTTCCTCTATCCACTTCTCGTCAACAATTGAGGGTGCTTCTTCTGTACCAAAAGTTGAGAGAAAGACACCGCCCGGCGCAAGCCAGTGACCAATTCGCCGCATCATCTCTTTCTGTTCCTCCTGAGGCAAATGAATGATGCTGTACAGAGCCACGACAGCAGTAAGGGAACCAGGTGCAAAGTCGAGTTTCATCATGTCCCCGGGATGGAATTCAACACGATCTTTGTAATTAGCCAGGTTGTGCCGAGCGAGATCAAGCTGAACATCGGAGAGATCGTTGGCGTATACATGAACTGACGGTGATCGAGCGAGCAAAGTTGAAATGAAGGGACTTCCAGACCCACACCCCAGCTCAAGTACTTGCTTCGTGGTCGTATCGCCAGTCGATGCCAATTGTGGGCAGGAATTGAGAAGTTTGTCAAGATAAGTCAGACGAAGTTCGTTGTGACGCGCAGTCCAGGTGTTGTATGCTGGTGCAATCGCGTTGTATGATGCCCGAAGACGATTCTTCATATCAGCAGGTAGTTCCATGATTTTGTAAAGAGATTCGCCTTCGTCAGATGTTTCTTGTGTGAGAAATGTGAGTGTTCGAGGGAAAGATTTAAGATTGGTACAGAAGTAGTTGGTCTGATGAGTCATGCCGGTCGCCAAGTGTAAGACTACCTTAGCTAGCGCATTCCATCGCCAGTTGTTTTCGGTTCAACGTCGGTTGCACCAGAATCTGGACTACAACGACAGCTCTACCTGCTTACATTCTTAAACCTAGGTCAAAAAGGAATTCGTGGCTAGACTGTCGGCTGTAGCAGTTCATTCGGAAGGATGTTTTTTTTTCCAACTGCCTGAATAGTATTTCAGATGCAGATCTTGACCTTTCGTGGTGCAGACATCGTCATATCTGCCCCTGTCTTCCCCGCGTCGTCTGCAACCCAGTGGTGGGACCTGGGCGGCTAAATTATCCCATCCATACAGACGACGAGATCCTTCTCCCGGTGTATTTACTGCCGAAGTCTTCGGTATAACTGAGCCGAGTAATAACGCTTGCATTTAAACCCTCTGAAATCTCTTTTAGATGGACATTAGCTATCAAAAGCACAATCATCATGGTGTTCTTCTCGCTGAAGTCGTTGGCTTTGGTTGCTGGGCTAATCAGCCATACTTTAGCCGAATTGGCTACTGCTGAGAACTCAACCCACATCTCCCTCTCCAACAAGCGCTTCGCAGTTGTCCTCGCTAAATCCAGCGGACACATCATCGATGCCACTCTCGATGGCCAAGACTTACTTGGGCCGCTCAGTGGAAACACTGGTAAAGGTCCCTATGTTGACTGCTCTTGTATCCCAACCGGTTTCTGGACACCAGGCAGTACCGCAGATTTTCGACTAATTAAAGGCACCGATTCCACTGGGACAAAATATGGAGGAATCGTGATGAGCGATACCTACAAGCCGACCAACCAGACTCTGTCGCAGTACTTCTTCCTCAGGGGTGAAGAAACAGGTCTGCATGCCTTTACTCGTCTGACGTACTTCAACGCGTCGAAGCCATTCTTACGCGATCTCGGTGAATTGCGCACGCTTTTCAGGCCGAATACCAAGCTATGGACTCATTTCTCCACTAGCGAGGGAAACTATGGTCCTCTGCCAGACGCTTCCGGTGCTCTGACAGTCCAGGATGCAACGTGGTACGTCGGCAACAAACCCGATGACCCGTACGTGGAGCAATACTCGGATTACTGGACCAAGTACAGTCTTTCCGAGAGTTGGCGTAACCATGACGTTCATGGTCAGTTCAGCGATGGTTCTACCAGTGCTGACGGAAGTACATTCGGCGCATGGCTGGTCCACAATACGCGAGAGACATACTACGGCGGCCCATTGCACTCTGATCTCGTTGTTGACGGTATCGTGTATAACTACATGGTTTCCGGTCATCACGGTGCACCAATGCCAAACATCACAGATGGTTTTGATCGAACCTGGGGTCCACAGTTCTACTACTTCAACAAAGGCGATAAAGACGCAACACTTGCAGAATTGAGAGTCGATGCTGCTAAGTACGCGGATCCGGAATGGAATGCGAAGTTTTATGACAGTATTGCCGCGCATGTTCCGAATTTTACCCCATCGGCGAAACGAACGACATACAGTGGTAAAGTCAAGCTTCCCAAGGGCGCCAAGAAGCCAATCATTGTTCTTTCTGAGAACAAGCAAGACTTTCAGCTCAATGTATTCAACACAAAGTCCCTTCAGTACTGGGCCGAGATTGATGATTCCGGAACTTTCAGGATTCCCCAGGTCGTCGACGGAGTGTATAGAGTAACCATCTATGCCGATGAAGTCTTTGGATGGTTCATCAAAGACGACATTCGCATTTCCAAATCTCACAACAAGGGCAGTTTCACATGGAAAGAAGAGAACGCTGGAAAGGAAGTCTGGCGTATTGGTACACCAGACAAATCATCAGGCGAGTACCGTCACGGATACGCACCCGATACTTCCAAGCCTCTTCAACCAGAGCAGTACCGCATTTACTGGGGCAAATACGACTTTGTTGAAGATTTCCCAAAGGGTGTCAGCTTTCACGTCGGAAAGGATAAAGAAGCTGAGGATCTGAACTACGTTCACTGGTCATTCATTGCTGCAAAAGGAAACCATCTTCGATCAGAGAATTACTACGATAATGTCAATAACTGGACCATCACCTTTGACCTCACTAAGCCTCAACTCAAAGGTGTCAAAACAGCTACCTTCACAGTGCAACTCGCCGGTGTACGAAGTGGAAATGGCAACGCAAAATGGACACCCGCCAAAGATCGTTTCAACAGCAATCTCCCCTGGACCGTCAACGTCAACGGAGGTTATGAAGACACATGGGTGATTCCGTACTGGCGGAGTGGCTCATGTGCTGTTCGCAGCGCGGTAGCTTGTCAGAACATCGAGCACAAGTTTGAGTTTCCAGCTTCGAAGCTGAAATTGGGAAGGAATGAGTTTTTGTTGAGTTTGCCGTTTAATGCTTCTAGTGTCGAGACGGCGCTGTTGCCTGATACGCTTTATGTGCAGTATGATGCGTTGAGGTTGGAGGTGAACTAGTTCGAAACATCCTGCTGCGACTTGCTTCAACAATTCGCCTGAGGGCTGGCAAAATGTCTAATAAGTGCACTAGCAACATGGAGGAAGACATAGCAGATCTCAAATCATATTAACACATGCTTGTTTGCGTTCAATTCATCATGGCCAAAGTATCTGCTGGTTCTTTCTAATACAAGCTAACAATCGTCGAACAACCAATGTTCAATTCCATTGTCCTCAACCTTCTTCAACTCTCCAATTCGTTTAACATCGTCGTTATTAGCGACTGCTCCCTCAGTCCGCTTCACTTTACACTTTTCACATAGCATTTTGGCTGGGTCATTTGCAAAAGTGCAGATTGTCCCATCGATCTTCTTTTGCATGCACTTCCAGACCTCAGTGTCCTCTCGAATTTTGTTGATCATAGGCATTGTAGATTGTGTTTTCTTGGTAGAGGAAATTCTTGTTACTGTAGTAGATAAGTCACGGGACCGGGAACCCGGCACCCTGCTTTTAGCCTCAACACCATAACCTTCATTAATTCAATTACCCAAAAAGTCGATATAATACCCTGATTTTCATCTAGTCTTAATCTAATATGCCTTCTTATATAGAAGAAGATATGCTTAAAGCAATTAACCTTATTTAAAATGGCCAATCATAAGTTAAGGCTGCTAAAGAAGCGTCTATACCCTAATTAAGCTTATAGGACCGACTTTAAGGCATTATGCCTAAAAAAGAGGCTCCTATAGATTAATAGCGGCTTGGCCCGACCGTTAAAGCCGATCTTATCTAATTTTTAAGGCTTTAAGATACCCTTTATACTCTATTAACTTATTTCTAAATCTGGTAACTTATTATCTGTATTTTAAGCTTATAAGGCAATAATAAACCTTTCGGCAAGCATTAGGTTACCTGATTTCTTGTATGCTCTAAGCAAATTAAAATACTTAAAGTAATTAAAGTTAAATATAAGTATATTAAAGGTACAAAAGTAATTATTATCTAGTCTTGGTTTAACTAATTAAAGGATCCCGAGGTTATAATTATCTATAGCTATAACTGTTAGAATATAGATAAAACGGGTATCTTCTAAGGGGTCGGTATTAACGTTTTAGTGGTTAGCCAATCAGAGAAGCAGAAGACCTTAAAACGAAGCCCTTATAGCCGCAGCTAGGTCACAATAACGGAAGCTATCTATGCTGATAGCACGAGCCTTATTCCCTTTGTTATCTTTAAAGGGGATTAGCTGCAATAATAGTGGTTTCTGAAGGATCCTTCCTTTTTAGGCAATTGGCGCTTTACAACGTCACTAAGGGGATAGACTACTAACGAGATCGCAGCCCTATGGCTGCAGGAGGTTTTTATCCCGTTTGCATTGCCCAAAAAGGAAGGGGAAAAGAGGCTTCTTTTCCTAGATAGGCATAATACCTATTTAATAGATGAATTCATCTTTAACTGCTTTAAGCATAATATATACCCCTATTACCTTCCCCTATATATATTATATATCCTTTAGCCTCTTGATTTAGCTAATTTTAGCTTATTAAAGATAATATATTGCCGTAAACTTGAGATAGAAGCCCTACTTATTAAATAAGGAAATACAGCTAAGGCTGCCTTTTTAAGGTATTATTTTAAGGCTTAGGCCGCTGCCTTTACCGAAGAGAAGGTCTAGGCCGGTTGGCTTACATCCAGCTTATAGCCTATTAACGTTATAAGACCGTTATCAAGCAAGTATATAATACCGGACAAAATTGAGGCTTAAGCTGCTGAATTAGGTAATCTATCTACACCACTAGCCAATATAAGCCCTCAATTACCTTATCTAAATACACCACATAAGCTATCTGATGTGATGCAGCTTGCAAGAGCCGAATTAGGCAATAATGCACTTACACCAACTAAATGGCACCTATTTCGGACGATTGGAAAGGGCCTTGATGAACGGGCCGTTGAATTAGCTTTGGTAATAGATAAAAATAGGATATTAAGCGAGATAATCGACTAATTACATATTGAAGTTATGGTGTTGAGGCTGAAAGTGGGGTGCCGGGTTCCCGGGGTGCCGGGTTCCCGGTCCCGTGACTTACTTTGGGACTCTCATATATTATATATATAGCCATTACACCAACAGGATTTGGTCTTCCTGGCTTGAGTTCACTGCAGTGTTGAGATTGTGTCAGTCACGGTGAGTCCGGTCTCTCACAGTGCAACGATTCTCATGTCTACGATATATCACTCGGGCCAGGTGTGATTGGAGATACTATGAGTCACTGAGAAGTTATGCCTATTCATAGTTTTTCACAAAGGGGATTCCGATCAAGTCCAAAGTGTTGCGTATGCGTTGGAGATCAAGTTCAGGTTCTCAATTCCCCTTTTTCCTGGAACACGGCTGTCTTGCATTCGTATTGCAAGGCCTTCACTCTTTCTCGGACGTAGGAACCTAAATATATACGAGTTCACAAAGAACCTACTGAAAGTTTCGAGGGATTCACAACTTATGTCACTGGAATAACATCGATAAGAGACGCGTCATTATTGCGTCTTTTCTATTATGAGTCTTCCCTGTTCCCAAGAACTACCAACTAGCTCCCTCTATCTGATCTCACGGTAGTTTCTCCTTACCATACTTAAACATCCAAGTCATAATGCTCCCAGTGCTCCACCCCATTTTCCACCTTCTTCAGCAGACCAATGACACGCTTTTTTTTATTAAAGGCGATGTCTCCCTTATCCCGTTTCATCTTGCATTCGCGACATTTCATGTCTGTCTTGTGATTGAGATGACCGCAATTCTTACCATCATCCTTCAACTGGTTACACTCCCAGAACAGAGTTGTTTCGGGGGGTTCGTTGTACGTCTTCGTCATGGTTGAAATTTGTGTTTTTATTATGGCTTTGAAGATGTAGAACTAAGTACTGATGCGCTTTGCTTGTTCAACCCCTCAGTTCGTAGGCGAGATCCCTACTTTTGTAGCTATGCTCCCTGACGTGCGAGTCCAAAATCAACTGTTAGTAAGTGTTGCTTTCGTGAGCTGATTCAGCATGTAAATGCTTTTCTGAGCAGCTAGCAGTGAACTACTTCAGCATGCATCACACATCAGCTACATTCACTTACAATATTCACGCTGACAAGGCGAGATGCTCTAATCACAACAACGATGATAATGTGAAGAACAGCTTCTCTCTGGCTGATACACTATTCTCAAGCCCAGCCTCCTTTAGTTCTTAAACTCCCAAAACTCCTTTCCACCTTCAACTTTCTTCAACACTCCAATCTCAGCGCCATCTCTGTCGAGAGCCTTATCTCCCTTATCCCGTCTAGCCCTGCATGCCTTGCATGCCTTATCCTCGGTTTCATTAACTTTGAAACAGGTCTTGCCGTCACCTTTTGTCTGGCGACATTCCCAGAATTCAGTTTCTTCAGTGAGTTCGTGCAGTATTCTCGTCATACTTTCCTCTCCTCGTCTTAGTTTTGAGATCTAGGTGCTTCTTGGTTGTTTTATGGCTGGTGGAATAGGTCGTTGCCCCAGTCTGCAGGGAGGTGTGCTCTCTTTTATAGCCATGATACGTGGTGATTAGTTGCTCCGATGTGTCGACTCCTCCCGTTGAGTTGACAGATTTTGTTTTATCATCTGGTTTCTTGTTAACACTTTGTCCTCGACGGTATGAGGCAGTTGGTCATGTTGATGTACGTCACAGAATAGTTCTGTTTCCGGCGCAAATGTTCACACTGACAAGGCTAGATACATGAATCACAGCATTAATATTATTAGTCCTAATCTCAAGTCGCTCCCATTACCCTTTTTCCCAACCGAGACAAAAGAAAATACATAATTTATCATGACCAAAACTTGAGCTTCCCAGCCCAGCCCGAAGCCTGTCCACCGCCATCATCACCCCCATCAGCATTCCCAAACGACACCTCCCTCGGCTTAACATAGTACAAATCCGTTTCTCTAAACGAATAATCCACATTCGTATTCGACGGCAATATCGCCGACCACGCAGACGGCTGCTCTCCCAAATCTCCACTATCCGTACTCAAACTCGACCCAACGGAATTCCTCTCAGCAGGATTTTCGTAAACGGTTGGTGGGCGCGTGGTATCAAACGATGGGAATTGCTGATGGCGTGGTGAAGAGCGTGATACACAGCGCTCGGGTCGCGGTGAGTCGAATGATGAGAATTGACGTCTGTCGGAGAGGCTTGATACGGATCTTTCGGGACGGGGAGAGCGGAAGTATGTGCGGAGAAGTTCGGGTGATACGGGCTCCGAACCACGGGAGGATCTGTTGGCGGAGTCGGAGGATGAGTTTGTTGAGCTTGATAAACTGCTGCTTCTGTCGTGGTCGATGATGCTTCGGTTTGTTAGGTCTGTTCTTGTCGTTGGACGTCTTGAGAGTTGACGAAGGCCGTAAACCTGCATAGATTAGTATACTTCTTCAGGACGGCGGCGTGGTGACATACCTGGGGTCGCTCGAGTGAAGAGTCACGAGCAGGTTGTTGAGGAGTCTGCCATTCATTGTAACAAGTGACGCCAAGGCGGCCAAACTCGTAAGCTGAAGGAACAAGGAACATGCCAATCAAGAACAGAGCATGGAAGGCTAGCAAAACGTAGCCAAGTGCGCTCGCAGCAGTATGACTCCACAAATCAGGAATCATTCCCAAACAGAGAAGAAGCGCTGAGAGTCGTGAACCAGCGATCAAGACCGGCTTTGACAGCAGCCCAGGTGCCGCACTGACCCAAGCGAGAAAGCCCAATTGAATCACTTCACAAGCCATAAGAGACAGCAACTGTACAGTCCCGAAGCGCTGTAATCCACCGATAATAACTCCCCGAGCAAAAAGAAGAATGAAGGTGACATAGCTGTAATAGTCCTGCGTTCGTGACGGTTCCTCTGGTGTCTGCTTGTGGAGGTTATCGACGAGCAAATAACCCATGTCTTGAGGACTTCGCGACATTCCCCACCAGCAGCCAATGACTAGCAGGACAACCACCACGATGACAAGCAGTGTATAGTAAATCGGGCGTAAGCTGGCGCTGTCGAGTTGATATGTCGTCCAAGCTGTGAGCGGAAGCAAAAGATAACTCAGATAGACTCGTAAAGCGACCCAAATCGTAGCTTTATGCGGTTTCGAAGACCTGTCAATCATCCATCTGCCCGATTGCTGAAACCAATCTCGTGTCCATCTCAAATGAAGCCCGATCTGAATCACCGCGTACAATAGCACGAGAATGACAACCGCCAGCGTCGCAATGTTGGTCCAAGTGTTCATGGTGACCGGAGCGCCCATCACCTGCGTCATATGCTCCAGCCCCGAAGTCCCGCCAAACGTCCCATTGATCTCATGAATCCCATCATGAATACCGTAATACAGCGAATGTCGCCAAACAATACCCCGTCGAGTCATGAGCGTAGACCAACTCGTCGAACTGACCACCGGTTGTAGAAATCCAGGCTGTCGGAGGCTCAGCGCGCTGGAAAAGAAGATGAATTGGATGTATGCGAGACAATCCGCGATGCGCGTGAGATGAGATCGACTTGAACTTCTCTCCTGCCCGGATTCATCATCATCTCGTAACGGATGCACGAGATTGTACCATTCTCTCCACACAGCTGCCAAAACGACCAGAATGAACGTAAGCGCTGGTATCCAGAATGAAATCTCCTGGGACGTGTATCCAATATCTGGTGTTAGAAAACCGTTGAGACAGGCCACTGAGAAATGATCCGGGGCATCAATGTTGATCTCAAACTCATACGCCGCCAGCGGTTTCGGATCTTTTATCTTGAAAAGAACCTCAAGATACTGCATGTAGAAAACCATGTTGATCTGCTTAAACTCCCTAGTTCGACACGTCGCATTCTGAATCTCGCCATTGTAGCGAGTCGTTCCGCCCAGCGCCTCTAAGCTCAATTCAACAGAGGCGTTATCGAGTAGTGATTTCCGACACGATGCTATCGTGGGATAATCCCCGATTATTCCAAGACTAAGCGTCGTTCCATTGTGCTGCTTGTCCAGAAACACATTGAGGCTGTTTGGTTCGTACGAATATGCTGATGAGGATGGGACACTGCAGTCTTTGAACTGAACATATGATGCGTGCGCGGATGAGAAAAGAGTGAATAAAGATATTCGTAATAATGAGTGCATTTGTGATATTAAAAATGATTAAGATGTTGAAGGAATGGATGGGGTCGGATTGGGTTAGATGAGGTCTCGGCTGAGGATGAGATCTCGGCTGTTTTGGGAAGAAGTTGAGAAAGGGAAAATTGTCATTGATGCCTGAGGTTGAGGGACATGCATTGACAATACGTACGTGGGGTCGGACCATACCATTACTTGCCTGGTCTGGTTTGGTTTGGTCTGGTTAGTGTTGCAACTGAAACGCTGCGGTCCCGGCGCAAGTGCCGAGGCAGACTCGAGTCAATCGAGTTCAACATGGCAGCCACGCACTCTCAGAGGTAAAGTTAGTTGCAATTACTGTTCAGCAGTGTGCAATACATGTCACTAAGTTGTTGAGTTTTAAATATTTCCTTCAGAGTCATTCAATGACTTCTTCATGGTGAATACAAGAATCAATCGCCACTCGGCGTCTCCGAGGTTTTGAGTTCTAAAACGCCTAACGGACCATGAATTATCCGGTCGTCGTCGTCGCAGCCAAGTCCCCCTTTTATTTTGCCCCCTTACTAACAGCGCACAAACGTCGCATTGTTCAAAACCTTCAGTACCAATAAAGTCGCATCAATCTAATCAGCTCTCAATCGGTCATCAAAACGGTTGTGATCTTAATGCAACCTTCTCTGACTAATTGAGCGACATGATTGGCCTTTCGGCAATAGACATGAAGTGTACATGAGGCTAGTCTGGATTGGGTTAATTTGGCACCTGATGGATGCTTCACTTTGCAGCCAATCTCGAAACTACAGAGATTTGGGAACTCTGTTACGCGGTCTATAGTGGGACATTATGCAATTGGTTACGGAATAGCTGTGAGAATATGGATATAAAACAGGTTATCCGATGCCAGCTGCATTAGCCCTCGAACGGTGTTTTAGATGAACCCCATTTGTGCACGTAGCTATTGTTCCTGGTGAACCTTGAGATCTGTTACTCTGATTTGCCAATTTCCTCAGCTGGCTGATATTGTTCCCATCATCTGACGACTGCCGACAAAGAAACCCGAAAGTTTGCGACAAACACTTCACACAATTTTTCCAAGTGGCGCCCATCAACCGCTAAAAAAACTAGCCCTACCCTGAATGCCAGCCCAAAACTAAAAATACCCACTTCCCTCCTCCGATCCTCTTCCACCGCCTCATCACTTCTCAACCCATCAAAAGCCCATGATGTCCTCCTCGTGCTTCTCATCCCTCCCCGCGCAACCAACCGATGAGATCTTTGATCTCCTCGCAGCTTACAGAGCCGATGCCTCCCCTGATCGCGTTAATCTCGGTGTAGGCGTCTACTGCACCGACGAGGGAAAATCATGGCCCTTGGATGTAGTAACCCGCGTTGAGAAGCAGCTCTTCGAGGAAGCTAGTCTTACCAGACATGACTATCTTCCCATCGAGGGTGATCAGCAGTTTCTCAAGGTCGCGAGGGATTTGATCTTTGCGGAGCAGGATGATTTGAGTATTGCGAGCGTGCAGACTGTCTCCGGCACCGGAGCGAATCATATCGGTGCGAGGTTCGTGGCGGATTACTTGAGACCGCAGAATATCTGGGTGTCGGATCCGACGTGGGCTAATCACCATATGATCTGGGAGTCTGTTGGGTTGAAGCCGAGATTGTATCCGTACTACAAGAAATCGGATTGTTCCTTGGACTTTGAGGGCATGATCAAGACACTGGAGGAGCATGCTCAGCCGCGCGATGCTGTGTTGCTGCATGCTTGTGCGCATAATCCTACTGGTCTTGATCCTACCAAGGAGCAGTGGAAGGCCATTGCGGAAGTCTGTCAGCGAAAACAGCTCTTCCCATTCTTCGATGCAGCGTACCAGGGTTTTGCATCCGGAGATCCCGCTGAGGATGCATGGGCGATTCGATATTTCTTCCAACAGCAGCCTCGACCCGACATGATCGTCGCGCAGTCTTTCTCCAAGAACTTTGGTCTGTACGGTCATCGAACAGGTGCTGTTCATCTTGTTCTCGCCGAGCCTTCCAAGGAGATCCGAGATAACGCATACTCGACGTTATCGTACCTTCTCCGATCTGAGATTTCGATGGCGCCAAAATATGGATCTACTATTGTCAAGACGGTTTTGGATAGTGAGGAGTTGACTGCGGCTTGGATGGCGGATCTGCAGGTTATGAGTAGTCGTATCAAGAGTATGCGACAGGCTCTTTATGATGAGTTGGTTCGCTTGGAGACCCCTGGTACATGGAATCACATTGTTGATCAGGTGAGTCAAGACGGCCTACAAATTGATGGCGAGGAAGTACTGACAGTTACAGATTGGTATGTTCTCATACACTGGTCTCTCTCCTTTCGAAGTCAAGACCCTTCGTGAGCGATTCCATATCTACCTACTCAACTCGGGACGTATTTCTATCTCCGGATGTAAGTTTCTATTTACAGTTCTTGGTCTTGGCTTTTCTAACGGTTTAACAGTGAACAAGAGAAACGTGCAATATGTCGCCAAGGCAATTCACGATGTCCGAACCCAGGGCCATGGACTTAACGGAACCAACGGTACAAATGGCACAAACGGTGTCAATGGGCATTAGATTTATCTTTCATCATAGAATATAAGAGGCAAAATACCCTCCCGGGTCAAAATAGAGATCTACTTTTTACAACACTATTACGGTAGTTCAATTCATGAGACAACTTGTCGCATTACTCGCCTAACTGGATAATTCCTCTTTTTTTCCCCTTTCTCTTATGGCTTAACGAAGCTTCGTTTTACTGGTCTTTCTGTTAATCTCTGTTCGGTCTCTAACTGAAGGGAAAACGCGGGGTGAAGGTGTCACTTGGAGTCAAACACGATGGTCCGATGCCGGGCCGAGCTCGGCTATACAAACGCGCCGCAGACGCACAAAGCAAAGTAGGTATTTACAAACAATTCACAACTAGCAGTAGGGAGCAAAAAAGCACTCTTAACCTATCTCTCATAAAAAGAGGCTAATTTACCGCTTTTAATTGCTAGTACATTCGTTGGAGGTTGGCAGATTAAGTTTCTGTAAACCTTACTAATATCTCAACGAGATGGGCTTAGGCACCATATGAAAATAAACCCGCTTTTGGCGTCGGCATCTCAGTTATAATAACACTCTTTGCAAATCGGATCTATCATAGCAGCACCTGGGCAGATACGCTAGGTCTAGTAAGGAAATCTCATCGCACCCTGATCTGATCCCTGTGACGAGGTCAATTTCTTGTACCTGTATCACGGACTGCGATCGTCAAGCCACTTCACCAACCCACCATTTGGATCGCGGACATTGTCATCCCGATCAGTCAAACAATGTAAAGCCATTCCAAGATCAACCACCCAGATTTCTGCAAGCTGTGTGTAGCGTGCTGAAATGGCCAGTCAGAGGTTCTCCAACAAGCCAGTTTGTTGGTGGACGACACTAGTGCTGGCTTCATGTAACACAATCAGATGGTAGCGCCATGCTGGTGGAAGTGTTTGTCTGCAAGGCTGGCTTGGCGCTTGTCTGCCATGGTTTATCGTTCATTTAGACAGGAATTTTGCTGCCATTAGAGTCGGCGATTAGTATTCATGATGGGCTTGTTGGTTGATGGCGTAACTTAGCCCAGTTCAGCTGTTCTTAAATGGTTAGAGATGATAGCAAGGGGTCTGGGGTTCTGTGTTTGATGAGATGCTTTTAAAAGGTGGGGAGTGCCAGAGGTTTGAAGGCTGTCGCAATGACTGTTATTTGCCTTGGTCGTTATCAAGACTTCTTGTATCAAATCCTCAACGTTCTGTGATCATGGAGTTCGGATCGCTGTTCATCTGTACTGGTTTCGTAACTCTCGTGTATATATGCTTTACAAAACTCCTCGCCAAAGCGCCGCGTAATACTCAGTTACCTCCTGGGCCCCGAGGCCTCCCTCTTATTGGTAATGTACTAGATCTCCCTCAAGCCGGCGAATTCGAGGCACACCACTGGGCAAAACATAAAGACGTATATGGTATGGCCAACTAAGCCCATGATTCTCTCATACATTGACGATGAGCGCGTCAGGGAACATCAGTTCTGTTACAGTCTTCGGTCAAACCCTCGTCGTCATCAACGATGCGAAGCTAGCTCAGAAGGTCCTCAATGACCACTCGGCCAAGCATTCTAGCAGGTCAAAGATGATCTTTGCCGGTGAAATGTCAGTTCCCAGCTCTTTCCATCATAACACAGCTCCCTTACAAGTAACAGGGTCGGCTGGGACAAAACCCTGAGTTTCCTGCCATACAACGATCAGCTTCGTAGTCATCGAAAGAAGGCCCATATGTGCCTCAAGTCAGAGGCTAGCGTGAAGTCAAACGATGCTATACAGGAATCTGAAGTTGGACATTTTCTGTTGCATTTACTGATAGATCCTGACCGCTTGGTTGAGCATATTCAGAAGTCTGTTCCGGTTCAAAGACATCTGGTGACAGCGCTGACATTTGCTCCAGGCAAGCTGGCTCGGTGATCGTGAAAGTTGTCTATGGATACACCGCTGAGCAATTCAAACCTGATCCTCTACTCAGTACGGTACGAAAGGTCGTCGATGAGTTTGGCATCGCAGCCAAACCTGGGGCCTTTATGGTTGACCTCATCCCGATTCGTAAGGTGTCAAAGGTTCACTGAAAGATTGTGTTCTGACCCGTTCATTATAGTGAAATACATCCCCGACTGGTTCCCCGGAGCTGGCTTCAAGACTATAGCAAAGCAGTGGAGAACCAACCTCGAAAGCTCGGTCGAGGACCCAGCAGCATTCGTGGAACATCAAATGGCAAACGGGAGGGATAATACATCTTTCCTGTCTCAGCTGATGCAGAAGAAGGGCTTGACGGATAAAGAAGCTACTGAGAACAAATGGTTGGCGGCATCTCTTTACGCTGCAGGTGCTGATACGGTATGTGAAAGCCCTGAGTAGAAAGTCGTCGGTCCATGATTGGGGCTAACCGTAGAACAGACCGTGTCTGCTATCACGACTTTCTTTCTCGCCATGACACTATTTCCCGAGGCTCGGGAAAAGGCCCAGAACGAGATTGACGAGGTCATCGGGAGTGACCGCTTGCCTACACTGTCCGATCGACAAAGCTTGCCATACCTCAATGCGCTTGTGAAGGAAGTTCTTCGATGGCATCCTGTCGGGCCAATGTGTCTTCCTCATACAACCTCTCAAGACGACATTGTCGATGGGCATCTTATCCCAAAGGGTGCGATGATACTTCCAAACATCTGGTGCGTGTTCTTATCATTTTACATTCTCGAATCAAGGTACTCACATGTTGAAGGCAAATATGTCATGACCCAGCGATATATCGCAATCCTATGGCCTTCAAACCAGAGCGCTTCCTTGGTCCGGACGCTGAGACAGACCCGGGTCGATTTGTCTTTGGCTTTGGTCGAAGAATATGCCCAGCGCAAGCCATGTCGGACAAGACGCTATTTCTCAATATGGCGCAAACACTTGCTGTATTCGACATCGGAGTGAAAGAGGGCGCTGAGATGCCCAAGGCTGAGTTCACGTCTGGAGTTGTCAGTCATCCAAAGCCGTTCGAAACTATCATCAAGCCCCGATCTTCCGAGCATCGCAAGTTGATTGAGTCAATTGAACGCATTCATCCATGGCAAGAGAGCGATGCAGAAACTCTTGCAAGTCTGTAAGGTACTTCCACTCAGTGCCCTGCCTAAACGCAACAACAGAATAAGTCGGCTCATGACGGTCATGACACAGAACCAGTATTGAAGAAGAAAATCAACGCATAATATTAAAATATCTAGTCATCCATATTGTTCATAACATCACTCCTGGTGATCGAAACGCCAACGCCTGCTATTCTCCTTAACAAACCACCTCGTAACAAAAGCCCCCTCCTCCGCCCACTCCGCAACATCCCTCCCAAACCTCCCCTCCACACTCTTAACAAACTCCGTGAAATCCAACGCCTGCACTGAATCATGCTCGTGCGGATCCTTCTCCAGATCCGATAATCTCCAATCAACGTTCTCTATCACCGGCACGACGAGATGTCTGTTCGGAAACCTCGCGTCGCGAACTGTGAGCATTGCACGTCCGGGATTCGTAACGGTGAATTGCCACTGGCCGGTGCTGTTGTCTGTGTTTTGGGTGCGTAACGGTCGGAGGAGTGATTGTCCTTCGTAGTTATTGATGAGAGATGAAGCTGCGTCGCGGCTGCTGGGGCTGAGAGAACCGGTTTCGAGAAGGATGTCGAGAATGGTGGGGAGGACTTGTGTCGAGTGGACTGCGTCATCTATGTTGAAGGGTGGTAATTGAGGATGCGATAGAATCAAAGGGACGTGGTCAACGCCGATGTTGGGGTTGTAATATGGTGAAGCGAAGTCGTTTTCTGGAAGTGAAGTACCGTGATCGCCCTGGAAAATAACTAGTGTCTCGTTTGCAATGCCCTGTTTATCAAGAACATCGAGGACTTTGCGAATCCAGCGATCGTCGTAGCCAATTGTATTGACGTAGCGAGACATCATATCTAGACCCTTTGCCAAAGGCGTATACTTTTCTGTCTTGGGCATATGAAATCGATGGTGGCTTGTACTCGTTAAATGAGTCAAGAACACGCGACTCTTGGCCTTTACAGCGTCTTCGAAAATATCGGTGATGTAATCCTCCAACGGATCCTCCTCGAATGCGAATTCGTTGATGTTCGGTAACGTAACAGGACCATGCTTCGCATTATCGCCCCGAAGATACTCCCTCCCAATAGTATTCTTCATCGGAAATCCCATCGCAGACATCAGATTATACTGATTATCGTAGTCGAGCGTTGCAGCTTGGAAGAAATAAGAGTTCCACTTATCCTCTTTGTTCATGTTGTCGTTCCACTTCAATTTCGTGCCTGAATGTCCATCACGCTTTGACTTGGTGTTTTCGCTCAAGGCCTCTGCTTGGTTCATGGCCTCGAAAATATGCGGTAAGCAGGGCTGATAAATATGGTGACTGTGCTCGAGGTTGAAATCGCCAACGAGAGGAGCGATACCGCAGACTGTGCCAGTCATGCTCTTGAGAGTATATGTTCCAGCGGTATGCGCATTCGTGAAGTGAATTCCACCCCGTTTCGGCTTTTCAGCATGCTCAAATCCATCGTCATAATCTCCAGTAATAAAATTCGCTGTCGGTGTTAAACTGGCCAGCTTGTCTTGAACTTCTTGCGGGAGCTTCTTATCGGGAAATGTATCAGCGAATCGATTCCAGATCAATCCGTCCTTCTTGATAGGAAAAACATCATTTCTGGTGCTTTCAAGAAAGAACATAACCACGTGACGAATGTTGATATCCTTTAACTTGCCACGAAGAGATTCTCGTAGAGGGTCATCCAGATTCGAAATCTTCAGGGGGTCGGATTCAGCGCTGTAGTGAGGTTTCTCGTCATACCAATCCTCAAAGCCTCTTGGCAATGCGTTTTTCGGGAGCCAGCTCAAAGGCGGAGGTTGAGTAAGAGCAGTGCGCTCGTCCCAGCTTCGTTGTATGCCTTCACCGAAAACAGAGGGAAGATCATCGAGGAATGGCGATGTTGAAGCAAAGTCCACGAAAGGTAAGAGGCCGCTGGTCCACGAGAGGAAGATTAGAGAAGGATCCTTGGGTCGGAGGAATGTGAGTGTGAAAAGCGCTGTTAGAAGAATGCTGACAACGGGATAAGGTAATATGCGTAGAAATCGGGTACATCTGGATCCGCGTGCTGGTGAATCGCCTTTTAGTGCCCGTACCGAATGTCGTGGTGTCTTCGATGACGATCTAGACCTGTCCTTGTACTCATCTTCAGAGTACTCATCATGACTCGACCCGCTCTCACTGTCAATCCACTGCTGCACGTTATCTCTCTGTGATAACTGATCATAAGCGTTCCTCCTCCCAAAACAACAGCAGCAAAGTTTGCGCGCAAGAAAGTTAATCGGCCAATTAACAATATCACCTCCCCACCCAAAAAGCCCATAGCAAGCCGTTTGAAGCACGCCACTAAAACAAGCACAAAGACACAAAACGCCCAAAAATGCAGTAAAGCCCGAAAAGATGATCGCTCTCGCCGACGGATCAGCTATAAACCCAATGTTGCGCCAGTGAATCTCAGATCCAGCGACAATGTAAAACGAAACGGAAACAATGCAGAGTAAGACATTATAAGTTATTAACAAGAATGCAAGCGCTGTGACAAAGGTTCGTAGCTTGCCGGGAAAACTGGGGACCCAGTGGCTGAGAAGGAGTCGGATGAGGAGAAGGAGAAGAATGTCCTGCGTGAAGAAGGAGAAGAAGAAGAGAAGCATGCGCTTGGGGGCGACGCTGGATCGATGGTTGTGAAGATGGACTCCTTTTGCGGCGCATACAGCTAATGTCGTGAGAGCAAATGCGAACCGTCTGTTGGCGAGTTTAGAGCAGATGAGTGAACTCAACTTCCTCAACGACGCCATCTTGGGCCTTGTTTAGGCGGAAAAGGGAGAAGAAGAAGAAGAAGAAGAATAAGAAGAGAAGGCGGAATTTCCTGTTGAAAGGAGCGCGTGGAAGGTACTACCACGCAATCGGCCCTAACACTGTTACACTCAGTTTGTTTGCTGCTTTTATCGATGGAACATGGTTTTTGGTAGAACTGACAGGTAGGGAATACGACGGCGGACACAAAAATCTGGGCGTCTGTCCGATAAATAACGCTCTTCATCCCGTGCCGCAAAACCACAAAACGCCCCCCGTTTTCTAACAACGATCTAACGGATAACGGACGATCTAGACCAAAGATGCAATGCCAGGGTCCACAAGCTTCCCCCCTGGGTCAAGTTGGCACTTGGTAGGCTGGGGCGTAGCCATTGTTGTTTGGCTGCGCCTCTGAGTCTGTTGGGTAAAGATCCATTTTCGTTTACCGTATATCGACCCAGCGGGTGGAGTCGCAATCTCGAGGATGATGCCTCGTTACGGCCTAGCCAATTGTGGCCCCGACCCTAGCAGTGAAGATCTAGCCAAGACTGGTTAAACTTGGGCAAATCTACTAACAGGGTTTCTGTCACGCTGCGACTCTGGGTCTAGACCAACGCTTCCAATAATTCAATTCAAGTCTGTCTCAAATCTCATTCAAGTCTAAAAAAGCAAGAAAGGCTCTTTCTAATTTGCCAGATCAGTTTAAAAACTGCATATAGCTAATAGAAGCAGGGCAGAAATTGCTTTTTTAGACTTGAATTAGACTTGAATTGAATTGTTGGAAGTGTTGGTCTAGACTAGGTCTGGACTAAAGCTGGGGAGACAGCCCCTGAGTTTGGTGGAGCTCAGGGTCCTGTTTGGCTTGCCTGGTTGGACTCGGGTTAAGCTTTTGGGATTGTCTTGTCACAAAAGCTTAATTAACCTGACATTTTACGCGTTCAACTTGCGTAGGATCTGGAGGCTTTGATGTTGTCTTTTATGCGACAGTGATTAAGTTTATTCGGTAGATGCCGAATAGCAAGCAGAGTCTTCGGCATGTGCAGACGTTGGTTGAGTTTGATCACCAAGGTTGTTGAGTCCTGGTCTCTAATGAATTATGGACCAAGGTGGTGATCAACCCAACCCCAACAGCGAAGCGGAATTGAGGCGTCGAGTTTTATTGCCGTCGCTCAAGCTCCCCGCATTTATGCCGTCGCCACTGTCTTTTTTCGCTCACCGAACAAATCCCAGAAATATCGCGTGCATTTCCAGCTCTTTTCGCAATGGTGCTTCCCCTCATCATCGCCGAGGAAAGTCAATTCTCGACTCTTCGATACCTCGGGTAAAAAGCACAAAATCTCAAATGGGGCTGTGTATAGGCCACTTTACCTACCCTGGAACCAACCGGCAAATTGTAATCGCATCGCTTGGAAATTCGGCAACTGAGGCATTTCACTACCAACACGCAGTCACACATCCAGCTTCCTAAATCCTGATTTTTGTATCGCGTGACTTTTTTCTCTGAGGTGCATGAAAATGACTCGCAAGCTTGTGAGGCTTATTTGGCGCGTTTCACCATTTGGGTTTATACCAAGATTTCGTCATTAACCCCGGTAGGGCTGATTTCCCCGGTAGTAGCATAGATTAGATAACGATAAGCTGGTATCTTGGGGTTATTTGCTTGGTGAAGCGCGAGATACAGCAACGTGAAGACGTCAGCATGGAACTGAATGACGATGAATGTGTATAATATTTTTCCAATGAATTGATGAAATCAACTGCCGTCTCGCGCGGGCGCCGAAATACCGGTATTCGATTTAGACTATTTTTTAAACTTCATATTTGCTTCAGGTGTGCTAGCGCTAGCAAGACCATATTCCCATGCTCATCGAATCACCGCCAGGCCCTTTAACGATACGCGCAATGCCTTTCGGTCTCCCGCGGATTATTACCCCATCAGACCATTATACCAGTTTACACTTCATCGCCTCCCCATTGCTTGGCCTCAACACGCAACACTGATCCCAATGCTGTCGTAATCTGATGATCGCAGAGGTTTTACTGGTCCAACATGTCAAAGATGGCCTTGACCTCTGGAACCTTCGCCTCAAGCTCCTCCCTCGTCTCCTCCCAAACACGCGCCTGAGCAGCACGACCACTCTTCCTCACCATGAAAGGGGGGTAGCTAAGTCTGAATTAGTACCAAACGTATCATATCGTGCAGGTCACTTACTCAGCAGTATCGAAATCCTGTATAATCTTGCCATGAGCGTCCTCCGTCGCCGAAACACCATTGACCAAAGCCGTAGCACAAATCTGCGGATCTCTCGCTCCAAAGTTCATAATCAACCGTGGAATAAGCTTCGCCTGGTTAGGATTCGTAAGAGGTGTCCACGCAGAACCCGGATCAGCGCTGTTGATGGTGACTTTGCGGGGAAGTTTCTCTGTTGCTTGAATAGCAGAGACTCGAGAGGCGAGTTCGCGGGCCCAGTAGAGAAGAAGACCCTTGGAGCGACCGTATTGATGAGCTTGTTCCATGCCTTCCTTATTGTTGCTGAGTTTCTTGAGGTAAGAGCCTTTCTTGGGCACGCCCATTGTGAAGGAGGAGGGGTAGATGCCAAAGGTTGTTACGAAGGTGAGAACGGGAGGGGAGGGGTTGGAGGGGGAGGATTTGAGGAGAGGGAGGAACAGAAGAGAGAGGAGAGCACCAGAAAGGAAGTTGACTTGGATGGCTGTCAAGCGTTAGTATCTTCCTAAGTTTGAGATCGATAGACTCACAAGTTTCCCAGCCCTCAGGCGATTCACGACGATTAAACGCCAGAATTCCCGCAGTCATCAAAACATGATCAAGATGCTCCAAATCCTTGGCCTTCCTCCCAAGTTCCTGGCATCCCTTGAACGTCATCAAATCAGCCTGCCAGACCAAAATCTTGGGCACCGGTTTGCCCGCTTCACCCAACTCCTTCTCAATCTCCTCCTTCACACCACTGCAATCCCTCACATCAACGAGCACAAGCGTCTCAACATCTCTCTGCGCAAAGATCTTGGCTGCCCGAGATCCAAACGCTCCATTCGCACCGGTGATGAGCGCCGTTCGCCCTTTGTACGATTTTGTAGTCACGGTAGGTCTTCCATGCCGCTGTTTGTACAGACTCTGCCAGGGGAAGTACTCTTTCAGAAAGAGGGGTACGCCGTACGTGAGGATAAGAACGACGAGTGCCGTAGCGACCGCGAAAACGCCCAGATTGGCCATTCTGATGATCGTGTGCAGGTGAATGTTGTGTCGCGTGTTGCAGGAACGAGTTGATAAATGGTCTGAGGGAACATACGGTTTGTGGGGTAAGGAGCGGAGCGGAACAAGGTTTCGCCTCTGTTCACCGACTCTTCAGCTGAGACATTTGGACCTTGGGAGATGGAGAGATGAGCTGATGAGATTGATAAGATTGGTCAAGATCAGTTCAGTTGTCGGAAGGAATTCGTATTCGGGATGTTAGGTCATCGAACGGTTATTCTCGCTTGGTGATGGAGTTGGTGGAGTTGCGACGTCATGAGGCTTTGACGCGTTGCGACGCGTAGAAGCGCGTTTTTAATGACGTGAATAAAGAAGGCGGGATCAAGCCGGAACTGATCCGATACTACTCAAGGGCTCTCACTATAGACATAACAAGGTAACTTAGCTAAGATTTACTACAATTATTTTCTAATCAAGTCAAGTCAAAATAGTCTGGCTTTCTTCATTCATTTCTCTCCATGACCAATGGATGATTTGCATAGGCACAACAATAATTATTATTTGCACCTTTAAACATCGCTCAATGCAAAGTACCAAATCGTGATTCTTCTCTCTTCACTCACTATAAATACTTCATCAATAGTCTTGTTGTCTCACCTCGTCGTCAAACCCTGCCCGTTCCTTATCAGTTCCCGTGTGGGGGCAAGCCACCCGATTTCTGCATCTCCGGAGCCTCAACCAATAGCACAAACCCATTCTCCTCGTCAAGATAAAACCCCTGGTCTCAAACAGGTACAACCGCCAGCTGAAGCAAGCCACCAACACTTTTATCTTCAATAAAGGTTCTTTTTTTAAGGGGCTCCGACTCGAGTTTACATTCTGGCCTGCCAGCTTTGGTCAAGAGCGAAGTCTTGACAGGCGATAAGAGATTCAGAGTTTACTGAGTAAGCATGACAAGATAGCTGTTTATTGCCACGTTACGGTTAGGACGTCTTTGACTTGTCGATGGATTGGCTAGATGTCCGTGAATCGTCCCATATCCGGGGATATCTGGACTTAACAGCTGAGTTGGGGTGATAACGGAAATGGTACCCGCCCTTGCAATGACCTTTAAGATCAGCGTTTCACGCTCCTGTAATCGTAAACTTACTCTGTGCCCATCCTGTCAAGCCCAAAGTCTATTGCGCCATCTAATTTCCGCAGTCGTAGCGCCTCGCTAGGCGATTGATCATCGACAATGGAGTCGCCGATGCACATCTATCATCGTGAAGCCCTGGCAGCTCCGGCCGATCGATCACAGATGGTTCTTCAAAGCATTGTCATCTTGGTAGTATCGATTCTTTCCATCCTCGGAGCTGGATGGATCATACTTAGCTTCTTCGTAAGTCTCAAGATCTTACTGATGTTAAATGCTTACTATCGATAGGTCTTCAAAAGTCTTCGGTCGTTCCGTCATCAACTCATTCTGTTCGTACTTTCAACATTCCCACTTCAACTTGATATGTATTGATAAGTTTCAGTGGCCTCGCGGCCAGTGATTTTCTAATGGCTCTCAACTTTCTCTCATCGACTGCTATGAACATCAATGGCAAAGAGATTGGCGCCCCAGAGCAAGAAACATTCTGCAGTTTCAATGGCTTCATGACCCAAGTATTCGTCATACAGACAGATTACTGGGTCTTGACTATTGCAATGTGCACCTACGTCATTTTAGCAGGTTACAAGTCCTTATCATCATGGGTCCAAGATCAACGCATCTTCCTTTCTTGTCTTCCTTGGGTGCTTAGTCTGCTTTGGGCTGGCATTGGATTAAAACTCGCAGGCTATGGTGACATCGGAGCTTGTATGTCTCACTACGCAGAAATGAGCTTGCACTGACCTTCTTAGGGTGCTGGTTCACATCCGATAAAGTCCGCCTCCTCGCCAACTTCGTCCCGCGATGGGTAATCATCATCACCATCCTCACCATGTACGCTCGTCTGTACTTCATTCTTCGAAAATCGCACAAGAGTTTTATTTCACTCGGAAACTCAAACTCCACGTCTGAACCGTCTAGAGAACGGACTATCACGCGGTCGAACCATGATGTCTGGCGGTATCATGAGTCAGATGCCGCTGGTCATCGGAGGCTGCAGAGGGTTTGTTCCTTCAATTGCTGAGAAATCACGTTTATTTGCTAATCGGTACGTAGATTGCGCGATTAATGCTGATGTATCCTGTTGTGTATATGCTGGTCTGGACACTGCCTACGGCTATTCGGATATATCAGACCATTAGGCACATTCCATCTCCATTTGCATTGCAGACGATTGACAAGGTTAGTGATCTCATCAATACTCTTGTGATAGTACTGACATGAGTAGGCCTGCATTGTTTCACAAGGTCTCGTCGATGCGATAATCTACGGCGTCAACGAATCTTCTCTCAGTCGATGGCGCGAGCTCATATTTTCGTCCAGCGATAACGATGTCACAGAGACTGTTTCAGCCAGAAACACTGATACTAAGATATCAACACGGGTGCACTCAAATGCAGGGGTTGTCTCTTCTGCGTCTAGTAGCAAAGTCATAATCACAACCTCCATTGAGCAGGAGACAAGCAGTATTGATAAAGATGATGGAGTAGAGCTCACAGAAATGAGGCCAGTTTTTAGGCCAAACTCAGGTTTACGATAGTGATGATGGATATGGATAGATAGTTAGTGGGTTTACATATGTATGATAAATTAATGGCAGAAGAGGCATAATTTCTACCCATTTGTAATGTTGACTCCTGTATTATTCATTCCAATGCTCATGAACCATAACATGACGCAGGAGGCCGACCACTCTGGCGCCCCTGGAGGCCCACCAGCTCATATCCACCAAGTTACTCACGAGGAGCTTCACCTCTGCCCAATTTCTAACACTATCAATCATAGGATATCAGAATGGCTGTTTTTCACGCCCAAGATCTGCAAGCTCAAATGAAATTATTTCACCCTGCGGAACATTCTGAGGTCCACGATGTCATCTCAACCCCAGTTTTCACAGGCCAAGTCGGCAAATATCTCAAACAATCCGCTTCTAAGAAGGAAGCACCTCAATATGGACTACTAGCCTGCGACATATCTAATGGATTGCCGCTCGACGAGTCTTCTCGATTGTTCTACAATGTTGCGGCTCCTTCTAGCGTCTTTATCTGCGGGAGCCAGGGCTCTGGAAAGAGTCATAGTTTGGCAACGTTGCTGGAGAATTGTCTCGTGAGATCCGTTGCGAATGTTTTGGCTAGACCGCTTGCAGGGCTGGTCTTTCATTATGACTCCTTCGTATCGGATTCAGGCGGTATCCCGTGCGAAGCAGCGTGCCTGTCCTCTAACAAGAAAGTATCTGTTCGAGTGCTATGCCCTCCAACGAACACGGCGACTATAAAGGTAACCTCTGCTCTTGTTGTATGAAAAACATCGCTAACGCCCCCCAAGAAGGTCTATGCCTCTCTTCCTAACGTCTCGGTTCAAGAGCTCCGCTTCAGTCAAGATGACCTGAACACAAGACGGATGTTGAATCTGATGGTAGCAAGCCCAGGTCAAGGCGGCAAAATGCCACTTTACCTTCACACCGTCATGCGCATCTTGCGAGAATTGAGAATCAAACAGCAACAGCGAGGTGGGGGCTTTGATTACCAAGAGTTCAAAAATGCAATGAAAGCCGAGAAACTCACTAAAGAGCAATCTGGTCCTCTTCGTCAACGCCTGGAAACACTGGAGAGCTTTATGGTGAAGCAGAATGCACCTGCGGAAGGACCAGAGAATAAGAAAGGGAAGGGAAAAGCAGCGCCTATGAACCAAGGCAGAATTGACTGGACACCTGTTGTATGTCAAATCGCGATTTTGTTTGGTTCAAAACTAACATCCTGTGTCTCAGAGTGGCCAGCTGACCATCATCGACCTATCCTGCCCATGCGTGACGGCAGAGCAAGCGTGCTCTTTGTTCGATATATGTCTCAGTCTCTTCCTCGAGCAGAAAACAGACTTGGGGCGAGTAGTCGCACTGGATGAATCACACAAGTTCATAAACGATACCAATGAAAGCAACGTTTTCACAGAGTCACTCTTATCTGCAATCCGCCTCCAACGCCACAATGGTACGCGCATCATTATATCTACACAGGAGCCTACAGTATCTCTGGACCTATTGGACCTCTGCTCCATTACAATTGTGCATCGTTTCACGTCACCGGTTTGGCTTCAAGTTCTCCGCCGCCATCTAGCGGGTGCTTCCGATACTGGCGAGCCAGGCACTAAAGGGCTAGAAACACCAGATGAAAGCGAGCAGGAGTCTAAACAATATCGGGCCATTCCAGCATCTGAACTTCTCTCCAACATTGTGCAACTCCGCACTGGTGAGGCCTTTGTATTCGCTCCAAGCGCTATAGTTCATGCTATACCCAGGAATCATGCGGAGGTTTCGGCTGCACAGAAACCCAGCGATTGGCAGCCGGTATTCCTTGGCGATGGAATCATGAAGGTAACAATTCGTAATCGTATTACTGCTGATGGAGGGAAGAGTATTATAGCTTCCTAAGATAGCTGATTTGAGAAGATTGAGAATGATATAATCCCTTTTGGGCGCCAACAAATCCAGGTCTATAACCGAGGAGCTGATACAAGGTTCCCAAGAAACTAGTGGATACATATCATACTTATGAAGCAAATTGCGCAGACCACTGGGGTGTTCATGGATAGTGCTCACAGTCAAAGGAGAAAAGTCCTAGTCTAATCTGTTTCGAGGTCAGCAGTCGTGTGTGCAATCTTCCAGGGTAAATCTGGCCTACAAAAGCTGTTCGATTTTCTTGTCAATCGCTACGCAAACTACCGTATCAACTGAATCAATTGAGCAGTTCCCGCAGGTCCTATTCATACATGTAGAAGGATATTTTTAGCTCATTTTCATTCAAACTGTCAGAATGTTTTGCATGCTTAATTTAGATGAGCCAATCGGCTAATTCAAGCGGCGTAGTGCGGACCCATTGGGACTACTTACTCGATCCACTCAGTCAATACGGCAGCAAGACAGAATAACGTACCGTTATGTATCCCCAGACTGCATACGCCAAGTTGAGGAGTATGATTGGTCAGGCTTGTTACCTGAAGCCGCACGGTTTAAAACTCAGCCCCAGAGTGATCTATGATGGTGTGAAGTGTTGGTTGGGCTGCGGATGATACTATATCAGTCAACCATGCAATACCAATCATCTCCATGACAGGATGACTTCTTCAAGGGTAGGAGATTTAAGAACGCCGCTAGGATTCAAAGTCCTGTAGATTTGCTTACAGATGCGGGGTTGTATTGGTGTTCTGCATATTGGTCACCTTTCATTGACGTTATGTATCTTGCATCTCTTGACGCACAACACAGATCATCATTTGGTGTGCCCGTTGGTACAGTGCTTAAGCACCTGGGCAAACCCCTGCGGCAATGCAGGAGGAAGAGACCCTCGTTATTAACGCCGGTAGAGTTATTATTAGCAACTCTATTTGAGGTTACTCAGTGTAACAATTAGGCCTTAATTGGAAGAAGTCAAGCAAATTAGCTACTGCACAAGAAGTGCTAGAAACAGCTTCTGATCTTGCCGAGTGCATCACTCAAGATGTAAAAGGCAAAAGAGTTGGTTCTGTCTCAAAATACTTCAAATTCGGGTTAAGATTTACAGGTCACGCTAGAAGCTTCAGAGGAACAAATAAGAAAACCACCGACACAACCCACACAAACACTGTGGCCTTTTCTCCATCGCCAATACCATCCAATCGTCCACTCTCGTTGCGATCAGACTATACAGACTCGACTTCAACCAGTGACGGACGGCCATCACCGCATCTACACCCTAGCACACCCGGGACCAGTGTCTCGTCCCCCAACAGGTCTGACCCTATCGCTCCCGCACAATCAGCAGCTACAGCAACTGGTTACGAGCAGCCTTCAATGCCTTCACGGCCTCAGAGAGCCTCGCCCAGTGGGGACAGATTGTTAAACGGGTCTTCCCCTGACCCTTGCGCTCAAATAGCAGCTATATTTACTTCTTCCTTGCGACCGAGCAATTCTCGTGAGGAATCTAGGTCTGCCTCTCCGCTTCATCAAAACCGTAGCAGACTCAATGCTCTTGGTCTGCCCAAACATCCTTAAAGAGAATAGCTAGGTTTAAGCCGGCTTAAATGGGATCTTTTCTTTTGTTGTTATTTTTCTTTATCTATACTAAAATAACAATATTTTAAAGATAATTATAAACTATATATAATCATTGCTCCTTGAATTTGCATTCAGTCTAAAGCTTATGAATCATCGGCGAAACTCCCTGACGTTGAGGCCGACCATTTCCCTTATTCCAATCAACCTCACATAATAGGGAGAGATAATTATCACAAATAACAAAGATTCAGTAGTTTACTTTCTATCTGTGCCATCCATAGCTACTACCTGACCCGTCTAACACTTATTCCAGATACACTGAGGGCAGTTGCTGTAACAATATCCACCGCACCCAGCCTGTCCATTAGGGCATGTGCAGCAAGTGCCACGTAATTCAAGGCCCCTGACGATGAGTTCGTCGGCTTCAGCATTCCTCTTCTCCGATGGAACAGCAGCCAGAGCGACTGTTGCAGACATCATAATGTACGTGATGGCAGTGGTGAATCTCATGATGACTTCTTTGCGTTCGTAAGTTAGGTAAGTATATAATGCGCACAGGCTCTTACCTTGTCTCAAGTTTAAGGTTAGTGGAACTAAAGGAGGATTGAAATAAGAGTTTAATAGTATACTGGATACTATAGGTAAGTAGATAGATCGATAACAATAAAGAGATTCAATGGGGGATATAAGATGGTCTTAAATACTCTGATGGTACGCAGTATATGCCAGTTGGACATATAACTTCCGATTAGTTGCTATACGATGCAGGACTGATCCCCATATTTCGGCCCGCTGCCGCGTCATGTCATACGAACTGAAACTCAAATTCAGTGCCTCAACGAACAATGAACCATGTCCCTTTCATCAGAGCTGACTTTCTAGCCTGCGAGAATCGTTCCGAGTTCCGAAGCCCCTGCGCTTTATGTCTTAGCACGTTGATCACCGGGCCAGAGGCCAGAAAACTCAGAACCTATTGAGCCCGTAAAGTTCGTAGGATAGAATATTTCTCGTCATTGGATATAATCCGAAACCTCGTATTTCGCTACGTCACGAAACATCCTATTTCTCTCAGGCCGTCAAGCCGCTGTGGGGATCGGCAACGGCGGCCCGTGCCGATACCCGAGCCCATTCTGGGTCTGAAGACACTCGTTCGTGTACTACGGTCGACCTTGGGTGGATGGTCGCGTGCTCTTGTCCTCTTGCGAGTTCTGAGCTTCTACCATGTTCATGAATCTCGTTCGACCCCAAGCAAGTCGATGTGATCGCCAAGGAACCTCTCAAGCGGGTTTTACAACACGTAAAGGCTTACGCTGTCGCCATGACCAACGTCAAATCTTGGAGTGGCACTCTTGCGGTGAATTAGACATATCCTTTGGGAGATTAACGTCTGTCTGAGGGACATAGGCAAGGTCTTGAGTACAAGCCATTTATTATTATGACAAGCTGCTGAATTTCGAAACAGGATCTGTCAAGGCTAATCGTCCACTAATCTTCAGTAAATTGCTCAACCAATCTTGCATCCCGAAGTAGCAGGCTGAGGTGCATGAGCGTGTCCACAAGCGGCAAGGACCTCATGAGCTCCAGGTTCTTCATTCTCCAGATGTTCATGCTCCTTGGCCCTGTCCTTGTCCTTCCAGCTACCATGGCACACGCAAACAGGTGTAGCGAACGAGCCGCCGATGTGACTGGGCCCATTCGGCTGATAAAATGGCTGGATGTCATCGGGCACCTTGAAGACCTTGAGAGCCTCCCAATCATTGGTACTGTAATCTGAGACACCGTACCCATCAAAGCGCATTTTCCAAGCTGTACAGAGTTAGTACCCGTGGGTTCAATGAGGACGAGGACTTACTAGTCGGAAAAGGAACCATCTCATCCCACTCTGGAGTAAGATAAGTCGCCGTGGCAGGCTTTCTAATATCCGAAGGGAAAATAGCATCAACTTCCTCATCCGTAAGACCCTTACTCTTCTTAGCCTCCTTGACCTTGAGTTCAATCTCCTTGAGCCGCATGGGCGCCATGTAATTGGCATATCCAACACAAGAAGCATCGATAGAGACCTTCTTGGAAACACCTTGGGTATCGTGACCGCGACGAAGGTTCTGTAGCTGGGCGAGAACTTTGATCATGGTCACGAGACCAGTTGCGGCGACGTGTTTGGGATGATATCCGCTGAATGCCTCTGCAAAGCTGGAGCAGTAGTTCAGTTCTTCTCGCTCGTCGGGTGTTTCGGAGGTGTTTTTCTGCTCTGCTCGGTTCTATAATCAATGTCAGCGTCGGTCTAATCAAATAGGTTCGGATACCTACAATGTCGCAAACGACGGTAGTGCCCTTCAGGACTTTGACCCTCTCAGCCACCTCGACAACAGGCTTGTCATTCGTGCGTTTGTGAACTTGAATCATGGTATCCTGCGAAGCTTTGCGGATGACTGGAAGTCGAACACTCCATCGCTGCACCTTCAGCACAATGGCCTGGATGCGTTCGATAGACTTGATCTCATCGTCGAATGCGAGTGACTGAACTTTGAGCCAAAGAGATTTGATCTCTTGCTGTCTGGGACTGGGCTTCTCTGCGTAAAGGCTGTTGAAGAAGGACTCCATGGTCGAAGTGAACTGTACACATTAGTGAGGCTGCCACAACAGGCACACGAAGTACTTACCGCTAGAACAACATTGTAGGCACTGTCCAACCCAGTCAAGAGAAGGATAGCAGCCGCCTTGCCGGTATCATGCTCCCTCTCAATAATCTCCGTTGCAACACGATATCCCAGCGCCTCCATATAATTCTCCTTCTTGCCCCCCAAAGCTCCAAAAACACTCCCAAACCATCTCGTCATCTTCCAACGTCCCGCCTCTTTAACATTCCCTTCCTCAGTCAACTTGAGCAAAAAGCCCATTGAATCCCTAAACGCTTTTCGTCTCTTCAGAAGCTTTGTCTCATCAGTGTTGTAGGATAAAAACACTTGGCAGTTGTTGATGTGCTGATACACTTCGTTCTCGGAGTATGGAGCGTCGGAATTGGTGTCACTGCGGAGAAGATGCCCGAAACCAAGGAAATCGGCGACATAGCGTGTTACGACGGGGATGGCGAAGTCGCGGACTATGTCGAGTTGGTAGATTCCTTTTTCCATGGTCACGACTTCGCGTTTGATAACGTTGCGGGAGATGGCGATGAGGTATGACATTACGTGTTCGTGGTCAACGGCCGAGTGTCGAGCAGCTGCTTCTTGAGGAGCACCGTTCTTGGCGGGGTTATCATTCTGGCCAGGTTTCAAAACATCATGAATCTCCTTTGGAAGATCAGAGATCCTAGTTCGGGCAGGATGTACCAGAATATCATTTGTATCCTCCAGAATAAGCTTGATATCCTCCCTATTGGTAAGATAGATCGTCTTGCTAGGGCGTTGAGGATCAGACTGGGCAGTATGGTACTTTGTCTTGGTCATCTCGCCACGGGAGTTCTTCTCAGCCTTTCGCAAAGCCTCAGTCTTCATGCTAAACTCCTTGTCGTAACCTTGCTGCTTCGCAAGTTCGGCGTTCTTCTCAGCGGTGTAGAAAGGGTGGAAGAAACGAATTGAGTCGTAAGGATACCATTCTGGGAATGCGCGCTGAATAAGACGATGGAACATTGAGCTCTTGAGGACATCGCTGTCGGGTGTGACTTCTTTCATCCCCCAGTTTGTCAAAGAGTTTGTGTTCCAGTCCTGGTTTTGTCAGCACATTGATTTTATTTACTGGGTAATACTTACGACGGTGTAAAAACGATCAGATCGGACGAGGGTGATGGCATCGGAGAAGATAGCGGCCCATAAAGCAGAGTCAAGATCACTTGGACCAGGATCGGCATTTAGTTGACCGTTGGCTTGGTTAGTCTCGCAGAAGACGCCTGGGTAGAGTTCCACTTTGTCGGGATGCTCGTACAGGTCTCTCAAGGCGTTCTGGACCTTTTCGTTGGGAGTGATGGACTCAAAGGAGTCGTGACGCTTCATGCCGAAGAAGTCACGGAAGTCATTGAGTGTGCCGATTTCCCTTGACTCGTTAGAATGATGAGTGAAGCGTCGATCTGACGATGCTTACCATTTGCGTGCTTGCATGATGCCTAGGACCTCAACAGCTCTGAGACATCTGGGGACGTTGAGAGGACCGAAATTCGCTGAGGCAAGTCAATGTGACATTCCATTGAGTACTGAGGCGATCAACTTACCAATGGGATCATCCATAGCACTAGTCAACTCCTCAACCATGGCCTTGTCATCGAACAACCCGGTAAACTCATTCCTCTTGAACGGTTTAAAATCCGGATGTCCATCCTTCATAACTCCAAACTCCTGCTGCCACGGCTCAGGCTTTGGAAACAGGCTCGCCTTTGCCTTGGACTTTTGCATGAGTCCCATAAACTGTGGAAGGTTGAGATCTTTAGGATTCCAGGTCTCGTCCTTTTCGAAAAGCTCTTTCATGAAGGTTTCGGCGTAGCGCTCGTCTTTCATGGAGATGGCGCAGTGGAAACGGTAGAGGAGGTTGAACTCGACGGTGACTTGGTTGCCCAGGCCGCGGGAGACGTTTTTGTGGTTCTTCATTTCAACGCGGGGGTCTGAGGGTGTTAGTGGAATTGATGGAAGGGAGGGAGAGAGGTACCGAGGGTGAAGTTGGTGTCGAAGTTGTGGAAGCCCATGAGGGCGCGGAGATAATCGTGAATCGAGATCTGGATATACATGCCGCAGGTGATCCTACAGAGTCAGCAATGTCCGTCAGTTCAGAGGCGGGGTATACTTACAGTCGGGCGGTTTGAAAGAGATCTTCGTCAAGCTTATCCCAAGCAGCTGCGTGCGCCTTCAAAAACTCCTCCAAGACCACCTCCGGATTGATGTTTTTCAATCTCTTATCCCCAACATCCTTATGATCATCCTTCCCCATAACCTCAATACAAAGATCCTTCATCTTCTGTCTCTGCTCCTTCAATCCATCTTCAATACCCTTCAAAATTCTCTGCTTCAGAAACTCTGTCAGATCCCCAAAGTCAGACTCCGGATCGACCTTGTCATTTCCAAGACCAGCTGACTGCCGACGTTTCCACTCGTTATGATACATGTCAACTTGAGTTTGAAACTCGGGATCCGGCTTGACGAATTCTTTGGCGGCTGATGCAAGTGGCGCGAGCAGGAACTTTGTAGGGACTGAGAAGCGGCCATTTTCGTTGATGCGACGGAGTTGAGTGGCGACGTAATTGTGGTAGCGGTTGTACATGACGAGATAGATACAAACGCCGGGGGGTTGACGGAGCAATCGATCTTCGGCGAAAGTGTCAGGTTTGAGAAGACCTAGCTTATACTTATCATCGCGAACCTTTCGCTGCATTTCATCGGTGAACCCGTAAAGCGGTGAAAGATCCAGGTACGAAGATGAGTCAGAAATGTTTTTGTCGCTATCATTCGTCCTGAAAATATCATGAATAATGATAGTAGCGTGGTAGATTAGCATGCTCGACAAACCAGAAGTGCTAGGCCGGCCTTTTCCATCAGGGCCGGGATCTTGGCGCGCCATAAGACGATCAAAGAGATCAGCGGGATCAGGCAAGGCTCCTAGCGGGTGAGTTTTACTTGGGACAGTCTTGGCGTAAGGTGCACCGGCTTGTCCAAGTTGAGGATGCATTGCACTATTGAACTTTCCATCTGCAGTGCGATACTTGAAGGCATCGCCGAGGTAAGTTACGGGCGGGTGAAGCATGCGCTCATACTTATTCTTGACTTCTGTCTCGATGAATTTGGCGCGGAGGATACTGTCATTGGAAACGGAGCCGACGAGTTGGGCTAGGTTTGTTTTCTATCACGATAAGCATTGGCGGTGAGATTAAGTCGTGGGGGACTTACGTCGAGGGATCGGGTTTGGATGTACTTGATCAAAACGGTCTTGATAGCAGGGATGTTCTTGAACGTGAGAACACTTCCAAGGTCACTCCACCACTTGACCTGGGGCCGAAACTTGTCCTGTCGGCCTGTTAACGGGACTTGATGCGAGCGAATGCCCAACTGAGTGACTGACTCCAATGAGAGCATCTCCGTGGAAACCAGAAAGATACTTGGCCTCTTTCAATTGCTTGTTCAATTCTTTGACCTCATCCTCCCAAGTAGGGCCAGTGTTGCCGTTGAATAAGGCTCGAGTGCTCGAAGACATGTTGAGAAACGAAAAGATTGTCAGAATACAGATACTGAATCGTGTAGAATAAAGAGCACGACAGGGAGTGACACATTCTTTATTACATCGGGGCACAGAGAGAGCTTTAGCTTTGATCGCTTTTCCCTCAAGCGTAATTCGCCCAAGCCGTCTCATGTCTCAGCTCCTCCTGCACATTTGCAAAAACTCACGTCACCCCTTGCTCCAACAGCCACAGGGAGACTATGCAGCTCTTGGAAGTGAAGTATCAGGCGAGATGTGCAAGCCACAAAGACAATATTGGGTTATGTCTCTGCTTATCACGCTAGACTAGGAATTTCAGTGCAGCCTCAAAAGACCAGTTTGGAAATGATGTGAGACAGATGACGGGCTGTATTGGAAATGTCCCGCAAGCTATTGGGACCGGTTGCGCGGCTCGGGCCTCCCCCGTTCTTGTACCGGATTCTATCACGTATTTACGACGTCGTTTGTAGAGATGTGGACGATTTCGCATGCCAATTGGTTTTGAGGGGTGCACATTATGCACAAGAGCTAACAATTGAGTTTGTTCATTTGCTGATAATCTTGGTAATTCCCCTTTTCTCCAGTGAAGCGGGGAAGTCTGTCTCAGTTTAAAATGCGTGGTTGGATGAGTCTCAGTGCCGAGTACTTCTGGGGTTCAGCTGAGCTGCAATACCGCGGGACTATTGGAGACGTGCATTAGAGCATGGACTATTGCCTGTGCCTATTTCTTGACCAATAATTGTGGGATCCGAGTTTGTCAATGTAATCACTCACAAGTTGATTCAATTTCTGGGACATCGAGATTGCGAAAATTCGTGGATTTGAAGATCAGCATCATTCTGATAATTGTTGTCTTTCCCATCAAAAATGCTGTGCACACATCTTATGTTTCCAGTTGCATAACTCACCTTATCAATGGATAATGTTATGCGCGTACTGTGTGGGCTTGTTTCATAGTGTTAGTGACACTGTATCTCCACCAACCGCCACGGAGCTTCCGGTGTAGGCATAGCGGCCATCTTATAGCGTCTCAAGCATCAAGAGAACAAACAAGTTACCATGAAACCAAAGGAAGACAGTAACATTCTTATTAACTAAATACCTAGATGATGCTGTGTTGAATATGAGATTCACATCAAAATTGAGCCAAGCGATGCGTTTCAGCGACGCCATCTATTAACTCATGCTGGTTGTTCATTGCCCAGGTTTCTTTCAGAACCTCATTGATGAACTAAGCACACAATATATTAACAGAAAGTTCCCAGAAATGAACATCACTACATAAATTCTATTTGTCTGTTTCTCAGTGACACTATGTCCAAGCCCTATTGTTCACTTTATGATATTTGTGAGATTTTAACGCAAAGAGCTAAGATATAGTCTACAGAACAGTCAGGTCATTCACGTGTTCAGTACTCATGTTCCGCCAAAACTCATTACACGCAATACGCTTTGGCCACCGAACAAAGGCGAGCATAATCTCAGCTATAAAGCACCGCTTGGCCAGGGTCAAGGAATATTTCTCTCATTCTCATCAAAGACTCACAGTTTTAAAGGTAAGTTTCAACCGTCTCTCATACTAACTCAACAGGTCTTCGCTCTATCACAACACTCACACTCCTGAGAAACAACTACTCTCTTGAAATCATGTCTTCAAGCGTCCGCTTCACTTCCCTCCCCGAGCCCTCAGAGGTCGGCCAAATCTGGCAAGATCTGGAAGATCTCATCGCCTCACTCAAGTCTCGACTCGAGCGTCGGGAACACGAGTACTCTGACCTCGCCGTTGAAGTTGTCGGTAAACTTGAATCTGGCATCCACGGCGAGGAACGTCAGGCTCAGCTTTGCAAGCTTCGTGAGTCTTGGAAGCATATCCAGACACTGGAGCGTGAGCTTCGCTTTTACTTGAAGCAGCAGAGAAAGCTGGCTGAGAGTTCGATCTCACGAATTGCTGAACAGCTTGGGACTCTGAATGTTGATTCGATGGCAAGGGCTATCCAAGCGAGTGAGATGAGTAAGGCTTCCTACGAGTCGCCTATCAAGCCGCTGTTTGAGACAATCACTGAATCGCCTCTCGAGTATACCTCAGACTCATGGTAATAAGGCGGTATATTTGAGCGGGGGACGATCTAGATTGAATAGACCTCCAAGTGGAGTGTCAGTGTTTTTGTTAAGAAATAGGTACGTATTGCTGGCTTTGTTTGAGAGACTAAAAGTCAAATAAAATCACTCGACCCCAATCTGAACCGCCCAAAGTTTTAATACGTGAAGTTAAGATTAGAGACGAATATTTTCAGCTGCGATTATGTAGATCTAGCGATATAGCCACAAACTAGCCCAAGACTCTGTACACAGGATACTCATCCCCAACATTAACCGGCAGAATATTGAACGTAGCATACGAATCAATATTCTCCGGCTCAAGAACAGTAAAAGCATATCCCGCGGCAGCCTGCCTTGTCGGAACCCAAAAGCTCCCCGCCGGCATCATAATCTCCTTCTTCACAATCTCAGTAGTAACCTTGTTCAGCACAGTTCCCTGATAAACAGTACTGGCCAACTCAATGCTCGTAACATTATATGCTTCAACTTCACCGCGGAACTCAGAGCGGATGCTTTCCACATTAACGCCATTGAGGCGAAGACGCTCGGCGGCTTCTTTCCATGCTTGCGGGAAGATGTATGCTTCGGGGCGCGAGCGGGTAAGGTTGGATTTCACGGGTGTTGAGCTGAGGAATTGCACGGGGATTTCGACGAGTTTGCCGGTTGGGAGGTCGATGAAGTCCCAGGTGCGGTTTGTAGGCTGGAAGGAATCTGTGACAACGACTTCGTCTACTCCGTCGATGAATTTCTTGCGGGCGCCTTCGACGACTTCGTAGACCTCTTCGGCCTTATCAGCGGCTGTTTGGACAATGGCCTCGATCATGGTAAGTCCTGAAGCAACGCGACGCTGGAAGTGCTGGCTTCCAAGACCGATTCCTCTCGTCTCAGTGAGGAAGACCATAACCTGTGTCAGCGCCAGTGAAACATCTCCCGCTCGCGCCTGCGTGTCAAGCTGTGTAAACACCAAAGGCTCCTCCCTAGCATTTCCAGTGATATAAGGACTCCAGCGCAGATTCAGCTTATCCATCGCGCCAGCAATTCTGGGCACAAAAACCTCCTCAGAGTATTCTCGAATATCCTTGTGAATATTCAAATTCTTCATAGGATCAAATTGACCATCGACGGCTTGCGCCCACTGATCTTTGAGTCCATAAGCGCGATTGGCGCTGTATTCATGAGCGTCAACCATGACATGAGGAGCAAAGTCAACAATCAGCGCTTTAACCTCGCGGGTTTGCTGACTTGCGAAGCGAATGTGATCTCTGTTGGGATCGTATCCTGTTGCCAGAAAACGCTGGAAGTAGGCGACGCCATCAGGGTTGTAGCGGGGCAGGATCATAATGTCCATCTTTTCGAGAATTGACGCTGCCCAGGTTGAGTTGGCGTCGAATTTGCCCAACAAAGCGAGAAGAGCTTGGTCGCCGCCGGGTTCATTTCCGTGGACGCCACCTTGGAGGTAGACGCGGAGCTTCTCGGATGAAGATGAATTGGCCTTGATTTCAGGCTGGGATGAGGTGGAGAGGTAGACATAAGGAATTGAGCGTCCTTCGTCGGATTTAAATGATGGATTGTTGTATGTCAACCACCCATTACGGGATGCAAGACTCTCGAGGAAGTAGTCTACGAATGTTAGTGGATAGAACCAGAGGATGAGTTCAAAACATACTCAGAGTAGCGTCGCTTGTTGGTCCGCTTGTGCCATTGTCGAATCCAGCGGGGATGCTCTTCGGATCAATGAAGGCGGGCGACTGGAGCTGAATCTGTTCGACCTCGGGAAAGTTCTTGGCAGCTTCTTCACCGTCTTTGACAAGGGCAACTTGATTGCCGTTATATCGGACTGCCGTGGCCAAGCCAGCGTACAGAAGCCCAGTGAAAGCAGTGCGAAGCGTCATGATTTCCAGCTCGTGAAGAGAATCCAACGTCGAAAGAAAAACAGTGCAACCCTATCATGCGGGCTGTTCATCTTTTAAACCTCTCCAAACAACCTTCCTAGTCCGTGACGATCATCATACATCGGGGGCATAATGACCGAACTTCCCCGCCGATCAGCATAGCTTATCAGTAAGAAAGTTAGCCGATGATAAGCTTAAACCGTTTATAGTAGGTAGCTATGAGAATTGGCTCATTTAGCTCCGACTATGTTGCAATCAACAGCGGGGAACGGGTTTGCCAAGGCTTGGTGGATTAGACATTGTTTACCGGCTTATGGAAAGCAGGTTTGTGTGTGGGCTAACTTATAATGGTCGGCGCTTGATTTGTTTGCTGGATAGGAAAAAGTCCGGGGCTGGGGCTGGAGTGGGGAAAATGCTGAGGCTGTAGGGTAATTCTAAGGGACAACATTATTTACAGAGAGATGCAATGTTGGACGATAGACTTCTAATGCTAGTCTACAAGAAACATTTGTTACTTCTTTCTTTTTATATGCGTCTTGAAGTATAGTAGGTTCAATAATCTTGAGTGTTTATACAAGCTATTGGGCAAAGGCATAGCTCGTTTGGGATACGTAACGCATTTATATTGATGTCTTAAACATGAAGAGTTTCTTATTTCTAGAGCTTCTTTGGCGTGCAGTTGCATAGGCCAGAATAACCTGAAAACGATGTAGTTTCGGAGAGCCTCCTACTCGCTGTTTTGCTTATTCATACTGTTAGTAAGCTCGTCACCGGAGATTGGTCGATAAACTTACGCATCTGAAAGACGCAATATAGTCCGGTTTCTGCCCATTAACAGTACTCATTTCCAACGTAGTTGCACACTGGCCCGGATCCTTACGAATACTAAGCTCTCTGCAATCCGCATAGGGATAGAACGTGCAATAGGAGTTTGTGTTCAACTTGGGCTTGGCTGACTGAGCTTTGAACAAGCCCTTGCAGCCTTTTCTATTGCGACCACCTTCAACGAAGTGGACGCAGTCTACGCCGTCCATGCTGGCGCCGAATGTGTGACAGTCGTATTTGTCGCCTTCGAGGATCTGGTACTTCGTTTCGCCGTCGACTTTACAGCGCTCTGTGTTATCGTAGAATGTCACTGGAAAAGTCAAAATTAGGGAGGGCAGTATGAGAAGATGGGAAGACTTACCATACCATGCTGCTACCTGCGAGGTAGCAGCAAGGATAATGACGATACTTGTGGTTGAGAGCTTCATTCTTGGAAACAAGGTGCGTTTGAATGAGAAGAGGTGTTGAAGGTTGGGTAACGAGCTAGTAGAATGGGAATATATCCTGAGAAACACGAAGCTTATATATGCTTGAGTACGTCTCATCCCCCGATACAAAAACACTAGAACACTGCCCCCCTGCTAAACTTGCATCATGTTGATTAAATTCTCTCTCAAGTTAAATGCCATGTGTCGTCATGATCGCTTTCACATTAAAAATATCGTGTTTGAGGAGAGCTGAAGGATGGGACCCACGAAGCTGACAACCAAGGCAGGGCGCTGATCACGTATATTTGTCCTAAACAGGCAATTCACATTGGGGGCCAAAGTTCAAACTTTACCAGGTGATTATCGATCCTCATGAGGAATTACTCAACAGGGGTTCCCCGGAAATTTAAAACAGTGAAACAGAGGATGAAGATCCGCCCGTGGGGCTGATCCGAGCTGAGCTAGGTGGCCCGAGCCGGGGGAGAATTGTTATACTGTCTACAAGACTGTGTAGGTAATTGCCGCACTGCAAGGGTACCTGCGAGACCTGTGTCAACGCAAGAGAGCATATACTTGAATGCTTTTGCCTGTCAAGTCACATCGGACAGCTCTTGAGGCGACCAATCACCTGCATCCGCTGTAAACAACCTGTCTGGCGATGATCATTATATAATTAATGAAACACAAAGGCATAGCCTCAAGGTGAGAGGGTCCATACTGTGTGGCATCACCAACGAATCAGCAGACTCATAGCTCCGAGCTGAAGAAACTCTAGGTCGGTCATCTTGGAAACCTGAGTCAAGGTCACGAAGTTTACACTGCCATAGAAAACCGGGACAATCGGAAGTGAGTTAACCAAAATCACAAGCATTAAGAAAATTAAGAAAATCAACCAACCTGAAAGTTTCATCTGTGAGGTTCTTCAATAAAGCAATTATGTGACAGAAGAAAGACTTGTTATTTCCCAGCACATGTCTCAGGTTGTTAGGTCAGAGCTGAGTTCAATATGGTTATGTATACGGATAATAAAATAAATAACGAGCCCGTTTGACATAATCAGAAAGCTCAGACAACGTGGCCGAGTGGTTAAGGCGATGCCCTGCTATCTCTTCTGAGACATCATAGGCATTGTGTTCGCACGCGTAGGTTCGAATCCTGCCGTTGTCGACCTTTTTACTTTTTATGTCAATTATCATATGCTTCTTTTGCCAGAATAAGTAAGCATTTGTTTTTGATGCGAAAGTTGTTAACATTTTGTCGCCTTTGTTGATTCAGCGCTGTGGTCAAAAGCGCTGGGTCCACTATCAAAGGCGAATGATGATGGGTGTGCCTCAACTGGCTTATGATTGACTGCAGTGATTCAGATGGACTTGGCACCTAATGTGTTTCTGTTTTAATCCTTTTGCTGTGTGATATGAATGTTGTTCACTGACGAACAGTAACTGACCCCACGCAAGCTTCCTGTCACGCTCAAAGTTCACCCTGGTGACAGCAAAGATCCAATGGGTCAATTCACGGTGCGCACCAACAGCACAGTTTACTTCATCGCCACTTATTCCTCCGCGACCGTTCCAAACAGTCCAATTGGCTTTACTACTGCCTGCCGCGAACAAGTTGTGAGCAATGTCTTGCTTTGACTATAGAACAGAAAATTGAGAAAGAACATTTCGCGCAGCCCTGGCTAGGCGCACCTGAGCCGTAATTCGCCTGCGCACTTCCAACAAATCCCATTCAGGGCGAATGGTTTAGTGGTATAATACTCCCTTAGCATAATTCAGTGTTCTGGAAAATTTGGGAGTGGTCCAGGGTTCGATTCCCTGTTCGTCCAATCTAGGCGGTTAAATCCCGCTATTATCCTCTCTTTTTGCTGTTTCACCATCTGACTCCTAGCGGTTTAATTTAAGGTGATAAAAGGCATGCGGCTAGACCCTATTCTTTTTTATTGAACAGAGTAAGAGGATTCGCCTCATGACCAAGGAATTGTGGCGCCTTTCTGGTGCGACTCCCTCGCTAGCTCAATGACTCTCAACCCATCGCGCGACTGCGTAGGCTTGACTTCCAACTCTGCCTTGCCATTAATCGCGTCAGCGACATTCTCATACAATCCCAACCATCGACCTGGGAAGCTTGGGTATCGACCAGTATACTTTTTGATCTCTGGATCGTACTGTTGGACTTGACCATCAAATTCTTCATATGTCGTGAGAATGCCCCGCAGTTCATCGGACTCAACACCGAAACCCTCATCGAGCGGTTTTAGGCCGGCAGCGATACCGTCCTCTGTTGCGCACAGGCTGTGTTTTTGGAACTGAAAAAGGTCAACTCACTACTGGAACAAAACAGATGGGGATGCTCACCTTGATGAAAGAACCCTTTGTTCCTCGAACAAGCTGTTTTAATTGCTGTGCCATCGGCGTAGTTACAGCGGTCTTAACCGTGACGAGAAGATCTTTCTGCGCGCCATCATACTGTAGAATAATCGTGAATGAGTCTTCAACTTCACTTTCAGCGTCGCGCTGGACTCGGAAGAAGCCTGTCACAGATTTTGGACGTCCGAACAGAACAAGCGCTTGGTCGAGGCTGTGCGTACCTGCGTATGGTAAGTCGTGAGCCATGAAAAATTGTTATTGGTGTCTTACCGAGACCAAAGGCCATGCCAGAGCCAGGGGAGTACTTAGCTCCCATTTTAGACAGCCACGGTGGTGACTCAAAGTCATAGTGCAATTCAGCCTCTTTGATGTCGCCCAGTGCACCTTTGTTGATGAGATGGCGGAGGGTCTGAAAGTCGGCATCCTTTATACGATCAGCGTTGATACAAGTGCTGTGAGACTTAAAAGCTCACCCATCGTCGGTTCTGAAAACAAGTCAGGATGAGACCCTTCTCTTCACCTAGTCTAATAACTCTATCTGCCTCTTCAGCCGATACAGCAAAAGGCTTATCGACAATCACTAAACTCATATTAGTATCACCCCGACCCTGCAAAGGTCCACTCACCATGCTTGCCCGCATCGAGCGCTTTCTCTGCAAAAGATGCATGTGTATCATGCTGGGTAGCGACAACCACAAACTGAATATCCTTGTCGGCGAAGAATTCCTCAGGTGTGCGATAATGCCTAATGTGAGGAAAGTCAACGGTGCAGTGCGATCCTTTCGGGGCGGATGATGGATCTGCTGGTGCTTCTTTTCTCTGGAGAATAGCAATTACTTCGTAGTCTGGGATAGAAGTGATGAACGGCAAATGGAAACTCTTGGCGGAGTTGCCGTAGCCTACGACGCCGACTTTGATTGGTGCCATGATTGGTATGCTGTTTACTTGATTGAGAGACTAACTTCACCTCGTCAGAGATCCGCGAGACTTTTTATCTAATCGATCGCTGGACAGCTTTTATCTAACGTTACCTTACAAATCAACTTCCCTTTTCACCGCATCTTCTCATTCACCCGGCTAGAGCGTCATTGATAGATTGTCCCCGCATTGATTTTATCCTTGGTGGACCGTAGATGGTATCATGACACAACCCCGCTCTTCGGGGAGTATCGGTGTTAGATCCGCTACTCCGCGAGAGACCAGAGAGTGGCATAAAAATGCCAAGAAACTCTCGAAAATCAAGTTCTGAAGGATCAATAGGCTATCAAACTCCGAGATCGGATGAGTTGGTGGATAAAACATTCTTGAAGTATTTAACTTGACAGCTGGCTGCCGTACTTCGGTGACTACTATCCCGAATTCAAAAGTATTGCGGGTCTAATTCGCACGATATCTACCTTATTTTAACCACTTGCCTGTTTCACGCATTTCTCACCCTCAATATCTTAATACCTCTTGATATCAGCTCAAACTATGGCCAGCTCAGCAGATTCTCTACCTCACCTACGATGGGGCATCCTAGGTACGGTTCCCATCCATATCGCTGTTCAGAGCTAATCGTACGTTCAGGCACAGGATGGGTCTCCTCAATGTTCCTCCGAGACCTCCTCACCACTCGTCCCGACGCCAAAGCAAAACACACCATCACAGCCATCGGCTCATCGTCCATCGAAAAAGGAACTTCTTTCGTTGAGAAGCTTTGGGAGAAAGCGCCTGATAAACCCAAGCCTCAAGTCTACGCTGATTATCAGGGTGTTTACGATGATCCAAATGTGGACATCGTGTATATCGGAACTCCGCACTCGCTGCATAGAAAGAACTGTCTCGATGCTATTGAAGCTGGTAAGCATATTCTGTGCGAGAAGCCATTTACTATCAATGCGAAGGAGGCAAAGGATATTGTGGACGCGGCGAGGAAGAAGGGTGTTTTTGTCATGGAAGGTTTGTTCACGCCATCATTTGTTTGACTGTATGCTAACGTTTGTTAGCTGCCTGGGTGAGATTTTGTTCACTGTTCGAGGCGTTGCACGAGGAGATAATTGTCAAGAAGTCCATCGGTGAAGTCCAACGGATTTCCATTGACTTTGGAAACAAGTTTGATCTTAGTTCTTTGCCCGATAATCATCGTCTCAAAGACCCCGCGCTTGGTGGCGGCGCGTTGCTCGATATCGGATTTTATACGCTGACATTTGCTTCAATCATTCTTGGTGATTGGAAGGTTGGCAAAGATCATCCAAAACCGACAAAGGTTCTTTCGTCGCTGGATATAGTGGACGGCATCGACGCCGCCAATGTTGTTGTTCTCGAATACCCCTCCACCAACGGAGGTGTCAAAACAGGAGTCTGCACATCAAGCTTCCGATACCGAGGCCCCGACGAATTTGGCTACATTCAGGGCACCAACGGAAGTATTACCCTGTTCGGTCCCGCAGTCAGTGTCCCTGGTGGATTCCGCGTCACTGAAGGAGAGCGCCCGGGTCCTCCTGCAGCCGATACCAGAGCAACACGTGTGTTCAACGTGGAGCGACACGAGGGAACGTTGGGATTTTACTGGGAAGCCGATGCTGTTGCGCAGGATATTGCTGAGGGAAAGACGGAGAGTGATGTTGTTCCGTTGGACGAGACTCTTCGACTGATGGAGTTGATGGATGAGATTAGAGCTGCGAATGGTCTGAAGTATCCGCAGGATGAGAATTAGTTCTCTCTCGTGAAGAAAAAAGGACGCGTGTCTGGTGAACGCGCAAATAACCTAGGGTTTGTGGGGATCAATTAATACAGACTTTATTCACCCACGAAGGAGGCAAACAAAGTTGCACTTAATTGTTGAACGATGTCAGCCATTGACAACGGACGTAGAAAACTCAATCAAACAACCAAGCGCCCAATGATTTCGCATGTGTCCCTTTATTCATCAACCTCACGCGACCACAAACGGTGGGAGCAAACGGAGAGGCAAACAAACTTCCGCAAGTTATCGTTAACCTCAACAATTCAGAGTTTGCAAAAGACCTTTCGCTTCTGCCGTGACAAACTGCTCTAATTGAGTTTGTTTCATCTTCAGCGATGCACTGTCACAAACATGGAGCTTTATTGCAGTCATGCGCCGAGAGCAACTGCCCGTCGCAAAATCGTTATCTCGTCTACGATTCCTTCCCTTCCTCACTTTTCTCTTCTCCATCTATGACCCCCTCATTTTTGAACACAGCAGAGAACCTCCTCTTATATCCGACCGTTTCTTCATTTTGTCTCTTGCGCGCGACGATGCCAGCTTCAGGATCCGGAACCTCACTTCTCGCCGACGTTGATTTGGAAGACTGCAATCCCGGATTCACCCCGCGATGGGAATTCCGGCCTGATCTTGACAAGATGAGAATAACGATCCAAGCCATCTTCCACACCGAAAACGTTCACGTCAAGCATTTCGCCGAAGGTTGCTTCAACAAGCTTTGCGAAGTGCAAGTCAACGATCAAGCTCCGCTGTTGCTGCGTGTCGCGCTCCCTGTTGATCCGCAGAAGAAGACCATGAGCGAAGTTGCTACGATTCAATGGGCCTCGGCAATCACCGATATTCCGATACCGAAAGTCATTCATTTTGATGCGTTGCGCGATTCTCCGATTACTTATGAATGGATCTTGATGAGCAAGCTCCCAGGCGCACGGTTGGAGGAAACATGGCGGCATCTCACCCTCCCCCAGAAAACCGACACAGTCCGCCAAATCGCTTCTTTCATAGCGTCTCTGTTTCTCGAGAAGTTTTCCGGAATTGGCAACATCTACCCTCCCGTATGCGCAAGCGAGCTGCCAAGACCCGGTCCAATTGTCTCTACTTGCTTTTTCTACGGCCTAATCAACAAATCCGACATCAATCGTGGACCCTTCCGAAACAGCAGCGAGTGGTTTGCAGCACGGCTTGAGGCGATGAAAAGGGATGCGACAGCGACTATGGCAAAGTGGTGTGGCAAGGGAGACCATGACTGTGATGCGGTGAAGGAGATCGACGATGCCGCCCGGACATTTGAGATTGCTCAAAGATTGCTACGGCTGATTTGGCGCATCTTTCCATTCCACGCTGAAGCAGAGACCACAGTTCTTTATCACGACGACTTACACGGAAACAACATTCTTGTTGACGACATGGGAAACATTACAGGCATTGTTGATTGGGAGTGTGTGTCCATCGTCCCCCTTTGGAAAGCCTGTGGCGTCCCCCAATTCCTCTTTGAACAACCGCGATGGGCTGAGCCTGATCACAGACGATACCGGCACGACACGAACGGCGAGATATGCGACCTTTACCATAAGCATTTACATCAACATGAAACTACACTCTTGCGTGAGGTGTTCTTGGTGGAAATGGAACGACTTGACTCGCGATGGATGGAGATCTACAAAAAGACTCAATTACAAAGGGATTTTGACTTTGCCGTACAGTTTTGCGATAATGTAGCCGTTTTGAAACATATCGTCAAGTGGGCTGATGCTGTGGAGGCTGGAGGGGACGTACCAAGGATGTGGGACTTGGTATGGGCTAGTACGCTGAAGTGGTATTGAATATCCGTTCTTGATCCGACAAGCGAAGATGCTAGCGCTGATGGTCAGTTCAAAGATACCGGAGCTCTTTCAAGATTTGTTTGGTGTATATTAGTTGAAATCATATGGACCTTGATCATGACCCAGACGTCCGTACCGGCCCGAGACCTGCTTGTGACGTCTCCCGTTTACGGTCAATTCATGCGCTCAGCCGGAAGATTACCTTTGCGCACTGGCGTTAGCCACTGATGACTGGGCTGAAACCGTTCGTTCGCGATACGGACGTGAGACCGCCATTCTCACGTAAGAACCTCGGACTCCGGATCGCAGCATCTGCCCAACCTGAGTAAGCCTACTCATATCAACCACAAAACCATAAGTTCCTCACATTCACCGCTCAAAAGATTCTTATCGGTCCTGTACCGCGTACCGGTATCGCCGGGAACTCAACGAGCACCGTTTTCCTCAATAGCATATCTTCACGCGTGACCCCTCGTATTCGTCATACTCAGCCTCAGTTTCCACCCGTAAGCAAAAGAGTGATTGGACCAACATACGCCATCATCTGATTGGTCTGCTTCAAGCCTTACCGTGTCCTAAAAACGCCTCGGTGAGAGATCATTGGGTTATATGTGGTCTTACCTAAGTCATCACCAATTTGTACGACCGTGGGCGTAATCACGGGTTGAAGTTCTGCAAGGATGGGTTTGTGGTTGTGAGCTGCGGTAAGACATGACGAGGCATATTTATGTTAGTAATCTACAGGCGGCTCAGGATTGGGTGGTTGGGTGAGAGTAAAAGTCCTAGGGCTGAAACATTTGAGTGCCAAGACCATGATCCTTGACCAGCTGGACTCGTATCGCAGATTTGCTTGAAAGTGGGAATATGATTGGATTTAGGGGATGGCGATGACTACGACGGGAACTTATGTATGTGATTGGCGTCATCAGCTTGCATATTCTCCGAAATCAAGGTTGAGATGACCGCGTGATGAACGTCGGTCAGATCGAGAGGCGCTCTCATTTAAATCCCGTCTCACAGACACAGAGGCATCGACCCAAAACCACTAGAAACATCCTCAAAATGGCTCTCATAGAGCGAGTATGGCACGCCTGCGTCAGTATAGTCGCATGGCTAACAATGTGGCCCACCTCCACTCACTCCCCCTACCAACATCCTCTCCGCCCCAATCATCCTCACACTCACATTGAAGATCCCAGCCCTGGCTTTCCGATCTTCAACCCGCCACCCGGGGATCATGAATTCCTGTGTGAATACCCAGAAATGACGGGTTTCGTTCAATGTTCCATCCCTGAAAATCGAGAATGTTGGCTTAGACATCCTGATGGACGAGAGTTCAACATTCATACTAATTATGAGAACTTTGCACCGAAGGGTATTGTGAGGAATTATACGCTTAATATTACGGAGAGTTGGTATAATGCTGATGGGCAGAATTTTACGGAGGCCAAGTTGTTTAATGGGGAGTATCCTGGGCCTTGGCTTGAGGCTTGTTGGGGTGACGTAAGTGTCTGCATCCTATGAGGTTGGTTTGTGCTGATTAGTGTACAGACATTCAACATTACGGTGATCAATAGTATGAAACGAAATGGCACCAGTATTCATTGGCATGGTATTAGGCAGAACCAGACCATGGACATGGACGGTGTCAACGGCATTACTCAGTGTCCTATTGCACCAGGGGAGAGCTTCAGCTATATCTTTAAGACAACTCAGTACGGGACGTCTTGGTATCATAGTCACTACTCTGTGCAGTATGCAGATGGTCTCCAAGGCCCGATCGTAAGTTGCCAATATCCCACTGACATGTCAGCTCATGCTAATGACTCAGACCATCCATGGTCCGCAATCCGCTCCTTATGATGCTACCAAGCGGCCACTGATCATGACGGATTGGTGTAAGTAACTCTCATCTCACCTCACAAGCCTTCCTGCTGACCAAAACACCAGCTCACGAGAGCGCTTTCAGATTGTTATTCCCCGGCTCTCAGTTCTCCAACAAGACCATTCTTCTCAATGGCGCAGGCAACGTCTCTCACTACGGCTACACTCCCACCCTTCCCATCCCCCCAAATTACGAATTATACTTCAACAAGACGCCAACAGACAGACCGCGACGTCCAAAAAGATACTTGCTTCGACTCATCAACACTTCATTTGACTCAACACTCGTCTTCTCAATTGACAATCACTGGCTTCAGATTGTCACTTCAGACTTCGTTCCTATTGAGCCGTACTTCAACACGTCAGTCTTGATTGGTATCGGTCAACGGTACAATGTCATTGTTGAGGCTAATCCTCTAGCCGGCGATGTCAACGAAGTCCCAGAGGATGGAAACTTCTGGATCAGAACTTGGGTCGCTGATGCATGTGGCGTAGCCCCAGGAGGTGAAGGCTATGAAAAGACCGGTATCTTACGATATAACCACTCTGACAAAGCTCTTCCATCTTCTCAACCTTGGGTCAACATCAGCAAAGCTTGCTCTGATGAGACATATACATCCCTTCGACCAAAGATACCATGGTATATCGGTCCCGCTGCCAATGCTCAAGCAGCGGATCAGAACGGTGAACGGTTTAATGTCACCTTTGATCCGAATGCCAAGAACACGCCTGAGTTTCAGGAAGAGTATCCGGTTGCTACGTTTGGTCTTCAGAGACCTGGTCAGAACTTTAGACCACTACAGATTAATTACTCTGATCCGGTTATGTTCCACTTGGATGAACCGAGGGATACATATCCGCCGAAGTGGGTGGTGATTCCTGAAGATTATACTGAGAAAGAATGGGTATGTGCCAAACGCCTTCAATGTTCTTCAGGCATCACGACTAACCGTCATAGGTCTACTTTGTCCTTACGATAGAAGGCCTCAGTGCCCGCACCAACGCTCATCCAGTAAGCATCCCACTTCATAAAACATCCCTCCAGCACTAACACTCCTAGATCCACCTCCACGGCCATGACTTTGCAATTCTCCAACAAGAAGAGAACCAGACCTACGACCCAAGTAGACTCAACTTGAAGCTTGACAACCCACCAAGACGTGATGTCGTTCTTCTCCCACGCAGCGGTTTCGTCGTGATTGCTTTCAAGGCAGACAATCCAGGTATCTGGTTGATGCACTGCCACATCGCCCGTCATGCCTCTGAAGGCCTGGCGATGCAGGTTCTTGAGAGACAGGGAGATGCGAATAAACTATTCCCCGTGGGTTCACCAAATATGATTGAGGCGGAGAGGGTTTGTAAGGATTGGAAGACGTGGCAGGCTGGGGAGAAAGATTTCTTTGAGGGTGACTCTGGTATCTAAATGGTTAATAGACCATCAGGCAGAATGTAGCTCTCTGTGCTTGGCTACAGATCTTTTAAGAAGGAAGCCATGAATCTATAAGATGCCGTTCTCGAAACGGAGGGTGTGATTCTATAATATTGCTACCGCATTTCCTGGACTAGCTACTCCACCAGGTACCTTGAGAGGAACACTCGTCAAAAAGAATGTCCATCGTTTTCTCTCCCTACACCTTTCGGCCAACTCCTCCAAATCGAAGAGCTCACCAATCGGCATTCCCCATCCTGCCAAAGCCCACTGATGAATGCTAACATCAGGATGGTTATACGCCCCTGTCGCGGGTCCTCGTTCAAAGCCAGCGGCATCGGAGGCAATTGCTGAGAAACCAGTTTCCCAAAGCCATCGAAGGGATTCTTTTGTAGCTTCAAGACCTAAAAGACCTCCGGGCTGGCGGCTGGGGAAGTTCTCTTGTTCTTGCGAAGAGAGGGCGTTGTAGTGGGCAGTGAAACCAACGCGGATGAAGAGGATGTCGCCCTGACGGAATGTGATATTATTTTCGGCGATAATGGCGTGGATGTGGAATATCTCGACGGCGTTGGTTTGGAAGGGTGAGAGGGAGATGTTGTTGCGTTGGGACCAGCAGTACCAATCTATGAGAACACCACGACCAATGATTCCACCGTTGTTGGCATAAGCTGTGAGCATACGGTCAGACAGAGCCTGTGAAAGTAATCATATTCGTGAGCTTACCATCGATCCCAAGAGTCTGTGAGCCTGGACCAAATTCCTCCTGTTTATGACCCATGTAGAACTGCCCAGTTCTTTGATACCCTAACCGACCGTCAGTACTGTCATGAATTCAACAAAGTGGTACTCACCATAGTGCCTGAACCCATCCCACTGTGTGCTACTCTGCGTATTCAGAGTAATCACATCGTCGTTCATCGTCATCGGAGCTTTGTTGAGTATCCGGTGCTCCAGAGCTTGTCTTCCAAAAGGTGGATGGGAAATCTTGTCAAGTGGCCAGTCCAAAGATATTCTGACACCCTCTTTTATCTCACTTGCTGCTGCGCGAACGGTCTCTGGCGTAAGTAAGTTGAGCCTACCAAGTTGATCGTCTGGTCCCTAGAGACCCCAAGCATTGCCCGGAGGACCATTCTTATCCAAGGGTAAGTCATCGAACGAAGGGAGTTCCTTTGGTGTCATGTTGACTGTCTAGTGATACCATACAGAATTCTGAAATGACAGAAACGTTTTGGAATCTCAGAGACTTTGGCCTAGCAGTTGTTCGGTGAACTGACTCAATCACACGATGAATCACTAACCTATCACTAGACCAGATCAGAGGATATAATTACCAAAAACATGAAAGATACATCGGCTGGATGAGTATTTACCCAAATGATCGTAGTGATACCAATCAGAGAATTGATGTCGATCATCTACCCCAGCTTCCCCGCGTCCATCCCTTTCCGGGGTGTGCCAAGACCTAACTTCCTGAAGAAAATGATGCGCTACGCGGGGATAATTCAGGGGTGGATGAATGTTTTCATGATGGTAGCGGAAATAGGCCGCAGAATATTTTGTCGCGTGCCAGAACCTCGGGTCGTGCATGGCCTGAGGATCAGCAGCTCTCCGAGTTCGCATTTAAGACGGGAACGAGTTTCATATTGATTGATCTTGAGTACAGGCTTTCCATTGTACTTACTATACGATACAATCATTATTCATGCGCAATCCTCCTGCAGTAAGAGCTTCATCGCTCCAGGGGGAAGATGTTCCTCATGAGATCTATGGCTTCCGACCTTATCTCCTCGCCATGTCTGCATCATGGGCCTGTATGTCTATCATCTCCATCTCAACTGGCCGCTACTAACAAACGCAGCTGCAATATATGGATACGACAGCGCTTTCATTGGCGGAACCCTCAGTCTCCCCTCCTTCCAGCGAACGTATGGCCTTGACACAGCAAGCGATTCTGCGAAAGCAAATCTGTCATCCAATATCGTTTCTACCTTCCAAGGTGGTGCTTTTTTCAGATGTGCGTCAAGCTTTCTTGTCGCTGAACGCTTCGGACGTCGACCGACTCTGATCCTTGCTGCCATCATATTCTCCATCGGCGCTGCGCTTCAGATGATCGGTCGAGCTCTAACGGGCTGGGGTGTCGGTTCCAGTGCCATGATCCTCCCCATCTATGTCTCTGAATGCTCACTGGCCTTGATCCGTGGAAGACTCGTCCGAACGTTCGAAGTCATGCTTCAAGCTGCACTGGTCTGTGGGTTCTGGGTCAACTATGGTGTTAACAAGAACATCAGCCCAGAAGGTAGCATGCAATGGCACATTCCTGTTGCCATTCAATTCGTGCCCGCTGGGCTATTGGTGATCTTTATGATACCCATGATTGAGTCACCTCGATGGTTGGTCTCCAAGGGCAAGCTTCAGGATGCCAGGAAGAATTTAAGTTGGGTTCGCAGTCTTCCCCAAGATCATGCGTATATCGACAGAGAGATGTCAATGATTGAGGTGGCCATTGAACATGAGGTGTCATCAACAGGGCAAAGGGAAAACTGGCGGCAGATCTTCTCAGAACTGTTCCAACCTGGTGTTCGTGGTAGGATGGTCTTGTCTTGTGGACTTGTCTCTTTCCAAAACTTCACAGGGTGAGTAATGACTAGCTTTTGACGGAACACAGCTGACAAGACTAGTATCAACGCCATCAATTATTACTGTCCAACAATCTTCCGGTCAATCGGCTTCACCGGAACATCTGTCGGCCTTTTGGCCACAGGAATATTTGGAATTGTTAAAATGGCTGCCACCATGCTCTACGCCGCCTTCCTGGTCGATAAGCTAGGACGGAGACCCCTGCTGCTTATCGGTGCAGTTGGGTCTAGCATTGCAATGTTTTACCTTGCCGGTTATTCTAAGATTTCCGGCTCTTTCGAACACATCCCACCCAGGGATGCTGGGGCAAAGACTGCTGTCGCGATGGTGTATATCTATGCCCTGTTCTATGGTATGAGTTGGAATGGAATTCCCTGGCTGTTTACGTCCGAAATCATCCCAAATCTAGTTCGCACGCTTGGTATGTCGTTTTGTATCTGTATCCAGTGGGTGACGCAGTTCATCGTTGTCTACAGCTTACCTCACATGGTTATAGGGTAAGTTGACTTCTACACAAGCAGTAGTGATACCTGCTAACTTCTTAGAATTACCTACGGAACTTTTCTCTTCTTTGGTACATGTACTGTTTTCGCAATTGTCTTTGCATGGCTGTTCATCCCAGAGACGAAGGGCGTTCAGCTGGAGGACATGGATCTGCTCTTCGGACCTGATGTGCCCATCTTGGCGTCTCAGGCGAGGGACAACTATGTCCAAGGGATTGCTGCTCGGGCCTTGGATGAGCGTGAAGATTCAAAGATGAAGGCAGCCGAGATTGAACACGTTTGATCATGGGGGTCAGAATATCAATTATTATGGCTTCACAGCGAAGGCACTATCTAACGGGCTGAGAATGGAGGCATACAACGGATGATAGAAACTAGTGACTATAGTGAGAAGTGTGACTAAAAGGAGGCTAGACGGAATGAATCTCATCAAATTGTCCCCTGGCCCCAGAAAACACCCCGACCATTCGTTCCAACATAGACCAATCCCGCCTCATTTCCACTTCCAGCAAGCTTAGCACTGTCAGCAGCGCCAAAGCCCATAGAGCCCTGAAGATCTGTCCAGGTCTTGCCAAGATCAGAGCTGCCATACAGCTTGCGTCCAGCGGATCCTGTACCAAAAGCATACACATTCCAGTTGCTTCCAGAGCCCTTACCAAGAGCAATCTGCTCAGTCTTGCTAAGACCTCCGACTTTGGAGAAAGCGCTGCCGTAGTCTGTACTGCGGAAGATACCGGCGTCGGTAGAGACCCAGACCTCTCCGGCCTTGGTAGGATGAGCGGCGATGTCTTTGACCGAGTTCGCTCCATCGAGAGATCCACCTGTGGAGAAGCTTGAAGCTGTGTTGTTGGAGACGTAGAACTTTGAACCTGATGCACCGTAAAAGTAGTCGTTATCTTGCTTGTCGCTAGCAACGAGAGCACCATTAGGTAGACTCGAAACAGAAGCAAAGCTGCCTTCCTTCTGAGATCTCAAAACACCTCTGTTCTCAGGAGACCAGAGAATAGTATCTCCATCAGCAGAGTATGAGATAGAACCTCCCTTTGGACCTTGCTCAGCAGCGCCATGAACCTTCCAGGACTTACCACCATCGGAAGAGAGGGCGACTTGAGGGTTGCTATCACTGTTTCCAGCTCGGACGACGTTACCGACCTTCTTGCCAGCGTAGTCAACACTAGTTGTTGAGGTGAACATGGGGTTATCCCAAGCTGAGAGGGGTGCTTTGCCGAGGACACTCTTACTGGCGAAGGTGAAGCCGCTGTCATCGCCGACACCGGCGAGAAGTTCACTTCCACCTGGAGCGGACTTGACGTCAAGAACAGCGGTCTCCTCGATACCGTCGGCAAGAGACTCAATGGTGATGTTATGGACGGTATCCCACTTAGTCAAGTCATGGCCTCCGTAGACTGTCAGGCCAGTGCCATAGAGCCAGTGGTTGCTGTCAAATGGATCAATGGCCAAAGCCTCAACCATCCACCCCAGTTTCTTGGTGTCAACTGAGATGAAGTTCTTGTAGATCCAAGGAGCCTTTGGTGTAGAGATACTGTAGTGGAGGTCAAGGTTACCCTGGGCGTTGTAGTTCCAGAGCGTAGACCAGGTTTTGCCAGAGTCAGTTGATCGGAAGAACTGAGCATCAGGGTACCAAGAGTTAAGCGATGCGACAACAAGGGTACCCGACTTCTGTCGATCGAGTGCAAGACCACCGAAACCGAAGTAGATATCTCCCGGTGGAGTAATGTCCTTCCAAGTGTTGGCGGCGACATCATAGCGATACACGGCACCGGCAGAACCATCATAAGGTCCACCGCCATTGCTGTACGACAAGTACAAAGCCTTCTCCTTTGATGAAAACTGACCTTTGTGAGGGAGGTACTTCACAGGCTGACCATCAACCGGCTTCCACGTCTTACCAGCATCAGTAGTCACATACACAGAGGCCGTCTTCGTATCAGCGACACCAACAAAGATTCTCGACGTAGCGCCATTAAGAAGAGAAGAGGTTGAGTCAAACGTGACGAAAGACAAACCCTGGATATCACTGTTGTATCCAGAGCTGTCACTTGGATCGGCGACATAGGTACCAACGTTGGTGAAAGAAGTGACTTTGGAAAAGCTCTGACCACCATCTGTACTCTTCCAAAGACCGTTGCCACTTCGGGCTCCGAAGTAGATGATATTGGAGTTCTTGGGGTCAACGGCGAGACGCTCACCCATGCCGCGACCGGGCATGTTGCCGCCTACTTTGAAGGGGAGTTCGGTGAAGGACCATGTTGCACCTTTGTCATTGCTGATACCGATAGCTCCCTTGTTGGGGTCCCTAGAGACTTCTTAGCTTACCGACTCTTTAGAGATTTCTGGCATGGGCAACTTACCAGGAGTTGGTGTACAATCCAGCAGCAGTGAGGACCTTGTTAGGGTTGCTTGGGTCAAGGGCCAAGGCATCAATACCCCAGCGGCTCCTACGAAGTTGTCAGTACGATCTTTCGATTACCAAGTTTAAACATACCATGTCGCATCAACACCAGTGTTGTCAGTTAACGGCGTCCATGAATCATCCGCATTAAGACGATAAAGTCCACCGATATCAGTTCTCGCATAGGCAACTCCCTTGGCAGTGGGATGGAATTCAATGCCAGGCACGAAGCCGCCTCCACCGCCAAAACGGACATTCTGCCATTTAAGAGCAGCTTGCGCGACGCTTGCCGAGGCAGCGAGAAGAGAGAGAAACTTCATGTTGAAGTTGGTATGTAACGAATGACGCTGTATTGCAGGATAGATTGAGCATCATATTCGGTGCATTATAGGTGTCTTTTATACCAGAGGCTTGAAGGTGACGTGATAGTTGGTCCTGTGGTCATTTGCAGTGTTTCGGATATGAAGCCTCCGTGACGAAACAGGATGACGCAGGGGTATAAGGTTCAGCAAGCCCCGAACATGCTCAAAATTGAATGGATTGCGAGACTTTTTATTCATCACCGTATTTAATCTACGGCAATTGGAGATTTTCCACCTACCAATTGAGGTTTGTGCCTCACATGAATAACTGATGGTGGCATGTTCAGATGAGAGTGCCAGTCTCGGGCCGCCATATAACGCCGTTTTTCCAAGAACGGCAATTTTTAATCTTGCGCCTCATACGTGATTAAGTCACGCAAATGCTTTCGGATCTTCGGCACGAGTTCTAGTGGTTCACGTGTAATTGATTGATGTGCCCAAGGATAGTGGATAGATCCGTTAATCCATGTGTTGTCCTTAGTTTAAATGGATCATCACCACAATGTCATTAGCGCTCATGCTGTGATATAAAGATTCAGCACCAGAGTAAGGGAAGTTAAAAGAAGTGACCAGATGGCAAAAAGGCAAAAAGAAACATACAACACTCGGCATTCGCTGGTCGTCACCGACCCAACTACTACTCAAGCGCTCCTCAGCTTGACTATGGGAGAGCAGACGGGATCCCGTATTCTCTAAGGGCTATGGTCGTATGTGAAAGTTTGGGTGGTAAGAGGGGTTATATCGAGGTGTTGAAGATGTCTGCGAATGTTGCAAGACGGCGCTTGTGCGGGACCGACCTGCAGAGCGCTAACTTGAACTTACTAAGTCTTTATTGAATTACGTCAGTTTGTATAGCTAGATGCAGGTAGATAGTTGACAGTCATATTCAGCCAATGTACTAAAGCTTCTTGTTTGGTTGTTATATTTTCGGTAATCTGGCTAAGGGCGAGTTAGAACTAAAAGGTAGCTATATATTAAGTAAAACACCATCTTTATCATCTGTGACCAGTAGCAAGACTTGCAAAGGTGAATGGGAAAAAAGAAAGGTAATAATAGCAACAATGGATAAGATAGTGATAAGTCTTAATTAATATGCTCATCTTGCTATGCCTGGTGTTGGCAGTTAGTCGTACAGGGTAGGCGCTCCAGGAGTTCGGAAAAGCGCCACTCAAGGACAAGACCTATATCGAGAAGCCATCGTTTTCCGTCAGTAGAAGTCAATAAAAGATTATAAAGCTTATCCTTCAGATCACTTCGGCGACAAATCATGAGTTTCCTGCTAGACAATGACGATGATCGACCGGAGTTCAGGTTTCCACCAATAAGATGCTACGGAGACTTGCATAGCCCCGCGTTAGGTTGATGGCTTTTCCGACTTGGCATCAAGAGACTTGCATTCAAGACCCAGGTTTGGGGGTTGAGAAACCCATAGGAGATTCACTTTGGAGATGATAAAGTTAGAGTCGTCGGTAAAGATGCAATAATGTCCCGAGAAATTGGGGTGAGCTAGGACATACTGTTCTGTACTTGTCTTATAAATACTTAAGCTTCCAGTCGTTCCAGCCTTTGCCTCCGGCAGGGAGTTGTTTGCAAATCCATATTTTGAAGGGATCACGGCAATATTATCATAGCATATCATGCGCTGTTTACAAACTCTCTCAGTTATTGGGGCATTGATACTCGCTACTGTCGATGCCGTGACTCTTCCTGCTGGAGTACCCCGCGATATCTCTGAGTTTAGAGATAAACATCCCTACACTCCACCCAAGCATGAACACCGCAAAATCGTCCAAATTCGTGCATCCAAGAACGATGCAGACGATGTATCGGATGAATTTAAGAAAGGTGTGCGCAAAGCAAATGGTGGAGGCACTTTGCACCTAGCAAAAGGGAAGACATATGTCATTGGTAAAGCTCTGGACTTGACTGGCCTGGAAGACATCCACGTTCATCTGGAGGGAGAGATACGAGTAAGTTGCCCACATATGACCAGAATTACAAAGATATCTGACAGCTGCAGTTCACTGATGACGTTGAGTACTGGCAAGAGAATGCCTGGTATCATCCGTTTCAGAAATCTATCATGTTCTGGAAGTGGGGAGGAAAGGACATTAAGATCTACGGCAATGGTGTCATTGAAGGCCAAGGGTTTGCCACCCTCAACAGTTTTTAGGAGGCGAAGCTAACGGCAGCAGGCAACGGTGGTGGAATGAATTCGAGTCTGGAACTGGCTCGTAAGTGCATCTCCATCCTGGAACCAAGCATACAGACCAGCTTATGGACTCGCAGCATTCTGAACCCCGACAATAAATACTATCGCCCCATTCTCTTCTACGCCGTGAACACAACCAATCTCGAGGTCTCTGGTATACATCTCAAAGACTCGCCGTGCTGGAATAACTTCATCGTCAGCTCCAAGAACATCAAGTACACAGACGTTGTCGCAACTGCGCTGTCTAATAATGGAAGTATCATCCCCAAGAACACTGACTTTATGAACACCATGAATACTTCAACTGTTCGGATCGAGAGAACTTGGGTCAACATTGATGACGACTGCTTCTCGCCCAAGCCGAATAGTTCAGATCTCTATGTTAATACCATGTACTGCAACGGCACGCATGGACAGGTCAGTACTGGAGTGTTCCGAAGGAGTAAGCTAATTTGAATAGTCAATGGGCTCTCTAGGCCAGTACAAGGGTGAGGTCTCCAATGTCTACGACGTGCATATCGAGAATGTTTGGATGATGAATGGAGATGTAAGTAAATAACTAGCGCACGGTTCTCGGCTCTAATAACTTTAGTACTCTGCCGCTCGTATCAAAGTCTGGGCTGGCGAGGAAACCGGCACAGGATTCGTCAACAACGTCACCTTCAAGTGAGTACCCGACACAAGACCTGCAAAAAGCTTGGCTGATATACTACTTAGAAACTTCTGGGTCGCTCGCATGGACTACGGCATCTTTCTCGACTCATGCTACTTCAACATCTCAGCCGAAGAATGCAACGCTCACCCATCAGGCATGAAAATTACCAACATTCATTTCGAAAACTTCACAGGGTACACATCTGGTGTTTACGGTAATGCTGTAGCTCGGTTGTCATGCTCAGCTGCTGAAGATGCTATTTGTGCAAACGTTACAGTCAAAGACTTTAATGTCAAGACTCCGTGCGGAGGAGAACCTGTTATTATATGTGATGGGATGCACGGCGATATTGGGGTTGATTGTGTGCCGTATGATAGCGATGAGGCGAAAGCAGCATTGAAGGCGAAGTGTAAGACTCCTATAGCGGCGATTGACACGGATCCTTGGGGCAGTGGACTTATTGAGAAGAAGAAGGGGGCTTTCCATCCACAGTAGAGATCACGGTCTGGAAAGTCTTCAATGGGATATAATAATGCGCAACAGCCAGATACATCTCGGCTGATAGACAATAATTCCTACTCAGACTTTATCAAACAGTAAACTCATGATAGCCCGATCCAACAGTCTTCATCTTCTGCGTACCCGGCAACGTAACCTTAGCCTTGGTGTTCGGTGGAATTCTAACATTCAGATGGAATTTCCCATTTGTCACCGTCCAATCCGTCGAGATAGTTCCATATTGACTGACGTACTTTGCACTTGCGTGGGTAAGGTTACCTCCTGGAATAGGCGCAATAGCGACAGTCTTGTATCCAGGCTCCAAAGGCGCGATTCCTCCGATGATTTGATGCATCCAGTTCGCAACGGATCCGAATGAGTAATGATTGAAACTGGTCATCTCACCTGGATTGACGGTGCCATTGGGCAGCATACTGTCCCAGCGTTCCCAAGTCGTTGTACCGCCCATGACCACTTGGTAAAGCCACGATGGGACCTTCTCCTGGAGAAGCATGCGGTAGAAGACGTCTGTTGCGTTGATGCCTGTGAGTGCAAAGCCGAGAGGTGATGTGCCTGCGAAGCCAGTACCCACGAGGTAGTCGTTGTCCTTGATGATATCTCGCAGGGTATTGGCAGCTGCATTTTTCTGCTTATCATCCTTGAGAAGGTCAAAACCAAGAGACAGAGCGTACGCGGTCTGGGTTCGGTTGACCAACTTGCCGCCTGGTGCCCAGGCACTCACAAACTCGCGTTTCAGATCAGAACGTTGAGTCTGGTACTTCTTAGCCAGTTTGGTATTACCAAGGGCTCCAATGATCTGAGATAGCGTCTCTGTCATCTTGATCAAGTATGCATCTGAGACCAAATGCTTGTCCGTCGTCGCGGCGCCAGGATCATCAGATGGAGCAAGAGGGTCAAGCCAATCAGCAAACTGAAAGGTGCTGCGGTTCCAAAGACCAACATCATTTCGGGAGATGCCAGTGTCGATCCAGTTCTGAGCCTGAGGGAGATGTTCTTGAAGTAATTGCTTGTCGCCAAATGCTTGGTAGATATTCCATGGATTGGCAACCACCACGTCTCCCCACACTGATGCTGGCTTGGGAGGTCTGTCTAGGAACCAGGGGATGGAAGGGACGTAAAACGGGGGAACCATATCGTTCTGGGACATCTCAGACCAAACATCCTTATGCCAGCCCTTCCAGAAGGCGGATGTGTCGTAGAGGTAGTTCGATGTAGGGCAGAATGCGTGGGCGTCACCAGTCCAGCCAAGACGCTCATCTCGTTGGGGGCAATCTGTTGGAATACTCAGGAAGTTTCCCTTCATAGACCAACGAACATTGGAGTGGAACTTGTTCAGAAGTGGATTTGAGCAGTTGAAGTAGCCAGTCTCTTCCATATCTGTATGAACAACAATGGCCTTGACACTATCCGCATCCAACGGTGTCTCTTCAGGCCAACCGTCAAGTTCAGCGTAGCGAAAGCCATGGAATGTGAACTTGGGCTCCCACTGAATGGGTCCCTTGCCACTCAGCGTAAGATAATCCTCAGCCTTGGCTAGTCGAAGAGGTCGGAGGGCTAGTTCACCATTCTCCAAGACCTCAGCATGTCGAAGTCTGATAGTCGTGTTTTGGGGACCATCAACTTTTAGTCGAAGCCAGCCAACAAGATTCTGTCCAAAGTCGACAAGCTGCTTTCCCGACGCAGATTTGAAGAAGCGCTGTGGCTTGACTTCTTCAACCCGTCGGACAGGCGGCTGTTCAGCAGGAACAAGTTCACCGCCCACAGATGGAAGGAGACGAGTATCGGACCAAGAAGAGCTCTCAAACCCAGGCTTCGACCATCCCTTGATATCAACTTCAAGGGTTGCGTTGTAGCGGTCTCCGTCGTAGATCTCGCCGGCGGTAGCAGGGCCAAAGCTTGACTTCCACGTCGTATCAGTGATGATCTTGACTGTCTTGCCGCTCTTCGCCTTGACGTGAAGCTGTGCTAGGAGGCCAGTAGAGTTGCCGTAGATGTTTCGTTGACCTCCTGCGAATCCCATTCGTCCAGCATACCATCCTTCACCCACAAGCGCGCCTATCGCATTCGCACCTGGACTGAGGAGATCGGTCACATCATACGTGTCGTAGACGTGACGATGATGGAAGGATTGCCAGCCTGGGGCCAAGACGTGGTCACCAACTCGCTTGCCATTAATCTCAGCTTCATAAATGCCAAGAGCCGTGATGTAAAGCCTTGCAGATACGATGTCATCAGGAAGTTTAAAGTCCTTCCGGAAATAAACAGGTCGTTTGGGCTCGCTGACGTTGACTTTGATAGTTGAAGCGATGGGTTTCACATTCTCCCAGCTCTTCTTGAAGAGACCTGTCTCAGCGGTGACCCAATCAGACCAAGGTGTAGATGGCTGTTTCGAACGTCCATGAGCACGGACTCTGATTGATACAGGCTCGGCTTCTTGGAGAGGAGTATCAGGCCAGGGCTGATAAAGGGAATCGGAGGATTTGAGAGAGAAAGATTTTGGTTTGTCGCTGACACTTCGAGTGACTTGGATGTCGTAAGAGCTCTGTTCCCAGTCAGAAGCATCACCGGCGAATCTCCACGAGATTCTTGGTTTAGTCTCTGCGATGCCCAGAGGTGAGCGATAATGCTCAAAGGAGACTCGAGATATTGACAGAGCCATCTTTGCACTGGTCGCTTGGCAATGAAATCAGTTTCCTGGCCACTCGTGCCCTCAATTTATAAACATCCAAGACCGCACAACAATCCCATTCCATGGCAGCAGATTCGGCCCTTTACTAATGCCGAGGTTGACATCCGCTATTGATCATCATCGAAGATACCGCCCTGAGCCATCTCGCTGATTGATAACCCGAAACTCTTCGATCATCTTGACCGAGTGTTACATTGCGGGGAAGAAGTAAATGAATTGACAGGGGTAAAACGCGGGGAAATAAACATGCACATCTCATGACGGACCACGGTTTGTCATCGCTGTAACATAAGCCGTCGATCTCGAAACGTACACCGTCACGTAAACAGGTGTCGCAGCAATAATACTCCGAGGCCTCTGGCCTTCCAGATGTGACTATTAAGACAATAATTTGACACCAGTAAAGGAAGGGATCGGGTTTCAGTGTCAGGATAATTCTTCTCATCTTTCGTCAAATTTGCATGTTTGGTATATGTTATTGAGTGGTGGGGTATAGTTATGCATCATAGCCCTGTCCAAGACGGGACTAATACTCAGCAACTCGCATGAGTTTTTGTCGATCATCGGGTTTTCCGACATGCAGCATCGGAAAACCCGAGTTGCATTCATGAGCTAGCAGAAACAGATCCACCCAAGGCTTCCATCACCAAACACTGACTTTTGGTAATCAAGCTTCAGAAACGCCCCTGATATGTTGCTTGCCCCAGGATGCAAGTTTCTAAGTACCCCAACATAGGCTTAGATTGATGAGCACCTCTTAAAATCCTTGCAAAGTATATCAGGTGGCGCCTCATGAAGAAAGCCCGCATGCCTCTTAACGTTTAGGCACCGAAGCATGTAAGTCTTTTCTTATCAAGAAATAAAGTATAAACATTTCCAAATATGGAAAGAACTCATCATATTCCGAAGTTCTCTCTTCTTCTAATGTCAGCCGTGGCTATTAAATATGGTAATAAGCTCAGAGAAGCTACGCCACGCCACGCAAGGGATGTTTCTAGAATGGCAGAAGGAAGACAAGCTTTTCCTTTAGCGTGCCAGTAAATCTATCACTGTTATTGGTCTTTCCACTCCGATACGAGAACAGGTGACTCTAATTATCTGTTCCTAGAGGAGCCATGATCAGTCTGCCTGATAGCATCCAATCAGGTCTCTTCCACGCATCAAGTTAGTCTACTGAGACACAGTTCAAACTTGAACTTCAACTCATCCAGATTTGGATCATCGTCACTGCTAGTGAACGTGCCATCATCATCTCTCAAGTATCCCAGACATTCCATTGGCAAGAGCCAGAAGCCAATTGCGGGCTGCACTCCCTTGTCAGATTCTTCACCATCCCGAAACCATACTCTTTCTCCAATTTTCTGGATATACCCCTCAGTTGCATGCCGCCCGGCCGTAGGCATGTCCAGGTGATGTTCATATGAGGCGTATTCCAAGCCAAACATACAACTGTAGTTGACTTCGTGTGACATTGAAATGTGTTCTTCTTCCAGTAGACGGAACCAGTATGCAACCTGAGCTTTAAGCCTCTCCATTGGTAGGTAGAGAGGCGTAAACCTGCTGGTCAGGACCCTCGGATCTTGTGGTAGTCGGTCGAAACTGGATATATTGACAGAAACAGGGAGCCAAGGTCCTGGGCTCAAGCCTGGGATTCCTACTTGTTGACGTGCGACTTGACGGGCCGGAAAGAGTTCAAAAAAGATAACATTTTGCAACCTAGAGACGCCTTCCTTCCATAGGCGCCCCTCTACAACACCATCCGGAAATATAATCACTGCCTTAGGGGAAATGTTGATGAGGCCAACGTGCAAAGGGTCAAGGGCCCAAACACAGTGAGCGAAGAGACCAAACCCCGCGGTTAGTGCCATGCATATGGTATCCAATTCCGGTCGAAGGTATAGAGTCCCCCTTTCGTACCGACCCGGTCTCGTGTAGGTGCATGGTATATGGACTCTGTAAAATCGCTTCGCAGCCCCGCGCGACTCAGCGTTAACTCGTAAGAGCTTACTTATAGCCATACCCTCATGAACAATGGCAGAATATTGCTTACTCGACCCTGGATTGGTTCCCGTCCTTTGCCAATCGTCTAGCCTGGTAGTCGTTGTGGATTTAAGGATGTCGTAAAGGTCGACGAAACAGTCGCCCTTGCTCTCAAAAGGACACATATTCCAGAGGTAGATCTTTAGAATCCTCTCATGCGTGAGAGACTGTTCCCAGATCTGGTCTCGAATTTCTGTAGGAAATTTAGCGAACAGAGGAAACTCTGACGTCGCTTTGATCTCAGGGTTGAGAAGAGGGGGGTTGAGTCCAGACATGTTGGTTTTTAGATGTGATATCGGCGATGAAGTGTGTTAAGAAGGTGGATAAATATAAAGAAGAAAGGTCTTTCTGCGACTTGTGCTACGTCTTGCTTTTATAGCCCTATTGTGCGAGGTTTATTCGCGCACTAAAGTCAGATAAAATGAAGAAGGTTGCTGAGTAAAACTTTGTAGTTTTCGCTCGTGGGTCTGTCATACTCTAATGCAGAAGCATAAGTTGGAACTGACCATTCTGAGCTGTATTATTAAATTATACGTAAATCTCCATGGCCGATACCTTAAAGGGCCATGCACACATGAAGACGCCATTGAGGGGACATGAGAGGTGACAAGAAGATCAACTTCACCTAACGTATTCGTTCTAATAATATTCCTCAAATCCGGAATAATAGCCCGTACTTGTAATCTACTTATTGCTACACTAGACTTGCGAGTAAGCAGTTTCAAGGGGAGAATTTCTTCAGTAGGCTCACATATAACATCACCCGGAGTATTCTGTGAGTGGTATTGAATGTGAAACATCGCGGACGTAAGGGTCATATTCGTTACCCTCTTTCTATTCGTTACACTCCTTATAAACCCTAGCTTCATTTGACTATGCCATGGCCGAGGTAGAGAATTCACTGTTGCATCGCAGCAATGAAATATTCCCAGGTAGGTAGAGCACAGCGGCATGACGCCGGCGACTATTCATCAAATTTATATGTGTCCGGCTCAAACATAGGAAATGATCTTGTCATATGGTATCACGGCAACATCAGTATCCATCCTTGTGATCTTTCACATTTACACATTTGTACTGTTTTCAGTCAAGCCCTTTATGTTCTCTTTTTTTTTCTAACTGACTCACGAAGCAAATAGAGTAATTTAAGAACAGGGTCTCGAAAGTAACGGAGGAGTAAAGGTTTTGGCATAGCTTCTGATTGGCTTGCGAAGGCTGTAGATAAATGTGTCTCGAGATCACAGACCTGATGACTATAAAAATTGCTTATACTTTAACTTTCTGTGATGATCCGTCGAATGATGTGCTGACTCACCGTGAGTTTCAGGGACTAAAGCCTTATGGAGACCTGTTATGCCCGTATCAGGGGCCATGGCGACAACAGTGGCGAAATGGTTCAAAAGTCCCAGTCTGTCCCATGAAGCATCAATAGCCGCAAGCAGAAGATCATACACGTCATGTCCAGTCTGCTAGGTATGAGTTCCTCTGCCTGCACTGTGGATCTTGATAACAGGCAGTAATCCTGTTATCGTCGTAGAAGTCGTGTTTGGGGCTTAGTCGTTGATATTGGCATATTAAGCTTATTACCAGAGTGTTGCGATTGGTCCGCTCAATGTACAAGTATCACTTTGGTGTTGTGACTCAATCCTCAGAGTTCAGAAACTCTTAAATAAAGAGCCTGTGAGTATTTACACTGTAAGGTAGATGATTTTACCAATGAATTGTTATAGAATTAGGCGTTTTGAACCATAACTGAGCTGTCTCAAAACTCTAAGTCCTCGTGAACGAACTGTGTGACGATGTTCTTCATTAAGGTTGGGGGTTTTCCACGCCACAGCCCTAGCTAGTACTGCAACAGATTTAAGTGATCTAAAATTGGAGCACCAATTGGACGCCTCTAATTAGGGATTTGTGGTCAAGGCAAAGATTTTTGTTTTGCTGTAATTGCTTTTATGCAGATGTTAAAATCGCACAATGCTACAGCTCATCTACTTTGCTCGCGGGTGACCTCGCAGTCATGCAATCACACTTTGATGTTATTTGTCTTTCCTCGGACTCAAAATGTGGTTATATCAAATGATATCACTATTTGGAACCTGGCGCAAAGTCATTTGCAGGCAACTACACGAGCCATCTTCAACTTTTTCAATACTACGTCTTGATCTCACTGCACGTGCTCGAATTTCCGTTGTGAGACTCATATTGTCAGTCAGAATCATGCATGAGACTTACAGCTCTATTCCTTTTAGTTACAGGTCTTGGTTGGCGACGAAGGAATTGTGAGTGGCGACATTCTCTTGAAAGAAGTTCATGATAAACGTAAACGTAAGAAAACCGCACAAACACAAAACCAGTCACAGTAAGAGCACATACAGTGACTAAAAACTAGTATTAAGCTTTCTAGATTTCATTATAAGTTCGCCATTTCCCCTTCCTTCTGTGAAATGATCTTACTCCTGCTTTCTCACTATATCAGCTTTATTTACATTCTCTTCGAGGTCATCTTGATTATACTATCAGCTGGCCCGATAAAGCATGGGCTAGGTTCTCATACAAAATTGGAATTGATCTAAGTGACGAAGGATCATTTCCATTTACAAAACCCCACCCAAGAATACCACCACTACCAAGCAGCTACAAGCTGATGAAGCGACCTGCTTATGAGCATGACGACTCTCTCGAGGACACACAGGATGATTCAGAGGGAGGTCCTGGATGGAAACACGCTCCGATCAAACGATTTCAGAGATGTACCATTACACCCAAAGACTGCAGTTGGACTTTTCCAGATGGACATTTCATGGCTGGATTGGGCAACACTACTCCTCCTCTCCAACACTATGATCTCTACACTCCTCCAACCGTCCCGGTCTACGGGATGGATGCAGGAATTCACAAGAATATCTTTTATCTTCGCGAAAACTTACCGCTCTCCCCTGAAATGTCCCGCTCTTCAACCCCTTGCAGCGAGGAGCTTCCCCCTCTCGTCCATTCTGATCTGGACCCTCCTCCACAGAGTCATGACGCAGACTCCGATGAGGATTCCTTGCCAGAGTCGCTGCCAGAGTCTTTGCCAGACTACACTGAGGACATTTCTCGTCCAATCACCCCTCAAAGCTTTGACTCAGGCTCAACTCGCCGCTTTGCTTCCTCAGATCATTCTTTATTTACTTCTTTTGCCGAACCTCACTTCAGCTCTGTCTTTGCCAACAAGCTTACTTTCACCCCTGATGTGTCCATCTGGCTCAAGAAAACATCTTCCGAGATTGAACTAAAAGACGCTCTTGTCGGCGCTGAACAGCAGAGCCTGGCGTTAGAGCATTCTTTTCTTTCCGACCTACCTGAACGGGCTCGGGACAGGATCTTGTCTTACTGCACCCCCGGCACGCCAGCCTGTCGTTCCCTCGAAAGTTCTTCGGACAATGAGACGGAACAAGATTCTAGTACGTCTGAAGCTGCCTACCAAGGCGCTTGCAGTAGTCATGTAAATCATTACCCCGTTCTGCCTCATCCTGATATCAAGAAATCCTCGAAAAGTCAGACAAAGCACCCAGCTATGGAGATTGATCCTTACGGTTTTGGTATGAGCAATTCAAACATTGCGAGCTTGCCGGAATGCGTTCGCGCCAGAATCATGTCATTCTGCACTGAGCCGCGAGACCTCATGGCCCTCATCAAATCATCTCCTGTCTTCCTTCAACCATTTCGCCTGAACCGTCATGCCATCGTCAGCCAAGTTACCAACAGCATGAGGTTCCGCTTTGGTGGTGACATGCCTCACAGTTGTCTTATGGCAGCACGTCTTCGCAACATGGATTCAAAGAGTGCTGACGTTAGACCTGAAGCTCTCAAGGTCAGGGCTAGAAGGATCATCACGACAGCTCTGAAGCTTTCTCACAGGGGGGCACTTCTTCATCCTTTGTACAGCCTTCGACTTCTTATGTTTATTTCAGATACTCTAGACAAAACAGAAAGTCTGATGACGAGATACGCGCACCAGGCCTCGACAAATAAACTTGGAGTCAAGAAACTGGGACATTCTTATATTTCTGAAGGTCTCGCGCTCTCTCAGACCGAGAGGAAAAGGTTCATGGATGCTATCTGCCTGTACGATGCTTATTGTACAGCTTTCTTCTCTGAAAATGCTGTTTCATCTCATGATGATACCGCGCTACGACAGAGCTTCTTTGAAGATGATGGCGTGCCGGATGAAATCATCAAGCGGTTCTACAGCATCACCCTCTACCTAAAGAACCTCTACCTAGATTGGTTAAGTGTTGCCCTAATGAAAAAGCATCATGACCATCCTGTAAACGGCGAGAACCCCAGCCTTTTGGCCCCTTCGGTAAAGCACATCGACCCACTTATCAATCATTTTATCTGTAGCGGGCCAAGTGTTCTCCGAATGTTGCAAGACCAGAGGGCTCCGGTACGGTATGACTTTCTTTTAAGGTTGCTTGACCGCTGCGAGACAGATGCAGAATATCTCAGGAGCATCACGGCGGTACGGGGCAAAGGAGTTAAACGAAGCTGGGCATATAGCGAGATGGCGGGTCTGACTCAGCAAGAGGTACTCACGGCACAGCATTTCTGGGATCCAGGCCTTGTCGAGAGTATGAAGGCGACGTGCCATCGCAGGCCCACAATTGAGACACAGGTGCGAAGAATACTTGACGCCTAGCCTTTCTCAACACTTTTTCTTCACTACTTCGGTATGGATTGTACACCCACCATGCTGTTTTGCATTAGAAAGTTAGACTAGCAAGCAATAAAAATACTTAACTTGAGGATCGGAACACCAAGCTTGCCTTCAGCTCGACAATTACATCAATGTAAATGTGTCCTTCTTTTAACCACTAAAGATAGGCTCCAAGATTGCCAGCCTCTGCAGCTACTTCTAGTTTCTCTCTCCATGTGACCATCCGTATAATGGCATTTCTAATCCGAGTCTGAGCTGCTACTTGAATCGTACTTTCCAGTTCCCTTCCTAAACTTCGGCTCCGGCATATAAAGATGCGTCAAATTATGAGTTTCTCCTCTCTCCAGTCCACGACACGTATGCCCTGCATCAAAGCACTTCTGACACGTATCCCAGTCTCCATTGTTGCAAATACCGCAGTAGTAGAACCCTCCCTTGATCAACAGGTTGCATACATCGCAGTAGTACTTGGGGTACACCTTGACCAAGTTATGCTTGCCTTTGCCTTTGCAGACCTCTCCTTGGGCAAGACAATCTCGACAGATATCGTAGTCACCACCATCGCATTTCTTGCAGTGTGCGTAGGGACCGCTGATCACTTGGTCGCAAATGTTGCATTCTAAGTCTACTTCCCAGGCGGGAAAGTGGGCGAAGTCGGAGAAATCTTCTGCCGTGCGGCCATGCTTCTTTGCTTTGCGTTTGTCTAGGTAAAGGTTAGTATTCTCCTCCCAAGGTGCCGTGTTTGATCTTACCGATTCGCTCTTTGACAAAATAGCCAGCTACACCCCCTGCAGCAAAACCACCTGCAGCAGCCAGGAATGTAGATGATTTCTTCTCCTTTTCTGGCAGACTTGGTCGTGAGTCTTGAGCATTAGCGTACTGTGGCTGAGATGGATGTGTCATTTGTCCATCGTGACCTCTGTTATGAGAGTTTAGACTTCCTGGAAACGCCGGCATGCATGGAAGTGGCGGGAGGTCAGACGGAGCTTGCCATGAGCTTCTGCCTGAAGTTTCGACGTAGTACCATTGCTGTGACTGTTCAGACCAATATGGCACCCAGCGGGGAGGCGCAGGACAAGGGTAGCCAGGACCAGCAGTGCCAGGCGTCACTATTGCTGGAGGCGACTGAATTGAATGGCTGTTTGGAGCAAGGGGAGCGCCATAAGGTGCATGTGCTGAAGGGGGAGACTGAACAGGCTGGCCCGGAGGTGCCGGTGATGATGACCATTGCTGATGCTGGGGCTGCTGAGGAGGCTGGTAAGTATTGTATAGCGGAGGCTGTGGACTGTGAGATTGATGCCCGGAGTACTGTTCATCTGGGGATGACTGCTGCGGCTGTGAATTGTATGACTGATAACCGGAGCTCGGTTGGTTCTGTCCAGGGTAGGAAGGTTGTCCATGTCCTCGCTGCTGATTCTGGTAGGGATTGTTGTTGTAGGACTGGTAGCTCTGTTCAGTGCTTTGAGGCGCTGGCGAATGCGCTATCATCTATCAGTTAGCAGACCCGATAGTGAGCCACATCTTGGAGTGCTTCACCTCCTTGCTGCTGTCCAAGGCGCTCGCTCAAATTAAGCCCTTCAAATTCTTTCTTGAACTTATTCAAGAATGACATATTGTCAATTATCCGGTTAATGAAGCGAGAACAAACAGAGAAATTGGATGAGACGTCGCGACGGAAGTTTTTAATATTAAGATCCCTGTCAAATCAAGCTCTCGCTCAATAGTTTCCCAACGCAAGCGAGGGCTTATCGTGAAGGAATGGCTCTGAAACGTGAGACTTTATATGTTAAGGCCTCCACTTCATCGGAGGAGGATTTAACTAGCCATTTTCAAGGCTTAGAGCTGGTCCTTTTGCTTAGCAGGATCAGTTTGCTTGTTGGTCGACGATCCTACGCTAGTTCAGCATAAGCGTTGAAGTAGTGGCGAGCTAGCCAGCCTTACAGGGAACTGATCATTGGACATCTGTACGCGACAGCCCAGGACATTGGTGCTTTCTGAGATGATGATATCATCATTCTGTAGAGAACTTCTCAGCTGAATTTGGTTCGGTATCTGCAACCAATACTTGCTGGGAATTGACATCTTGATCTATTTTGAGAGGCCTCCTCAGCGTTTTGGGAGGAAGCGGGGATTTTACTCAGCCCTGTGAGGCTGTGCTTAAGGTTCCTGTAGCATGATCCTTGTCCATGAACGTAGGAGCTGAGCGTTGCCAACTTCGGAGTACCGCAATGTCACGGCATCACAACTGGCGATTTTGCAGCGTACACGGACTTAGTGTACCTGCGTCCGGTGACATAGCTCAAAACAGCTGGCAGCTTATGAGTACATCATAGGAACAATAAAAATGAAAGGCATATCTACGTCAAGGTGTGACGAAATGCCAGCAGAAATGTATCAGTGAGAGTGTAACGTCTCAAAATATCTTGGCAACCTATCCGTTGTGAAGTCCGTTCACTATTATTTACTCACGAAAATTACTCTCCTGATAGGCCACTCATTTCCTTCTCCAGCTGTTCAAGTTCCTCCGCTACAACCATTGTGTTTAGATGCTCAGGGCCAAGGACTTCCCGGTAACGATCTATGCAGTATCGTAGCAGGGACAGAGCATTTGCGTTTTCCCCCATCTCCATCAATATTTGAGATCCGAGATGCAATGTGTCTAAGGTCCCGGGGTGGTCTTTTCCCAATACCTTTATCCTCTTATCCAAGACTTGTTTCTGAAGCTCGAGAGCTTCCTCAAGTCGTCCCTGCCTCCACGATAACCAAGCCAAGTTGTGAATGCTTAGTAGGGTATCTGGGTGTTCCGGGCCCACCACTATCTTTTTCGCTTTCACCAGTTCGATCCCTATCTCTTCGGCCTTGTCGTAACGATGTTGGTGTGCGTATGCAAGCACCAAGTTATTTGCCGTCGCTAGGGTCTCCGGATGCATATCCCCCAACACCCTCTTTCTGACTTCTTGTATTCGAACGAGAAGCTCTTCGGCTTCATCATTTCGACCCTGGTGTAAATACGTAAGGGCCAGGTTATTCATTGAGACGAGCGTCTGTGAGTGCTCCTCTCCCAACAGCCTCTTCCTGGTGTCGACTAGCTGCAGTAGCACAGTTTCCGCTTCGTCCGACTTCCGTTGCCGCCTATAGGCCGAAGCTAAGACACTTAGGCACCCCTGAATAGTCTCATGTTCTTTTCCAAGACTTGTCGCACTTGCGGCTATTGCTATCTTGCTTATGTCTTCTGCTGCTTTGTACTTGCCACTATCAATCATATATCTTGCACAATGTTCCAACAAGTTAGCCCAAGGCTCTAAATCCTCCTCTGGTGGGTTCTCTTGAGTCACTGACTCTAGATGGGGGAGCAGTATCTGACATGTAGACCAGTCTTGAAAGTCATTGCACTTGAAGTTGTCACACATTGTGAACAGAAACAACCTCCTAAGCCTTGATACCATATCGGAGGAGGCCATCCAGGCTCGAGTGCAAGTCTGCACCGTAGCATGTAGCTCAAAAATGTCTCGATTGGCTGTCATGGAGACAAGAGAATAGCTGCGAAGCACGTCGAGATCATCCTCAAAGGCGTCCGCCTTATCTGTCGAATCCCCAATGTACCCGTTGTAGTTATGCAGTGCAAACTCAGGAATTCCGTGGGGGTTGAAAAAACTCATAAACAATAAAAGTCTAGCCGCTGAAGGCTTTTCACCCCGGATCTTCTCGAACGTGACTTGCCAGGTCGTAATCACGGAGTTGGAAACAGTCTCGTCTCTGCGAAGATCTCCCAGATCTATCTCAAGGAGACTGTTTCTCTTCTGATCACTTTCTTTAAATGCTTCCAAGTAGCTTTCAACCGACTCCCGAGGCGAGCGTCGGTTGATGTAGGCTGCGGCTTGCGTAATTGCGAGAGGGATATAATCCAAAGCCCGAAGAAGTTTGACAGCAGCTCGTTCGTCGAATTGGCCTGTGAGCTTATTTTGGATAAGATGTAGACCTTGAGCCTCGTCCATAGTAGTCACCTGAAAGATGTTCCTCCGACTGCCCGCCAGCCTTTCGGCTACGTCGAGGCTGCGGGATGTGACGAGGATGGTGCCATTGTGACGCTTGGGTAGGAACGATGCCAACGGTCGCTCATCAGTGCCTTTGGGGTAGAAGAGGTTAATATCGTCGGCATTGTCGAGAATCATCAGCCAAGAACCAGAATCATCCGCCTGTAACCAGTCACGAACAAGAGCAAGTATGTTTGTGCTTGGCTCGTCTCGCTTGGGTAGTTTCACCCGTTCTGCTATGGCGCGGTAGGCCTCTTCGAACCTCGATTTTGAACTTGCATGGACCCAAAAGATATTAATCCCAGGAGACTCTTCATGGATGGAATGCGCAAAGTGAATGGCAACCTGCGATTTACTAGATCATGTCAGTCAAGGTACATCGTCAAAGCAATTGACCTACTTACCCAAAGCCTCCCATGCCTACGAGAGCCATGCGACCAGTGAGGTTACCATACTTCTCTCTAAGCCATGCCGTCATATCGGGACGTGGGACAAAATCGTGATCTCGATCGAAGGGGATATTGAAGCACGGCGTACGATCTTTTCCCATCTCGCCCTGCTGCTTCAGCGCCATACCGTCGAACTTTTGAGACATGTCGAGCAAAATTGTCCTATCGGGGTCAGCAGATCTATTCGCCATTTTCGTTAGAGACCTACGTCTGATCAACTTGTAGACAGAGCGTAATAGTCTGCTTGTAGTGCTCAAGATTCGATACAACCGTACTTATTTCCTTGCTGTCGAAAGGCCACTTCAGTGCACGAAGACCGAAGCGACGCATGGCTTTTCGCGCACTACCAGGGTCCAACCTATCCTGAACTTCTGCCAGTTCTGTTCTGCATCCATTTAGAGAATCAATCAGCGACCGTGATGTCGCCAAGCTGGAATTTTTGGGATCGTCAAGGAGTCGCTGGGCCGCTTCGAGGCACACGTTCAGGTCTTTCAGCCGAATTTGGAGCCGGGTAATGTCGGCTCTAGCATTCCCAGCAGCCGTCGAATACTGGACGCAGAGTTTCCCAACTTTAGCAGAGAGTTCGACGATGGCGATGATACTCGCGGCGAGCCCTACGGCCTCGGCCATGGTGAGCGATGATTTTTTGTCAATCTTGGTTGATCTTGATGGGATGCAGTATCGCGCTTTATCAACGAGCAGATGAGGGGGTTCGTTTTCAACCCTGTCTGCCCAATGAGGCTGTGGTGTCAGCTGAACCCGACGTGGCTTTTACGGTCCAACAATATTGGACTTTTGACGTCAGAGTGCATTTTTTGCCATAAGATAGGCAATAATGCACCTTGCAAAGGTTTTTGATATATAAATCAAGGACTCAACGGTTGTGAATGTTGCTGAGGTAGAAATTGCTCATGGTTGAGGTTGAGGCTTACTATTGGCCAGAGCTACAGTATCTAGAGATTATCTACACAATATAAAGGAACAAAGCAAATTTATAGCTTTATGCCGATATTTATAAGCCCAATCAAACCTTTGAAGACGTCAGAGTCTTGCTCACCCGCGAGTCCAGCATAGACAATCTCTGTTATGCCAATAATCATCCGAACGCAATCGGTCTGGAAGTGGGATGGATTTTGCAAGTCATAGGCAGGGGCTGTGTTGAAACTGAACAGGTAAGAAGTGGAGGAGAGGGAGAGTGCATCTAGGAACAACGAGAATCACGATATTCGACTTTCAGCAATAATTCAAAGTCCTCTATTCGTAACTGGCTCGCTATGCAAACTGTGCTGAGCTCTATCATTGAACAATCTAGTGGTCGTGATCCCATATATGTTGTTTCCGCTTGGATGTTGTATCTGTGTCATCCGTCTAACGCCATGCCTGAAACGCCTTGAAATGCAGAAGAAATATGTGCATCCTCTCAAACTTATGCAATAGACTCTGTTCTTCGTGAGCGTCGACGTCGCCGACCCTCATGCAAAGGCATAGACCGATGCTTATTCACCGCTGCCAAATCAAGAGTTGACTCAGTAGCAGCTCTTTTGACAACCTCCATAGACCCATCTTCTTCAATGGTCTGGATAGTCATCTCTCTCTTTTCGTCTTCAATCAACTCAATTTTCTCTCCGACACCGAGAAGTCGTGGTGTATCGGAAATCTTGGGCTTTTCTGACAGGCCCATCCAGGCTAGAGTTTTTCCCCATATTCCTGGTGGTGGTGGACTCCACATTCCGACATCGAAGGTATAATGCTGTTGCTCGTCGGGGAGATTGAGCCATACGAAGGGTCTGTTGCTGTTGATCCGTCCTTCGATGACAAAATCGCCAATCTCTTCGGGGATCCGGATTGGCTCGGGAATAAGAATGGTTTGGTAGGCTGGTACGATGAGATGAAGCTGAACAGGTCGGCAGAACTGTTTTCGTCGTGCTTTTGACATTTCTCGCTTTGTGATACGTTCTCGAGCTGCGAGCATGAACATGAAAACGGTGTCGAGCTGGTTTGTGTATCCACAAAATCGAGGACTTAGTGGTTTCTCCTCGACGAGATGGAAGAATTTGGGATACCAATCGGTATCGGGGTGATAAAGAAAGAACCAATGGTCGCGCTCCGTATCGACACTCGATTGACTTAACCGTTCCCGAATCATATCAAAAACATATTGCGGAAAGTCTCTCTGAGCCGTAAGTGCCGCCTGAGCCTCAAGACTAGTCGAAATCTCTCCAAGCTTAGCAGCAATGAGGTTCAAAGCCTGAACACCCTGATACGTCTGAATGACATTCGCGCCCATGCCCAGCGTCGTAGCGACAATACTAAACTGATGAAACAATCTCGTACTATCAACTAACGACTGGCCCATGATATGCATCTGCGGCAGGATGCTCTGGGCGCCCTTGATGGTCTGCGACGCGCTGGAGAGGAAATCGTTGGCATGTTGGATAACGTCTCCGACTTTGGAGATCTTATTAGCAGCCTGTACGATCTTGATAACGGGCGCCGCAGAAGCGCAGCTGCTTGCCACTTCGAGGGCTGCTTGTTGGAATTTTCTGTCGCGGACTGCTTTGGTGAAGAATTCGTCGAGGCCCATGATGTAGTCAAAAAAGAGTGTGTCGTCGAGTTAGAGAGGGAAGCTCGATGGGTTTGGGGAGTCAGTAGAAAAAGGCGGTAACTGAAGATGGATACGGCTTATCCAGGGGGCGAATGTGATTGGGTTGGCGAGGTTTAGCGAGGGTGATGTGGCCAATTGGAGATGGACAGCTGGTGAGGTGGATAACTTGCGGCCCAACATGAGACGCGTATCATAACAAAGAAGAGTCATCGCCTTGAAATCAGGGACGAGGAGGATGACGCAAATGATCACGATAAAGAGCTTGAGCTAGAAAGACCCTCATTGTGGATTGTCTCGGTAATGTGAGCCTGGTAGCTGGATCGTGGTGACAAGCTGAGGGAGCTAAGAATAGCTTCAGGGGGAGCTTCAGAAGTGGGCCGCCAAGATCTGTAGAGGAAAAGCTCTGATGCACAACTCAGCTGCTCATTTTATGCAGGCTTGTGAAAATGCATCATTGTTATGTCTAGGGTAATTTCGAAAGAGCATCAATTAAGATCATGCACAACCACATAGGATGGAGTGAAGGGACTTGGACACTGTTGAATGGTTATAGATGAAAGGGGGATTAATTAACAAAAGTACAGCACTATCATCAATATCAGTGAGGTTGGAAGTATACAAACGACCGGCCTTCAACCATGCTCGTCACTAGACTCAGCTCATTGCTTCTGCATCTTAGCCCAAGCAATCGTCGCCCCCAACCTATCCCCAGACTCATAAAACAAATAATTATTCCCTCCAGAGCTCGCAATATCCGGCGCCGCAACCCTTCCAACGTCCTCTCCCTTCCCTCTAGACTGATACAATAAAATCGGCTCAGCCCCAACATCTCGTACCATGCAGTACCCACCTACCGGCAGCACCCACCTACCGGCAAGCAAAAAAAAAGTTTCCCCATACAAAATGCCCAATTTCACTTACACAGTATTTGACCAGAATTGAAGCTATTAGTATAAAATAATTTCTGTTGTATCGGGGAATTCGTTCAGTCTGATATCATCACATTGCTTTTTTGGTTACGTATGCAGCATGGTCGCACGGGACTAATGTAAAATTTGTCAAAACATCTCCTTTGACACCCAGCCTCCCCGACGCTCCTTCCAATGTTCCCGATGCCAGCCCCTAATAATCGCCTTAAAAATGCCACGCGTGTCTTATACAGAGGATGAAGTTGCTGAAGCAATGTTAGATGTCACGGATAACGGCCTCTCGCAGAACAAATCCGCCCAGAAACGTGAGATCCCTCGGTCGACACTCGGGGACCGATTAAGAGGCCTACCGTCAAGGTCAGAGGTCACACAGCCTGCCCAGCTGTTATCCAAACCTGAAGAGTCTAGATTAGTCGCATGGATACTTCGGCAAGAGGCCTTGGGCTATGCTCCCTCTCACAGTCAAGTTCGCGCCACCGTCAATGCCCTCCTACGACAACAAGGAAAGGAAAAGCCTGTCGGTGTACATTGGCTAGCCAGGTTCATGAAACGACATCCATCCATAAAGACAAAGATAGGAAAACGGCAGGAGGCGTCGAGGTTCAATTGCTTTACCCCGACCGCTGTCAATTGGTACTTTGATATCCGGGAGAGTGAATATGGCTGGATCAAGCCGGAGAACACAGTTAACGTTGATGAGGGCGGTATAATGGCCGGATTTGGCGAGTATCTGGCGTTTTGACCAAGAATTTAGCTAATCTATTGCGAATCTAGGCTTGGATTCTTTGGTTGTCGGCAGTAGTGATCCCAGGAAGAAGGCCTTCCTCAAAGGCTCTCAGTCCCGCACTTGGACTAGCTTTATCGAGGCCGTCACGGCAACTGGCCGTCTTCTGAAACCGGGGATTATCTTCAAAGGCAAAGAACTTCAGCAACAGTGGTTTATCGATGAGCTCAAGGAGGTGGCCGACTGGTATTATATCACGTCTGACAACGGCTGGACAGACAACCATATCGCAATTCAGTGGCTCAGAGAGGTCTATCTTCCCCAAATACAACCGGAAGATGAGTCCGATGCGAGGCTCATTATATTAGATGGTCATCGAAGCCATGTGTCTGTGAGTATCTGCCTGTCCTGAACCTCCTGAACCAAAAGTGCCGCTGACCCTAAATCCAGGATGAGTGGATGGCTACGTGTTTCTTGAACAACGTATATTGTTGTTACTTGCCAGCCCATTGCTCTCACGGCCTACAGCCACTTGACAACGGCCTGTTCAATGCCTCCAAGGCTGCATACCGCAAAGAACTCCAAAAGTTGGCCGCCCTGGCTGATTCTGCCCCGGTGGACAAAGTCAACTTCATTAAGGCTTATGCCAAAGCCAGGGAAGTGGGTATGACGAAGAAAAACATCCTTTCTGGCTGGAGAGTGACTGGAAACTGGCCGATCTCACGACGGAAAGCGCTCATGCATCCTTAGATTCAGCCAGATAAGAAGGAAACAACGCCTGCATCAGAGGGCTCAAAAGACAGACAAGTCGACTCTGATAATACGCCAAAGACCAGTCGTCACATCAGAGATCTTGGGAAGAACAGGAGCCCTTCAACAAGAAGACGGTATTCTGTGATATCGAAGGGATTTGAAGCGCAAGAGTCAAAGATCGCCTCCCTAAGCTCAAGAGTAGCCAGTTTAGAGGAGGAAGTCGGGCGGTTGAGTAGAGGCAAGAAGAGAAAGGCGATACTGAATCCCAACAGGAAGTTCATGACATTAGCCGAGGCTCTAGTGGCTGGTGACACTATTTCAGAACCAAATCAAGCAGCTGAAGAGACAGAGGCTGTTGAGGAAGTGATCGAGGTGGGAGGAGTGGAAGAGGATGAGGGCTCAAATTCGGAGGCGGAAGAGTTACCTGTGGCACGCACGCGCGCTGGGCGCGCAGTTAAGAGGCCAAGAGAATATTAAAATGCATTCAATTCCGAACTGGAAAATAGCAATCAGTTTGTTATTCCTATTTTTGGTGACTCTCTGTGAGGGGGTTGGAAAATAGCAGTTTGTATGGGGAAACTTTTTTTTCGCTTGCCGGTAGGTGGGTGCTGCCGGTAGGTGGGTACTGCATGGTAATGTCTGATCAACAGTCCTCGCGTATATCTTTCCCGTAGAACCATGGTATATAACATATGCCTGGCCATTCCACGTCCAGTAGTTCGCACCCGAGACATCTGTACCCTCAGGTCCTCCAGGTTGAACAACATAGTCCGGATCAACAGTCCATTTTCGGCCATCAACGGATTCAGCGAGTCGGATCTTGCGTCTGTTGTCTTTTTCGTTGGCCATGTAGAACATTGCGTAGTTGTACTTGGAAGCTGAGTTTGGATGCGCAAAGACACGAGCGTAGCTTGATTCTGTGGTGTTGGAGCCGCTCATTTTGTTGTTGACTGCTACGCCTCCGTATCGAAAGTCAACACCGTTACTTGATTCTGCCCAGCGAGTCTGAGTGTTATCGCCATGGAAGTATAGAAACATTCGTCCAGCGTCGGAATTCCAACTTGCATCTGGACTTGAAACGTGAGGGACAGAATAATATGAATCCCACTTGTTGGCGATGACAGGGTTGTTCTCGTACTCTTTCCAAGGTCCTTCGAGACTATCAGAGTACACGAGAGATATACCGCCTGGGTTCTCGTGTGGTGCGTAGTAGAGATACCATTCTCCAAGAGGGTCGTCTAGATATTCTCCTGCATGAAAGATACTTGGAAAGATGAACTCGTTGGTTGGGTTGTACTGGAAGGTAACTTTGTTGGTAACATGTCCCTTATACCAGAAGTTGGGCCAGCCATCAGGTGCAGGGGCAAGCTGTGCTCTTGAAAGAGAAGCCAGAAGGGTCGCGCCTAACAGGCGAATGGTTGTAGTGAAGCGCATGGAGTATATGTACAAAAAAAGCTGCTGATTTTTACTGAAGTACAGAACAGATAAGATCAACAGATCATCACAAAATCTACTAGCATTTTCTTCTCCTTTTATAAAAATTATTTACATCTGCTGTATAACCAACACCATCATCATCGGCATCAAACCGACACTCCCCGAAGGATGTGAGTCGTGCCAGCGCATGACAAGACAAAAGCATGACCCATCTCATTTCGCTAGGTCAGCCTTGCAACTAATTATGCGAGAGTCAGGGCAGCGCCTCGACTGGTCAGAGGAGGCGCGCAGTGTAACATCGGAAAATGAAATAAGTTGTTCTGCATGCCAAGCCTGGGGTCGTGACCTGCATCCCGCCTAGATTTAGGTGGAAAGACGGGTACCGGATTGTAACCGAGGCTATTTCCGGTGTTTCAGCGTGTGACGGGGGCATGTGGCTTATGCCGATGCATAGTGGTTGGGATGCTGACTTGATGAATGCATATTTAATTACTTTATGGACGGTAGTTGGATGAACAAAACGTCATTGGGGTGCGGTTATTGGTTGTTTCAGGTGATGATTCTGTATGTCAGCTTCCTAACGTGGCAGTATCTCGTCCGATGTATCCGATATTCAATGAAAAGAGATGGTTTAAGATCAGGATGTGGCTTGGCCATAGCAGGGTTGTCAGCGCGTATGCATAAAAGTCTGGTGCGAGATGAAGAGGATCGCAGTAAACGACCAGCGCTCCTGGGCTGCTACCTTAGCATTAGGTAAGCATTTTTGAAATATGTAATTATAGACCATTTGACTATTCGGCGAATATCCGGAACTCTGAACTGCCGTGCTCAAATCGATATCAAGTCATGGGCCTCAACATCTCCATAAGACCCCATCCAGCTGCTCAACATTGCAACCCAACATTCAACATTACATAACGGTCAAGGGGTCTTTTGTTTCAAACATGCAAGGCTGACCGTTTCTCATCATGCATCCAATGAAACGTCGCGTCACTGCAACCAAAAGTGTCGCATTTCGCTCTAATGGCTTGTGAGACTACTGGAAATAACGTGGTCACCTTTCTTTTGTTCTGACGTGTCTATATGCATGACATGCACATAAAACATGCGAAGAGCCTATACTTCGAAGACATATATCAAAGCGCAAACGCCTCATAGTTGACAAACTTGGTAAATAGCGTCATATGAGTAAGCAAGGTTGAAATCATGAAATGTGTTTGTACTGTGAGACAACGCATAAGGCTTGGGAGCTATTGTTTGGCGAAGACTCAATTGAAACGCTTAGTAACACGTCATAGGCGGTTCCCATAGCGTTGTAAAGTTTATGCAAAAAGCAACTTCATCAATCAAAACGTTTTCCATATTGCCGCTGATGTCATAACTGAGATTTAACAGAAATGAATGAGAACACTTGATCAAACAGAATGTCAGAGTAGAAGTCGACCAAGAATTATCATTAAATCAAAACTCGTTACAGCATCCAATCATGATCAATCCGCCATCTTCACCGCCGCCTACCAAGCATTACCATCAGTCCAACGCTTATTTGAGACCGCAGTTGCTAATAGCAACCTGAGTAGCAGTCGCATCAACCCTTCCAAGCTTAACAGCCTGATTATTCGTAAGCGCATTCATCGCAGCAGGCGAGATATTAAATCCAGCAGCGGTATGATCAATAGCGAGTACATTAATGCTCTTTCCCTTGTAGGTGAGCTTCCAGCAAGTACCGCAGTTGGGAGAGTTCCAGCCTGCGACGGCTTGGGCACCGCCGATGTAAGGAAACTTGGGGATCTGGCCTTGGGTCTTCCACTTGTACTTTGTGATAAGACCGTTTTTGCCGTCGGAACAGGCGACGGCTGTGAGGGCGCGGCCGGATTCGCCATAGCCGGGGTCGTAGGAGACTGTAGGGTGTTAGTAGGGGACACTGAGGAGGATGTAGGTGATGGACGGACCAGTCGCGGCCGAGACCGAAGTCAGAGCTGCGGCGAGGTAGAAGAGGTTGGTCAGCTGCATGATGGATGATATTAATGGATTATACTATTATTGATCGATGAATGAGATATTGGAGATGATGGTCGAGATAAAAGTGAGGTGCACCATCTCCTCTTTATACGTTTCCATGCTCTTTCTCCTCAACCGAGGGGCCGAGCCATCCGATCATAAACTTCGTGTAGAGAAGCCATAAGCCTTCCCCGCAACACCCTCACCATCCATGTTCTGATCCCTCAAACGATATGTGGATGTAACGGATCGGTCCGCAACGCTCCTACACGAGAAGAAAAATCCAGAGTTTGCGCCATGATAATCAGCTGAGTGTTACTAACCAAATGCAGCATAATGGTCCCCAAAATGATCGTGTTCAAAGAAAATGGAGGGGCTGAAAGTGATTCAATTGGCTGATGGGGCATTGAGTTCTCAGCGTTCGTATTGAAGCGTTCTCGTATTCATCAGATGATAATGACCGGATCAAAGGGCCCAACAAGGTTTGGAGGTTTCTGACGTCAGAAGCCACTTGAAACCTTCTAAGGGACTGCGAATTGGACGAAGTATCGTGGTATTTGCACGGAGGAGGATTGGTACATTTTAAGCGGATGAGCCGGATCAATCGTTTCTTCATCGCAAGCGATTCTGCAGGAATCAACTTCATGATGTCACACAGCAACGATCTCAGCACTCAGGATAAATCAACGTCCGCGCCATGAACTTGCAGCATAGATCTCCGCTTCAATACGGACTATGCATTCCAGGTTCGTATTCACCATTGATCCGAAGCACGTGTAGCCTCATTGATTCCACTCACACTCTCGTATAGAAGTTGACAATGCAGCTTGATTATCACATTAACTCCAGACGCATGATTCCTGAAAGACAAAACACCAAACGTCTATCTGAACATCAGGCTCTCCGACGTTGCATTGGAGGCTGTATGAGAGGGTTCTCTTCCCACGTGGTTCAAAGACCTTATCATAATCTTCTGGAAACATTCTATCGTTATACGTGGGTAGAATATGCGGCTCACTAGCTCAGGCCGCGGGCAGCGTCGCCTTCTAGGGTCGTGCAACGGACAATCGGGCCACACAAACACCACGGTCAGTCGGCACTTCACTGCTGAGCGGGGGAAGGTTGCCTCATCTGGCTTACATCGAATGACCAACGTATGCACTGTATAGGTCTTAGATCACGTGTTTAGTAACTCAAAAACCAAGGCATTAACGAAGGAATGGTATTGTACTAATATTCAATGAGAGGTAAATAAAATGCCCAACGCCTATTCATGAAAGCTACCCAGTCATTACGTAATACACATTCCGAATTTCAAGCATCAACCTTCTCCTCATGCATGGTATGACCCTTATCATCACTCAAAACAGAGCCTCTCCTCCTCGGTGCAGATACAGCAGCCTGCGCATCCCAGTATAGGTAGATAGCATCGGTATCACCATCATACTCATCGTCAGAGCCGACCTCGATGATGCGCCACTTCGCACGACTGACACGCTCACGGCAAACAGCATTCATGTTAGCAAACCTGACCTCAGTATCTTCTCCACCGTAGCTCTTGATGTTAGCCACCAAGTTCTTGAGGTACGTAACAGCAGTTGTGTCCAGCATGTTGACGCGAGAGAAGTCCAAGACGACAAGGCCAATTCCTGGAAGTGATGAAGGATCACCAATGTTGGCTTGTTTGCGAAGACGGGCGACTCTCTTCTCACCGACAACAGACCAGTTACGCTCTGTTTCAGGGCCGTGACTGCCGTTGTAGACGGCTGCATGGAAGGTTTGGATCTCATCAAGTACCTTTGAAGTGTTGGCAAAAGCATTGGGGAAGATGAGAGATTCGTTGAAGGTGAAGATCCTGGTGTCTTCTGGAATATGTGTTGAAGATAGGTGGTTGCTTCCAGGCCAGTTTGATCTGGGACTCGACTCAACGTCTGCTCCAGTTGATGAAAGCTTGGTAAAGACTTGGCGAAGCAGGATGTAGACAATGTTGAACCCAACAGCGCATCCAATGCCGACCTCGCTTGAGTGGAATAGGGTAACCCAGAGTGCAAGCATGGAAGCGACAAAGTCTGCCAAGGATGTCTTCCAGTAGCGATAGAAGGTCGAAGGAGGTGAGATGAGACCCCAGACCGCAGTGATGATGATAGCTGCTAGTGTCGCCTTTGGGATCCAGTACAGTGTACCAACAAGCTCGTAGACACAGACCAGTACAACAGCCATGGTCACGACGCCAGAGAGGGGAGACTTGACGTTACATGAGGAGTTGACAGCTGTTCGAGACATGGCGCCACCGACACCCATAGCATGGAAGAAGCTGTTGAAGAAGTTGGTGATACCGAGGTAGCAAAGCTCTTGACTTTGATCAGAGGTGTAGTGGTTCTTGACAGCAAAAGCGCGAGCAATAGCCAAGTGCTCAACCGCAGAACCAATGAAGACGGCGATACTGCGGGCAGCCACTTCAGGGATGAGATCAGCCTTGGGCATTGTTGGGGCTTGTTGACCCTTGGACTGAACCTTGACAACCTCGAAGAGAAAGTTCTCTGGGTCTCGGTTCTTATTAACGGCGTAACTGACACCAGTGAACAGCACCAAAGTCAAGAATGCCCTTGTGGTGGAGAGAAGCCAGATGACTCTGTTGTTCTTGCTCCATCTCTTTCCAGACTTCTCAAGAATTGTCAAGAACAAGATTCCAGTGAAGCCAATGAGACATGCCCAGCCATTGGCATTGGGGAGTTCATTGAAGATATCATGGATTTGCTTTGCTGCACCATCGCGAACGTTGTCTTCACCGAGTAGTGAGTCCATCTGGTTGAGGATGATTGTGATAGCGATTGCAGTGATGAAACCGCTAAGAACGGGCAGAGATATAAATTCGAGGAGGAAACCGAGTTTGAGAAAACCAAGAATGAGGCCGTAGACTCCCATCATGAAGGCTGTTGCGGAGGCGATCTCAGATGGAGTCCATCGATCTTGGAGGGCGTGCACGTTTTCGGAGGTGAGGAGACCGATGAGTGAAGTTGGACCGGTTGAAACATCTGAAATAACATTAAT